AGAGGAAGAGGAAGAGGAAGAGGAAGAGGAAGAGGAAGAGGAAGAGGAAGAGGAAGAGGAAGAGGAAGAGGAAGAGGAAGAGGAAGAGGAAGAGGAAGAAAGAGAGGAAGAGGAGAGGAAGAGAAGAGGAAAACTCACATTCCACCCACGAGCAGGAATGTTCCAACAGCCAAAATGAGCAGGTGAAACCCATAAGCCAACTTCCCTTTCCAGCCTTTAGTCAAAGACGGCGCGCCATACTGGTAGATCCACATGCAGGCTGGAAACATGAGGCTCATGGGAGCGAAGCAGACCGCACCGGTCAGGGCGAGCATGTAGTTGAAGACGGGGATAGCCTCGGCGAGGATGAAGGCCAGGGCGGCGACGACGAGGTTAGCACTCAGCCAGACGGACCAGTGCTGCCACGAGTTGCGCTGGAAATGCTTCGAGCGGCGCATCAGCCGCACAAACGCATACTTGGCCGCGGTGTGGTTGAAGATGCCGGCGCTGACGACCAGACTGGGCAGGGCGATGCCGTAGGCGATCTTCTTGACGTGCGGGCCGGCGCTGCCCAGCGACGGCGTGGCGATCCACACCCCGCAGTAGTAGTAGACCACCATCGACATGGACAGGTAGACGGCCGCGACGATGAATCCGACGGGGATCACGGCTTTGCGGTAGTCCTGCGGTCGACGCATCTCCGCCACGATCGGGATGTAGCCCGGCCCGCCGGCCGAGGAGACGAAGATAGTTGCTGTCGCCGTGATGCCCGCCGCGAACTCTGGGTGTCCGACCACGCGGAAGCCCAGGTCGAAGGGGCCGGTGGCCGGCGCCGCTGCTGGGCGGTCGCGCACCGCCACGCCGATCACCACGGCCAGGATGCCGCCCATGACGCAGATGAAGCCGACTGTCATCGGCCAGGTCATGCGGTTCCAGGTCCGGATGGACGAGTACATCGTCACGAGGATCATGGCCACAAACCCGAACCAGACGCTGCACGCGCCGTGCGTGCTCAGTGCGTTCAAGGCCACTGAGATGGCGAGCATCCCTGACCCGCTGCATAGCACGAACGCTATGACGAAGATGATGCCCGTTATCTCGCGGCCGATTCGTCCCCACATCACGCCGCACATGTCGACGATGGCTGTGACAAAGGTTGTCAGTGGGTGGGCCGAGAGAGAGGTGGTTGACCGAAGCGGAGCGGGAACCAGAGGCGCGAGGGGGGATCGGAGGAGGGAGGAGGCGGAAAGAGGGCCATCAAAGACGGAAAGAAAAGAAAAGGATTGGCTCACTGTGGCAGGATGGATGCTTGTTGCGGAAATCAATCAGCACGCATGCCGTGTCTGTCATGTCAACCTGGTCAGCTTCTACCATCTGGTCCGGTCTGGTCTGGTCTCCAGGCCTCTATCTCCCCTCGGGAGGGGGAGGGGGAGTGCAAGCAGGAGTCGGAGAATAGGAGAGGGAATAGAATAGGAGAGTAGGATAGTGAATAGGAGAATCATTCCAACATACACGTATTCAACGCTTGCCAGCCGACAATGAGCAGCGCCCCCGGCACCGCGCCCAGAGATCCCATGGCGCCCGGGATTCCCAACACCCCCGTGGCGATTTGCACCTTGAGCAAGATGATGATCAGTCGCTGCCAGGTGATGGTGCGGAAGGCCACTTTGCCATCAGACTTGAACACCTCCTGGTCGTCCAAGGCTGAGGAGGGTTCGTGGTCCAGAGAGTTGGGCCCGGAGCTGAGGTTCGTGTTGGCATCGACCGGCTCGGCGACATGGCCCATGATACTCTTCTTCTCCGAGGATGCCATTATGGTGGTGGTGGTGGTGGTGGTGGTGGTGTTGGGTACTGGGTACTGGGTACTGGTCACCCACAGGACAGGGCAGAAGTTCCGAACACACACTGAAAAGTAAGTCAATCTTTTAATTCTCGACAGGAAAGATTACACCTACATTGACACTGCCTCCCTTTCTCCCTCTCCTCTTTTATATGAAGGTGGACGACGAGACAAGACAAGACAAGCCAGTTAGTTAGTTGTGGCTATCTGGCCTGGTGTAATGTGCCGTGCCGTGTGCTGAGCCAGCACTATCGTCTCCGTCCTCCACCGGCCGAAACAGGTTCGTTATCAGTGCAAGAGTCAAGACACGACACGACACGACATGTGCAAGTGGAATGGAATGGATGGGAAGTGGTGTTAATTCCAATCCCAATCCCAATCTGACCCTGATAACCAACAGCTATACATGTACAGATACTACTAGTAAGCTATCCTATCGCTCGGTTGCTGTCAGGTTTGGTTTGGACCAAGTTCAGATGGCTTCTTGCTAACGGTCGCGGCCACGGTCAAGGTCGGTGTCAGAGTCGGGATCTAGCATAGCCTCCGATAGAGACGGAGAGGCCAATTGTGGGTCTGGATCTGGCTGTATCCGGCGTCCTGACCGGATACTGGAGCATGGTGGGCCCACGGCGAGAAAGATAGTAAATAGTAGATAGTAGATATTAGACAGTAGATAGTACCTAGGTAGACAGTACATAATAGATGGTAGACAGTAGAGTAGACAGTAGAGCATAGACCGTAGACACTCTATACTAGATGCTGAAACTGTAGAGAGAGAGACCCGCCATCCGCCATCCGATACGAGTGGGACCTTCTTCACTCTTCACCTCCGCCCTGCCGCCGTGCCCTGAAGGTTCAAGGCTCAAGGCTCAAGTTCAAAGCTCAAGTTCAAGGTTCCGCTACTCGGATCTGACTCCGGTCTCCCTTTTCCACTCCCACTCCCACACCATCCCCCTCCAAGCCATATCTGTCATGGACACTAACGGCCGCATCGGGATCGGCACCGGCTGGGACGAGTCTTGTCCCGCTGGATTAGGATCAGGGTCAGGACCAGGATCAGGATACCGCACCACCATACAGAATACACCATACACCGTACACCATACACCGTACACCATACACCGTACACCGTGCTGGAGTAGCCTTGGCCCGGCCATCCATCATGATAAACGTACTCACTCACTACGTACCTACCGTGAGTAGATACCAAGCCTCGGACGTCGCTCACTGTCCGTGTCTGCTGGCATCTACCTGTCTGTCGCTGCTCTTTTCTCCCTATTAATTGTTTCTGTGGTTGCCAATTCTATTGGAATTCAAACTAAACAGACTAATCCTGTTCTGATCCTCATCCCCATCCTAATCCTCGATCTTGCCTTATTTCTTTCATACTTTCGTTCGTGTCCTTACAACGACCAGAACTACAACCACCACCACCACGACACAATACACCATCCTTACCACGACCGCCATGGGCTCTCTTACACCACAACCATCCCAGCCCAATAAAAAGGTCCATCTCAACTTCTTCGAGACCGCCTGCACCGGCGGACACGAATGCGCCGGTCAATGGGCTCGACCGGGCGACAATTCACCCAGCAAAGACCGACTGGACTACTATCTCAACATGGCGAGGCTGGCGGACAAGGCCAAAATCACCGCCATCTTCTTCGCCGACTCGTATGGCGCCCACGACATCTACGCCGGCAGCCCGGACGCCGTGTTTCGAGCGGGGGTGCAGGTGGCCAAGTTGGACCCGATGGTGCTGATTCCGGCGATGGCGGTAAGACCCTAGGTGACCCCTAGAGAAGTTCATTGATATGCGGTTCCTGTATTCCTGTTCATTGATCTGGCTCCTGTATTACTTTTCATTGATATCTGGCTCCTGTATTACTATGAATGGCCACGGTCATGTCGTAGTCATGGCTGTACCCAGTCAATACCATACTCCTACCTGTCAAAGACTGAAAATGCCCCATTGTTCCCTATCCAAGGGGTATGGGGGAGCCCAGACTATATAGCTGTGCTTATACCAGCCTTCTGGTTCAAGGGCAAGGCTGGGAATGCCTATAGCTAATGCCTGAGTTTGACTCTACCATACTAATCAACCTCTCTCTTGTCTAGGCCGTCACCACCTCCGTCTCGTTCGGCGTCACCGGCAGCACCAGCTACATCCACCCGTTCGCACTGGCCCGCACCATGAGCAGTCTCGATCATTTGACCAACGGCCGCGTGGCCTGGAACGTCGTCACCAGCTGGTCGGCCGCCGCGGCCGAGGCCTTTGGTAAGGACCTGCTGCCGCATGACCAGCGCTACGAGGTAGCCGACGAGTATATGGATGTGGTGTACCGGCTGTGGAACGGCTCATGGGCCGACGATGTGGTTAAATGGGACCGCATCAACCGCGTGGCCTACGACCCCAAGCGCGTGGTCAAGATCGACTTTGAGGGCAAGCATATCAAGATGAAAGCCCGACATCAGCTCCATCCGTCACCACAGCGGACGCCGTAAGTTTTCAACCACCCTCTTCCTAACGACCCTGTCCATGACCACCCTTGATGAACAAACAATCCCTGTTGCGCCGTGACCATGATCACCCTCTCCCTAACCACCCTGTTCCTAACCATCTCTCCCTAACCATCTCTCCCTAACCATCTCTCCCTAACCATCTCTCCCTAACCATCTCTCCCTAACCACCTCTCCCTAACCACCCTGTTCCTAATCGTCCTCTTTATGACCACCCCTAATGAACAAACAACCCCTGATGGAAAACCCCTATTGAACGCCTCAACAAGTCCATCCACTAACAAACTCCCAGAGTCATCTTCCAAGCAGGCACCTCCAAAGTCGGCCAGGCCTTCGCGGCCCGACACGCCGAGGCCGTCTACATCGGCGGCCTGGTCCCATCACAAGCCAGCTACCAGATCCGCGCCAGCCGCGAGATAGCACGCGCAGCCGGCCGGGACCCGACGACGATCAAATTCTTCGCCGCCATCAACCCCATCCTCGGCCGCACGGTCGACGAGGCCCAGGCCAAGTACGCCGAGGCCTTGAAGTACGCCGACATCGAGGGCGCCCTGGCCCAGTTCTCCGGCTACACCGGCATCGACCTCAGCCGGTACCCGCTCGACGAGGAGTTCAAGCTGGACATGTCGAACCCGAAGGAGAACGCGGTGCAGGGCTTCTTCGGCAACTTCGCCGACAGCCAGAAGGCGGGTGACGTGTGGACGCCGCGCAAGCTGGGCGAGAAGATTGCCATTGGGGGGTTTCACCCTTCGCCGGTGGGGACGGCGGCCATGGTGGCAGATGTGATGGAGGAGGTGAGGAACCCTAACCCTAACCCTACCCCTAACCCTATACGGATGTTCGGTCGGTCGATAGCGACTACGAGTGAAAAGAAAGCATTGACTGGCAGAAACTGAAACCGAGAAGTCGGTCAGTTAATAGCGAGCGAACGCACTTGATGTCTGAAAAACAGAACCCTTATCTGTTTAGAGGTACTAGACTCAAAACTAACTTCTCATCTATCTTATAGTGGATCGACGAAGCCGACGTCGACGGCTTCAACATGGCCTATATCAGCAACCCCGGCTCCTTCGAAGACATCGTCGAGCTACTGATGCCCGAACTCCGCCGCAGAGGTCTCGTCTTCGACGACTACGCCGTCCCCGGCGGCACGTTTCGAGAAAACCTGCTGCGCGAACCGGGCCAGAAGACCTTGCGGGCCGACCACTATGGAAGCCAGTTCAAGTTTGAGGGGGACTTTCCTTATACCGAACCGGCTAAGAAGTGACTGGGGGGACTTTCCTTACGGAGAGGAGGTTAAGAGGTGATTGAGGGGGACTTTCCTTACAGAGAGGAGGTGAAGAAGTGATTGAGGGGACTTTCCTTACGGAGAGGAGGCTAAGAAGTCATTGAGGGCGACTTTCGTTATGTAGAGCCGACCAAGGTGATTGCCTAAGCATCAACCTAACCCTGACGGATGCCTGACCCTGAACCTGAACCTGAACCTGAACCTGACGGATGTGGATGTGGATGCGGATGCGGATGGCCATGATAACCCTAACCCTACCCCTACCCCTACCCCTAACCTTACCCTTACCCTTACCCCCCCTATGCGGACGGTCGGTCGGTCGGTCGATGGCGACGGCGGGTGAAAGAAAGAAAGAAAGCATTTGATGGCTAAAACTGAAATTGAAACTGAAATTGAAAAGTGTCAAACTCTGGCATTCCCAGCGTTACAGTACCCTTTATTAACCAGAAGGCTGGTCTAGGCATGCTATCTATACTCTAGGTATATAGCATGCAATATGGAACATTTCAACCTTTGACAGTATATCAATCTACATTAGGTGCATGCTAGATCCTGATCCTACATCTAGATCCTGGATCAGTGTCAAACCTCTCACACATATCACATCATACATCGTGCATTCCCCCAACTCATCTCTTTCTCTCTCTACATATTGTATTATAGCTACTGCAAGGGAATCAGACCAAGGCTGAGGCTACATGTATGTGTCCGTCCTGAGTATACGGTCTAGGGTGGCACGTGCCCATAGCCTTGTCTACTTTCAACTGATCAGGACCAGTGCGGCGCAGGACATGGTCGACATGAATACTATTAGTGAGTACCATTGACCATCTTCTCCCCATTGACCTTGACGTCGCCGGCAAGACATGGCACCTCCCGCCCCCATTTGAAACTGGAACCATAATGATCAGGGCTCAATTCTTTATGGCCCAAAAGATTCTCGCGGAAGGTGCCGCCGGGCACGGCGTAATCCAACCACATCATACCCCTCCGCTGCAGTACCGGCACCAGCAGGTCGACCACATCCTCCCAGCTGCCCGGGTTCGTGACACTGCCGATGTTGAATCCGTCCACGTCGGCCTCATCGACCCATTGCTGAAACACATCGGCCACTTCTTCGGCCGTGCCCACCGGGCAAGGATGCAGTCCACCCAACGCCATACGCATGCCCAGCCGGCGCGGCGTCCAAGGCGCGTCATTCTCCTGCTCGCTGGCCGTCAGCGCCTTCAACACGGCTTGAATCGCGTGCGCGGTGGACTGGCCCGTCAGATCGAGAGGCTCGTCGAGCGGATACGGCTCCAGATCGATGCCGGTGTATCCGCTGAATTGCGCTAGCCCGGCCACCACGTCGGCGTTGTCCACGGCGACCTGATACTTGGCCTGGGCCTCCTCCTGGGTCCGGCCGATGATGGGCATGATACACGGGAAGAACTTGAGGCTCTGAGGATCGCGGCCGTTGGCAGCCGCGGCCGCGCGCATGTCGGACACCGTCTTGGCCGCTTGGGAGACGTTCACCGTGTTCAGGAAAATGCCCTCGGCATGCTTGGCCGCAAACGCCATCCCGGCTTTCGACGTGCCTGCTTGGAAGAGCACGGGCGTGCGCTGCGGCGACGGGTGCACCTGGCTCCGGCCGGACAGTTGGAAGTATCGGCCCTTGTGTTCGATTTTGCGGATCTTGTCGCCGTCGAACGCAAAGCCCGTCGTCTTGTCGAGGTGGATCGAGTCGGGTGCCCACGACGACTCCCAGAGTCTGAGTGGCACGGGATTGAATCAGCAACCGCAGGGGAGATGCTCGGAGTGGAAATGGAATGGAATGGCCGGCGTATGCCCATCCCAGCCTCGTGCATGGTTGGCGAAGGATGCATGTCAGTTCACTCACTTGTATGCCACGTCCATAAACTCATCGGCAACGAGATACCGCTCGTCGTGCGGGGTCATACTGTCCATGCCCATCGCCTTTGCACTGGACTCGGTGTGGCTGGTCACCACGTTCCACGCACACCGCCCATCGGTGATGTGGTCCAAGGTGGAAAACTGCCGGGCCAACGCGTAGGGCTTGGAGAAGGTGGTCGACTGCGTCACCGCAAAGGCGACATTCTCCGTCACCGCCGCCATGGCCGAGATCAGGAGCAGAGGATCCATGTGTGCCACCTGATGGCCCCGTCGGAGGATCGCATTCATGCTTCCTCCGTACACCTCGAATCCCGCAAACCAGTCGGCGAAGAAGATGGCCGAGATCTTGCCCCGATCGGCCAGCCGGGCCAGATCCAAGTAGTATTTGAGTCGGTCCTTGGTGGTTGACGTGTCATCCGGTCGCCTGCCATGTACGTAGAGGAACAGTCAGTACAGGGTCAGGCCGTGCAAGGGAACGAGGGACCGGGCCAAGAACAGAGAACAGCTGACTGACTTCCACTGTCCCGAGGCCATATAACCACCAGTGTTGGCCAGTTCCAGGAAGGACAGGCGGATCTGCTTGGGCGCCATGCTTGGGGGGTCGACTGCGATATGTCGACGGCGTATGTCGACGTCGATGACGAGGTGCAGGTAGATCTGCTGTTCAACTGAATCCAGGTGCCTCTGAAAGAACTTCTGTTGCAGCACTCAAACCCATCTGTGGGATAAATCGAGCGTTCCTTCGCCTCCGTCTAGCCTCTGGTCATCTCATCTCAGCCGCCTCCACAGTTCCTGTCCCTGCTTGTCGGCCATCTTGTCACCGTTCCCGACGAGATCTGATCGGGCCTGACCTGACCGCATGTGCTGGCAGTGTCCGGACACCACTCTCATCAGAGGGCGCAGAGTGGAGCAGCCGGAAGCTAGTCGTGGTCCCGACAGACGAATCCTGGTCGGACCGGGCTTGGTCTGGGGCCGGGGCCCAGCCTTATCAGTGCTGGAGGTCGCCATGCCAGTCTAACTGTTCTCGTCCTGGCTCTGGTCCTTGTGTCCCCGATCCAGCTATCCCCGAAACACACGAGTTTCGAGTTCCGAAAGGCACGGAGGCGCGATATCCCAAGCCGTCAACCCAGTGATTTCCATAGGGTTGGCATGCTCATCCAGCCTGGTCGCCGTTATATGGCACCTGGGGCCCTGGGTTCTACCGGTCGAGTCGCTCAACGCGGTGGTATGCCATCATGGGTTTCTCGACCGACTTGGACGTGCTCGATCTGCTTCACGCGACAGTTCGGTCCTACAAGGGCGTAGGATTGCTCCTCCTCGCACTGGTCATTCTCACTCTGCTGGTAAGTGAGCCCAGAGCCCAGCTCCCATGCCCCAAGCAGCGCTTCTTCTCACACACCCGACCAGATCGAGGCATACCGGACAGATCTCCCTCGGATCCCCGGCATCCCCCAAGTCCCTTGCGCGCTCCCCTTTGTCGGCCATCTGCATCGGCTCGGAGGGAGGATTGGCCAGAATGACAGCACCGTCTTCACGCAATGGGCCAAGGATCTCAAGTCATCTGTCTTCCAGTGTCTCTTGGGCAGCCAGAGGACCGTCGTCGTGTCGGACTGGCCGACAATTCGAGAACTCTGGCTGAGGCAGTCCAATGCCCTGATTGACCGGCCTCACCAGCCTGGCTTCGTCGACAAGCTCGGTATCGACCTGACAGGGTCGTGTATGACGGATCAGATTCGCAAATGCCGCGCGGCGGGAATGCGAGCGTTGGCAAAGGTTGGTGACGCGCCCCTGGTCATGACTGGTCAAAGGCCTTGGGAATCCTCCTCCATGCTGACCGGCGTCCAACAGCCAGCTTGGCCCAAGTACTATCATCTCATCGAACCCTCGTCGGCACAATTCATCTCTTCCCTTCACCAGCGATCAGACAATGGCAAGACCCCCATCGACACCTACGCCTTCCTGCGCCACATTGTGTTTGACCTGGTCCTGTCGCTGACATATGGTGCCCGTTTCGGCAAGGTGGACGACGATTTCACCCTGGGCCTGATCAAATCCATCAATGCCATCTCGTCGTTCCGCTCGAGCACCAAGAAGTACCGCTTTTTCGTCCCCCTGCTGCGTCTGCTGCCAGATCCCACCAGCCAGATCGTGGCCGCGGAGAGGGCGCGCGCACGATATCGCGACATTCTGTACAACCAATACAAGGATCGCATTGCCCGCGGCGAAACCGTCGACTGCATCGTCACCTCCCTGACCGAGGACAAGTTGACCGAGGAGGAGATTCATGGCACGTGTCTGGGGCTCCTCCAAGCCGCCCCGGACACCGTCGCTTCCGGCTTGTATCAGGCCATCGCCTGGCTCTCGTCCCCGGAAGGAAGACCCACTCAAGAACGGGCACTGACTGCCATTCTCGACGCCTACGGTGGCGACCGGACAAAGGCATGGAAGAACGCCTTTCGCGAGGAGAAGGTGCCACTCATCAGCTCCATCAACAAGGAGACCCTGCGCTTCTTCACCGTGACCCCGTACGCAACCCCACGCCGCACCACCGAGGACGTGACGCTACCCAATGGTGTTGTTCTCCCCAAGGGCATCACCCTGGTCATGAACGCCCAGGAGGCCAACCACGAGGAGGCCCACTACGGCGCCGACGCCTGGACCTATAAGCCGGACCGCTTCATCACCAACGAAGCCGGAGGAGGACTGCCGCATCTCACATTCGGGGCAGGAAGCCGCATCTGTCCGGCAGTGGCCATCAGCAATCGCATCATCTGTGCTCTGCTAACCCGACTGGTCCTGGCCTTTGAGATGGATGGTAGCGAGGACGAGGCGCGCCGGCCCAATGTCGATGCACTGGACTTCTCCAACGTCTACGACTCTTTAGTGGCACACCCAAGATTCTATGACTGTCGGTTCAAGGCACGAGACCCGGACTGGCTGGAGAACGAGTTGGCCGATGAGCTCGCTGCTTCGGCCGACTAGTCACTCAGTTGATATCCGGGATATATAGCGAGGAGGGAAAGGATAACGGAAGCCCTCATAAAGTGTCCTTCTGGTCACCCCACTCGCATGTGAAATGATAGAACACAGAGCTTCGCCAGATGAACCTGATACAACCAACATGATCGAACAGATGTAATTCGTTGCTTCCCACAGTACAGGAGGTGGAGGTCCGCTGGCGACCCTGCGAGCTGCTAGCCTGGCTGATTTGTAGAATGCGTCGTCTGGTTGCCATGCAGTAACAGGCCCTAGTGGTTGTGTTGAATACCCTGTTGTATATCCCTGCCGCATTCTTTCTAGTACATCAAACGAAGACGGATGTAGCCAGATAACGACCCGATAATGTACAGTGGCATTCTGGCCTGACCATACAAGCTGAGAAGAGGTTGGGAGCGAGATGGATAGTGGTGAGAGTGCAAGTCCGACACCGCGGGAAGATGCTGAGTTCAGTTCCAGAAGCCATCGTCGAAGGTCCAAGGGCCATTGGAGCCAAACATGGCGGTAGGCTCACCGCTTGTGCCAGAAGTCATGGCGCCTCCGAACGGATTGATGCCGGTGAAAAAGTCCTCGCCCGTGATGTCGGTAATGATGGACAAGAACTGCTCATAACCACCATTGTCGACCTCAAACTGCATATTCACATCGAACGACGGGGCGGCAGGGATCGGCTCAGTCACCATGCCAGATGCCGCGGCGTCACGAGGCTGGATAGAGGGCGCGTGGGCGATTTGGTCGAGCAGTCTCTGGCGGATAGCCTCGAATGCGTTGCGGTATTTCTTCGCCGCATGTACACGCTCGGCGATAACGAAGAGCACTAGACTGCAGTCATGGATGCCATTGCTGGTAGTCAGGTCGAAGATCTTATCCGGCGAATTCCAGATGCAGTAGGCCAGCGTAAGACCTACTCGCCGTATTAGCCCGGCTTCAAACAGAGTCGGCTTCAGCTTCGTTCTTATATCGCACTTACCAGCCATAAACACGGTCTGAACCGCCATGAACGAGTACCCGACCGGCAGGGTTTGATGTAGACGTCTATAGGCCCCGCACACACCCGCACAAGCTCGAGCACATTCCTTCATGAAACGAGGTGCAACGTTGGGGCTGGAAATCAAAGGATACAATAGTAACCTTTGACATTTGTAGTAGAATATCATCTAGAGAGCCAAATCAAAGGGCACACCTTGTTAGTCATCGTTGCCGTCTGATCAAGAGCAAGGCAAAACTCACGTAGAAATCGTAGCCATCATATGGAACATCGCCAATGTCGGTGAGATTGTGCGTATCTTGAGGAATCATGCCTTTCCACTTCTCAAGCTGTGCCAGAAAATCGTCGGCGACGGACTCGACGACCGGGCCGCTCCTATCCACTCTATAAATGGTCTGCTGAATGTCCGACTCGATCTGCCTCAGTCGCGTAATGACTATAAAAGGAGTAAGCGAGGTACTAGTTGGCGGCGTACCTGCTGAGAAGGCCTTGACGTGGGCGAGCTCTTCCTCGGTGGCGTCTTCGTTGATGTCCAGCGGAAACGCCAGGTCGATATCTCGATCCGAGATTCCAAATGGTCTGCCCATCGGGATGGAGATTTGTCGGTCGAAGGCGTAACACGTCCAAAAGAGTCGTTTTCTCAACTCGCCCTCCAAGGTCACCTGAGACAAGGCCTTGGTCTGACGGTGAAGGCCATGCTCAATGGCGATCAGTAGAGCCATTCGACTACATGTCCAAGCGCCGGGTCCAATATGGTCACGAAGGCAATAGATGGCCATCAGCATAAGCACCTGTACAGTTCTAATGTCGTTATACTCCAGGATCGTTTCTAAGCCCTGTACGGCCGATACGTAGTGCCGCTTCACATGGAACCTGCCAAACTCTCCTGTGGTCTCGATGAAGCGGCCCGCGGTCGCGTAAACCAAGTGGAGAATAGTAATCTCGAAGCGGTCGGAGAGGGTGTGCCGCCTCTGGTGGACATCTCGAGCCCAGACGGAGTAGATGACGGGAGTTCGCGTGGCGATGTGTTTCATGTACCCTCCGAAAAGCCGATCAGCCACCTGATTCGGCACGTCGGCGAAGTCAATGGGCTGTATGACTTCCGGCGTAGAAGACTCGGTTGATGGCGCTGTAAAGGCGACGACATCGCGGTGGCGGCCTCGGCGAAGAAAGGGGAACAATTTACCCAAGGCCATATGAGACGAAGCTCCGATGTAGCCAGAGCCATTCACGTCGAGCGACAAACTTCTTAAGATTGACACCACCGAGTCAGAACCGTCTTGCCAGTCTAAAACAGTCGCCTTCGGGTCTAGCTGGACAGCCTCTGTACTGCTCGACGTCGACCTATGGTCAGAAGCGGCCGCTTCCCAGTTTCCAGCGCTGCGGTTGCTGGGCGAGATTGCTTTCCAGTGGTCGTTGCCGAGTTCGGACATTCCATGTAAGGACAGCAAGGTCTCTAGTTCAGCGACGCGGCTCTCAAGTGATTTGATGTATTGATTCTTGCCGAAAGGCATAGGTCTCGGTGGAACGATATACTCGCACTGTGCATCGCTATTCTTACACTTCCGGCAAGGGTCGCGTCCATCACACTTCTGTTTCCTCGTCTTGCACCTTTGGCAGGCCAGCGCAACTCTGGCCCGCTTGTTCCCATTTGGCTCCTCTTCCTGTTCGGCCAGAAGCTGACCGGGGTAGATCGGCCACTGGGGCAGTTGAGGCGCCATGGGACCGTCCTGCGATATTCGGGGAGGCTGTAATTCCATTGCGCCCCACCGAGTATTTGAGGTGGTCGAGGTATTGAAAGACAGATTTGAGCTGGGCAGGGTAGAGGAACCCATATCTCCAAGAGATGAGGATGCTAGAGAGGAACAAGATCATATTCTGGGGTCGCGCATACTCATGCTCTCCCCGTTATCTCACCTTCCGCTCAACAATAATGACCCAGTGGCCCTGCAGCCGATAAGGCGCAGTCCACTTTGCCGGGGTATCCGCTGATAATTACTGTAGCTGCGATAAGGCACTGGAAATGCTAACTCGTAGTAGCTCTCCTCCAAGTCTGTGACAGGAGACATACTCACGGAGGATGGATTACACGGGGCCATACCTACCTCTAGCTGGCGTGTTCGATTTGCCAATCCAAGGCTGTATCCCGGATAAGCGGGGCCTGTCCAAGCGGCGGTCCCTAGACTAAGGTCCCAATGCACGATAAGACGGCGAACGCTTCTATAGCATGGGCGGAGGATGATTTCAGGATAGAGGATAAGTGCGAGGTATGTGTAGGTGCGCAGGTGAGAAGGGCTGTAAGTGTACAGTATACTCTGCAAAAGCGGCAGGACCAGTTTGGAGCTGAGTCAGCTGCACGTGATATGCACGTGAGCTGCCTGCAGTGCTTCCTCTGAACTTTGCCGATGCCCTCATCCGATGGCGCCCCCCATTGAGCTGTGTCTCTATCCGACCCTCAGTAAGCACTTCATGTTTCCGGAAAACCCTTAAGCCGGTGTCGGTAAAGAGGTGAGAATATCATGTCTTTGAGAAGACTCCTTCCTCTGACATCTCCCTCTCGCATTTCTCTGGACCCTCCTTGACGAGCACCTCTTTAACCGCTGGTGACATTGATACGCCAACCAACACCAACACACTCACCCCTCGTCTCTCTCAATCGGACTCCCAAATGGCGCACACCAAAGGTCTCAAGCAGATCCTCTCAAAACAACCTACCGATGTTGTTATCCTCTCGTCCCTTCGAACTCCTGTCACGAGAGCCGTAAAGGGCGGCTTCCGAGATGCCTACGACCATGAACTTTTGTCCCATGTGCTGCGTGCCACCCTCGCCGCAAACCCGAACCTTGACCCAGCTAAAATCGACGATGTCGCGGTTGGTGTTGTGCTCGCCGAACTTGGTGGATCAAAAGCTGCCCGTATGGCACAATTACATGCCGGCTTCAATGAGCGCACTCCTTTACACACAATAAATCGGGCTTGTAGTTCAGGGTTGGCCGCCGTCACGAGCATAGGCAACATGATCACCGGGGGCCAGATCGATATAGGCATTGGGGCGGGCATGGAGAGCATGACCAAAAACTACGGAAGTAAAGCTATTCCTACAATGCTGTGGGACGAGTTGAGGAACAGCCCCGTCGAAATAGCTCCAGACTGCATCATGCCCATGGGGCTGACTAGTGAAAACGTGGCAAAGAGGTATGGCGTGAGCCGAGCAGACCAGGATGCCTTTGCTGTCGAGTCACATCGAAGAGCGTCCCATGCGCAGAAGACCGGGCTGTTCAATTCGGAAATCATCCCGGTCAAGGTCAAGCAATATCAACCTGAGCACCCCGACGCTCCGCCCCAGGAGGTTGTCGTGGACAAAGATGATGGTATCAGACACGACGCCAGCCTGGAAAAGATGGCCAAATTGAAGCCAGCATTTGCACAGGATGGATCCTCCACGGCAGGTAACTCATCACAGGTGTCCGACGGAGCAGCTGCCACACTGCTTATGCGACGTTCCACTGCCACAGAGCTCGGTCTTAGCAAGTCGATCATCGGAAAATGGGCAGGAACTCAGACCGTAGGCTGCCTCCCGGACGAAATGGGTGTCGGGCCTGCAGTCGCCATTCCGAAGCTACTTGATTACACCGGCTTAAAGGTCGACGACGTCAACATCTGGGAACTCAACGAGGCCTTTGCTAGCCAAGCACTATATTGTGTCAGAAAGCTGGGCTTGGACCTGGAAAAGGTCAACCCTAGGGGAGGGGCAATTGCTCTCGGACATCCTTTGGGCATGACTGGTACAAGACAGCTGGCGACCTTGATGCCTCAATTGAATGAAGGCCAAGTCGGTGTGGTCAGCATGTGTATCGGAACAGGTATGGGTATGGCTGGCTTGTTTGTGAGGGAATGAAGCTGCGGGACGTCGACCGCCGCAGTTTCTCCAGTCGCTAAGCCTGCGCCCTCGAGATCTCAGGTCGTTTTTAGCACATCAACTTAAAAGGACGTGTGCATGCACCAAGACATCCGGTGGTTGAGCGTCATTTCCGCGACTAGGACTGGAAAGTTCAACAACCGATATCGAGAGCGCATCCCCTGTCTGGGGCACCATAAGACCTTCCACCGCGGAGAGGACCCAAACTCACGTCTCCATCACTTGCGCTGAGACGCCTTTTTCTTCTGGAAAGCACCGTTCCACAGCATTTTCGGCTTGCATTTGCAGCATAGCATAGCTGCAGAATCACAGGCCATCAAAAGGCGTACTGAACAGATAGCAATAGCTGTTGTAGATGAAAATATACATCTTATTGTACATTAACCACTCTATAAGACCCAAGACCAAGACCTCGCGAGTCCCCCATTCCTCATTACCTCTACCGCTGTCCTGTACAAGAGCGGTCCGTTAGACAAGGAGGTGGAATTCGATCAATTCAGCGGCTCCTCCTCACAGGCCCAATATTCCGCACTTGACTACCATGATAGCGTCGGGAAAATGGGGAAGGGAGGAAGTTGGCAATCCGCCTTCCGCCCTATAGCAGGGAATTGAAGTCAACAGTCATAGTAAACGATGCAAGGACGAGGTTATAACCTCCTCTCTTTCAATGCTTCATTCCACTGCTCGCCCTGCGGAGCCAACACCTTGTGCCCCAGCACGGGCAAACCGCGAGCCCTGAGTTCCCGCTCAATCACCTTCCACCGACCGACTTCCTTCTCCTTGTCCACAGGTGTCTCGCGCCGCGAGAGCACCATGACGTTTGGACCGAGTGGCAGTGGCTGGGCGGCTTTCTTCGGCTTGGCGGAAGTGGGCGCTGGCGCATCGAGGCCCAGGGCTTGTTTTTGCTTCGCGATCAGAGCTTCGGCCACGGATTTGGGTTTTGGTTTGGACGACTGCGTCAAAAGTTCGACGAAATCTAAGACGGTCTTGTTGCCGCGTAGAACAGCGTTGAGGACCGGGTCGGGTATGTGAAACCCCGAGAGCTGGGAGAAGCGTTTGAGGATCTGTGAGAGGGGAAATTGTCAGCACTTATTGTGAGGAATTCACGCTGTGCAAACCCAATTGTCCTGTTCATTGCAAGCGCGTCTAGTAGCGTACACACTCAACTCACCTGGAAGGTTAAGTGGTTGGTGAAGTCGAATCTGGCTCCCGAGAGCTGCTCCTCCATCGCCGCAACTGAAATCTCGAAAGGGTGGCTGCCTCCTTCCTTCGACGCGTCTGCGGAAGACGTTGCTTCAGTTGTAGAATCCTCCGACTTTCCTTGTTCTTTCCCAGCCTTGTCCTCTAGATGCGAAAAGGCCCCCGAGCTTGAGAGCTTGATTTGTAAAGAAGAGACATCGATCGCCAGCCCTTCATCGAGTGTGCGCTCGGTCTCCGTCTGGTTAAGAGCCGCATTCTGGCCCTTGTATGGAAGCTTTTCGATCAACGCCACGTATAGATATCCAAGAAACTCGTTACGATCGAGGGTGGGGGCTACAGGGGGTATCAACCAACTAGGCCAATACGTCAGTTTCTGTCTCTGTCAGTCTTGGACAGTATCACCTACGGCTCGACCTCATCTTCTGGTCTGGGAGGAAGGTCTCTCCAACGACCTTGATGACCAACATGTTCGAGACCATCCCAGGTGCGTGCTTCTTTGTATACTTCCGGGTCTAAGGACGTTTCTGGTTCACTCGGCTCTGGCCAGTGTTGAGCGGCGTCTCCTGCCACTCTTGTTGCGTAGGAGGCAGCTAAGCTAGGTCGATGGCTCCTTGTGGCCCATGTTTTGCGTGGAAGAGGCGCTAGACGGCCTCGAGAGGCAGTGCTGTAGGTGGCATGACGGATTTGTTTCGCGTTTGGTTGGACGAGGTTACTTCTGCAGGTGCGGCAAACGTATCGTGGCGCCACGGCTCTTGAAAAGGTATCGTACACTGACTGAGAGGTGCGTTGAGATGTAGCCATAGCGGGAAGACTGGCAGAAAAGCCCAGGACGTTAACGTTGACCCAAACGACACTGCACGAGTCTGGACAAATGTTGCTGGATCTTGTCTTAGATTGAAATTCGTCGTTCAAGTTCCGGAGCTCGAATTCCCTCCGCAGCGCCAAGATAGCCCAGGGCGAGGTATTAAGACCTTGAAGCGCAATACATCTACGGTCGACTATAGCATTCAGGTACGCAGCTTAATTGTAGCTCAAGACTGTATCAGTAACCCTAACCCTAACCCTGGCTGGCCTACCAGTCTGGATGCGAATACGCTAGATTGCTCGGCTTGGTCGATTAGACCACTATCTCCCAATGCTCTTCGTGTCTTTTCCTCGTATATAGCATATCAGCTTGACGGACCGTAAGTAGACCTCTCATTCCCCAATATAGACCAGAATTCCTCTACAAGCTCTCGCTGCCCTTCTGACGCGGGTCTCACCGCCAGATATCGGCGGTTATTGATGGAAGGGTCCCAATCGCCAGGATGGCCATCAACCATGATTCCTCCAGCTTCGGTCAGGACACACCATGCAGCAGCCACATCCCATGCCCAGCAGCCACATTCCCAGAATACGTCCTGCTGCCCTGCTGCAACTCTGCATATCGTGATAGCCGCCGAGCCAGTGCACCGAAGCGAGTTCACAAAGTTCCCGCCCGTTGCGACAGTTCGAGCGAGTGTGGTGAAGACCTTGAGGTTGAGTTCAAAGTTGGGACCTTCTCTGTCACTACCCCATTCAATTCCGATGCACGCAGAGCGCAGCCCCTGCAGAGGCGTTGACACAAGTGGAAGTTTCTGTACTTGGCCACCATGTCGCACAGTGAAGGCGCCGTGGCTCTTGGTGGCGTACCATCGCTCTTCTCGAAATGGGTTGTAAACCACACCCACCACTGGGCACTTCTCAATGATGAGGCCTATCGACACACATACCTCGGGAAATCCATGAATGAAATTCGATGTTCCATCGATAGGGTCCACAATAATGGTCGGGGCGTCTGTGAGAGCCATTTCAGCCGTATACGTCTCCTCTCCGACGAACGCGCAGGCAGGATATCGCTTTGCCACACGCTGGCGGATGAAGCTTTCTACATCCTTGTCTGTTTCCGTCACGATATCCGTTGCTATGGTGAAGTTAGCTTTATGGAGGGAGGAAGATGTAGGAATATACAGACTGTTCTTCTTAGTCAAGGTTGTGCGTGAGGTTGGGTGCGCGGCGAGGATGATGGCACCCGCTTCATTTGCAACCTCGAGCAAATAAGCACAAATCTCCTGCAGGTTATCACCTTCCATTTCTTCTGACACGAATGGAGACTCGAATCAGACCATGAACTTCACGGCTCCGTGCGAGGGAAAACTTGTACATTTTATATTTGGCAGCCCATTCGAGATCAGCAAAATGAGCAGAATTAAAGCTAGTTAACTATCCGCATTCCAAGGCTGTCGAGAGTCTCATACTAAACACGGTGAACATGAACGCCTTACAGGTGAATAGCGTCGGCAGGTAGTGAAAAGAGTATCGGTAAGAGATAAGAATCTCCAAGCGACTTAACCGATGAGAAACGCTTGAAGCACGTGGAAAATGAAAAAAAGCGTCGATAGGAGATGAGAAACTCTACCAGGTAAACAGTTTGGCCGGTCCAGGAGACAGTTTCGAGCACGTGGGTGATGAAAAGTGGAGTGTTGGAGAGTACGATGCTCGCCTGTATCTGCGCTCTTCCTACTTATTATCGATATTATGACCACTGTGGGCATTTATCTAAGCTGGAGTAAGCGACAATGCAGGTTCACCGAGTACAGCAACATGCATATCGAGGTCGGGTCCGGAGCGGATGCCTCACTTGCCGCGCCAGGAAGGTCAAGTGCGACGAAAAGCGCCCGGACTGCAACAATTGTACGAGGTTGAAGCGAGATTGTGTTTACAAGCCTCGGAAATCTCAGAAACTCTCTGCTGAAGCTTCCCAGATGAGTGACCCCCAAAAGGGAGTTTTTCACGCATCTGGAGTGGCCCATACACCAGAGACAAGTTCAATCACCCCTCTGAGCCCCATTTCGCCATATCAGGAGCAAACCGGTGTTCTGGCAGAGACACTCCAACTCAATGACACTACAGATATCTCTTCTGGAGCTGAGCAGGGTCCACTTCTGTCTCCAGGCAGTTCCATCGAGGATGTCACTGTGCGTTTGGAAGAAACCTTGCAGCGTCAGATGGGCACTACCGTGACAGATGACAACCATGTCGATGACAGGGTACCTTCGGCCTTGATCTCACGAGACATCGAGTTGACCACGACAATGGATCTCCTGACAGCTGGCGAAGTACCTTTGCAACCGTCGGTTTTGTTCTTTGTTGAGGCAGTGGAGTGCCCCTGGATTACACCTTACGACGGTGTGAACTGGGAGAAAGTGAAGATTGAGGTGGCCGACGTTGGCATGTCTAACAAGTCTGTCGGCCTGGCGATTATGGCTATTTCTGCGCTTTACAAGGCACAGCTAAATAATCTGCCCATGTCCAAGGCCTTGTCCCTATACCACCGTTCGAGAGCTTGGTACCAGAAGCATTTGAGCAATCAAAGCCAGGATTTTGGTACCATCTTAATCATCACAATCCTTCTATGTCTGTTCGAGACTATTCACTACGAGACTGCTCCGGTCCTGCGAGAGCTGCATGACATCTTTGTTGGGAGGCTGGAGTCTTGGGCGCAACAAAACCCACCTCACTCGGAGCAGTCTCTGAGAATTATCGCGTGGCTGAGGTTACTTCATACGGCGACGATCCGTGGAGGTGGCCGGGGTATCATTCCAGACAGCATTGTCACGGGATTGCGATACTTTGATGGAGGAGTGTCTAATCTCAGTTTACCTTCGAGCCATCAATCAGATATGTCGACTCATGTATATGAGATGCTGAGTGCTCCAATTTTCAAGTTTTACTATCAACTCCAAGTCATCTCGGGGGAGATTTGCAAACTCACGCACTATCACCGATCTCGCACTACGGCCGTTGATCAAGACGAGGTGGCCCAGCAACTGACACAGGTCAGATTACGACTGCATCTTCTCTGGGAGAGTCGCCCAGCCACTCAACGCCAGACGCCTGAAGAACTACGCTCCCATCTTGGCCTCAAGATCGCGGACCCTCTTACGACACTCATTGGAGCCTGTACGGCCGCATACCATGCCGAGTTCATTGAGATGGGCCGTGTCCTGGGCGATCCAGTGTCCAAATCGACGGAAACGAAGCAAGCGATGCGCCAGATCCGAGGATTCGTCGACGGTGATTGGAACGCATATGACGGAAGCAAGCTCAATTCTGGCTATCTCCGTCCCCTGTTTCTGTATGCCATCGAGTGTATGGATCCCGAGGAGAACCGGTGGGCCGTGGAAAGGCTTAGGCACGTTCAGAATCCCGTCTGCCGAAGCGATTTCTGGGCCTCATTTGGCGAAGCCCTCTTCCATGCCCAGCTTCAGAAGGAGAGGCGGGTCACTTCAAAATACTTTTGTACGTGGTATTTTGGAGTACCGCCGCCCTTTATCTAAACGCTTCGTTCGCTACACCCACCAAGGATTGATCATCTCTCCTACTATGTAGAGCTCTGGAGGGATCTTTCCCAAGTCAACATGCAGCAGCTGGTGTACGGGCTCTTGCAATTTTCATGTCTCGGAGACCACCACGCACCGTCTAGCCGAGGGTTCGGTATGATATCAAGAGCGTCAAGATTGTCTCTTCATCCAAGTTGACCTTCATTGGTTCCTTATCTTTAAACGATACTTATCTATTGCCGATGGAGTCCACGAGAAACGTACCATTTACCAGCACCACGTGGCTTGTATATGGTTGACCGTTTGTTCTCAGGGCAAAAGCAAAGTCACAGGGGCTTGAGTATAGCTTCTTCCACCTCATACCTCATATCTCAAATTATCAGCCATAGCAACAAGAACAATCTGGAGACAAGATAAGTACGACGGTAATGTCTCCCGTGGCCATCACCATTACGGATCATGAAACCCGTCCACTGTATCCCGTTGGAGCTCCCCCAAGTTTTTTTGCCGATGGAACTGTTCAGCCATTCCACTTCCCTCTGCCATTTTCCGGCAGGCTCGCCTCTCCTGCCCAGCTTGCAAGGGCTACAAGGCTCTCAGCTTTCATATGACGATGCTGGATTGCGAGCCTGGAATGTAGCCCCTTGGCAAGGAAATTCGCCACTAGTAGAGTGAACCCGTGAATTCCCACACCAACTGAGACGACTCGGCCTAGACCTAGAAAGCACAGGCCGACCCCAACTGTATTTCTGCCCGAGTACTCCGTAGATGAAAGTGACTGTTGTTCTTTTTTTCATCAATGATACCGAAACACGTGCTATGAATTTTGTCATCTCATTGGTTGTCGGCAACCGATAAGAGCGCGGTAAGAGATGGACCCATAAATCCAGTATAGGACGCTCGGTTGTAGCCTTACAACCCACGTGTGGACCGACTAAATTAACGCCTTCATGTCGATGCGGTGGGTAAAGTTTGACTAACCTACGTGTCAGGTGTTCAAAGAGACGAACAGCTTTTGTTCTTTTTTATACTCGAAAAGCGCCACCAGAATGTTATCTCTCCCTTCGCAAAACACCGTGCACGAGTACGGTAGTCGACCACAAAATGACTACGACAAACACCACTACTGACATCAAGTCGACGATTACTCTTGAACGACCAACTTACCCCCTAGGCGTGCCATTCAAGTTCTCCCCCGACGGTCTTGTCCAGCGGTATCCAGGAAACACCACGCTTTGTCACATCCCACTCGACTCCCCCTTGATATCTGGCTTACGCACCATTTACAACCGACTCGGCTCCCACGCGACGCTGTCTCGGCTCCTTCGTCTCCTGCCTCCAGAATCATGGCATATGACTGTGCTCGACTGTGTTTGCGAGATCCAGTGTGAGCCAGAAATGTGGCCGACGGGGATGAAACAGCGACCTATTCACGAATGGACCAGCGAATTTTCCAAATCATTAAGACATGTCGGCAACGAGCTGGACAAGGCGGGTCTAGCACCGCCTTACAGGATGCGGATACGCGGCTTCGATGCCGGAGTCATCGGTATAGGACTCGAGGTCGAAGGTGTATCCGTCGAGGAAGAAAAGCGGATGAGGAGACTGAGGGACAAACTTGCAGACGCGATAGGTTTCCGCGCCCCCAGACACGAGACGTATACTTTCCACATCTCTATTGCCTATTTATTGCGACATATCGACGACGAGGACAGAAACGAGCTGGACAGGGTACTTGCAGAGATTCTGCCCAAGGTGAAGATGGACTTTGACCTCGGAGCCGTGGAATTCTGCACGTTCGAGAATATGTGTGCGTACCCAAGGGTGTTCTATCTAGGTGGTGAGGAGGGTCAGTCTTAGGGTTACATGGTGACGCGGTTCATGGTTTCAACCCATTGTCCATAGATTGTCGCGATAGACAGTAGCACTCTGCAAACTTCTTTTCACTTGAGGGAAACACAATTCTGGCTCTACGAATACTACCCACGGTGGAAACTTGTCTACCACGTGGCAAGTGGCAATTTCAGACAATACGGTTCAAGGTTGACTGATATACCAGGAATTGCTGTGGGCCGCTTCGTACGTTACAAGTATTTGCCCGATTGATGAGCTCCTCATCCCGATCCTGGATGCCCTTTCTCAAGCTGCTGACCTAGGTCGCCAGGAAATGCTCTCGGCGCGATCGGTTACAGATAAGACTGTCGGCAATAGATAAACGAGCGTTCAAGGCTCCACATATAAAGGCCCACTTTGAATTTTTAGATGAGGCCTGGATTGAAGAACCAGCGATTCGGATTGACCACGCTGTCGAGCTCAACACCAGGATTGGCTACTCGTATACAAATCTCGGGAGAAAGGGAGTTCAACAACTTTTTCAGGTTGGCAACTGTCGTCGTGAAGCACGAACAGCATACAGAATCTAGGAATATAAAGAGCGTTACAATGCCGTTTTGGAGGATGTCGAGAAAGAAGCAGTTTTATAGTCCATCTTCTTCTCCTCTGCTACCTCAGCCTTACAAGGTCAATTGTTGCACCAAACCTCCATGATGGGCCCGATTGAAGTCAAAACCCAGGTGGCGGAAGCACCTCCAACCATCCAGGAGGAATGGCTACCCGATGCCCAAGATGGAAATACTCAGGAGCACAATCTCAGCCTCAGGGATGCCATCAAGTTATATCCCAAGTCGATTTTCTGGAGCATGGTCATGTCAGCGGCCATTTTCATGGAAGGATACGACACCATGCTAATGGGGAACTTGTTCGGTCAAACCACCTTTCAGAGACACTACGGGCAACATGTCAAGGCCAACAAATACGAGATTCCCGCCAAATGGCAGGCCGGGCTGAGCAACGGTTCCGCATGTGGCCAGATGATCGGTCTTCTACTTGCCGGGTGGGTGAGTGAGCGATTCGGTTTCCGCAAGACAATGCTTGCGGGTCTGAGCATTATCACCGCTTTGATCTTCATCCAGTTTTTTGCTCCTAGCCTGGAGGTCCTCGAAGTTGGTCAGGTTCTCTTTGGTAAGTTCGAGAATGGAGCAACTCATCAGGATGACGAGATGGGCTGCTGAACTAAATGTCTAGGAATTCCCATGGGTCTGTTCCAAACTCTGCCCATCGTCTACGCCATGGAAATCTCGCCTGCTCGTCTGCAGCCGTACCTGACTGTCTGGGTCAACTCCTGCTGGGTACGTCGTTTCCCTGAGATCTCTCCAAAGGGCATAGCATAGGTCGAAGCTAACAATGTACAAGGCCATTGGACATCTCATCGGAGCCGGGATTCTTCGCGGAGTTCTGAGCATCGAAAACGAGTGGTCGTACAAGATCCCGTTTGCCATTCAGTAAGCTTCTCCTTCCTTTCCTGCCGTAGTTCCAATGTCTGATGCTCTAGCAGATGGTTTTGGCCCGTTCTCCTCATCCCAATCCTCAGTTTCGCTCCTGAATCGCCTTGGTGGCTCGTTCGACAGGGCCGACTGGAAGAAGCGAAGGTGGTGCTGAGGGGTCTCCGAACCGACGAACGAGGGGGTCTTGACATTGACAAGAACGTGGCTTTGATGGTGGTCACCATTGAGTACGAACGAAGGGTCAATACCGAAACCTCCTACCTGGCTTGCTTCAAGGGCATCGATCTACAGAGGACTTTGGTCCCGATCGGTATCTACTGCATCCAAACTCTTAGCGGCAATCCGCTCCGCTCTTACTCGACGTATTTCTTGGAGCAGGCCGGCCTCCCAACCACCCAGGCATTCAACATGACAATTGTCAACTATTCGTTGGCCCTTGTCGGTGGATTCGCCGCGGTATGTATACTCTCTGAACCCGAACCCGATTCCGCCCTGATCTTTCATATCTGATGGGTGTGTGTCCTAGTGGGCTCTCCTGCCTATCTTCGGCCGCCGAGTCATCTACGTCTGGAGTCTCGTCGCGATGCTGTTCCTCATGATCATCATTGGTGCTCTAGGCATTCCTCAGGCTCACTCGTCCAACACCTCTTACTCGTGGGCCATTGGCGCTATTCTCATCATTACGTCCTTCCTGTATAACGCCACTATGGGTCCCCTCACCAACACCATATGCGCCGAAATTCCGTCAGCACTCCTGCGCAGCAAAGTGGTTGTCCTCGCCCGATTTTGCTATACTATCTCGAGTATCATCGCCGGCGTGCTCACGCCGTATCAGTTGAACACAAGTGCCTGGAACTGGGGCGCTAAAACCGGGTTCTTCTGGGCAGGAGGTTGCCTGATCTCGGTCATCTTTGCATACTTTTGGGTTCCGGAATCCAAGGACCGGACCACCGCCGACATGGACATTCTCTATGGTCGGAAACTGGCTGCTCGCCACTTTTCCAGGGCTGAGGTCAACTTGGTAGAGGCGGTCGTCGAAAAACAGTGAAGAGACGAAAGCTTGTTGGCTATTACTGGTAATTTCGATTTCGACTCTGGCTTGACAAGGCTCTTGGGATGATCTAATTGGAGGAATAGGAATCGGCCAGAGAAAGTGATGGAAATGGCGCCGATTTGTTTCTCTTACTTTACGCAGGGGAATTTAGCTGTCATGTGCCAAAAATGGAGAAACACTGTCCCATCGACATGGTTAAAACCCCAGAATGGTTTGGAAGAAAACATGCAGGAAAACATTTTGGGTAGCCTTGTGTCGGTCGTGTACACAGCCTCACCACCAGACTTGACATACGTGTATATGTCGATTTGAGGCTTAGTGTACGCGTACACTAAAAATGTGGCTCCACCCGGCCATCAAATCCAGGATGTCAATTTCCGGTTCTCCGATCTATGCTGCGACATGAGTGAGATTGACCAGCTGCCACCGACCGCACCACATCAGACGTTGTCAAATGGAGGCAATCAAACCTTCCTGAAGAGTGGTCTTTGGAAATCTCAACCATTCTTGCCAATCAGGGCCCAGTCTTTGACCAATCGTATCAATCAGGAATTGACCACCGTCGCCAATCAGCCACTTGTCTCGACCACGATGCAAGATCACACCGTAGTGGGCGAGAATGACCAGGGCTTCTGCGTGCCCGTGGCGCAGCAGATCTATGTAGTCGGGGGAGACAAGCACCGGCCATGAGAAGACAATAGACAGTCGAGTTTGGTTTCCTGGAAACGCACGCTGGGCGTCGAAAACACGTTGGAGGTGCATGATTGACTCTCGATATGCCTTTAGAGAGGCCGGGGTCAAATGTGCAGCATCGATCAAGTCTTGAAGGATGTCACATTCCGATCCGGTTGCACCTTGTGGCTGCATCAGCTCTTGCGAGAATTTTAGATGAGCTGCCAATTCGGTCTCGCCCAGTAGATGCCAACATTGGTCGACTATGGCCAAAACACCACGGTGAATGTTGAGACAATGGGTGTATTTGTCGACAAACCATTCGAGGCTATCTCTCTCATACCGGAGTGTGTCGCACAGTACGTGGACCCCGACCAAGGACGAGAATAGGAACAAGTGAATGCAGTTGGACTGAGTCGCTTCCAGGACCGGGTGACTTTCCTTGAAGAGTGCTAGGGCGCGGTTTTGCAGGCCGGTTGCGTATTCACGATAAAAGTTACGTGACTCGACTTGCAGGGTGCTCAAGTGTAAGGCTGAGGCTGCAAGTACTTGGTGCATCAAATAGGGTGACGTGAGAGCGTGTTTGATGTACATGCTCGCTGGTAGAGCCGCCTCCCCTGACTCCTCCAAAGACAGAAACCCGTCGCTGGAAAGATTGTTGAAAAGCTGGAGATGGGTCAAGTTGAGGTTGTAAGGGTCGGGTGGTGCTTGTGTGCTGGTAGCATCTTCGGGCCCGCGCCCGGGGACTGGTGTTAAGACTGTGGTTGAGATAGGGCTCCTCGAGGCTGCCGGATGAGCGGGACCATTCCTAAGAGAGAAAGGAGTTTCGCGATCGAGAAAGGAACACCGGATCTCCGCTGTGCCACAGTTGATGCATGTTGGATGAGTTTCGTCACACTCCAAAGCCTGGTCAGTAGACAATTTGAAGGCTTTGCGAGAAACGCAGACCTACCCTGATATGCCGCCGTTTGCATTCGAGACATCCGGTTTTGGACTTTCTGTGATGTCGACGAGACATTGGTCGATGTACTGTACAATGCTCTCCCTGTCATCTTACTTTCGTGGAAGAGCAAAGGTTGCCTAGGTAGAGAAGTGGCGGATTTTGGCTCAGTCACGTGAGCTTGGGGTTAGGGTTAGGGTTAGGGTTAGGGTTACCCGGGCGGAGATTTCTATCAAGCGAGAGGCTGTACCTCTGCAAGTACCTACAGCTTTGCTATTATCATCGTCCTATATAACCGCCGTCAATGAGCGACACTTGTTGACGAATGCTTGGTTAGGTTACAAGTAAAGAGTGTGAATGTTCCGGGCGGTCCACAGCCGCATGGGGAACGTCCGAAAAGACCTGATTTCAAAATTTGCACCTTATTGCTGGTGTCTTGCTATGCGGGCATACGCCCGCCATAACAGTGAGGCTAACTTTTGCCCGTGGTTCCGTCAAGCACGCCTTTCCTGGAGCCTCCTTAGCCCTTTCTGGACCACCTTCACAGGCTTTGAAGCATTCTGATCCGATCAATCTCTTGCTCGCCTGGCTTGCTCACCACCGCAATTGCAGAGTTGACAGGTACATTGGTGTCTTCGAACGGTTCCTGGGGCACAAACGCGATTCTCGTCTGCGGACCAAAGATGAGACAATGGGTGCTGCCCCCGAAATGAAACGTTCCGATTTCACTTCCTTTCTTGATGGACTGGCCCTCCTTGACGAAGACCTCGCAGCTACTGACTTCGGCCATTCCAACGGCCAGGAACGCCATGAGCCCAATAGCCGGTTCATCTGCACGAATGAAGACCACAACCCGCGTGGCAACTTCACAGATATATCCTTGTGAGTTGTTTGGTGCAGCTGGGTCGGGGCCAACCTTGATATTGGGATTGGCGAACCCTTCCCAATAGTTCTCCGCATAGTATGTGCCTGGCAGATGTACAATCTTCTCGACTGTGCCTGAGACCGGCGCGTGCCAGCGATGGTAACTCAAGGCGGACAAGAAGGCTTGGTATATTGTGCCATTGACGAATTGATCGCTGAGCGGGTCTCCGCCCAGCATGTCTTTGAGGCTGTATGGTTGCTCCTTGATCCAGAACTTGTCCAAGGCCTTGACGTTGTGGGAAATGCGGTATGGGGTTGATTCACATGCATTGGCAATGACGGTCGCAACCTCTGGGAGGCAGATCCGCCGGATCCCCGGATTGAATCTTCTTGTGAAGAAGTCGTCCCAAGATTGGTAGCCATGGGCAGGCTTAGTCGGATCACACACGAAAGCCTGGTCGAATGTGACAGGGTTCTTGGGGTCGGCCTCACTGGCGACCTGGGCCATGACATCTAGAGCTTTAGGGCTGAACCAGCCATCTGGGTCACTGCTGAGCACTGACACCGAATCCGGCGAGGCAAGGTAATGGCCCCAGGCCTCCAGTACATTCCGGAACTGCGCGTTGACATCCTGGCGAAGGAAAGCGGCGTATCCGGCCGCAGTTCCCATTGGCCAGTCCTACATGGCAGAGGTCAGTTCCAGCTTGTGCCAGCCAAGACAGCCACCCTCTTTCTTAGGCAAATCAGTTGAACCGGAACCCCTTACCAAGACGGCGTTGATTGGAAATCCAATCAGACCTTTCTGGCCGGCCGTGTTGTATATCCAATGCGGCCCCATGGTCATCAGGTAGTTCAGGACCTCCAGCATTTTGTCATAGCTGCGAATTTCAGGCTGGCCTGTTGGGTCTTCATTGTACGGCGGGGTAGCTGGGACCTGTTCAAACATGAGGGTGAAAAGCTGCCGCACTGTTGGGTCGCCCTCGATGAAATCCTTGAACTGTTGCAGCGTGCAATTGAGAGGCTGCGGGTTCTCCTCGACCTTCTGCACAAGCTGTCTTGTCCATTTGATCAGATGCTCGTGCTCTGCCGGGAGCCAGCCTCCCAGACGGTGGCGCAGGAATGGGGCCTGATGAGATTTGATCGACATAGTAAAGAACAGGACGACGGGCTGACTTGAGGTGAAAAACTCACTACTCACTACTTCCCCTTGGTGGACAGAGGAAAGATGGTCCGGCCGTTCTTCGTGGCCGGTTCCTTCACATCTTTATACCCGATGTTCAGGTGTAGGACTGAGGCCCTCACCGTCCTCAGCTCGACCATTCCAGCCGGACCCCGCTCTGGTGTAACCACAACTGCTCCATCACGACCACTTCGACTACAGGGTGCTGTCACTGGGTCTTACAGTGCTCAGTACAGAAACCAAAGATGGATGGGGGGGACAGATCAGAATCCTGCCTCCTCTGCCGGCTGAGGTTGGGGCAGCGCCCCCCGTAAGAAGTAGCTGGCTAGATTGGCCAACATGCTACACGACATGGATCTGCCCAGCAAGATTGAACGAGCTTCAGCTGAAAACCTGTTTCATGGCGCGCGTTCAAAGTGGGAGTGATGGTCATCTGACATTGCACGACAGGTATCACAGGTCATGCGGGAGCCGTCGCACCGAAGCCTGTGCGAGGAAGGTCAAAGACTGCACTTGAGTGCTGGAGTGCTCACTGACCACGTCGTCCCCTATCGTGTGCGATTATCATACTGACTGCAGTGGAAATGCGGCCGCGATAGGTGGACCACGGTCCCCTCTCTCAAACAAGGCTAGAGCCCCTTACCTTTCGAGCAGCACCTGGGATGGTATTAAACAGCGACCCTTCAATATGCTGGTCGAGATATGCATCTCAAATCAAGCCAAGGTTAGCTGGACTATTTGCTGTTAGGTGCACGACCAACTGGGAGAACAATCCCACCGCCGTCCACAAGAATCCCCAACCGCCAGACTGGACGGCTTAACAAGCGGTTACACAGATGGTTCCATTGGCATTTCAATGCATTTCGGTGGCTGCTGATGTTGCAAACCTCACATAACAGTGGTCGATCTCGAAAATGCCTCAGCTATCATGCTCTAGGCTAGCCGAAGGGTTTATTGCTTGATGATATATTGTGCCAATCATTAACCGCTCCTTGCTCTCTGTCTGGGGTTTAACACGGGATCCCCTCGTCCAGACTACAATATTTGAAGGACATTAGTCTGAGCAGTGTGTTGGACAGACAACTTCCCTCTGCTTGGACCGGCATGGCCGAACGGACCAACACTGATGTCCCCTTCCAGGGAAAGTTGGAATTATGGTTGATCATCTCCCAAGAGTGCAATCGTCAAGGACTGTCCCCTTCGAGCTCGGTCCTACTGCCATGTAGCGTAGCAGTTCTCTGTCAAGATCCTCAGTCTGACACTCGACCTCACCGCCGTGGTTGATACAGATCCGCTGCGACCAATTGACCACAGAGATTGGGCATGATTTCATTCCGAACGATCACCACCGTGATGGGGCCACGGGACCCATTGATGGAGTACGGCCGGGGCCTCTTCTGGCCACCTCGACAGCCACGGAACAACTGATGGAGACGCGATTGGGCATGCAGCCTTTGGCTCGTCCAATTGACTGTCCAGACTCCTACCCGAGGATCGGAAAAAGCGGCGACTGGGTTTCTAAATTCGTCGAGCAGTTGGGGAAGATGTGAAAATCAACAGCGTTTCAAGCCCAATCATGGTGGAACAGATGTTAATCCACCTTATCAACGACACTTGGCTCTATATATGATGGTCTCGAGCTCGTTGCATACTTTGCCACGGAGTCAATATTGAGACGACGTAAGATCCCCTAGCATTTTCGCCGCGACAAGCAACGAGCAGGATCCCGGGGAACAAGATCCTATTTGATGCACCCCCCGGGGTAGAGGCTGGGACGGCTCCAGTTATCTTGAGGGCGTAGTATCAACCCCCAACCGATCGGAAAGCCGATTTCTTCCTTTGCACATAGAGATTTTCATTCAAGACCGACGTATCTACGCAACTTGGGAGACTTCTTGATCCAGGGGTGAAGAGCTGAGTTGCACTGGCCTATTGCAGAGTGATGATATCAGTGTCTGCTTCCAGCAATCGTTGCCACACTGGTCGTTTCCGGCGAATACAGAATCCAGTACTTCACAGGCACGAGGTGACCGAATGACACTGCCACCTCAAATGTCGATGACGATGGCCACTGCGGCTCTTTGGAAGCGACATGCCAGCCATATCCGAAGACATCGACACGGTCACGTCGTTCATGTGCCCAATGGGACTGGGGCGCATGCTGGATTGTCAGCCGGCGATGCGCCTCGAGTCCAGGCTAAGAGGCCGCCTAAGCCTAGGCCAGTCTGCCTCGACATGTGCAGATCCAGGCCGGAGGCGAACCCGGAGTCCCTGCAACGCGCATAGCCTGAAACATCTCGCACAGCCACTTGATCTTGCAAGACGCCATGTATCGCGGGACCAGCTCAGGGCGGATTTGGACGAGCGAGGGCGGCAATCGGATCGCTGGACCTATGCAGAGGCTGTCGCAGCGGTACTATTCTTCATTCGGAGAACATTCAATCTCCTTGAAGCCTGCTCAGAGCTTACAGTACGGAGTACACGGCTACACCGCCGGGGTTGATTTGGATAGACAGAGCAAACCGCTGCGAGCTCTCTTGCAGCACAGTCTACAGGCATCTCGCTTGATGAGATCGTGTCCTGCTCAAGTAGTTCCGGCCGCCATGCACCAACCGCTCGTCCTCATGGATGGTGCCCGGTTCCTGGTTCCTCATGGTGCATCCGGATCGAAACAACAAAACACTTGGGCAGCCATCAGATCGTGCAGACCCAATGGGGGGTGGCTGCACAGGACATGGTTTGACTTTGCAACTTCCATCTTGCAATTGTGAATTTGGATATAAGCCCCGCCACCCCGTCCAACCGAAGGGACAGCTGCAACAGCACTGCATCTGAATCGCGGTGGAAGTCAACTAGGGGCGATAGGAACGCTGACACCGACACCGTCACCAACACCTTGTAGCACCTACTATGTTCCTGCGCATCTTTTTCCCATCTCCGGCTACTATCCTCGCTCTAGCCATCTGCCTTTTCCCGTATCCGTACCAGAATACTCATTCCTCCTCTTCGCGTGCCGAATTCGAGTCACCATGGAACACCAGCTGAGAGACCTGCCATTTCAACTGAGTCAGCGACGACGCCTCGACCCCGAGAGCGAGAGCGACGGCCTTGTCCATCGGCTCTGCACGCAAATCCTCTCATGGCTGGTGGTGGGCGTTGCCTTGGTTGTGATCTTTTCCAGGTTGACGAAAGCTATCCTACAACTGGTTGTCCACCTGTTCATTGCTGCGATCTATGGCTTGTCCGCTCGCATTCACGGTCCTAGTCTACCACACCAGGCCTCCTCTCTTCTGAGTGCGAGCCATCTTCTGTATGAAACAGCCCTCGCCGAGACCAGCATTGACATTGACCGCGGCCCCGACAAGCATCCTCCGAAGGGGTTGTCAAGCCAGCAATGGCACTTACTCGCTTTCTTATTTCATAGAGTCTCGGAGTTCCATATCCCGCGCAAGCCGAGGGGCATTGATAGATGTACGTGGTCGTTTGGAGGGAATGGCGACAAGGCTCCCGACATTCAAGCGCCGTCGAGGTTACGACACCGATCCGAACCGGAGTTTGCTTCCAGCCATGATTCTTGCAGCCGGCAGACAAGCGGGATTGTTGGAGCCGCATCGGGCGGCGGCAGTGGTGGTGTCGAAGCTTGCTACGACTTATCCGGATACCCGTCCGGATCCTGTTCTTCGTCTCATCCTCCTGTGCAGCTACTCACCCCGCAGGCGGCGCCACCGACCAGGGGGCCGCGAGGACTTATAGGGACGGTCTTAGCCCCGGCGCCTGCAGCCACAGCCCAGACACCTGCGAGCCTCAAATCTCTGGGTGCGGTGCTTCAGCCTAGCCTGGGGCTCTGGTACAGGCGGCCTTCAGCAGCCTCAGCATCTCTGTGCGCGCGACCTTCCATATCCCGAAATAACTACATTGGATGTCCTGCGCCGTCGAGGAAGACCTCCGAGCCTCACAAGCCCGAGCCAGACCGAATCGACCACGGTCTGATCACAGACACCACCGGTGGCAGCCGCTCTAGCCCTGCCTCCAGACTTACGGAATGCCCAGCAGGTGAAAATGGCCAGCGCAACCGGGGAGCCGCACCATCCTCTGGGAGGGCTGCCTTCGGCGCTTCCATCTCCCTGGCCGGTCCGGCCGGCAGCAAACGGCTGCTTCCTCAGGAAGAGGACGTTCACGGCGGCTCTGACGATCAGCAAGAATCCGACTCCAACCTCGAATCAGCGGCCACCGAGCCTAGGAGCAAGAAAAGCCGCGTCGCCGAATTTCGCTGTCCCAAATGGGCCGCCAACCCAAATGCGTGCCACGGATCTAAATGCGCAGACTGGCACAACTCCAAGATTGCTGCGGTGACGCGTCATGTTCTTCTGACCGATGCTCGCAATGAACCGGACACGACGGCACAGATCAAAAAATTGAGCCATTCCAAGCTCAGCAAGGTGGACAGATGGCAAAAATACTATATCATCTTTGGAGGCCAGGACCCGGAGCAGATGTGGCAGCCATATTGGATGCAGGAGGATACCGCGGATCCCGTCAACCAGGCTCTGCTCGGTCTCTTGGCTGCGCAGGTCCCGCACGACGCGGGCGTGACATTAGAGTTCCTGCACAAGTTCACCCGGTTAGATGGCGAGAGGAAGAAACGGGACGGATGGATTGCGACCCATCACGAGGCCAGAAAGACCGCTCTTCTGAGACAGCTTGAAGAGGAACGTCGGGCAGCCGAGGGCGAGTCACAGGCTCAATTCGAGGAAGAGGTTCAATCGTTGTTGCATGAGTTCAAGTCGTCGGGAAATGGAAATGGAAACGGAAACAATCGACCGTCGCTTGAGGAGCCCCAGCGATCTGAAGCGATGCCCGCTCCTCGGCACGCGGATGCTGTCCCTCTGCATCTCCAGGCAGGCCACTCGGCCGGCTTAGGCCTCAGCAGCACCGGCATCCTCACCGCCGACCGTACAGTGCAGGATGAGACGGTGGGCATTGGCACCACTTTCGACAATGGCCATCCGGACTGGGACTCTGTGCCCGACCCTCACGATCCCACGGTCGCATCATCTGAGCCATTTGGAGGTGGAGGGCCCGGCCAAGGGCAGCATGCATTACGCACGCAGGTGGTGGTCACTCAGGTGGTGGAGGATGCCGAGCGCCTTCGCCTTTTCGGTGCCGACGCTTCTCAAGAGAGCGAAACTCGATCTCAGCCGCATGTGGAACACCATCAGCCTCCCAGTCTCCCAGTCCCTTGGGACACGGGGCTCCGACATGTCTCTTACCCGGCTCTCAACAGCGATTCGGGATATGGATCGCAGGGGGAGCTCTGCCAGTGTTCCCTGCACACCGAGAGACTGTGGTGCATGAAATGCCACCAGCAGGGGTACGGCAGCTGCCAATGTTCTCACAGTGCCCGGATTCCCGTCTGCCGCAACTGCTCCAGAAAGGCCAAGTGCTGGTGCTTGCAATGTGCCGGGTGGGACTAAGGTGCCGATACAGCGTGAGGATGAATGCACCGACGAACGACCCGCCGTTTTGTCGCCATGGACAGAGAGAGATACGGTCGGCCCTGGTCGAGGTCAAGCGTCCTGTTGAGAAGAGCCGCTGTTTTCCGCCAAAGAGACTGTTTCTGGATCGATGACGGTGGCGCTGGTGGCGCTGGTGGCGCTGGTTGCCGTGATGTGGTTCTTCTTGTCATTTCCATTCCCAGCTGCGGATCCTGTAGGCTTATATTAGGTCCTATTCTACAACTTGACGAACGGTGAGAAGGGCCCTTAGGCTTTACGAATAGTCACAGTCAGCATGGCTTGCGCCCAGGCCGGTGACGGTGACTGCACTAATACTCAGTACGAGTAGTGGCACAATGCACAATGCACAATGACGCTGCTGCTTGGTTGCTCACCGGTTTAATCTGGCCACGGCCACCGGATGATCGGTATTTTCCTGTTTGTTTGCCTTTCAGCCTCAGGGACCCCTGGATGCGCACCCCTACCGAGAGCCTTGGCCGAGTCTAATCCAGTCTGCGGGCTATGGGGGGCCTGAGCCTTAGCCTGAGTCTAGTATTAACGAGCTGGACACTGGACAGTGGACACTGTCATGGAAGATGGAAAACGGCGCACTGCATACACTAGTCCGGCATGGCCCCTTGGCCCCTGAGCGTCCACTTTGGAAATGGTCCATGTCCCTGACCAATCGTGGGTTCTCTGGTACCGCCCTGCTTCACCCCAGCTTCAGCTGAGCAAAAACAACTTCAACTTTGCAGGCCGCCCGCCGAAGGCCTCCTGGGTCCCTAAGCCAGCCCATTGGCGCCAGCCTTGCTTCCAGGCTTAGAGGCGGATGGGACGAGCCTTAGGCCCGGCCCCAGCCCCAACGATTGCAAGAAGAAGCATCATCCTCCCCCGGACATTTCGTGATGTGTCCCACAGTGGACTTTGTATGCTGTTGTTCTGATTCACCAAGGGCCATCTATATCCTATATCGTGGTGAGTTGAGTTATAATCCCATCCGACTCGAGCCATATACTATGTATGATTCGTGATTCCAATGGCTGGCAGATGGTGCCGCAGCTGTACGAATACAGATTCTGTACCTGATGTACTCCGTACCGACCAGGGAGTGTGCTGGCCCCCATGCTAGGGCATGCAGGCAGGACAAGTTTCATCAATGTCATTTTCAGCCGCATTCCCATCTCCTCGCCGCCCCTCTCCCTCCTTCTTTGCTTCTCTTTCCCCTTCTCGTTCGCGTCCCTTTGGTCTTTTCGCCGCCGACTCGGCCGTGTCTGAAAGATGCAATTCGTCAACGCATTTTCCAATCTACAGCTGGACATTGTTGGAATTGTCGCCGTTCTCGGCGAAGGGAGCACCGCGCGCAACGCCCAGGCCTCAGCCTTGTCATGGCACCACATTCTGCCACGGCTGCTGCCGGCGCCTCAAGCGCTACTCAAGCACGAACAGGAGAAACGGCTGCCGACGCAAAAAGGCACCGTGGTCGGCGCATACTCGGGCAACATCCGGTTCGAGCTCAACTTCTTCTCGCAGCTCCTGCACCCGGACAAACTCCGTAAGTTCGAGGTGGAGCTTGTGAGGGTGGAAAAGAAGAAGCCGAAGCCGAAGCCGAAGAACAAACCGAAGAAGAAGAAGACAGACTCAGACGTGGACTCGAACTCCCACTCGGACTCGGACTCTCGAGACAGCGACAGCGCCAGCGCCAGCGACATGCCGGCGTACGACGTGAAAAAGTTCGGATATCTCGCGGCGCTCTCGGTTCTGGGCTGTCTGATGTCGATCGTGCTGTTCGGGCTCTCGATCCACTACGACGACGGATTCGCGCTGGTGGCGACGGTGTTGCTGTCCTTCACCTCGACCACGGTCGGGTTCGCGTCGTGGTGGAAACTGGACTTTGAAGAAGAGAAGCCCAAGCCCGGGCGCGAGGTGCCCGACGGCGACCTGGTCATCTACTACCCGCGCCAGGGCGCCTTCCGCGTGGTGCGGTGTGACGAGATCGTGTCCCGACTGTACTTCAAGGCCGAGCTGTGCGAGACCTTGCTGGACGACGACTGGTACCGCATCGTCGCCCTGGCCTCGGCCGTTTTCCTGCTGGCCGGCTTGCTGTGTCTGGGGAACTCGCAGCCCATCATGCAGATGGCCTTTGCCGCCAGTTACATCCTGCTCAATGTTCTGCACTGGGCCTCGTCCGCGCTCAATCCGCTGACCCATCACTGGGAACATAATTACGATCTGGAGCTGTTGAAAGTGAAGCCTCCTATTCAAGTCGACCCGAAGCGACAGCCCCAGCCACCAACATCACTACTACAATCACCACCACAACCTCTTCCACTACCATTATCCCCATCTACCGATGGAACAGGCCCTCCATTCCACACGTTCACAACTACTCCTACGAACAATCCCGTCGGAGTCATGTTCGCCAGCCCTGTGGCCAGCCCCACAGCCAGCCCCCGACCGTCGACCGAGCCCGGTTCGGCTGGCGCGGCCAACGACAACGAGACCTCCAACGACAACTCCAACGACGCCGCAGTCGACACGCTGCGAAAGCGCGCCGAAGTCAGATTCCAGCTCAATCCGCCGGCGCTCCAGCAGAAGGGTGCAACAAACCTAGACGCGGACGCAGACGTCGAAGCCCGCCGGCCATCCGGGGCCAAACCATCGCGACGGTTGTCGACGGCCAGCATGGCGCGGTCAGCATTCAACCTCGGCCTCGGGCGCAAAGGCACCAGCAGTTCGCAGGTGTCGGTGCGGCCGGAGATGCCGAAAGAAGTGGCCAACTACACGGCGGCGCTGTGGACGGCGATCGCGCTGACGGGCAGCGTGCGGTGGCTGAACAAGACCAACATCGTGCCCGACAACGCCGTGTGGGACGAATGGGTCGACGAGGCCGGCCGCCGCGCCGCCCCGAAATGGAGACTGAACCAGCCCCACCACCAGCGCGGCGACAGTCCCGTTCCTACCTGGTACCTCGACTCCGACGGCTGCGTCAACCTGCCCCTGTGGGACTATCAGGGCAGATTAGGCCAGCTGTTCAAGGACGCCGACGCCAAGTTGAAGAACAGGCCGGAACTGCCGCGTGCCGTGCAGCACTGGCTCGGCCTGGACAGGCTGTCGGATAATGTCAAGTTGAAGTTGCGCACGCAGTTGCAGAATGCGAGGCAGAGGTTGGCGAATAGGAGTTCTGAGTGAGAGGGATGGATCCTGGAGTACATGCTTAGATCTCGTACACTTTCATACACCTAATATATTTTGGATCATAAACCTCCATACACCTAGATCATAGATCTCAAATCTTAGAGCATACGCCCCAGATCATACACCTCATAGTTGTCAACTTAGGCATTCCCAGCCTTGCCTCTTAACCAGAAGGCTTGTTTAGACATACTATATATACACTATATAGTCTGCGCTCCCCCTGCGACCCTTTGGTAGAGAACAAGGGCACACTTCAACCTTTTAACAATAATACACCTTAGATCATAGTACCGGTACGCTTATATCTTAGATCAGATCATACACCTCACGCTTAGATCTGAGATCTTCGAGCATACACAGACCATACACCTCACGCTTAGATCTGAGATCTCGATCTTCGAGCATACCAAGATCACACGTCCCAGCGTGTCCGTTTCCACAGGCGTTGGACAGGTTGCAGAACCAGACTCGCAGGAGGTGAGGTTCGGGGTGAATCTACTCGTATCGGTCTATCGCCAGGTTAGGGTTAATCAGGGTTAGGGTTACTTGATTTACAGTGGTTCACGTGATTTGTCTTTCCAATGACTCGTCGAGTCACGTGCTGGCCGAAACCGGAACCTTGTCCGAGGCCGCTTTCCGGGTGTGAGTGTGTGTGAGTACCAATGTGAGTGTGTGAGTGTGCTTTCTGAGGAGGCCCAACTTCTATTGTGTATTTAACCGTCTTCCACAATCTAAGATCTCGCCACAGCTACCTTAGGTAGGTACCTATATCCTTCTTGCAGCCCGTGTGGTATCCCTCTTGCATCCCCTGTATCCAGTCTTCTCCAAACCTATCTAGGCAGTCATGCCCCAACTGCCAACAACGACTTCACTGTATCCACGATACTTTCCTTCAGAGATCTATATTCGATTCCCAAGATCTCCTTGCTTCGAGAGTTGTCATATCCATACACATCTTTAGGCGTCTCGTCCTCAATGGTTGCAGGAAGTTTATCCGCCAGTTGCGGGAAGTTGTCTTTGATGATCTGAGCAATAGCACCATTGGAGAAATAACCCGCCGTGACGAAGAATCTCTTTCCTCCAGCTGCTGGTGTTTCTATCGCTTTGACATGTGCAAGCGCGAGGTCGCGGACATCAACAAACAAGTAGAGGCCGGATGGTGGGATGCCGTCTTTGTTCTTGCCCTGAATCAGATCGCGAATGCGGGCATTCGACGTGTTGATCGCATCCAGCGAGTTGAAGTAATGCACCACAGGCCCCAAGACCAGAGGCGGGTTGATTGTCACCACGTCGAAATTGGGCTTCTCCTTCTCGACAAAGTCCCATGCGGCTTTCTCGGCAAACGTTTTGCTTCCTCGGTAGCCATCTCCGGGACTTCGGAGAGCTTCCTCCCAGGTGATGGGATTCCAGTTGGCCTCGGAGTACACCTTGGCAGGCTTGTCGGGGTTCATGATGGCGGCAAAGGACGAGGTAATGACAATCCTCTTGACTGTGGGAGCCGACTTCTTAACTGCCTTCAAGATGCCAGTGGTGCCGACAATGGCGGGATCGAGCAAGTCCTTCTTTACGTCGGTCACATTGAAGTGAAATGGGGAGGCGGTGTGGAGAACGGCCTCGAAAGGAGGGTCGGACTTGACGGCCTCATCAAAGGCCGTCTCCTGAGCAATGTCCTTGACAATGACATAGCTGAGTTTACTTGAAGGAGTGCCCGGATGGTTGCTCAGGATCTTTTGGCCTTTCTCGTCGGACCGGACAGTAAAGACGACGTCGTGGCCGCGCTTGAGGAGCTCGTCGACGGCATGAGCGGCGATGAAGCCTGAGCCTCCTGTGAGTAGAACCTTGACCATGGTTGCTGTGTACGATAAGATGATAATGCTGATCAATCAAACACTGGTTAGCAACAGGCTGTGGTCGGACGTTGGGGAAGGATGCTTTGGGGGGTTTTCAGGAATGGCATCAGTTCCTTTTATACTGGCACGATGATGAGCCGGAGAGAGACCCGTATCTCCCCCCCACCATACAGTACCCGCGCAGAGCTTTCTAGATTGATTGGAGATATTGCGTCTTCACGTCACTGGTCACTGTTTTTGCGTGTGGCTTGACACTTGGATGACCATTCGTGGACACCTTTGCCATTGACCGGGGATTGATTCCCGGCTCGTTCTGCTCTGTAATTCCGTTTAAACCCATTATAGCCGAGCCTCTCTTCCATTATCACCACGCGTTTAGTCAGGGTGCGGTTGGGCCTGAATCCGCGCTTGGCCAGGTATGGGGGTAGTAGGCTTGCTGTCTTGGGGATGGCGACGATTGTATTGCAGCTAATTGCTGTAGTATTTGTCAGGATGCATAACCAAGAGTAGTCCGTATTTACTGGTAGTGAGACAAGATGGCGCTGATAGTGCAGAGTGACGGGGTGTTGGGGTGTTGGGTGTTGTGTCATTTTGGTGAGGGGTTGAGGTGCCACTTCAGCCACTGAAGATTTATGTAAGCCCACCAGCCACTTTGCGCCACTTACAGACGCCACAGCCACACCATCCACCTGCGTCTGATGAGGCTGCAGTCTTTGTCCTGGACATCGCACCGTCACCCTTCCCGTGATCTCTGAGACCAGAGTTTTTGACTATGGGCAACGACGGCGGAAGGTAAGTGGGATCCGATCCCTGCTTCCATATTCAATTCCACGTTCTGATTGCTCATTAGTATCCCGACCCGGCGCGAGTTGGTCAAAGAAGCCGCCCGAAATCCTACTGCCAGCGAACTGAAAGACAAACAAAAGGAACATCTTGCCCACCGCTGGTCAACCTGCCCAGTGTCGCAGAAGCCGCTCATCAAACCCATAGTCTCCGACTACAGTGGAGACCTCTACAACAAAGATGCCATCATCCAATTCCTGTTACCCGCCGAAGCAAGCTCGGTCGACAAAGATGAATACGAGAAATTCATTCAAGGACGCATCAAGTCTCTGAAAGATGTTGTCGAAGTCCACTTTGAGGAGGAGTACGATGAGAAGGCGAATGCTAGCAAATGGATTTGCCCCATCACGTCCAAGGAATTGGGACCAAACACGAAAGCAGTCTATCTCGTGCCATGTGGACATGCATTCTCGCAAGAAGCCATCAATGCAATGAAGAGTGACAGTAAATGCGCGCAGTGCGCAACGCCTTATGAGGAACGCGACATTGTGCCTATTCTTCCCAGCACGGAGAAGGATAAGGCTTTCGTGATTGAAAGGTTCAACACTCTCAAGTCAGTCGGCTTGACGCATTCCTTGAAGAAGGCTAGCGGGGGCAAAAAGCGCAAAGCAAATGGGGAAGTCAAGCTACAGTCTGCGAGTGGAACACAGGCAGAACCAACCGAAATCACCGTTCATCGAGAGGGCAAATCCAAGGCCAAGGCGACCACTGCATCTCAGTCTGCTACGCCACGGATGGCGGACGGGATCAAAAATGCTGCGACTGCCAGTCTAACTGCTCGAGTTCTAGAGGAGGAGGCGGCAAGGAAAAAAAGAAAACAACAAAGTGAAAACATCAGTTCCTTGTACACCAAAAAGTCCGAGGACAACGCGAGAAGAAACACCGATTTCATGACAAGAGGCTTTTCAATTCCCGCCAATGCACGACATCAGTGAGGTACAGCGGGTGCACACATCCATCTCTTGTGGCTTGAATAACGCTAGAGCGAACCCTCCTACACGCAATCCTGCTCCTGCTCATATTTCGCGGTAGACGCCGTGGATGGAATCTTGAAGAGACGGATCACGTCTCGTCACGAAAATGGGATAGGACTAGGCTATGAGTGTCCACTGAGCGCGAGTGGTTAACCCAGTGCCTCGATCTTGTTATCCAGCGCTGGAGCTTCCGCTTCTGTGGTCTATCAAACCCTGTGGTTGATTTGGGCAGGCACGCGCCTCTCGAGTCATCCCGACGTCTCGGCTGCTCTATAACAGGGCTCTTCTAAACCTGGCCAGGCCCTTGAGCTGTCGACTTAGGCCTCGTTGCCACGAACTGGGCAGGCCTCCAGCTTCCCAGTGTCCTCGGCGACGACCGGTTGCTTACCCTTGGGGATTTGGTCCTCGCATCGAATGTGAAACATATCTCGGCCATCTTCCAGTCGTGAAGGTATGGCCTGACCTCAAACTTATCCATCACACGCATGACATAGTCGGTTGTGATGCTGCGTTATACCCATCTGATAGCGGTACCAGCCGATGTGGCGTTGAAGGGCATTAGTTGGCACACCTCGTGTGCGATCATCCTCCAAATATTGACGAGGCTCCTCGTTGTGGCTATGCATAGTGAGCTCTTCCATATAAGCTGGCTACATAGGTACCCCTGGGTACTGAGTCACTGGAGCAGTCTGCTCAACTGGACCCGTATATGTGCTAGTATCAAGGGTTCAGGGGTTGAGGGGCTCAGTCTTGTTCAGCAATACAAATGAACCCATACTCCGTATCTACATGTACATGTACACTGTAAATTATACTTCAGTACGGAGTACAGGTACACCTATTGTACCTACCTAGTTGTGCTTTTCTTGTCCTTTTCCTGTCCTTTTCCTGTCCTTTTCTTGTCCTTTTCTTGTCCTTTCTTGTCCCTTTCTCGTCCTTTTTCTCACGATGACCAAATAGTACATCATCCCAGCACGATGAAATTAAATTTTATCTACTCATTAATAGCAGGAAACAGGAACACTACACCATGACCTCGTTGAACCTCCCGCTCCCTGCCAAGAGTCAGCCTTGTGCCGTATGACGACGTGGGGGCCTAACCCTAACCCTAACCCTAACTCCTTAGCCTAAGCCTGACGCCCCTAAGCCCTAAGCTCTAAGCTCCCGGCCGATCAACCTTGTAGAAATGGACATTTTCAGCGAAGTGGACAGAGCACGCCATCGACTCCCCGTTCTATTGAATGATCATGGCGCCATGCCACAATCCCTTTTAGCAAAGCGATACTACACTACCCCAAGCACCAAAGCTTTTCTTCATATTACAGCACAGTGCACACAGGTGACAGGACTCGTATGATCTGCGATGACGCTGACAGCCACATGGAATTGCTTATGCTTCTATCCAGTTTTTCCTGGTTTGGCATTACGGCAATGACGGTAAGTACAGTACCTTGGAGTCGATTACTCTACACAACGTGATGCAACGTAGCATTCATTCCATTCCTGTATTGGGATTTTCTGCCCTTAAACCCTCGAGAGTCCTTAAGGTTTCTTTGGTTCCATTCTCCTTCCCCTTCTTGTTCCCATTCCTGGTCCTCAATTTCAAAGTGCTGGTGGGTTGATTTGTTCTTTGATTGTGCACATCGACATCGCCAGCGCCAGTGAGCCCCTACAGGACCTACGACTGGCCAGTGAGCCTCTACCAAGGACCTACAACCGACCCGGGTCCATTATGCAGAAAGATGTGGAAGCTTTAGAAGCACACAAGGACCAATCGTCGTCGTCGAGCCCGACCGAGCCTGGCTTGCCCGGTTACGGTGACGGTGACGGTGATCATGGCGCAGTCGACGACGACACATATCACATCCAAGCCGACCGGCTGGCTCGCCGACTGTCAGCCCGTCAAGTGCAGATGATTGCGATCGGAGGCACCATCGGCACCGGTCTGTTCTTGGGCACGGGCAAGTCCCTGGCCACGGGCGGGCCGGCGTCGACCTTGATCGCATATGCCATTGTCGGCGCCATTGTCTTTGTCACCATGCTCTCCTTGGGCGAAATGGCCGCCTTTGTGCCCGTCGCCGGCTCCTTCTGCACCTTTGCCGGCCGCTTCGTCGACGATGCCCTGGGCTTTGCCTTGACTTGGAACTATTGGTTCAATGATGCCGTCTCGACTGCTTCCGACATCATTGCGCTGCAGCTCCTCCTGCAGTTTTGGACCGACAACTTTCCCGGCTGGGCCATCAGCTTGATTTTCCTCGTTGTCGTTATTGCGTTGAATCTTTGCCCGGTGGGGGTATATGGCGAGGTATGCTTTCTCACTCACTTACACACACACACACTCTCTCTCTCTCTGTGTGTTTGCTCTCTGCACCTCCTCTGCACCTCTCTCTGTTATTGTCGTTATTGTCGTTACTGTCTGTGTGTCTTTCTGCTCTCTACACCCTCTCTCTCTCAGTGCGCTCTGCATCTCTCTCTATTATTGCCCTTCTTGTCTATCTCTCTCTCCTCTCTGCACCCTTTATCTGTCGTTCCAATTCTAATTACTCTTCCCAGGTCGAATATTGGCTCAGTCTCCTCAAAGTGGTGACGATAGTCATCTTCATCATCATCGGAATCGTAGTCAACTGCGGCGGCAACCGAGACCACCACTACATCGGCGGCCACAACTGGTACATTGGCGACGCGCCGTTTGTCGGCGGGATCGGCGGCTTCGCGTCGGTGTTTGTGACGGCATCATTCGCGTACGGCGGCACCGAATCGATCGCTATTACTGCCGGCGAGACGAAAAACCCGTCGCGGACGCTGCCGCGCGTGGTGCGCAACGTGTTCTGGCGCATCGTGCTGTTCTACATCCTGTCCATCCTCCTGATCGGCCTGGACGTGCCGTACACGTACCCCAACCTGAGCGAGAAGAACACCAGCACCAGCCCGTTCACGATCGTCTTCACGCAAGTCGGCGCCCACGCCGCCGGCAGCTTCATCAACGCCGTGATTCTGACCAGCGTCATCTCGGCGGCCAACCACGCGCTGTTCGCCGGCTCCAGACTACTCTACACGCTCGCCGTCGACGGCTACGCGCCCAAATTCTTCGGCCATCTGAACCGCTTCCACGTGCCCTGGGTCGCCGTGCTGGCCACCTCGGCCATCAGCGGCCTGTGTTTCGGCGCCAGCTACATCGGTGCCGGCCAGCTGTGGTCGTGGCTGCAGAACCTGGTGGGTGTCTCCAACCAGCTCTCGTGGATCTGCATCGGCCTGGCCTCGCTGCGCTTCCGTGGCGCCGTCAGGGCCCAGAATCTCGAGCACTTGCTGCCCTTTAGGAACTGGACTTATCCCGTCGGCCCCGTCCTCGCCGTCGGCCTCAATATTGTCTTGGTGCTGGTCCAGGGTTGGTCGTGCTTCAGTCCGTCCTTCTCCGCCGTCGACTTTGTCTCCTACTACATCGAGATCCCTATCATGTTGGTCATGTTCGTCTTCTGGAAGCTCGTCAAGCGCACTAAATTCGTCCATCTGCATAACATGGATCTGCTTACCGACAGATACAATCTGCAGCACGACTACATCAAGCCGGAGGCTGCACCAGTCGCCGAGTCTGGCGAGGATGGTGGTCGCGGGAGTCGAAGTGGGAAATTCCGCGGTCTAGTCTCGCAGGACGAGGACGACAAGACCTGGTTGGGAAGGGCAAAGAGGTTGGGAATGTGGTTGTTCTTTTAAGAAGCCTTTTAAGAAGCACTGGGCTGGTCTACCATAAACTCCGTACATGTCGAAAGGCTCCATGTTCTCTATCAAAGTGTAAGCGTCGCAGGCGAGCGCATGCTATATAGTATAGTGTAGCATAAACCAGCCTTCTGGTTAAAAGGGCAAGGCTTGGAATGCCTAATTTTGACAGTACAGAGGACGAGGACGAGAACTCAGTCTTACACCCAAGGTAGCCTCTTTTCTGTCCCCTTTTTGGACGTAAACTCGGCGGTTTGACTCGTATATCATACCGTCTGGCCGGATCAGTCCGCCTTGTTCTTCTTTCTTGAAAATTGCCATTCTTCTTGCTCTCCAAACCCGCCGGCTGCCATCGGACTGTCTTTGTCGTCCTCTTGAACACCCCCTCCGTACGATGGGTCCTGATCCTGATCCTGATCCTGATCCTGATCCTGATCCGGCACTAAAGGCATGTAAATGTCTCCGTCTTCGCGGGCCTGCATGTCTGGCATGGAATTCAAAGGAAGGAATTCACGCCTCGCCCGCATATAAGCCAGCGTCCGCATCCACACCAGACTGTGGTCGTCGTCGTCGTCATCGCTGGACTTACAATCGATCATCTCCTCATCTGTACTCAGCAGCCTAGACTTTCTCTTCTCCAGGTATTCAGCAAAGGTAAGAAACGGGGGTGCCTGAAACTCCCGGGCATCAGCTTCAACGCCGGTAGACCAGCATCCATCCTCACTCCTTCCATGAAAAACCTCGTCTGGGTCGTAACCACATTCTTCCAGAGCCTCGGTCCACTCTCGGAGGTGGTCACCCCACCGGGCACGTTCTGACGGTGAATCTCCATCATCATTGATTGCATAGACATCAGCGCCTGCGGTGATCAGTAGCATAAGTACATCTTTCAACTCGCCATCAAATCCGGGAACGACAAGATTTTGATAGCGGCGATGTTTCCGGCCATGCTTCCAGCCAAGTCTGGTGTTATAATTCAACGCGATGTGAAGGCATGTGTTTCCCTTGTCGTCACGGGCCTGGCAATTGGCTCCTCTCGAGAGCAAAAGGGCAATTTTGCCGGGAATCTGGTAAGGGTCCGACCAATCACTAGAGTGTGCCTCTGCCAAAATCAGTATCGGACTTGTAGTGTCACCCATGATGGCGTTAGGTGTGACAAAAGGATATGCATAGTCCAGTAAGGCTCTTGCAGTGTCCTGCAGTGATGTTAACCTCATTTGTACGGCAGTCTAGGGTTTACATACCACTGATGCACGTTCGAGAAGACAGAACGCAATTGAATCAATGCCTCCAAATGTATGGGTAGGATCAGCAGCAAATTGTAACATCATTTTGACACATTGCGTATTCCTGCGTCGCGTATTGGCGGTAACTTCGAAGTGACTCCAGAGTGCCTGAGCTAGCACATTCCTATAAATAACTCAGCACGCGAATATAACTTCTCGATCAGAAGCTGCATCGAATATTGGAGCGTACATGAAATCCTCAGGATCTCCCGTATCTGGGACGAAATCCATCTCAAAAGCGTCCACATCAGCTCCGCTATCAAGCAAGAACTTTACCATGAGGTCGTTAGACCCATCCAATGCGTACTTAAAACAACGATTAGTCCTGCTTGCAATTGTGCTTTAAAGGGGGGTCACGTACACCTAGTAACGATCGACCGACTTGATCACAGTCTGTCAAAGAGCCCCGCCCAGAAATGAGGAGGCGATACATGTCGTCAACAGATCCGTAACGCGCCACCAGGAAGATAGCCTCGGTCTCGTGTCTGATGTTTCGAATCTCCAGAGTGGATGGTGGGATAGAGGACATGGTGCGACCAAGCCAATGCTGACAACGAAAGATTAGTTGCTTCTTGGAGGCCAAGTGTAATGTCGGGGTCAACAAGACTGCGGCAGAGAAGATTTCACCCTGGGTTTGGGAGTCATGGTCGAGCTTTTGCGAGTCGTTCGATCGTTTGACCTTGGCCTTGGATATAAGGTCAATCCGGGCGAACTCTGTTTGCCATGAAGCAAAGATAGTCTCCCATATCCTTGGGCTCATTACATGAGTGGATGCAACGGAAACGCTTGGTACCGATGTGGCCGGTCCCGTGGTGATGGGATCAAATACCCAATATCGCTTTCTGTTACGCATTATCGAAGTAGCAGAGGGTGATTTGAAATCATCTGTCTTCGGAATTGTTGCAGGTTTGAGGGCTCCGACGCTCGGGGGCAGCTCCTCGGTGTGGCGATTCCTATTAAGCGTACCTAGGAGCTTCTCGTCAAGAAGAGGTCCTGTTTCGTGCCGTGCTGCTGCGGAAGATGGTACATCGACTTATGACACGTCAGCTTTCAACGGCACGAAATGGATAGGCTTGTCCGGGTTGGGTCACCTTGAGTGGTTGCCATTTGGAGCTCTGGTGCAACCTGGAAAATGCTTTTAGTGCGATTGATCTCATGGAATACATAGTCTTGGGCGATTTCAGTATGACTGCTCATAACGGTGCTGTCGATTGCTGCAATTTGATCCAAGATGGTCACAAGGTTCCGAATCGATGCTTTTGCCTCGCTGGGATCAATACTGCCCTCACCATTCGTCGATATTTCCAAGAGTCTACGCAGTCCATCCAGAAAATTTTGGTCACTCAGGGGGCTTCTCTCTCTCGTCTCGAGCGCCGTCTGATGGGTACTCTTGTCTTGGAGGTGCAGGCCAGTTTCCACATCCACTCGAAGCCTTTCGATTCCGGTACCAAGTGCGCGGATATCGTCTTCGCTGGACTTGGAGATTGTATTTGCGCGATTCAAGCTGCCGAGAATGGCGTCCAGTGCAGACTTCAACGCGTCATACTGGATAGTCTGAGCTTGTCGTTGCTGCTCGCCAGCAAGAGCGGATTGAGCACATGATTGTTGAATTGCGGCTATTATTCGATCGTTGTCCGTGCGGTGAGTAGACACGACATTCTGTAGGGTTTGTTCTTGAAGTCCCACATTCAAGTTAATCGACGTCAGTGTAGAGTCTGTATGGTTTCCTCGGGCCTCCCAGGCGGACTGGAGGACGTCCATCCGTTCCAAGATGTTCTGGCCCGCATCAAGGATCTGGACATGGTTTCTGTGGCCGTGGGCTTGACTGAACCCGTCAAGGGCTTCTGATCCTGAGGACGATGTTGTTGGTGCCAAGTTGACTTTCGACAGCTCTTGTAAAATGCGGTCGCTGGTGTCGATCTGCTGTGTCGTTTGGTGCAACAGTATGGTATCAATGTTTTTGTGGATCTTTTCCAACGCTTGTTGCATCTTCTCTTCCTTGGCCAGACCTTTCAGCGCCTTTAGCGCGCGGTCTACCTTCGAGGCACCAACGGGTGGGACTATCTTGGAGACACATGTCTGTATGACTGCCACTTGCTCGGAGGTGTTGTCCACGACTGCTTTGAGCGCTTGGGTCACATCTTGAGGGAGGCGGTCAGACTCTGTCCGAAACGAGATACGCTCAAGTGTGGCCGTCAGTAGAGGTAGACGGATGGAGAGTGCACGAAACGATTCAGGAATGTCCGAGGTTCTCGTGGTAAACTCGTGCAGTCGAGAGACAACTCTGCTGCTGAGGTCGATCAGAGAGGAGATGGAGGCCACGAGGCCGATGATGGCTGCTGCTTCAGCCATGTCGGCGACGTCGACTTGGGCCTGCAGGCTTGATGGGCACACCAGCGGCTGATATGGAGATAGGTTCAGATGTCATGATTCTAGGAGCGCACAAGGCACACAAAGAAAAGAACCGGAGCGAGACACATCTCTAAAGAGCCTTACATGGCGTCTGCTGCGATCCCTCTGCACTGCCCGGCATGGCTGTGGCTTTGGCTGTGGCTGTGGCTCAGGCCGCAGTAGCACAGGGGTTTGGATGGTCCAAAAGATACATGTGAATACCAGTCACTACCAGTTAATTGATCTGAACTTCCCCACCAAGCTTGGGGTTGAGTCGCCGGGAAAGGATTGGGCGGGCAGTAGCCCAAAGGACAGGGTTTTGGAGAATGTCTGGATTTTAATTCTCTATGCTGTTGACAGTGTCCGGTAATGTATTGCTCTGACCATAACATGAAGCTCGTTCTGAAGTCAAACACGGGGAAAAGGATGATGTCGGTGCCAGCGTTGCACCTGCCCCACGGGGTAGTACATAGGTAGGTACGTACTCGTACCTAACTGTACTCCGTACCTAGGTACCTTACCAATGAGTGGTGGTACAACTAAGACCCCGCCTGCGCCCGCTGCGCCCGCCTGCGCATCTTGGCATATTGTTCTGCACCAGTTCTCGTTCGACCTGGTACACACGCCCAATATATTTGGAGGAAGGGTCACTATCAAACCAAGATATCAAAGCAGCATTCATTCATCTCATTTGATCCTACCTGTTATTGTCATTTTGAAGCACGAAATCCAGCTGATTTTGATTTTTACATAATGGCGATAGTATTGGACAAGGTTGCAGCCCCGCCGTCGATATTCAGAGGAGACACAGTCATGAAAAAGGTCCAGCGCTGATGTTTTTCCGCCAATGCCGCCAATGCTTCCAGGTCAAGCAGCTCGCCCAGCGGCATTCCCCAACCAGGGAGGCAAGCCGTATGCAAGCGACCGACTGTTGAGTAAGGCATGTCAGAGACATTCACAAGCTTGACCGTAAATTGTTCACTGGCAGGGGTGAGGCACTCACACGAACCATCGAAGGCTGGAACAGCTTCACAAGCCAACGAATCCCCGGCGACGGCTGCAAAATTGGAATCCCAGAGCCACTCGATGAGCTCCGGGGTCGGATCGATGCCAACATGTGTCTGATTCCCGCCAGCAGTGAACGGGGTGGGATCTTCTGGGGTCGATGCTCGGATATACTTGCTGAGGCCGCACCGAACCACCAATATGTCACCCTGGCGCGTCTCGACCTTCTCCTCTTGGAGAATCTCCTGAATCTGGTCCAGCGTAATGCGGTACGGTCCAAGCGGATTGTATTCAATTCCTTTCCTGGCTGCATACCGCACAAAGTCCACCAAAATGCCTCGTGCAACTATCCCACCACGCTGTGACAAACCTGAAACGAGACACGGTCAGTAAGCAGCCAACCAAGAAGCAAGCTGCTTCCGGATTCAATGTTCATGTTGTGTGCGGTGTGCTACCGCTGGCTTCAAGACTAGGTACTTACTCTGAATGCCCAATGATTTGTCGGATCTGTGTATCGAGGCGGCTTCATATGGCACCCCGTTGTAGTATACTGACAGGTCCTGGTTGGCGAAGTGAACTTTTGCCCCGAGCAATTAGCATCCATCTGTGTGTCAGGCTCTTCAAGACAGCCGGAGAGAGCAAAGTCGGTTCGCGGGACTAGGAAATCAGCTTACGAAGACCGTCCCACTGACTGGTCGCCTGTGTGTTGATCGTGATCTCATCATCTACACATTTCTGTTCGAACGCATCGGCCAAAAACTTGTGGCTGAACTCGCAGCGTCCAATATTCGAAGAGTGATATGGCAAATGAAGAGGCAGACTAAACATGGAAGCGTGTTTTATTAGATGGATTTTAAACACACATGGGGTGTCGGTCGGCCAGTGTGCCCGTTGTGGGTGAGCCAGCGAGCACCTACTTGAGCACCACTGATTCTCCCGCCCTGATCTCTTCCTTGGCCGCTAAGATCGCCTCTGGAGTGATGAAATTCAACGTGCCGTACACATCTCTTTTGCTATCTTTGTCGAACACCCCCCAGGCCGAGCCTTTCGGGGCGCCTTGCTTGATGGGCAAGTCTCGGTACTTTGGCACTTTGACCCCGGTCATGGCCGAGGCTGCGGCGGCTACTGTCACACTTTGACTTGTGTAACAGAGACAAGAGGTAAGAGGCGCTGTGGATGGTAGAGTTTAGTATGATTCAACTGGAAGCATACGGGACCTCTATGTACATATATGTTGCTGCCACGGCATGCTGCCCATAGAGGTACTGGAGAAAATTCCGGGGTCCGGGTTGCGTGGGCCGGCCATGGCAGTGGCACCAACGCCCACTTGGAGTCTCGACGATTGCCAACCTTGACCACCGAATTCCGGAATTGGCATTCGAGCTCGAACTCGATACAAACCTTGGACAACTCCATATAAGATACCCGACGAAAGCCTCAGGCCTCAGATTGGCAGAACCCACAGATCTGACCACAGAGACTGTCTGGCATCTGCATAGTATGACAGCACCTCCGCACCCCGGACCCCGGACCCCAACTACTGTACGCTGGAATTTCCGTGAGATTGGAGACGAGAAGCATGCCAGCCCGTTGGGTCGGAAAGGTACCAACTTACAATATTCCGTGCTCCTAGTCCAGCAAGGTGTCGGCATCGGAAACTGGACACGATATACATAAGTCGTTTCCAAGAATTGCATTGAATCTCAATGGCTACGCGTTTGGCTGCCCCCTCAGGCTCTCGTTTTGATACATTGCCGGGAAGATCAACACCACAAAGGATCGACTTTATTGGGATACTCAAGCAAGGTCTATAGAGAATGGCTCCAATGGATCCAGATAATAGTGCGCTGCACCTCCATGCCCTGCAGAGCCTGGAAGCTTCGGATCGCGTACTTGCAAAGGTGAATGGAGGCCTCGACGAAGTCCACCGATACGACATGATCACCACTGACTGGCTGCAAGAGGTTCTTGGTGCGAGCACGCCCGGGGCCGAGATCACGCAGTGGGAAAGGACAGGCGGACACAAGGGCATGACCAGTCGGCATTTCTTACAGGTGGAGTGGAACGAAGCAGGGACCACAGCAGAGCTCCCGACTTCGATCTTCATCAAGGCCACGCCCGACGAGGGTCTCTTGAGAGAAACGTTGTCCATGCTCCACATGGCCGAACTGGAATCCAACATCTACAACGTGTGCGGGAAAGATCTGGCCGACCTCATCCCCCGCTGCTACTATGCGAAAGCATACCCAGGTGGCCGCTTTATCATTCTGCTGGAAGACCTGGTGCAGCGGAACGTGGAGGTGCACTGGATGGGCGACGACTGCTCGGTGGAATACGCCAAAGCGGTCGCCGTGGCCCAAGGTAAGATCCACGCCCGCTTCTGGAACAGCCCGCGGTTCGAGGGCGACGGGGACATGGTCTGGGTGCGGCCCCGGACGCGACGATTCGGCGAACAATGGTTGCAACGGCAGTTCACCCATGTTCGTGCCACGTTCCTCAAAAGTGACCTGGGCAAGGCCTGCCCTATCTATGTGCGGAACTTGATTGAGAATTGGGAAAAGAACTGCACTCGGTGTTATGAGTACTGGGACAGGAAGCCGCCCACGTTGGTGCATGGCGATTCGCATCTCGGCAACGTGCTGAAATTCTCCGACGGCTCCGCCGGATACTACGACTGGCAGTGTCTCTTCCGCGGGTATGGCTTTCGTGACCTTGCCTACTTCCTCATGTCGGCGCTCACGGTGGAGGACGTCAAGGCCCACGAAAAGGACATCTTCGATCTGTATCTGACCACGCTCGAGGAGAATGGTGTCACCACTGTCGACCCCGCCGAGGCATGGCTGGACTATAACCTCTTGCGCTTGGAGCGCCTGGATTCCACCATGACCTCGCTTTCCCTCGCCGGCGGCTATGGCCACGCACGCCATGCTCTGGAGCGCCAGCTACAAACCTTGACATATACCACCCAAGAGTACGACGTCGCGTCTTTGCTCGACAGCGTCGTCACGACCGGTTCCATTCAGAAAGCATAGAAGATTACCGGAGATAGAACCTGGGCCGTCCTGAAATCTGACTGTGCGAGCTGCCTAGCTTGAAGTGTGGTGAAAAGACCGTCAGTGATAGAAGAAGGAGTGCGTAGTCAAAGGCTTCACTGGTCCAGGTGAGTATCCTCCCATCGGTGTATGGGCATCTTGTTCAACCATCACATATGGTAAACTGTCCCTTTTTAGTGACTAGTGATTAGAGGAGAACTTTTGTATGAGTGTCCGAACATATCGCGATGTGGTGCACGAATGGCAAAGTTTCGATACATGAAGCGAACTTGAACGCTTGGATAAAGCGACTGGTAAAGCAGCGAGCACAGAAGCTAATACGGAGTAGTACGGAGTATGGGAGTCCACCCAAGTTAAACACGTGATTTTGTGCTTGGCACATTTTGCCAATGGCAGACCGTTACTCCGTAGCAGTGCTAAATTAGTGAATCTGCTCGTATTTCAATCTCACAGCTTTGGTTCAACCGTGTGCAGGCAAAGAATCAGCCAGGCATTAGCTGGTCTGACTCTGCAGCCATGAGTGCTGTGCGATTGTCACCAGCAGCAAGTCTGCTTCGCAACTCGAAGCTCTTCGCGATTCCTGCACCATTGACGTTGCCGCCAACCGAACCTTCATCAGAACCCGTCGCCTTTTCCGAAACAGCTACCACTCCCTACCCCCTGCGAGCTGCACTGGAGACTCCGACGACCTCTTTGAGGAGGGGAGACTGGGGCTTGAAACGGTCCTTGCCTGTCCAGCAGACCACCAAAAGTGGAACGCCGACCATCAGAATACAAGGTGGAATCGATACTCGCGAACACATTGCAGACTTCGAGTCGGCTGCCGACCATGTCATCACTCTACGGAAATTTCAAGAGTTGAACCTGAGGGTGACCCTTCCAGCGACGAGAGATAGAAGATCGAATTCCCGGACCAGTGTTTTTCATCCTGAAGTCGATCACACTGCAGCTGAACCCCTTCCAGTCCTCGATAAGAAATACGCCCCTTCTTCGTGGCTCAATATGACCCCGTCCGAGCGTACGGCGCACCTCCCACAACATCTCAAAGAGACCCTGCAGGAGGCTGCAAAAGAGAAAGAAGCGGAGTCACACTCCGAAGGTACACCTGCGAGTCACTCGGCTCCTAGTCCAGGTCCGTCACCGTCCTCGCTCTCCGCTCAAACGACCAGAAGATGGAGGTATTCCGGCCCGTACCTCGCGGGCATGAATGGAATGGAATATGAAACCTTCTTGAAGAAGATCACCAAGGAAAAGAGAGCCGAGTTCACGGCATATGTGAAACGTCACCTGAGTGAGCAGCGACTCGAACAACACCGCGCCGCCGCGCTTGGAGAAGGCAGAGCGGGTGCAACGAAGCCCGCCGAGGTCACTGAAGAGGATGTTGCGGGATATCTTCGAGAGCTTCGTTCAGAACCAGGCAAATTCGGTCCCCTCATTGTAGAATTCTTCGATTTGGCCGATGGGCCACGGCCATCGTCTCAGACCACAGACCCTTGGTCATATGGACGTGATACCATCGCCGCAGACCCGTACAGGGAATCCGGACCACCTCGGACTCATCCATCGGCCGGTCTGTCTTATCTCAACTCGGAGATGTTTTCACAGAATGACATATTGGTTGGCCCACGAGACACAAGGCCTCCAGTTCCAGCGCGACTACTGAGGTCAATCCCCACCACCCACAACAGAAACATTCCCGTCGTCGGTGTGGCTGGATTTGTTGTCCCACAACCTACTCACACGTCATTAACAGACTACAACTGGAAATGGGAACCTACGAAAGATGGTCCTAAGATGGTTGTAACTCCTACAGCTGCTACGGTCTCACATGCTGGCAAAGCGGAGATCCAGACTCGACTTCAACCCTCGTGGCACCTGGAAGACGACGTTCCAGTCAACAGCGCAGAGAGAAAACCGAAAGAAGACAGCAATGCGGCGAACAAACGCTCTGTCGCCGGACAGATCCCCCGCCTCGACAAGGCCTCTTCGAGGCGTCGATATTCGAGCTCGAGGCCTCCTCCTGAGCCGAGTCAAGACATCAGCGAAGAGATTGACGCCATGATGCGAGCGGCGTCGTCGAATCCTCTGAAGAAGATCTAGATGTAATTTGTATAGAAATACTATCACCTCTTGCCATCGGTTCAGAGTGCGACCCTGATTGTAATTGGGCTGTACACCATGCCTTCTAATCTGAGACCAGTTTGTCGTCAGGCTGACTTCGTGGTATACTACCGAGGTCTAAAAAGGGCCATTTGGCGACGGTAAGGCTGTAGGAGTGCTTGACAGGGCGCGATAGGTCTGAAAAGAGGGTCCTCTCACAGCACCACATGCCACGATGTCGAATCCTTGGTTCCCTACTCTTGCTGTACGAATGATGTGGATTATACCAGAACACCAATGTTAGGAATAACCTAGTGTGAATAGGCAGAGCACAGTGAAGAGTATAATCAATGTATTAGGTATTCCTTGACGTATAGCCTATATCTACTTACGAGTGTGTGGAGAATTCTGACATCCCCTGCGACTCGACGCTATACCCCGTACTCCATACTAGTGTGTAAAACTCTCAGGATGCATCATAAGGTAGTCTGCATTTTTAATCTCTTTTGTTTCATTGATCTCTCCTCTTATCCACAACACTGATTATCGCCAAAGGCTGCGCTCGGCGCGTAGCGTAACATGACTGACAGAGCGGTAGATAATATCCTTCCTCTATTCAGTCTTGAAAGGTTTTACATCTGGCAGACACTGATCTCTCTCACACAGGTCGCCGCCGCCACTTTGGCCCGCTCGCTCATTCGTGCGAGCCTTGGTCGAAGCCTCAAGCGTTCCCGACACAACCAGCCCTCCTGTCGCTACGCCTCAACCACTGTTTCCGCCTTTGGTACGAACTCCGAAGGGCCAGTGCTGCCTAACATCGTTCCTGGGAAGAAGGTGACATCGCCGCAAACGCTGACGGAGAAGATCCTTCAACGCCATTCCGTCGATCTTCCCCAGGGAAAGGTTGTCCGAAGCGGTGACTACGTGCAGATTCAACCCCACAGATGCATGACGCACGATAATACCTGGCCTGTGGCCATGAGATTCATGTCCACAGGTGCCACTAAGATCAAGGATCCTGATCAGCTTGTCTTTGCACTTGATCATGATGTACAGAACAAGAGCGCCAGCAACTTGAAGAAGTACGAGCAGATACAGGAGTTTGCGAAGAAGCATGGTGTCAATTTTTTCCCCGCAGGTCATGGGATTGGCCACCAAATTATGGCAAGCTCATCTGCGTCGGATCCATACCAGGACGTTTGGTTGACTAACGGTTGCGTAGGTTGAAGAGCTTTTCGTTTGGCCGGGAACCCTATGCGTTGGGTCTGACAGCCACAGTAACATGTACGGAGCTCTGGGAAGCTTGGGAGTGGCCTTGGTCCGGACTGACGCGGCCGGCATATTTGCTACGGGGAAGAGTTGGTTCCAGTGTCCCCCAGTCGTGCAGGTAAATCTTCTAGGCACACTACCGCCAGGCGTACGTGGGAAGGATGTGATTATTGCGCTTTGTGGGCTCTTCCCACTAGATGTGTTGAACCACAGCGTGGAATTTGTGGGATCCGAGGAAACCATGGCGAGTATCCCCATGGACGACAGACTGACTATCAGTAATATGTCGACTGAATGGTCTGCAACATCTGCAATGGTATGGTACCTGCTTGAGCAACACTGTTTTCTGCATCCCCGTGAGCCCGACTGATTGGTCATTCTATAGTTTCCGATAGATACGACACTAGAACGTTGGCTCCGCTATAAGGCGACAGAGGCAGCAATGCTAGAGGATCGAAGCACTCGACAACGGATCACGCACGAAATGGTGGACGAACTCTTTGCCAACCCTCTCCGAGCCGATCCCGGAGCGCACTATGCAAAGAAACTCTACCTTAACCTCTCTACTCTGTCGCCTTATATCTCGGGACCTAACTCGGTGAAAATCTCAACGCCACTGCATGACCTTGCTACACAAAACATCAAGATAGACAAGGGATACATTGTAAGCTGCACCAACTCGCGAAGCTCGGATCTGAAGGCTGCCGCCGAGGTATTTCAAGCTGCCGCCGAGTCAAATGGTGGTAGGATCCCCAAGATTGCAGATGGTGTCAAGCTGTACATCGCAGCAGCTTCGGCCAGAGAGCAGGCTATTGCTGAGGATGAAGGTAGCTGGCAGACCTTGGTCGAGGCTGGAGCTACTGTGCTCCCACCTTCATGTGGCCCATGTATCGGACTGGTAAGCTGTCACTGCTCCCGCTCCCCGTGGGGAATTTCGGGTTGAATAAATGCTAAGTATCAATCTGTAGGGGACGGGTTTGCTAGAGGATGGCGAGACGGGAGTCTCTGCATCAAATCGCAACTTCAAGGGCCGACTCGGATCAAGACGTGGGTTCCCTCCCCATTCCAATTGTGTTCGAGGCATTGCAGAGGACTAACAGTGGGCAGTTGCTCATGCGTACCTTAGTAGCCCCGAGGTTGTGGCTGCGAGCGCCCTGCACGGCGTTCTTTCAGGTCCCGGCGTTTACAAGGTGCCGGAGAACTATACTGGGGTCGAGTACGGGTACGGCACCGGAAACCCTGACACTATCGAAGCCAAGCTCGGCAGTGCCCTCGAACAGCTCGAGTCTCTCATCGACAGGATTGAGACGACTGCTCCCGTCGACGATGATGCTGCCCAAGCAGTCACGAACATCCTCCCAGGCTTCCCCACCAAGATAAGCGGTGAAATTGTCTTCGCTGATGCAGACAATCTGGACACCGACAATATCTATGCTGGCAAATATACCTATCAAGACCATATGACGACCGCAGAGATGGCAAATGTGTGCATGGAGAATTACGACCCGGAATTCAGGTCCATCGCCAAGCCTAACGACATCCTCGTGTCAGGGTTCAATTTCGGGTGTGGCTCATCCAGAGAGCAAGCCGCAACAGCTCTTTTGGCCAGGGACATCCAACTGGTCGTGGCGGGCAGCTTCTCGAACATTTTCGTGCGGAACGGCATCAACAATGCACTGCCTTGTCTAGAACTGCCACGTTTAGTGGAGCGTCTTCGTACCATCTTCTCGGAAAAGATACCTACCCGCCGTACAGGCTGGACCCTGACCTGGGATATTGCCCGGAGCACTATTGAGGTACAGGAGGGAGAGGACGGAGAACGTTGGGAGGAGAAGGTTGGAGAGTTTCCCGAGAATCTGCAGGAGATTATCGCGAAGGGCGGACTGGTAGGATGGGTCAAGCATGAGCTTGCGAAGGCTGCCTAACGGACCTCAGAGAGGAAAAATAAAAGTCCATGTAAATAAAGCCGGCGTGTAGAGAGATAATAAACTCCTCGGACTGGTTCATCCCAATAAATAGATACTATATGCGCACGTCACATTTCCGTTTCCAAGATGTCTGTCTTATTTACTGGGCTACGGGTATTTCGAGACATATAAGGTATCTGCTGCAAGGCTTGTCGAGCTTCAAATCCGGCAAAATACGCGCTGTTTTCCTACTACAGGGCATTTGCGGCCTCGTCCGGGGTCTCGTACAACATAGAGGCAGTAGCGCCGTTGTCAAACATCTTATTTGACTCGTAAGTCGGTTGATTCGTGGTGTTGTGACGAGAGAATAAGTGTTGCTAAGTTGCTGTTGGTAGTGGAGGATACAACTTGAATATGCTAGAAGTGAATACTATTGAAAGTGATTGCAAGGAAAGATAGAGGGTCTCTTTTGGTAGAACAATCCTCCTGGTATATATGATACTCCAGTACAAACAGGAACGTGATTAAAGAGTCATAAACAAAGTCGACTTACTCGATCTCTCTCATTCAAGTATACAACGCATGTGCGAAATAAGCACCCATAGGTGCGAAATACTCTGTACTCTGAGCCGTGATGAAAGTCCAAGTGAGATAACGTCCTAAATAGGAATAGCGCAAACACAGTCCACTTGTCCCCTATCCGTACAATCTTATCACTTGGCACACAGAGATCCACGCCAAGACTTTCACAGGGCTCGAAAATTGAATTGAGCGAGCACACCGCACTGCCTGCATCTGCATCTCGCCCATTCATCAGGTCACCGTCGACTTTCCTCACCTCGATCAATCAACCTCTTTCGCCAGAACACCGTCAAGATGGGTCGCGTTCGTACGAAGGTCAGTACCGACCAGCACAGAACCCTAACGCGGATCGCAAGGATTTCAAACTGACTGTTCAACGCACGCAGACCGTCAAGAAGTCGGCCAAAGTCATCATTGAGCGCTACTACCCCAAGCTCACGCTGGACTTCGAGACCAACAAGAGAATCTGCGATGAAATTGCCATCATTGCCTCGAAGCGTCTTCGCAACAAGGTACGCACTGCAATACCAAACCAATACCATGACACAGCTCAGCCACACACATACCCACGTCGCGTTCTGTCCTGTACCGCTGGGCGTGTGCGGTCGAGATGAATCTCTTTTTTTTTCTCGATCCGCACGCTCCCAGCCGAGTTGTGTCTTGTCGTGTGGTTTTTTATCTGTTCTTTTCTCGTGCGCGAACTCGACCTCGAACTCAGCTAACAAGACTTTCTTAGATCGCCGGCTACACCACGCATTTGATGAAGCGAATCCAGCGCGGACCGGTGCGAGGCATCTCGTTCAAGCTGCAGGAAGAGGAGCGAGAACGCAAGGATCAATACGTGCCTGAGATCTCCGCCCTCGACTTCACCCAGAACACCGAGAGCGGCCAGCTCGACGTCGACGCAGACACCAAGGACCTGCTGAAGAGCATGGGCTTCGACTCCATCGCCGTCAACGTCGTCCCGGTCGCCCAGCAGGCTCCACAGGACCGCGGTGGCCGCAGAGTCTTCGGCACCGACCGACCGGGCCGGAGGGATTAAATCCATCCATCCCATCCATGCACCGATCCGATTCGATTCCGATTCCGTCCTATGATCATCACGAATTGTCACCGGGGATGGTTGGAGGCAGTGGCGTGAAAAAGGAATAAAATCACATACGAGACAATGCTGGCTTGGGGTTGGTTGAGGTTGACACTTGTGTGCGTCTGTGGTGCTGCCGAAGTTGAAGCCGAAGCGCATCGACTATTTCCATTGCCCATGCCCTTGCATCTCTTCAATGCAATGCACATAGGGCCTTTCTCACGAGACAAATTACCGACTTGCTACTCTGCTGGAAAGGGATTGCGCGACATGGCGTGGCCTTTAGAATAGTGCTCCTGCCATGCGCGCAGCAAGGTGCTTGACAGTCGGATCGGATTTGAAACAAACCAAAAATCGAAATCGAGACCGAATTCCACAATCAAAGGTGTCGCCTAGTCCGAATGGACGAAGCTTGATTGCCAAACCTCCTTTTTCCTTTCCCGTTCCCTTTTTCCCTCTCCCTCTCCTCTCCCTCTCTTGTGCTGTTTTGTGGTACCCTCCTCGTGGCCGCTGACCGATAAACACCCAGTTGTTGATTGTAAGTTCTTATAAATCCCATCTAGACCGTAATAGTGCGTGGACGCGCCTCAAGCCTAAGCCCAAGCCCAAGCCTAAACCTAGGCGTCAAGCCTTGTGCTAGAGCATCATGACTATTCTGCCTAAGTGCGAGTCCAGTAATAGGATAAGAGCACAGAAACGACTCTTCGGTAGGTTGTCATCGTCTTCAAGTTTTGATTATACTCTGTAGTCTTCTCCGATAACCAAGAAGGTCCAACCCGACTCTTCTCACGGTCATGTTGAACAACACCGGCCTCCCAAAACGCCATCGCCATGCCTGTACATATAGTTAGACCACCATGGTCCAAGTAACCCATTCCCCAAGCACGTTCAGTGGTACACATCAAACGAGACCATTTTTGTCGCTTCGAATCTCCCGTTCAATCAGCCTTGCCGTTCGTCATGCCCAAAAGCCCCTCCTTCCCCTCAAGGTGGAAATAGCCACTGCTGTTTCTGCTCAGATTCTTCTTGAGTGAGGTGCCATTTTTCAGGACCCAGAAAAGTGCAAAGACGGACAGGATCAAGATCCCAAACGAGAAGTACGGATGATAGGTTCCGAAATTCCGAATCTGGAAGAAAATGTTCTCAAAGGTGCTGATGGTCGACTTCGGGGTCAACTTTGGAGGGTTGGCAACTATTCGAGGCAGCGTTTCGAGAATCGAGGTTCGAGAGGGCATAATATAGGCTCCAGAGTCGGTGACATCCCAGTAACGGCGGTTCTAAGCAAGATTAGTCTTGTGCGATCGTTCAGCCTCAGGAGCAAAACTCACATCCTCGTCGTTGATGATAACCCTTTCACCCTTTGACACATCCACTCCGTAAGTTGACCGCAGCCAGCGCTCCCAAAAGATGCCGTCTACCCAGGCAAAGGCCACCCCTTTACGGAAGTTCTCCTCGGTAATGCTGATGACAAAGCTTTTTGCCTGCCGCAATGCACGTTGATCATTGCGATCTTCAGCTTCCTCGATCCGCAATTGTTTCGAATCACGCAGTTCTTGTCGTTCGAGTTGGAAAGCCTGTGTTTGTTTGTCCATCCACTCCAGAGCCGCGTTCTTCAACTCGCGCCTTGACTGCATAAATTCGTCGGGCCGTTCTCGCGATAACATACCCAGCACGACGTATTTTCCTGCCATGAGTTCCTTTGCGTTAGATGCGGTCAGTTCGGGGACGATCGGCAACCAGACGGACTGCATCCAGGTCAGGACTTTTCGGAAATCTCGCATGTCTTTTGGTGCAAGAGCGTTGTAGTATGTCGGCCTTCCATCTCGAGACACCAGCAACCTTGGCCAGGTAGAGATTTTGAATCGGTTGGCCAGGATTTCCGAGTCGGTTTTAACGATCTTCGCGTGTCCAATCAAACTCAAAGTCAAGCGGTCCAAGGCGGCAAAATCTTCGGAAGTGGTGGCATCGTCGAAGAAGTAGACAAAGATGACCTCTTCCGTCTCCTCCATTTCCTTGAATGCGGCGGCATCGACATACTTGACATCGCTGTCCAATGCCTTGCTGGCGAAGGACAACAGGTCACCGAGCCCACGTAGGCCTTGATACTCGACCCGCTCGCCACCTCGGAAGAAGTAGACGGTAGGATAAGCACTGACTTTGGCATCTTTGCACAGACGGGGAGATTGTTCACAGTTGACCTCTCCGACGTTGAGCTGCCCTTCCATTTCCTTTGCCATCTCTGCCCAGGTGGGGGCGAGATGCTGGCAGTGCGAACACCACGGCACGTAGAACTTGATGAACCACGGATCCTGCGAGGTAGTGACGAGCTTTTGGAACGACTCGGCCGTCAGAGGAACCGAGGTCCCCAGGGGGTTTGGCGGAGTAGCATTTTTGGCGTTCTTGAACCTCCCCAACTTTGCAGTCTCGGACGCCAACATTGCAGACGACGTCTCGGTCGACAGTTCAGCTGCCTCTTTGTTTTGCTTTTCGCCTGCAGCCACTCCTGCAGCTGTGTCTTTGTCTTTGGAGACAGGTTTCTCCGGCGCAGCCGTGCGATCAATACCTTTTGCGCCTGGCTTGGGGACCTTGACTCCCTCTCTGGGCCGCGATCCCGGCTTGATTTGTTCCAGCTTTTCTTCCACATAGCTGCTGAAACCCTCCATGGACCTTTCTCCCGAGTACCGCTCCACGAGTTCGCCATCTTTAAACAGCAAGAATGTAGGCCAACCTTTGATCCCGTGTTTTTCACAGACATCACCATAGGCGACACAGTTGATCGAAGCGAAATGAAACTTGTAATACCCGTGGAAACTGTTAGGCGACGACAAGTCTGGCTGGCCATCCTTGGTGCGGCCTTCGAGAGGGTCCGAGGTCACGTAAAACTCGTAGAGAGTTTGCCAGAGCGGCGCGACGACCTTGCAATGTCCGCAGTAGGGTGAATAGAACTTAACCCACCTGAGTCCTGTCAGTAACATTTCCAGGGGCGCCAACGTGTCAGTCTTACCAGTATCCATCTTTTATTGTTTCGGAGAACTTGTCACCCTCGATTTCTTTCATGGGAGGCACGTTGATATCATTGAAAACAGTGTAGTCGGCACCATCCCCTCCATTGGCAGAAGAGTCTGCTGCAACTGGATCATTTGTCCGGACCTTTCCACCCTTTTCTGAACCCGGCGGTGCTGCGGCCGATATTGACAAGACGGCTGTAAGCGCCCATGCCAGCAGTGCTGGCCTCATTGTGTAAGTTCACCACCAATTCTCTCCGTCGTAAGGCCAAAATGTTTCGATCAGGATCAGCGAGGGGCGTCGCACGGTAGGGGATGAAATCGGGAGGACCGTGCGTGTAGGGAGACACCACGTTTCAAGAAACCTCTGAGCCGAGCTATTGTGCGACGAGAGCGCCACGAGTACGAGTCGCACCGAGGATGGAAGCTACCCAGAGTGGCCAGATCAACTAAACGGCATGGCAGAGTTGAGTTTATCTGGAGATTGTAAGAGATGCGAGATGCGAGATGGCGAGACGACGGGCCCTGCGTTTCGATTGTACAGTAGTAGCCCAAGGAGCCATCCCTGCCGCTATACTCCATAGGTGTAGGTACGCAGTACGGAGTATGGCGGATCATGTGGCCAGTGTTGGTATATGGCGGAGTTCACCAACATAGACGCAGTCAGTGATCTTGGTAGGTGCCTGCGGTGATGCAATTGCAATGCAAACTGGAGAAGGCGGAGCATACCCCGATCATGCGCCATCGACCAACCTCGCCTCAGCAGGCAAACCACCGCTCATCCTCTATCTTCTACATTTCCAGCGATATCGACCACCCCTCGATATCATAACTCCAGACACCGTCGTCGTGGTCTTGAGAGTACCTCCCTTCCTCGTACACCAACTCAGCCTTCAAATTCTTCGAGATGAAGGCCTCCGCCCTCTTGTTCTACCTCTTCACCGTCAGCGTCACTGCGGTCTCAGCACGGTCTCTCTTCACCTCGAATCAGAATGCTCTTGTGGACGACCCAAGTTTCCCAGTACCTGGAAAGAACCCACTGAACGTGAGTGTTTGGGAGACTTGAGGTTTTGATAGCCGTTCACTGACCTGTTGCAAGTTCTGTGCCGATCCTGCAGATTATATCCTCACCATCGACTACGTTGATCTGTCACCCAATCCACCTGTTCCGTCAGTATCCTCAATCTGGAGCTTAAGATTCATCTGTGACTGATCAGTCCATAGTGGCGAGAAGCTAACGATTACGGCCAACGGCACCTTTGCGAAAGACATTGAACCGGGCGCGACCGTCTTCCTCCAAGTCAAATATGGATTGATTACCCTTATCAAGCAAGAGGCAGATCTTTGTGACAACCTGCCTCAAGTGGACTTGAACTGCCCATTGGAGAAGGGTGTGTTGACATTGAAGAAGGAGGTTGACATTCCCAAGCAAGTCGTAAGTCGTGGCCGTTCCACGGGGCCATTGATAAGCCAGCTGACAAGTAATCTAGCCGCCTGGAAAGTACACCGTGCTCGCCGATGTCAACACTGTGGACAAGGAGAAGGTTACTTGCATGGAAAGCACAGTCGTCTTCTCCAGACAGTGATTTGTCCAGGTGCAGAGGCCGAGACTTTATGGGGCGAGCGGGCATTTGGCCCAGGGTACTTGCAACTACGAGCATATGGTGATTTACTGCTTCTGTTCCTGTTAGGCGTTGACATGGAATTCCGACCGGGCATAAACCTAGGTTTACGGATTAGCTTGACGTTAATGAGAAAGTATTGTTGCGGTCACAGATGTTGGTCTTTGTGGTTACAGTTATGCCCCCAAGGCTTTTGGCAGCACGCAGGAGCTTTCTGAATTTCTTTCCTGACTACGTTGGTTCATCGGAAGTGGCCCAAGTCTCTCAGACGTATTTAGGGTTGCTCCTTGTTTCTCTCCTTGCTACGCTCTTTCGTCTAAGGTCACCCAAGTCTACCACGTACGCAGAGGTGAGGGGTTTTCTGTTTGTTTGTTTTTTCACTCTTCTTCTCCCTACTACGTCGTTTCAATCTGAGGTGACTTCGTGACTTTCCGACCAGGGATGTCCCACAGCTGTTCGGCATTCGTTCTGAAGAGTTTCTCAATCAGAACTGGATCGCCTCCACACCATTCGAAGCACTTCTCGACAAAGGGGACGGGGTCGACATTGTCGAACCTAGTATGCGGCCAGTCAGTGGCATAGACGATGCGATCCGGGGCCTGGAAAACCAATTCTCTCCCAATGGGGTCGAGATCGCGCATGTCTGGGTCGCGAGCCAGTCTGTACGGCGCGGACAGCTTGACCCAGGTCTGCCCCTTACCGTTTCCTTTGCCATTACTACTGCCGTTGTCGTTGCCTTGGCCTTTGCCGTTACCATTGCCGTTTCCTTGGCCTTGGCCTTTCTTCAGTAGATTGACCAGCGACCTAAACCCAGTCAGGGCGTAGGGGTCGGTCGGGGTGGACGGATCGTAAGGTTCGGATTTCGGCAGAGCCGGCCAGCCGAAATGGTCGATACAGACTCTCACGCCCAGGTCGGGCACGATGCTCTCCAGCGCCACGGCCAGTCTCATGGGGATGAACAGCTGCAACACCCAGTCGAGCGGGCGGAGCAAGGTGGCGTAGGTCTCCAGTTCGGCGCACAACTCTGCCTCAGAGAGGTCGCGGCCGACCGAGACCAGGTTGACGCGTGCGCCGCGCACGCCCAGATCGTGCCATTCATATAGTGTGTCGATATATCTATCTTTGTCCTTGGACTTGGACTTGCCCTTGGTGGTGGTGGTGGTGGTGGCTCCGGCCAGATCCAGGTCCAGCCCGACAACGGCACGACCATGCCGCGGCGTCAGCTCACGTAGAGCCTCCAACATACATGAATTGTCGGCGCCATAGATGGACGGCTGCACCAGCACCATGTTCTCAATGGGCCAGTGGAACCGCGCGTAGAAGGCCCGCGCGTCCGCCAGCGTGTGCGGCGAAGGCGTGTACTGCGCGTCCGTGGCCAGCGGGAACCGCGTCGGGTCGACCACGTGCATGTGGCTGTCCCAGGTGCCACGGGGGAGTGGCCGAGAGAGTCTTGAGCCAAAGTCATGGTTGGGGTGGTGATGGTCATGACGGCGGCGGTGTTGGTGTTGGTGATGGCGGTGGTGGTGAATATGTCTGCGCCGACCCTCGTGCTGGATGGTTCTGGTGCCGATTCCGCCGCCCGCCACTCCCGCCCGTAGTATTGCGCCATAGTGAAGCCTTGGACCTAAGCCTGACAGATGTTGAAGACATGGCGATGCCGGCCCGGGGCGCAGGGCGAGTAGCATGGCGTCAAGCGTGAGGCGCTAGGCGCGAGAGAGAGTTGTGTGTATGAGAGTGAGGGAGACGGCGAGACAGCGGGGCAAGAGAGTGTGTGTGAAAGAGAGAGAGCGACTCCTACCACCACCACTAACACCCAACCAGATATGTAGATAGATACGTGCCTCTTATATCCGTATACTGTGCGGACAGTATTCAAGGTAGCCACCTAGCCACCTGCCTACCTAGTACGGTAGTAGTATGTCACCTCTACGTCCGTCGTCTACGTGTTGAGATGGACTATAATGCAGATTTCGAGCTACTGTACAGTACAGAGTACGGAATGGTAGCAGCTGTAGTTTAGTAATTTAGTAATTATCTGATTAGTATGATTTATCATCCGTTAGATATCTGGGTATCTAGATATCCAGGTATCCAGGTATCCAAGCATCCAGGTATCCAAGCATCCAGGTATCCAAGCATCCAGGTATCCGTATTATGTGACACTATAGGTAAAATATAAGGTCTACCCATTAGGTGCCTATACGGATACACTACTTACGCGTCACCTTAGATACTTTGGGAACGGAATACAGTCTCGAACAGTCGGATAGGAAGACAGTTGACTGGCACGGCATGGCATGGATGGCCACCACCACAACGATTTATGGATTGTGCATGTCTCTCTACTTGACCTCGTCCAGACAAGGCTGCCAGGATATATATGGTCGAGGGTGGTGGTGTTCCTTACTTAGCATCAGTATGATTCGTTATTCCTTCACTTCCTCACATCCTTCCTTCCTCACTCGAGATCCAGATGCCTTTTCTCTCTTTCGCCTCTCCCCCTTCCCCTCCCTCGAACGTACTCATTCAACAGTTTACGACGGTCACACACCATGCCCTCCCTCCTTCTATGCAGTGGCAAAGTGCAAGGCACCGCTCTTCACCCTGAGCGTCTTGCCAAAGATCTGCAGCAGAACAATCAACAGAAAGGCGGCGGCACAGATGGCGGCCTGGATGCCAAAGCTGACTTTGGTGCCTTGGGCGCGGGCCCAGGTGACTTGGAAGTAGGAGATGATGAAGCCACCAGAGGTGCGGGCCATGTTGACCCAGGCGGCGGTCTCGCCAGACGCCTCTGGGTAACTGTCGAGATTGTAGGCGTTGAGGCCGACGGTGGTGATCATGATGCCGAAGACGTACAGGCCCCAGAACAGCGAGGTGACCATGTAGTGGTAGCCTTGTTCGAGGGCGAATCCCAGCCCGACCAGGCCGGCGAGCATGAAGGGCGTCGAGATCCAGATGGCGCGCAGCCGCACCTCGGGCTCAAAGTGGCCGTCGTGGCGGTGGATGTAGCTCGTGGCCAGGAAGTCGTGCAGCCAGTGGCCCGTCATCTCGCCCAGCAGCGCGGCCACGATCGGGGTGAAGTAGAAATAGCCAATCTGCTTGGGGCCGAAGTCGTACAGCGGCGTCAGGAAGATGGACAGCGTCGTGTTGATCCCCACCACCCACGCAAACGTCAGCAGGTAGTAGAGACACGACAGAAACACGGTCGGCTTCAGAATCACTTTGACCGGCCGCATCACCGCCTGGCCCAGAGTGTTGCGCAGGTGCCGCGATCGGTACTGCGAGACGCCTACCAGGCGCAACACTCGGCTGCCGCGCGGAGGCTGCGACGAGGCCGGAATGCGTCGGTCGTAATAGGTTTCTTCGACGAAAAGAATGGTGAGCACGAGGCACAGAGCGGTCTGGACAGCCCGAGTGGGTGAGCGGTTAGCATCAGATCAGCTGGTTATGATGACAGAAAGCGCAACCTCGATAGAAGGATGAAGGATTCCCTGAAAGCTGAAAGGGACAGAACTGAAGAGAAAAACGCTCGCAAGGCCTTCCTTACCTCTGCCACGTAAACCCAGAAAGGGACCTGCCACGATTGGGTGCTGATGATGAAGGCGGCGAACAGGGGGCCGAAGTACGGCGACAGGATGATGAAGGCGGCCCAGATGTTGATCTTCCTCGCTCTTTCGTGGAAGAAGAACAGGTCGAAGATGAACATCAGGCCTCCGCCCTGGGCGACGGTGCTGAAGAAGCCGTTCAGAATGCGCGCCGCCATGAACGACTCGAACGTCTGGGCCGCGGCGCACCAGATGGCGGTCGCGGTGGCCAGGATGAGGAAGTAGAACAGCACGGGGAGCCGGCCGAAGTAGGCCGACAGGGCCACCACGACCACGCCGCCCGCCCCGAGCATGAAGACGTTGCCGACCTGCGAGTGGTTGACGTGGTCGGGCGTCATGTCCCACTCCGCCGCCTGCGGGAGCAGCGTGACCGCGCCCGTGGCACTGCCGTAGTCGGGCAGGAGGGCCGTCATGGAGATGATGATGAGGATGACATGTTTCTTCAGCCCGCTCCAGTTGAGTGGATCCCGGGGGTCTGCCGACGGCTGCGGCAGAAGGATGGTATGGCCGTCGCGTGCGCGTCGGAGGTTGGCGTGCTCGGCGTCGCTGGCATCGATCACGTATCCTTCGGCGTTCTTGAACTCGTGCAGCTCCGTCTCAGTCACGTCCACGTTGGCGTGCTCCACGCCCACCGGCGCCTCTCGTATCTCTTTGTCGTCCATCAGAGCCCGGCGAGAAAGATTGGGGGACAAGAAAGGGGACAAGGGCGGGCTGTTGACAAGCTTGAGTGCTGGGAAATCTAAAATCCGTTCCTACAGACCAGGAAAGCTAGAGGCAAGGAAGGAGGAGATTCGCTTTCTTTTGGTCCATGGACAAGTCGCCTCGATGGCGATGGGGATGGGGATGGGGAGGAAGGAGGGATCCATTCTGTATTTGTACTGGTGGGGTACAGAGTACAGAGTACAGAGTACGGCACGGTCCCTTACCGTCAAGACTTCCCCAGCATCCCAGAACCCCAGATCATCGAGACTGGAGACTGGAGATCGGATACTGGGTCGGATGCTGGGTCGGATGCTGATCATGAGACTGAGAGGACTCAGGATTGCAATCGGAGAATCCCCCATCTTTTCCCCCGCCATTTTCCAGGCTGCCCACTTGCCCACTGCCGACTGCCCATCGTGGGGTGAGGCTGTCAGCTCCTTTTGGATCCCGGAGCCAGTATCTTCCTTCTGACCGACTTTCTTTCTCCAGATGGTTAGACCCGTGGGCAGGTAGGCCTGGGCCTTAGGCCTTAGATCTTCCCGAGGAGCGGGCGTAGGAGGCTGCCAGACAGGCATGCACACGGAGAGACTTGAGTTGAGCCTAAGATTGCCTGTCTAGTTGGTCACCAGTAAGCCATAGCCGGGGGTGAAATAGACCTAGACCACGCAGTACCAATCACCAGGATTACTGTAAATCTGACCCTGACAAGCGTGACCTTCTAGTCTGTCGACAGCGACAGCGGCCGCTCGGCACATTTTCAGGCACATTTTCATGGATACCCTGTCCTGTATTCGTATTCCGCATTTCAATCGTAGCTCAGAATCAACTCTGGGTTACGACGGTAGCGGCGTGGTTTGTGGTGATGTCGGTGTTGGGGGCGGGGACTTGTGATTCTGCCTTGGTCTGGTGATCTGATCAGTTAGACAGTCAGGTCTACCGTAGCTATCCTATCTGATACTGATACTCCAAAGGACCGAAAGACAAATATGACAGATCCAAAAGGACGTATGGCGAGCCAGCCGTCCCGTCAGCGTGATTGACTCGATATCAGATCCGGGTCTTGTTCTTGTTCGGTTGTGTAGTCAGCCACCACACAGCTCCGTACATACAAAGACGCTCAGTGCGGTCGGCCGCCTGCTGAATACCAGTGTGAGGACGACATTGTGGGCTATGTCGGCCCCTGGGTTGCATCGCCGGGAGAACTGGTCGATATCGAAGTGGGATTACTTCCAGTCTAGTCCTGGTCCTGGTTCAGGTCCAGCGTACAGGACACGATTCGTAGGCCGTACGCAAGGCGCAAAGCGCAAGGCTGAACAAGGAGGCCAAGGCCTGTGAAGCTATGCCAAACTAGTAGTAGTGTTGATACTAACACCAACTCCACTAACTTCAAGCAGCGAATTCTCGTCGCTGTGTGGAGTAGGGTGTACAGAGTATCTCTAATACTCCCCTAATCCGCGGAGATAACGATTCCTCCATAACCCAAAATCCGACAACCACCTAGATATCCTTTACAACTATTTCCACGCCGTCGACTTCGGCACTCTACTGGTATGTACAGCATCATACTCATCCGTGATCCACTGAAAACTACCCTAGGTACCTCTTATACCTAGTAGACCTCAACTGTTCGGTTTCATGGTTCCTTCCTCTTCCTCGGTCAATGACAATGCCAGCGACGCTGTCCAGCTCCAGCCAAACTTGAATCCAAGGAAACGACGTCGGCCCCGTCCATCTTGCGAGGAATGCAGACGAAGGAAAGTAAAATGTGATCGATTGGAACCGTGCAGTCATTGTGTTCTCTCTAACAAACAATGTCATTACGGTCACGGATTCGCTCAAGTTGAAGCCAGTCGAATTGTCCGTCGTGATGGACGGGGCCCCGGTGTACAAGCATATGTACCTTATGCTACACCGCCCCAGGCTTCTGTTTCTGTCATAGGACCGAGTCCCGCCTCGGAGGCATCTGCATCTCATCTCACTGTCACTGGGCGTGCACCACTGCTAGACGTACAGCTCACTGCCCACCCCTCTCGTGGCAATGTGAGGTCTTCTGACCTCGGAGCAACAGCAACCGCAACCACCAACACCAACACCAACACCAGCCTTGACAATATTGCAATTGCAGCTGGTCCACGGCACGTGAAGGTTTCCCTGAACAAATCCAGATTATTCGGCCAGAGCCACTGGACAAATTCGACTCTTGAGGTAGGCCTCGCACTCCGGCCGCCAACTTCAACTTGATCCTGTATCTCGACCTCGACATTCTTGGCTAATGTAATACTCAACAGCTCCAAAAGACAGCGGCTATCTTGAATGCTGAAGTTGGAAATGCTACGGACAATGACGCCCTTGTACGGTTGAAGTGGGAGATCGGTTCTCTCCTTCAAAAATGCAAACTCCTGTGCAAAAACATCAAGTCTTCTCGACTAAGCAGGTGCTCCTCATTTCCACAAGCGTATCCATCAATCGCAAAAGAGATGGCTGATCAAATGGTACGCTTGTACCTCACTCGCTTTGAGTCTGTGTTTCGCATCTTACACATTCCGTCCTTCTGGAATGAATATGAGAGATATTGGAGCGACCCTACCGAAGCTGAAACTGTCCTTCAACTCAAGATCCAGCTCGTTACAGCCATTGGGACTAGTATCATCCGCCAAGATACCGTGGACACAACAGATATCTACTCAACCGCGCGTCAAGGGTTATACGCCACGCAGGAATGGCTGTCTGGACCCATGAAAAAGAATCGGATCAGCATCGATAGCCTGCAGGTGCAGTGTCTGCTCATCCTGGCTCGGCAGGCTCTTGCCGCCGGTGGAGATATTGTCTGGATATCCATGGGGACCGTGGTTCGGACCGCCATGCAAATGGGTCTACACCGTGACCCGAAGCATTTCACGAGGATGGGTATTCTGTAAGTTTCGGCAGGCGCAGCATTGATCCCCATGGCTAACTAGAATGTTTTCCAAATCAGTCAAGGCGAGATCCGTCGAAGACTCTGGGCCACCATCTTAGAGCTGAATGTCCAAGCCGCCTTAGATGCCGGAGTGCCGCCTACCCTATCATTCGACGACTTCGACACCGAAGCCCCTTCCAACGTCAATGACCAGGACATGGATGAGCAGACCAAGGCACTCCAGGAGCATCCCCCAACAGCCGCAACGGACTCGTCCCTTCAGCGTTTCTTATTTCGATCGCTCCGCCCAAGACTGGAGGTCGCCCGTCGCATGAACGGCCTAACCTCCCGCCCTTCAGAAATGTCAATGTCGTACAACGAACTCATCGCTCTAACCGCCTCACTCACCAGCACCTGCCGGAGCTGCGACGCCCATATCCCCCGAACTCACAGCGCCAGCTCCGACATGGCCTCCTTCCACCATAACCTTGCAGACCTCCTTCTCCGGCGCTTTATCCTTCATCTTCATCGCCCTCTTGCCGGCCGAGCCCGAACGGATCCGAGATATTATTTCTCCAGAAAGACGAGCCTCGACGCCGCCCTGGCCATTCTCTCCCCGATTCCCAAGAATGCCGAGTTCGCGCATCTCGTGCTACTCGGGGCCGGCATATTCAAACATCGCATGATCCACGCGTCCCTGGCCGTGGCGTCGGAGTTACTCATGGAAGTTGAAGAGCACCGGCCGGTGGGGTTCCACTCACCCTCGCAGGAACCCTCTGGATATAGAAAGATGTTGATGGAAGCGTTGAGGGAGGCGCTTCGCCAGGCTGCCGAACGCATTCGACTTGGAGAGACGAATGTCAAGCTACATATGAAGTTGCGGATGGCTCTGCGGCAGACAGAGGTGGCAGGCGAGAATTCTTCGTCCCTGCAGCAGCTGGCCGAAAGCGCCAAGGAGAGCCTGGAGACTTCCTATGCTATGATCCAAGAGCGGGCAACTTCTGAAGGGGTCGAGATCAATAACGAGTCTGGACGAGACCGCGGCATGTCGGCGGACTTTGATCTAGATGACTTTGATCCAGAGAGCTTCACCCTTGGCTCCAACTTCAACTTCAACTTGGATGACCTCTTCTTCCTGCCCGCAGAGTTTGACATGGATGGCGTAGCGGCGCCCTAGGCTTCCTCAATTTCAAGAATCAAGGTTAGAAGAGATGATGATGATGAATTCAATTAACGGTGTCCCAGCTGCTTCTTCTAATGCAACTATGCACCCTAATATGCTATAATAGTCTCCTTATCGTGTCCGTACTAGGCCAGTAGGCGTTGTTGTTCTTTTCTTAAGTACTATCAAGACTACGGAGTACTATACCAAAACTCCAGATATGATTGCCATGCTTGTCTCCTAATAGCATCCATGTCGTATATGGGCTTTGTATGTATGAAGTGTAGTGTCCACTCCTCTCCTGAAACCTGAGTGTTGAATCTTGAAATCAATAGGGTTAGGGTTGGGTTTAGGGTTACCCACCTCGATCTGCTCATCAACATCTTGTTTCTTGCCATTGACGCATAAGGTAATTTAGTTACCAGGTAGTTATATCCCCTAATTAACACCGGCACCGGCACCGGCACCGGCACCGCCCGTAGAACTACTACCAGCAGTATTGTGGCCTAAGCCTGAATTCAAGCTGTCGACTTGTCATCCCACTGGTCCGGCTCGACGCACCGCACCGCATTGCCCTTGGAGCCATGAGGATTTTATATTTATATTTGAATTTTATTGATATTTTATTTTCAAGATCAAGATCAAGATAATGTAACTCCTCAAATGGAAGGGTGGAGGGTGGAGGGTGGAGGGCCTAGTGCTTCGGCCATTTCCCTGCAGTGCCTCGCACTGCACAGCACTGCAGTGGCATTACAATCCTTCCCGAAGCTTGTCCTTGTCCTTGTCCGGCCGTGGAGAGTCGCGGCATGGAAACCATAACCGCAACCGCAATTGCTGTGGGAAAGACATGTACTCTGTGCATGGGTACTAACTCCGTACCTATAATCACCAACCTCGAATCCGAAATCCGAAATCCGAAATCCGCAATCCGCGGAGCAAGGCGGAGCGGAGCGGGTTTCGGGGGTGCCAGAGACCCGCGGCCGTGGCGGGCTTGCTTGTTTGCTTCCAGCACAGCACAGCACAGCACAGCACATCCAAGTTGCTAGCATTGTGTGTGTCTGTATGTGTATGGGATGTAGGTGGTCAAAAAGTTGTATATAAAGCCATGGAAAAGCAGGCTTTAGACTTGACTCGAAGCTCCCACTCTCACTCCCTCTTTCTACTTTGAATCGCCGAGCACACCCCGAACCAACCACACCCATGGCATCATCCGCCCTGCCAGTGCCCAGCCATCACCGGGCACTCGTGCTCGAAACGGTCGAACAAGGGTTCTCCGTGCAGATGGTGCCAACTCCCCAACCGGGCCCGGGTAGCGCGATCGTCCGCATCGTCGAAGCCGGAGTGATCTCGTACCATCGCGACATCTACAATGGGGAGCGAACCTATGAGTTCGCCAAGCCCATCGTCGGCGGGTTGAGTGCGGTCGCGCGCATCGTGGCGGTAGGTCACGATGCCGTGGTCCTGCAGGCTGGCCAGCTGGTTTGGATGGACTGTGTGATGCACGCGCGAGACAACCCCGACTCTCTGTTTCTCAATGCCATCCATGAGGGGTCGGACGCCGGCAGTCGGAAACTGAGCCGCGACGTCTGGCGTGACGGGGCGTTCGCCGAGTACATGAGGGTGCCGCTGGAGAATTGCTTCCGGCTGGATGAGAACAGGCTGTGTCGGGAGCTGGGATACACCACTCGCGAGTTGCTGTATATGATGTACTTGCTGGTCCCGTTCGGCGGGCTCAGAGACATCCGCCTCGAGCCCGGTGAGACGATCGTGGTGGGTGCGGCGACCGGAGGGTTTGGTGGTGCGGCTGTTCAAGTCGCCGTCACCATGGGCGCAAGGGTCATTGCCATGGGGAGGAATGGAAAGGAGCTGGCCAGGTTGAAGGACCATGTCAAGAAAGGGACGCCGGGTGCCAATATCGAGACCGTCTGCATGACTGGCGACTATGAGACCGATGCCGCCGCCCTCCAAGCGTTCGGGACCGTCGACGCCGTCATCGACTTCACACCGGCCTTTGCATGCCAGTCGACCCACCTGAAGAGTGCGATCCGCTCGTTGCGTCGCGGCGGCCGCTGCAGCATGATGGGCTATGTCGAAGATGTAATCAATTGGAACGTCATCGCCCTGAACATCACCATAAAGGGGAAGCTGATGTATGAGAGGGACGATATCGTGCTGTTCGTGAAGATGTTGGAGCGAGGCTTGTTTCCTCGCGGGAAAGATCTCGTCGATCCGAAGGTGTTTAAGATGGAGGAGTGGAAGGAAGCCTTTGACGTTGCAGCCGAGTGGACAGGGATTGGTAAGACCGTCATGATTGAGCCGTGAGATGCCAATGCCAATGTCGTCGCTGTGGTTGTGCGGCTCTAAAGGCAGCCGAGTGAGCTCCACGCTGCATGTACTGTATCATGCAGTGAGGTAGTCAAGAAGTATCTTACCCATCATCATCCCAAGTTGAACACCACTTACTCCTACACTGGCAATGGGTACGCTCATGCTCCTCCCGGGGAAAGCGCCCTAGATATCAATCATCCTTGTCCGCCTCAACATCGGGCCCGGGCTGGCGCTGAGCTGGCTGGGGTCTTTGCCGCCTCTTCATCCTGACTCGCTCCTTTCCAAATTTCACTCAATTCAACTGCTCCTTTACCACGCCGTGTACCTTTCTGCGGAGTCCGCTTCGGAGACAGTGAGTTACATCTCGCGTTCAGAGGTCAAAGTGTCCAAGTCTTTCTTCAGCGTCGAATTTCCGCAGGCACTAACACCGGATTTTCTTCTTTGAACTTTTGGTGCTCGCTCGATGCATCACCGTCTTTCCTGCCCTTGTATTGCTGAAAGCAGATGTCGGCAAGCGAAGTGAGCGTACGACGACATTTGCGAAACTTGAAAGGCTAAAGGAAGGAATTCTGGCCGAGGCAAGTAAGTTAAGATATCCCGACGGACCATGGCTTCAACGAAGAGGTTATGTCTCCTATGGTCGATACGCTGGGAATCACTTGCGACAAAGTATGAAGTGACATAACGTACTACGAGAACAGCGCCGGCGGCGGTGTGTACAGCGTGCCAATGGGGAGCATCGATTGATATTACTCTCTGGGCTGGGATGCATATGCCAACAACGTAGCGGCCCTGCTGTGACGTGGAAATGATGCCAGGCACAGACTGACCAGACAGTCGAAATGGGAGTACAGCTAATGAATGGCGTTCGTTGGACGTACAGCCTTAAATGTCATCAACCATCTTGTCACGTGTCAGCCTTGCACACATGGAGTAATTACCATGACTCTGATTCGCCAAACTCGAACAGCGCTACTTAAGGTACCTGGAGAATACGGAGGACCATATACTCAAGCTGTACAGTGTGCGCGCCGTCGACGCTCCATGCTCCATGCTCCGCCGAACACAGCTTTCCCGAATTCTACTTGTGTCTTGGTAGAGCTCGCCGACGTCGTTGGACGTTGAACTTCGAACTTCTCCCACTGCTGCTCGTACTTGTTCACCGACGCCCATCCCCGGGAAGCTCGAAATAAAACACAGGTTCCTCTCATCCTCCTCTCTCCCTCGACCAGCCATGCCCTCGTACGAGGGTTTCCAGAGTTCCGGCCGCACGCCGCTGCGTGTATATGGCCCGCAGCCGACCTACAAGACCTATGTTTCTCCTTATGGGCCAAAGTACGTTCTCTTCTTTCGTCTCTCCTCTTCCTTCGTCTTCTCTTCCAATTGGCGCGTTGACATTGCTCCTTGGTGCTTCTTGCTATTCTCTGGTAGTCGAATCTCTCATCGAAGCACTTTTCTTCGTCGGTCGCAGTTCAGCTCCAACTGGCCTCTTTGGATATGCGCAATCAATTCTTCCGCTTCTTCTTCAGCTAACTAACGTTTCCGCTTTGATCTAATCTGTAGGACAAAACACGTCCCGAACCTCCTGGGTCTGACCCCCCTCAAGGCCTTCCGCTACGGCGCAATCGCATCCGGCTACGGCATTGCAGCGGGCCTGATTGCGGTCTTTTTCTTGGGCGACGTCCCCCGCGTCCGACACGACATCCTGCAGAATATCCCAGTCGTCGGCGGCTTATTTGTCAAGGAGGAGATCGCCCCGGAGGACAATCCTTTCTAAGCGCTGCGCTCCCGCCCGAGGAGAATCATCTCGGAACAGCGCCATGTGGAGGGGCATGTGAGGATGCAAGATAAGAAGAAGAGGAACTGCAAGCACTGAGCATGGATGTGGACTGTGTGGGACAAGGAAGTGATTGTCCGTTGGGGAGATGGCAACGCAGAACTGTACATATCACGCAAGTGGGGGTTGGTGGTCCACGGTGCTGAGAGCGGGAAAACCAAAACTCCAGACTTAGGGAGGACTGCTGCGCTGTGAAAGAAAAAGAAACTCGAGGCATAAAATACGATAAATCAATGAAGAGCTTTTTTGGCAATCCATGTGATCCTGGAAACAGGCCAGACAATTCACCCATAAATGGAACCTTGTTTGCTGTAGTGAGCGAACTCTAGACTAGGAGTATTTGGAACTGGCAGCCATTGTGGTACAGGGCGTTGTGAAGAACGGGAAAAAAAGCTTGACTTTGGAAGGAAAGTTTGATCCGACCCAGGTGTCTGGGTTGTCCTGGTCTGGCAAGGATATCATATCTACAAGCTTGACTTGGCTCTTCAGCTCAACCCCTTTTGTAGGAAAGCATCTATACGGTGTCCCCACGTTCGAAATACACCCATTGTCCAGGCGGGGTCTTCTCCTCGAGCTCCTCCCAACTAGAAAAGGGTCAACATCAGAATCAATAGTGAATGGTCAATAGGAAGTCCGTAGGGTTAAACGCACACTTTATGTAGTAGCAATTCGTCGACGAGAGCCAGCTCGCCCTCGGCAACTTGCACAACCTCTTCAATCAGGCCGGCGCCGATCTTCTTCTCGATATCCTCGATCCTGCGACATTGTTAGCAAGCGGGCATTGAACCAGAATCCCGCGCAGCCGAGCAGCCGAGCAGACCGAAAACGTACTGATCCTTCGTCAGGGGCGGTTCGACCTCCAGATCTTCGACGCTGGGCAATCGACCTTCCTCGGCCTCGCGGTCGACGGACTGGACCTCCTTGTGTATGATGGCGGCCTTCTTCTCGGCCTGGACCTGGGTGTTGGAGCCCTCGGGCAGGGCGTCGCCCCTCTTCACCACGCCGTCCCAATTGTCAATCGGCTCGACGTGTGCTTTTTCACTCGACAGCGTGCCGTCGGCGTGCGTCAGTTTGCCGTAGGCCGCCGGGTTGGCGTCGATCTGCTTGCGCACCCGTTCCAGCCATTGCTCGTAGCCTTCGGGCTTCGTCGCCTCCACGATCTCCAGCCGCTGCTTGGTCAACGCCTCTACCGATTGCCGGTACACAGACGATGTCGGAAATGCTTGTAGTTTCTTTAGTGTCTCGCGGTACGTGTAAATGAGAGCTGGTCGAGGCGACGGGTGCGTCAATAGTCCGGTCAGTCCGGTAGGGGTGTAGGGTTCGAGAAATTTCGAGGCCGGCTTGACCGTCGCAAAAAGCCGGGATGTCGCTCGCATCGTGAAGAGCCCAGGCACTGAGAACTGCACGGCGGGGGAATCGTGGGCAATGCAATCTTTAATCAGGTCTCTTTCTTCAACGCTTGGAGCTCGAGACGCTTCGTCGGATCATTCGAGTTCCTGACGTCGATCGCCATTGGCTTGGCATATATCACGCCGCTTCTACAGAACTCCAGTTCCTGGTAGGTGCCGGGATAAAGGAATGCACTTCGTGTTGTATCCGTATGGATTACATGTACGTTAACAGCATCTATTCGAGCATGGTAGCGCTCCTGTACCATGCTGAGCTCTCTATTATTGCTTGATTCTGACGCGGCTTCAACTCGCTCGCCCTAGCCCAGGTAGCCATCCATCACCCAGGCTCAGAGGGCTTCAGCTGGGATAAGCACTGCCTTGATGGTTCAGACCCGAAAACGTTGCCCTCAAAGTGCAACCAACAACTCCATCAATCCAGTCGTAGTCCTTATCATGATATATGCATCGGGTCTCCTGGCTCATGGGTTTCAACCAGCAAAAGCAGACTGCCTGGAAGGCTCGACTGGAAGGTTCGAAATGCTAGTTCCATGCATTCCCCCAACTCAATATCAGATACAGGTAGCAGAGAGACAATACATGCCTTTCGAGACGCTCTATTCGCCAAAAAGCCTCCGTACTCTCCTCAAAACGCTGTCTTTCTCTGGATCATAAGGATGATCTTTGCTGGGGATCTCGAGAACCGCTGGAAACGCATCTCGGAACTTGTCGACAGTATCTCGTATCTGCTCCGCGATCTGCTGTATATTAGCCAATGTCACACCTTCCCCTACGTCGTTTCTCCTGGCCCTTGCAGGCCCAGACTTCTCTCCCGAATGACCCAGTGGTCTATACATACATGTTGGTTTATTAAGACAATGCCAATATCCTTCCGTTCTTTTGTAAAGCTGTTGAATGCCTTCTCGATTTCAGACTTTTCGGTCTTTGAATCACACACGAGGAAATTCTTCTGCGAGTCGGGAGGGTCTGTGACATGGCCAATGCCTGCGAGAAGAAGGCCTGTCACGGAACTGACGAGCGTCAGTCAGGCACAGTTGTTCCCAGGCATGTGTCTGGAGTATAACTTACTCTTCGTCTCCTATGACGGCGAGGAATTGTCGGTCCTGTCAATATATTGTAAGCATGGCCCCTACCACCGCCGAAGGGCATGTACCTTGTACGCCGCTGGGGCCGCCATCTCCCCGACCTACGACTGCCGCCTCGTGAACAGCTGAGCCGATTCAGCCGTAACCGTAACCGTTTTGACGAGAGCGAGTGTCAAACCGATAGCTTCGGTGGCGAGGATCGAGTAGACCGTGCGGCTGTTGGAAGTAATGGGAAACGTCGCTGCGCAGTTGGAACATGGCGATACGGCTGAGCTTCACTCCGCACCTGCACCGATCTTATCTTATCTGAATCCTGGACGTGATTGGCCTATGTCATTGTTTACCAGGGATGCAGCATTCAACTTTCCGCATTTCCCATTTCAAGCAGTGGCATGCCACATTATCTCGTCTGCGAACTCAGGCCCTCTGTCAATTCAACTCTTGGGGGGAAATGCCTGCTGCGGTCTGTCCTCAGGCCTCTCAGCACCCAAAATGCCCAAGTTCGTTCGGCGTCAGCCAGTCAGCGAGCGGATAAAGGCCTACCTCAACCCCTACGATTTTCTCCTGTGGCTCTCAGAAGAGATCGAATCAAATGGATGGGATCAGCTCGAAAAAGAGTGGGCTACACCTATCGGCCTTGCCTTGAATCTTGTCTTCCTCCTCGCCCGGGCCAATTCAAAAGCTTTGTCCAAGGGATACGACGACGTGTTCGGAGATGTTTCGAGGATTGCATGGACAGCATGGCTGGTAGGGTAAATCTCAACTTCAGACTGCTCGAGCGACTGACGGCTGTAGGCCACCTTCATTGTTCACTTCCTGTCCTTATTATGCATCGTCAACGCAGCCTACACATTCTGGCGCAGCAAGCACTACCGTTTATTTGAGAGCTCCGTGGATAATGTCCCGAGCACGCCCTCTGCCAAACGCGTCCGAGTCGATTCATCTCCTGTATCGTCGTCCCCTCTACGATTTCTTTCGAACATCATAGGCACAGATGCCGCACAATCGAGGGCGCACCCGGATCCCACCCGAGACGTCTGGGAGGTGGCTGTCTGGGATCCTCTGCCTGTCTCCCTTCGCCTGTTTTGCCTGTTCAGTCCTGGCCATGTTCTCATATACTGGCTCTTCTTGCCTACCTTAGCCGAAGACCCTCGACCAAGCGTGACGATTGTAACGGCTATGTTTTTGGCATTACTGCTTTCCATACAGCTGTCCCTTCTGCAATCAAGCTATTCGACGCAGAGCAGAGACACAGCATTTATTTCAAAAGAGGTCCTACACGAGTACGACACAAAATACGTCAGACCCAGAACACAACATCTGTACAGAGACGTGGGCACCCAGTTCAGTGAACAAGCCTCCTACAGTACTAGTCGCGACGTACAATACAACAAGGTCGATGTGTATACACCTATGGTGGTCATTAACCGTGGCTTCAAGACACACCCAAATCCAAACTACTCCCGGCACACAGACCCGGAGGGTGTTGGTAGTTCGAGAGATTTAAGGCAGCACATGAAGACGCCGGATTTCAGGTCGACAGCTCCAAGCGCCCAGGCTGGGTCGGCGATGCGGCCTTTGAACGCGATACGGCAGCCCAATTTTCGACCGACAGCTTCTGGTAGTGATGGAGGTAGTCTTGGTGTCTATACCCACGCAGCTTCTCCCCTCAGGAAGAGCGCGTCAACCAATTTCTCTCGTGAGTCTGGTGAGAGAACGGCTCGGAGCCCGGAGAAGAGGTCGATGAGTCCAGACAAACGTATGAGCGTACCTGCAGGAGGCGTCAACACTCTGGCGGCATCCCAGCGATGGAGTCACTTGAAGCCGGATAGACACAGACGCGAGAGTGGCCGTTTCTAGCTTGCAATGCGCAAAAATTTCGTGACGTTGACGTCCACATATTTGATATACGCTTCCAGCTACCTACCTGTCTTAACTCGGCTTCGATCGTGGCTTCCGCACGGTCCAAGGCTGGACCTCAAATATCGTGCAGTCCGAGCAACCGGTCCTCCAAACATCCGTTCTCGTGGGGCGTTGTCCTCAACACCACCCGGTATGCACAGACCAGTATATGCCCCTTCCATGGCCCGGCCTGCATATCATAGCAACCGTCTTTTCTGCCACGATGGCATTCACATCTCCAGGTTCATTTCAAGCATCCTACCCTTCGGCCTGTCGTCGACACGGTCGTGTAGTTTCATCTTCATCCATTTCATGCTCGAGTGGTCCGGAGCGAAGTGCAACTCGGCGACATCATCACGACGGCTCTCAAGGTGAGCATTCGCCAGGACACACCAGGGAGTTCGCTTGGAACCAATTGGCACAAAACCAACAACCTCCAAAGAAGCTTACTTTTGCGGCCTACGGGAACACCGGCAAATATACAGGCGAGCTTCAACCCCCAGGCGACATCTTCGAGCTACCGGATGACGGTGGGCGTCGTTCTATTGGCAGCCATCAGCCGGTGAGGACCTCACAGGGGGTGGATAGTTCGTCCATCCCCTTGGATCAGTCAAGTCGAAGGACAACTCTCTTCGTCGGTCACAGCAATCCGGCCCAAATTGGATCGACTCAAGCCCAGGCCGTAACACACGACCCAGGACGTCAAGCAGACGCTCATAGCACTGTGAAGATGCACCGTCCGATCGAGAGAGATGACTACCTGCTCGTCCGGGGCGCAAACCCAAGGACAGGACTTGTTACGCCCGGGGCGCACAGTGCAAACAGTTCCGTCGATCAAGGCCGATGGAGGCAAAAGGGTGACCAATGGATCAGTTCGGATCTGGATCAAACTTTACCCATGTCAGGTTATCCCCAGGCCACTCCGCCCGAACCATACCACCATCGGCTCCGGACTCCACCAAGACTTTCCGCCGGGCACGGAGACGGTTCTTTTCCAGGAGTACAAAGACCTTCTCCCAGGCATGGACGGTTGCAAACTGCAGTCGCTGGCACACCACCGCAGAACAGGACTGTCACCCTTGATCTCCGACAACATACCAGCGGCATGGAACTGCCCACAGAAACTGCGAGGGCTATTCCCTTGCACAATGAATCTAATGATGAGTCGACAGTCCGGCGAAAACCTGTTGGCAGCCCCCCTGGTAGGACTTCGGCAGATCACGATTCTCAGAGACTCGAGCGCACGCCTGACAGCAGTGAGACGGTCCTCAAGAAACCCAGATTCAAGACGGAGTTGCGGTCTTCTTCCGCCCCTGATCCCCATAGGCTACGGATTGTGAGTCCCTACGATGTTAGCAAAGCCCTGCCGACGCTCCCTGCAAATGCTGCATTCCCGGCCATGGATTCGAACGCAGTCAATGCTGGAGAGGAGTCTTTTTTAGAGCCACGAATACCGTCAACGGCATCCAACGTCCCAAGTTCAAAAACCTCGAGCATCTCTGGCCATCCTATGACAGAAAAAGAACTACCATGTCTGCCGATGAACAGTGGCCCATCCCTGTTGAGGCAGGAATTGACGCCGCCTCCGGCGAGTGGGAGGGAAAGCAGTGGCAAGACCAGCGATTCCCCGACATGGCGGACGGTGACACCACAAGGCCCGCGACAAGACGACCCAGCACGCCTGTATGGCCGCACGGCAAGATCGACGCACCCTCCGGCGACAACACGACCAAACGTCCCTCTTGGGGAGCGTATGATGTCAATCCCCGTATACGACAACCCGCCGAAGCACCCATCGCCGTCGACACGGATGACTGGCCCAAGAGCAGAAGGCCCAAGACCTATGCCAGGTCCAGCGATGATGCCTCCGAACAGGCTACAAGGGGAGTTCAACATATCACCGAGTACCACTACCATATTCACAAACACAAACACAAACACGTCCATGAACAGGCCAGGAGTTCCAAGACCACTTCGCCTCGGTCCACGACCTTTAATACCGGAGGGGCCGATCATGGATCGTGGCCGTCATGGTTCAGGCCCCAGACCACCTCCGCCGCAGTCATACAGCATCGGCATGAACACCGACATGAACACGAATGTCGACCCCATGGTGTCCATTCCTCTTCCAAGGATAAGACCCAGGGCAATGACTCGGCCGCCCATGCCAATAAGAGCAGAAGCCATGTACGGCTTGCCAAAACTCGCCCCACACCACAATCGAGCAAACACCACCGGGATAGAGTATCCACCGACGTGGCCAGACGGAAGACTACAGCCCACGGCAAGACTCGACCCTCGAGGGTCAGAACTGGACCTCGTCCCACCACCGCTGAGACCCCGACAACCGAGTCACGATTTAGCCCGGCCCAAGGAGGTCCCCACGAAGAGCGAGTTGACAATGGAGGGCCTCGGTCTGATGAGGAAATGCAGCCGTTGTCACCACGGCTTCGTGGACGCCAAACTCCGTGGTACAGATAGTGTCACCCCTACGTCCGACCCCCAGAGGGAAGGCGTCGAAGCAGCCGAGGGCTCTAAGGTACTACATCCAGCCGGGAGTCCACTTCCAGGAGTACCAGAAGACATTGGTGAAAATGACGTGGTTCAATCGAAGACATCCTCCCCCGCACCAAAGGCCGATGTTGTTGTTGATGAACGCGACCACAGCATTTGTTGTCCGGACTGTTGCAAGGATGAGGACTGTCACGAAGGTTGTCTAGGACATCCAAGTCCAACCCCGGCATCGAGTCCAACCAAGAGCATATGGTCGGAAGCCCAGACATCCAGTAGTGCCAGCGACGTTGACGACTGGGACAATACGGATGACACAGAGGGCAGTGAGAAGGGGAGATCCAGCCCGTTTGCCTTCGTCAAGGCCGCCCTGAAACGCTCACGAAAGAAGAAATCGCAGTCCAGCTTGGGTATCAATGCATCCCCGTTCGAACTCTCAGCCCATCCCCGGACCCCCGTAACTGGGTCTCGAGAAGACTCGGCTAGGAATGCGAATGATGCTTTATCCGCCGCTCTCAGCGCCACCGGGTCGCCAAACCCGATGATATCTGGGCGTCGAACCCGCCAAAGACAGCGGAGTTCCAGCGTGCCCTCGATTGGAGTTGGCGTCCCAGGGTCCAAGTCTGACGGCTCTCGACTGAGAGTTCCTACACCGGCCGGATTGGCCATTGCGTGTTCTGGCGCGCCCAAAAGTCAAAGTCGCAGTGTCAGCGGCACCAGTGTCGCTACGTTTGAGCTGCAGGTGCCAGGGTTTGGGTCTCTGGGCGGCAGTGCCATTGGAGACATGGTGCTGGTGCCGTTTGAGGCCAGCAAGATGTGGATTCGAAATCACCCTCAAGCCATGACGCTCGGATGGGATGTGTTGGAACGAGGGTGGCAGATGGGCCGGACCATGACTGCGACGGGATGGCGGATTTGGGCGGTGGTCTTTGTCTACTCCAAGACGGGCAAGTTGAAGTTGAAGCTGGCCAAAGGAGAAACCGCCGGCGGGTTTGTGATCGACTGCGCGCGAAGTCTGGTGTACTTGATGATCTTTGCGGCCGTCGGTGTGTTTGTCATGCGCGTCATGAGGGTGGTGTTTGGTATGGCCAGTCTCGTGGGCTGGCTTTTCCACGCCGTTTTTTGGCTCTTGAAGCAAGTCCTGGGCTTTGGTTTGGCTCGATGATGAGCATGATCAGTGATGATGACCAGTGATGCTCGCTCATCCAGCACGACATGGATAGGAACAGAGGCAGGACAGGGACAGGAACAGAGACAGGGACACTCTTGAGTCATCATCCTCACACACACCATTCTTAGGCAGGTAGATCAATTAGGTAGAATGAGCATTCCGTTCCAATCGACTCTGACTTTGTGAACCAAACCGAGTACAGGTCACCACAGGAAACTGCTGTGAAGATAGTAATTACCAAGTGGCCAGAAGATGATGATAATCGAGTCCATGACTATATTTTGGTATTGGCGCAGCAGGGATCCAGAAGTACATCTACATCTATATCTATCTATATCGATGCATTTCCCTAGCAAGGCGTAGCAAGGCAAAGCAAGGCAAAGCAAAGCAAAGCAAAGCAAGGCATGACAAAGCAAAGCTAAGCAAAGCACAGCACAGTATAGGGCAACTAAGTACCAATACTAGTATCAGGTAGTATGCAGAATATAGTATATAGTATATAGAATACGTTTACGTGGTATAGATAGATGATACAGTAAAGGTAAGTAAGTATATGCCTCTTCGTTCGGCTATTTAATCTGTACAGGGACCCAGGGATAGGTAATATAATGTTGATATTTATACGCGGACCCAGGTGTAGATAGATAATACAACGTTTATTCATACGTGGACACCTAGGAGTAGATACCTAGATAATACAATGTTGATATTTAGCCGTCTCACGTCTCGGACAGAGATATATATAAGGAACAGTTTTGGAAGATGGAAGATGGAAGATAAAGTTGTTTCATGTCATGAACTAGGCGCGAGGCGTTGCTTTCGTCCTGCTTCCTTGATTCCTTCACTCTTTTGCTCATTGCATTCCTTGATTTCTTCATTTTCCCCCCTTGCTTTTCCTTTTCTTCATTCCTTCATTCCTTCATTCCTTCATTCCTTCATTCCTTTTCCGTTTTTTCCTTTTTTCCCACAACATAATGTTTGTAGGTGTGAGGTGTGAGGTGTGAGGTGTGAGGCGAGCACGTTACGGTAAGAGGGTTGCCGGACAAGTAAGCTGTAAGGTAGGTCCTGTACAGTACAGTATCTGGGGCCACTTAGTCCTTAGACGTGGGCTTGGGCTTGGGCTTGGGCCAACAATTGTCCCTACTCCCTACTTCACCATACTTCGTGTGAGGAATACCACCACCACCCACCACCACCACCACTCATTGCATAACACCATTTTCACTGTAACACCATTTTTGTAGGCTGATATTCACATGGTTGTGGTAGATGGTTGTGGTTGGCATGTGATCCTCGCTGCACCATACAATACGGTCAAACCTAATCCCCAAACAGACCCAGGCAGCCGATCCGCTCATACAGCACAATGGCGAGACAGCTAGCCACGACGGCGACGACGGTGACTGCGGGAGCCACAACCACGGGAGCATGTTCATCGGGAGCCACAGCCACGGGGTCATGTTCATCAGCGACAGCGACTGTCTCTCCCCTGCAGCTATCCTCGTCGGCCGAGTTCGAGTGATGCACCCTAGAACGTGGGTGGGATTGAGAAAAGATGGTCAAGGCCCCCAGAACCCGGTAGTCGCGCCGCTGCTTGTACACGGCGACAATGTGGCCGTCGGCGTCTTCGAGGCACAGATTGCCGTTTGCGGCGGCGTGGCCGTCGTCTACGCCAGGAAGGGCCAGGATCTCCCTTTTCGGTCGGCTGCGCCACGTGTATCTTGAACCGGAATGTGTGCTGGGTCGGCTGGCGCACGTCATGCAATATTGACGCTTGGCGCCGACTCGTCTGATGGTCAAGCGAGTGCGCATGTCGGTGTCGGAGTCGGTGTCGGACTGGTCGTCGAGCGACGAGTGCAGCGTGCGGTCGAAGTGCATGGCTGGTGTCAAGTTGAACACGGTCATGTCGATGTCGAGATGGCTGATGCCTTCCCAGCCCCGGTACTTGATCTGAGCGAGAGGATAGGGGTTAAAACTAGGGTTTGCGTCATTTCCCTCTCCCTTCCCCTTCCCATTCCCCGGCACCCCGACCTCTCGTTACACTGTAGTCTCGTGATCTCGCTTGCATGCTGCTGTTGGTACTGCTCATGCTGCTGCTTATGGTACTGGTCCTGGTAGCCGAGGTCCAGGTCTGGGTGAGACTGATAGATGGCGAACGATGGTGGAAGCATGGCCAACACCTTCCACCATTTCAGCTGACTGGTGATAAGTCGTGGTGCTGGTGCAGACAACGTGGACGTGGATATGAAGGCGCTGGAACCACCGACGTCGACACCGACGTCGACCACTTCTAGCTGGAGGTTCTGTGGGTAAACCAATCCCAAGGCCGTGCTTTTGAGGATCTCGAATCGCCGGATATGCTGTGGTTGGAAGCCGACGTCTCGCTGCTCTGGCTCGCGGACCGCTCCGGGACTATTTGAGTCGGGGGCGCGTGGCCCAGCCATAGAGATTCATTGAATGAATCTTCGAATCGAGATGGGGGAGGTGGCGGCTGGGCCTGGGCCTGGCCCTGCTTCTGCTTGCCTTTCTTTCGCGTCTTTTCTTCCTTGGGATGGCACGGGCAGTCCCCCTGAAACCGGATTTCTCGGAGGGTGATGGTGGTGTAGCGTCTGCGGCCATTGATGACCGTGTTAGCTTGTTCTTCGGGGAAGAGTGTGTTGTAGGAGGGTAGTATGTCTGGCTCGGTGGCCGTAGTAGAACTAGTAGAACTAGATGCCATTGTTGACAAGTGACAAAAATCCAAATCCGGGGAAGACGAAAGAGCAAGGCAGAAAGAGGGCCGCCCGAGTGGGAGGACGATACATATGTGTACCGACTCCAGAGTACTATGAGGTCAAGGGTGCACAAAGACAATGAAACTCACAGGACAGTACACTGCACAGCAACCCGCTGGCTCCGCTGGCTCCGCTGGAACCCAAGTGCCGACGGGTGGGTATATCAGCAGGGAAGAATTGTTCGTCACAAGGCTCGGTCGGGGTCGCGGTTGGGTGGCGGGGGGCTGGTCTGGGTCCGGATCGGATGCTCACGGAAAGGGCGGTGTCAGTGTGTTGGATGTTACAGAGTACTGTATTGGTCGTCGTATGGGATCCTGATGCTGATGTGGCCGATGCGTCAGCGCAATAATAATGACTTGTTTCCGATCAATTGGGCTTCGGATCTTCCCATTCGATCTGTTTCGGCCACCAGAATAAGGTGGAATCGCAATTGCTTCCTGTCAGGCTTTGGGCGATGTCGAGCATGTACTATACAGAGCAGGCGGCCATGTCATGTCAGATGGAAAATGCATGAGACCATTGGCATAAGGGATCTAAGGGCCCAGCTGGATATATAATCATAAAACAAGTTGGCGAGCACATGAGCCTGGAGTCAGCCTTAACCTTTCCTCCCCTGCCCAGGCTGATCACGCGACCGGCATGATGGTTGGCCGTGACAGGTCGGGCATGTCCTCGATTGGCCAAGGTGAGAGAATATTGTTGTCGAACCTACTCTGGATACATTGTATAGGATATAGGATATAGGATATAATTAGATCCATGGCTGTGGTCTGGTGGCTAGTTCGCATTCGTATTCGCATTCCCCCGTGGAGAAGGCTCAGCGTGTGTTAGACCGAGAAGAGAGGGTATGGAGAACAGAGAACGCGTATATCTATCTATCCATGTCTACTGTGTATGCTGACACCACAGCTTTTGTGCCATGGATGTACTGTCGAATAACCCGCCGGCCTTTGTGCCTCGGTCGCGAAAGTGAGGGATTTTCGGACAGTCATTTCCTCCGTACTACGTATCCGACCTGCGAATAAGGTAGGCACTAACTGCATGGTTAGGGTTAGGGTTAGGGTTAGGGTTAATGGTACTCAGGTACTGGGTGCTGTGTTAGTGCGTACTACAGGAATGTCACCCCAAAGAGACAGGTAGGCCGAGACCCTCCAGCAGCCAATCATCCACAACAGCTTCGACCCCCGGATTCGGAAGCTTTTTCTACTCACTTCGATATTTGACATTCGACATTCGACATTCGACAACCTTCCCTCCAAGTTCAATAACGCTGGTTGTTATGTGATGGTTGTGACACGCTCGAAACCTTGTCCGCTCTCCTAGCTCCTAGTCTGCCCTCCTACCTCGTCAACCTCAGCCTCAGCTATGAAACAACTACCCGCAACGTTGCTCCTGAGAGCTCTACGCCCACGCCCACGACTTTCTCCTCGGGTACCTCTGGGACGAGGAGGCTCGGCATGCGCCTCCCCTCGTAGGTACGCTTCGACCACTGACAGTCCTTCCACTGGCCCATCACGGTCATGGCTGCTCAATTTCTCTTATGGTGCCACGCTTGCTCTCGGCCTGGGCATCGTCTATGTCTACTTCACAGACACGAGGGCTAGCGCTCATCGCTATATTGTCGTCCCTGCCCTCCGGATGATCTACCGGGATCCAGAAGAAGCCCACCATGCCGGAAATCAAGCATTGAAGACGCTTTGGGATCTGGGTCTCTACCCCCGAGAGCGGGCGGACCTCGACCAGAAAGGTGATCTGGAAGTCGAGGTCTTTGGCCACATCCTCAGGAACCCAGTTGCCACGTCGGCGGGGATTGACAAGCATGCCGAGATCCCCGATGCCCTCTTTGCCATCGGCCCGGCCATTGTCGAGATTGGGGGCACGACACCCTTGCCGCAAGACGGTAATCCCAAACCCCGAGTCTTCCGGCTACCTTCTCAAGAAGCCATGATCAATAGGTACGGCTTGAACTCTCAAGGCGCTGATCACGTGGCATCGAGACTACGGGACCGAGTCAGAAGGTTCGCTCATTCCCTCGGCCTAGGGAATGACGAAGCTGCAGAAAAAGCCGTTCTGGATGGCATCGCTGGCGTACCTCCTGGAAGCTTGATCCCTGGCAAACTTCTTGCGGTCAACATTGCCAAGAACAAGATCACTCCGGAGGATGATGTCGAAGCTGTGACCAATGACTACGTGTATTGCGTGGAACAACTGGGCCCCTATGCTGACATCCTGGTTGTCAATGTCTCCAGTCCCAACACTCCTGGACTTCGGTCGTTGCAGCAGGCCGACAAGCTCCAAACCATCTTGAGCGGCGTTGTCAAGGCCGCCCATGCTGTCGAACGACGAACAAGACCTGCCGTCATGGTCAAGGTGAGCCCGGACGAAGATTCAGACGTCCAGGTTGCCGGCATTTGTGATGCCGTTTGGGCTGCTGGAGTCGATGGGGTTATAGTGGGAAACACTACCAACCGAAGACCCAAATCCTTACTACATTTGGCGGACTGGACTCCGTTGGAAGAACAACACTTGCTCGAGACGGGCGGCTTTTCCGGCCCTCATTTGTTTGACCGCACAGTCGCCCTGGTGAAAAAATATAAGAAACTATTGGCAGAGCGGCCTCCGTCTTTGAAGCCTGCTCAGCGACAAAAAGGCGCCCTGGAAGCAGAAGCCGGGAAAATCAAGGCTGAGCTCGAAGCCAAGTCAGACCCGTCACCAACATCAGAGCCGGATGCTGTTACTACACCGATAGACAATGGTGTTGTTGCTGTCCAGCCTATTACCGAACATCCTTCTTCGGACCAGCAGCCTCTGGTTGATCCACCACAAGAGCGTGCTACTGATTTGCAGAGTTCGCCGGCGGAACAGGACACATCAGATGCTGCTACTCAGCAAGTGGAAAATCCATCCACACAGCCACCAGAGGTGTCCGCCCGTCTCGAGGCAATTCGAGAAGACCTGGACCGACTGCCCCCAAAGGAACAGCGAGATGCCGTTGACCAGACAGAATCAGATGGTCAGCCAAGTTCTACCGACCAGCCGAAAGTCATCTTCGCAACTGGTGGCATCACGAATGGCAAGCAAGCGTTGGAGGTCCTCAATGCAGGTGCCAATGTTGCCATGGTCTACACTGCCCTGGTGTATGGAGGGGCGGGCACCATAACAAGGATGAAAGACGAGATGCGGGCTGAGATGAAACGTCCCGCGGGAGAAGCACACCCAGGAGCCCGAAAATAATGCCAAACTAAAACAACTTGAATCTCGCCCACTCTATTGTGGCTGCTCCAGCTCTAGCGTGATGGTTTTCTGTAAAATTCCCCTGCCACGGACATCTGTCATCCCCTCCCCAATCAGGCGGAACCCGCATTTGCCCAATAACCGAGCGCTTGCCGCATTCTCCGCGTCGGTCCTGGCTCTCAACACCTCAGGCTCAGAGACCACGGAATCTGCATCAGATGCAAATGTCGATGTCGATGTCGAATCTTCGCTTTCGATCACCACTTCCCGCCTGGGCAATGCCCACCAAGCCTGGAGCCATCGCTGCAGTGCTTCAAAGGCGTATCCCTTACCCCAACTTTCCTTCCTGAACATGTACCCAAGTTCCGGAGGATCCAAAATATGACAGCCGAGAACACCAATGACCTTTCCTGGACTTGTCAATTCTTCTACCGCATAGTTGAAAGTGATGGCATCGTTAGGGGGTAGAAATCTATTCATCCAGACTTGAGTGACTTCCCGGTCGGCGTCAATTTCCCCTGTGCTGGTCCATTTCATCACCTCGATCTGCGTACGAAGGGCATGGAGGTCTGCCAGGTCAGACTGTCTAATAGGCCGCAGGAAAAGACGCGTGGTGGTTAGAGGTGCAGCTGGAGCGAGGAGAATTGGTCGGGTGGTTTTCTTCATCTCGGACCGCAAACGCCGCAATTGAAGGATAGGCTAGACTCGGTAGACTACCAGGTGGACAGCATACTACATATGTAGATATGGAACGGGCAGGACAGGCAATATCACTGCATCAGAAACTCATGTCGCTTAGCCTGGGGGATTGAATTGGCGACATTAGAATAGAACTAGTCCTGGAACAGCTAGAGCAAGACCGTTCTTGGCGCTCGGAAAAGTTGCATCTTTTCCGATAGCGATAAGAATATTCCCCAGTCACCGACTAGAAATTTTGTCTCGAAGGAGGACCAGCGGTGCATTTCACTTCCCGCCACGACCAGCCTCTTCCCTCTCACCTCTTCACCATCGTCCTCAAGGGTCAGCCGGCAAGATGAAGACCACTTGGAAGGACATTGCACCGGTCCCGACCTCTCAGGAATTTATCGACATTGTCCTCAGTCGAACACAACGGCGACTGCCCACTCAGATTCGCGCAGGCTTCAAAATCAGCCGAATCAGAGGTTAGATTTTATCAGACAGGAGACATGTCCGGCCATCCTAGCTAACCCATATGTCCAGGTTTCTACACCCGAAAAGTCAAGTTCACCGCCGAAACCTTTAGCGAGAAGCTTCAGGCCATCCTTGAAGGATTCCCCCGCCTGCAGGACATCCATCCTTTCCACAAAGATCTCCTCAACACCCTCTACGATGCCGACCACTTCAAGATCGCGTTGGGCACTCTATCCACCGCCAAACGATTGATTGAGACGGTCTCCAGAGACTACGTCCGATTGTTGAAATATGCCCAGTCCTTGTTCCAATGCAAATCTCTCAAGAGGGCCGCCCTGGGCCGGATGGCCACAATTTGCAAGAGATTAAAGGATCCTTTGGTCTATCTGGAACAAGTCCGACAGCATCTGGGTCGTCTTCCAAGTATCGACCCAAATACCCGAACACTACTGATCTGCGGCTATCCTAATGTCGGAAAGTCGAGTTTTCTGAAATCCATTACCCGCGCCGACGTTGATGTGCAGCCTTACGCCTTCACGACAAAGTCGCTCTTCGTGGGACATTTCGACTACAAATATCTGAGATTCCAGGCCATCGACACGCCGGGTATTCTCGACCATCCACTGGAAGAGATGAACACGATCGAAATGCAATCAATTACGGCGATTGCCCACTTGAGATCCGCCATTTTATACTTTATGGATCTCTCTGAACAGTGCGGCTACTCTGTATCTGCACAGATGGCCTTGTTCAATTCGATCAAGCCACTGTTTGCCAATAAATTGGTCTTCATCGTGATCAACAAAACGGATGTGACCAAACCCGAGGATCTTGACCTCGATCAACAACAAGAACTCAAAGACCTTTTGACGCAAAACTCCAACACCGAGCTTCTTCAGTTGTCATGTGTCACCAGCGAAGGAGTTCAAGAAGTCAAGAATACCGTCTGTGACCGATTGATTGCCGATCGCGTGGCTGCCAAACTGAAGGCTGGTCAAGCATCTCAACCCTCAGACGCCGATGCTCCCACGGGCCGCCTTGGCGATCTTCTCGCTAGAATTCACGTGGCTAGACCTCTTGCAGGCTCCGTCAGCGAGACGTACATTCCTGAGGCAGTCAAGAACGGCACGTACAAAAAATACGACAAGTCTGACCCTGAGAGGCGAAGGCTGGAGCGAGATGTCGAAGAAGAAAATGGTGGTGCTGGTGTATACAATGTCGATTTGAAGAAGATTTACGATCTGGCTGACCCCGATTGGGCTCATGACAAGATTCCGGAATTCTTCAATGGGAAAAACGTCGCCGACTATGTTGACCCGGACATTGAAGAGAAGCTGGCGGCACTGGAAGCAGAAGAGGAACGATTGGACGCCGAAGGGTTCTATGATGAGAGCGAGAGTATGGAAGACGAAGATGACGCCGAGATTCGCATGAAGGCCGACTTGATCCGAAACAAGACGACGCTAATCAGGAACGAGGCACGGATGAAGAAGAGTCTCAAGAACAAAGCACACATCCCTCGAGCCAAGAAATCCCGAACGTTGGGCCAGATGGAGAAGCATTTTACCTCCATTGGACTCGAGTCGTCCGCCACCGTCGACCGAGCCCGAGCACAGATCCGCAATGTCCGGCCTGGATCTACAGCGGGTGATGAAATGGACATTGATACACCTTCAGCAAGGGCCCGATCTGTGTCTAGGGCGCCCAGGACCAACCGGCTCACAGACGGATTGGGCTCTAGTGCCACCGGAATCACCGACCCCGTCAAGCGAGAGAAGGCAGCACGCATGTCGAAGCTCAGTCAGAGAAAGATGAACCGCATGGCTCGGCAGGGTGAGGCTGATCGGCACGAGACGGCGTCCTTGCCGGCCCATTTGCTCAAGGGCAAGAGATCGATGGGATCTGCCAGATCGCGATAGATGGACGCAAGACTACGATTGATGATGGCAACGACGAAACTACTGCCCACGACAGGCCCGTTGACTCAGAGACCTCGCCTCTACTGTTCACATTTCCCAGGTCCGAGATCAAAGCACCGCGCTAGCGCGTTGCCGTCACCCCAGACATCCGATGGGAAGTTGCCTTGACTCGAAGTTGAAGGAAGAAAAGAAAACCAATGGATCCAAGTCTGTTTTCGTTGCATTTTCTCTTACCATGAACACTGCAGTGAGAGTGGCGACCGGGGCCTGGAACCTTTCTTCTCACTACAACACAGCGGCGCTGGCAACTGACCAGCTGGACCAGCTGGCGATGTCAACGCGCCGTGGAGGGCAACCAGGCCAGCAATTATGCCGTGTAAATGGACTGATGCGGACTGGGGTGGATGAAAGGTGATGGAGAGTGGACTCGGTGTCTCATAGATTGTGTCGTGATGAAATGCTTGAACAATTCAAAAGGCGCAGGAAAGGAAAGGCTCTCGAGGGCAAGAGCCACCTTTGGAATCTACGGGAAGGCGCCGGGGGACCGATGGACTAGAAACATTTATCTTCAGACCTGTTCGCTCTGTCCGTCTTTCCTCCTCATCACACTATACTGCAAAAATTTATTGACATGGTTATTTTGTTCTAGCCCTCTCGGCCCCAAAGCCATTGTGGTCTTGTTCAGGAACTGCTATCTAATTCACTTTTTCCAAAGCCCTAGCCCTGACTGTGGCCCTTGCATAGCATCCGATTGAAGCTGTATTCATTGTTCAGTCGACCGTGCAAGCGTCAAGAGACACTGTGCCCCAGACCTCTCTCTCCAACCCTCCTTCAGATCCATCCCGTGGGCCTTTGGGGGCGAAGCCGGTCCCTCATTCCGTTCCCCCACCAGCAAGCTTGAAACTCATCACTATGGTGCCTCCCGATTCGCAAGACGAAATCAACGAAGCCGCCGAGACATTGGCGAGCCTATCCCTGGACACTGCCAATTCACCTGAGGCAACTAGGTCAGACGAGAAGAGCGCAGGCCCCCCAGCCCCCCCAGGCCCATCTAGTCTACGGTCAAAGGTCGTCAATAGCTACGTCAATGGTCTGATCGTTAGCACAACCGTCCAGGCACGCCGTGTCAGAGTGAAGAGTCAAGAGTTGCTGGAGATGATGAGCGAGCGCGCGCCGGACGAGGACGATGAGATGGAACTAATGGTGTCCGAGTTCCTGATCAAAGCCAACCTCTCCAGGAGCCAGCTGAAGATCAACCAGAACAGAGCCTTGTTAGCCTTGGATGACTAGGAACAAAGTGTCAACAAGGACGACGCGGTGGAAATGGCAAGGATGGAGTACTCGAGAAAACTTCAAGCCCAGCTGCGGAAAGATATTGCAGCACTTTCCACCACCTGGACCTCTCTCGTGGTTAAGATGGCGACACGCCTCCTTGGCCCGACCGGATTTGAGGACTTTGACTTTAGCCAGACACACAGCTCGGCAGAAGAGGAGGCCATCTTTAATCAAATCACGAACCAGCTCCTCACGAGGCTGGCGAAGATTGTGGCGGAGGAGGGTAGGGGATATTTTGGACCGTTGGAGCGACTGAGCAGCGAGAGTCAGGAAGACGAGAATGCCAGTGTCTGAGCTCATTAGCAGCTCAGCAATCAGCAGCAATCAGCATGGATTTCAACCTGTACCATTGTAATACACTTATACATGCGAGGGTGTGAGAAACAAGAGCCGTGTTGGTCAGATACTGCTATCCAGAGTAGATGTCCTCGATATGTTCAGCAGCAATCCAACTTGGTCATTGATGTAGGTCCAAGCTCATCTGTTCTAGGGCACTGCAACACAAGTCCAGTCCCAGTCCTCCTCGTAAAACGTTGTTGGGGACGGTCATTGTGGACGGTTCGTTGGTCTCGGCCGGTGGCAGGATCTCTCTGGAGAACAGAGCAAGGAGAAGAAGGTGGACTGGCACTGGATCGGATCCCTGTGCCATATGCCATATGCCATGCTGCATACGGTATCCCGGTTTATCATGATCAATTGGCCGCAGAGGCGGGAGGCTTACCTGGCTCCACATCACGTCGCAGCTCGTTTTGCGGGGAAGAGGAACATACACGTCGACGGCGGCGACATACAGTAACTAGTAAATTGTCATGGACGTGGTTGTGGGTGACCTGCTGTTCTACCCGCGGCCGCCACCGCCAACGCCATCTCCATTGCTGTCGTCAGCAGCGCAGGAGCTCAGCTCAGCACCGTGACGTCCGTCGTGATTACGCCTGAGCAGGACCACGACCGTGACCATGACTGACACCAACGACCACGTCCAGCAAGCTCAACCTCCCCTTCCACTTCCACTTCCATCCCCATCCAGCCCGTCCTTCGCTCACCATCCCCGTCCCCCATCATGGAGCGGCTCTATGGACGGCACCACCATCCATGCATCACCAGGATTTTCGCAGAAGCAACAGCAACAGCAATTGCAACAGCAGCCGCAGCAGCACAGCCGCAAGAGGTCGGCTGACCACCTCCCCTCGGAGCCGCATGTTTCACGCAAAGGGCGGGCTTGTCTGGCCTGTCGCAAGCTGAAGATCAAATGCGACAGTCTAGAGCGCGGCGATGCCGGGTGTTCGCGCTGCCTACGCCTGGGTCTGGACTGTATCACTTCCAAGCGCATGAGGGTCGGTTTGGAGGACGATGGCGACAACCCTCACCCCTCCATCGTCCGGCTTGACCGTGCGGTCGAGGACATTCTCGCACATCTGAAAATGCCGCCCTTGCACTCGTATCTACGCACTCACCCATCCCAGCCGCCGTCACAGTCACAATCACAAGCTACGCATCCGAATCCAAATCCCAATCCCAATCCCAATCCTAGCCGCGGCGAAACCAACCCGCGGACGACACGAGAGAGCTCGCGCGAGCCCAATGCCGAAGATGTGCATGAAATGGCCCCCGCGCCCATGGGCAGTCTCTACGAAGTGACCCAGCTCAACACGCTTCGAAGTCGGTTGAGGTACGGCGATCCCGCCCGACGCAATTCGCGCAAGGATATGGAGCATGATCTGATCTCCATGGGCGTCATCACCGACGAAGAGGGAGAGGAGATGTTCAAGTTGTTCAAGACCTCGTTGTCGCGCTACCTGTTCAACGCCACCATCCACGAATCCCGCTCATTACTGTCCGTCCGCGAATCGTCCACCTTGTTCTTCACCGCCATCATCACCGTCACATCTCTCCACATCCCCGGCCAGGAGCAAATCCACGCTACCGCACACAAGCAACTCCGCGACTTAATCGCCGCCTCTTTCTTCGACCGATTCCACACGCTCGAGGACATCCGAGCCCTCTGCCTGGCGGCGTTCTGGCTGCCCAATCTGAGTTGGAAGCTTTCCGGCCATTGCGTCCGCATAGCGACGGAGCTCAATTTACACCAGGCCTTCTACAAGGCGCTATACTCGGCAAAACCCTCCGAGGCGGATCGAGAACATGCCTTTGAACGTGCCCGGCTGTGGTATTTGTTGTATGTGCTCGACCACCACTTTAGCATTGCTTATGGCCGACCGCCTGTCACGGCGGAACTCCAAGCCATCAAAGAGTATGACGTGTTCCTGAACGCCCCCGAGTGTACCCCTTCAGACCATCGCGTCTTGTCGCAGGTTGCCCTATTCATCATCCTCAGCAGGGCGTACAACCATTTTGGTCTGGAGGCGGAGCGGCTGATGGATGGCGACCATGTCACCCTGCTTACACACCAGCAGTTTATTGAGGACTTGGACCAATGGAGGTATCAATTCCGCCACGCCCTGATTCGGGATGCCCACGTTGGTGATTATCCAGCGATCGGTACGTTCTCTTTTCTTCATTCTTTGACGTCTGTCCTCTCTTTTCAGCTCTGATCACATCCTAGAGATATGCAATAGAGACATGAACTAACGAGCTCTTGCTCCATTTTATCTTTCAGGTGTTGAACTCCACTATTACTTTGCATCCATGATGCTCAACTCTCTGGCCCTCCGCGGCCGCTCACTTGTGACCATCTCGTCGACCTCGACGCTCCCGACCTCTCTCCGCCCATTAGCATCGCACGCCATCTCGTCTGCCCACCAAATCCTGGTCATTGTGCTGGATCAGCCCTCCATCCGAGACTCCATGGTTGGCGTCCCTCTGTATCTGCACACGGTCATCGCTTTTGCTGTGGTGTTCTTGATCAAGATGTCCTCACGCTGGACCGGAATCGGGGTCAATATCGACCCGGAAGTCACAACGAAGCCGTTGATCGAGGCCGTCATTGAGCTGTTCCGTAGCTGTCGTGCAGGCAAGGGCCATATCCTGTACGCCATGGCGGATGGATTTGAAAGGCTACTGCGGCGGAATCTAGGCGATAGAAATGGGAATGGACAAAAGAACCTGACGACTGGGAACGACATGGCTGCACCCGGACCTGTCCAACATCCAAAACGGCCACAACAACGAGACGAGGAGAAGGAAGAAGAGGCAGAAGAAAAAGACATCTCAACAGTTGGTGTCGGGTCATTCACGCATCAACAGCATTTGTTGTCAGAACTTCCGCATCAGCAGCACCAGGCCCCTGCCCAGACACAAGCACAAGCACATCAGCATGTCCCTGACCTTTACGGCCTTCCGGGGATACAGGGCCATGGCCATGGCCCTACGACCTCACCCGACGTATATATGGCCCATGAATCCGAGCCCGGACTCGGTCACGCGAATGAGATGACGAGCAGAGGGCTTGGAGCCGGAGCCGGGGCCGGGGCCGGGGCCGGGGCTGGATTATATGGCGGCTGGCAAACGGAAGACGACATGCTATGGAGCATGGGCATGGGGTATGATCTGTTGGCGATGGCGCCGGACGTCAATGCCCATGGGCCCAGCGGGTTTATGGGATGGCCTGGGTCTGGGTTGGTGTGATTGTCTTCTACAAGGGACCCAAGGGACCCCTAGGGTCTTTGACCAAGACTGAAGAGGTGGGACTCGTCACGAGTCGTCTATTAAGACATGAACCTGTCCTTAGTATTGTACTGTCCTATCTATACCGTCTTGCAGGGTGCTGTGCACACCGAACAGAACAGGTGCCAGGAACATAGGTAACATACTAGGAGCATGCCCGAGTCTCTCACTCCCATGTATGTATACGCTACGCTCACGTTCACATAGTCCCCCTTCTTTTCGGACCAGTCGAGATCTCAATCCAGTCCACTCCCCCGCTAAGATCATCTCCAGAAGAAGTTCCTGACGCATGGCATGGCATGGCATAGGAACCTGCCACACTCACCGCCACTGCCACTGCCACCGCCATCTGGATCGATCCATCCCAGCATTTCATTTCATTTCATAAGTCCAAGGTACCTCAGGTAGAAGATCGCTTTTCCTTCCACAAGCTCAAGGTATCTAAGGGTGGAAGCCATGGCTTTCCTTTCATAAGCCGAAGATACCTTAGGTAGAAGCCATGCTTTCCTTTCATAAGCTGAAGATACCTGAGGTAGAAGCCATGCTTTCCTTTCATAAGCCGTAGGTACCTGAGGTAGAAGCTATGCTTTCCTTTCATAAGCCGTAGGTACCTGAGGTAGAAGCCATGCTTTCCTTTTATAAGCTGAAGATACCTGAGGTAGAAGCCATGCTTTCCTTTTATAAGCTGAAGATACCTGAGGTAGAAGCTATGCTTTCCTTTCACAAGCCGTAGGTGGGTAGAGAGCACCCCACCAGCAAGTGAGCAGGTTTATGCACCTCTTGACTTCTGACAAATGGCGACGAGGGTGTAGTTAGACCGCTGACCCTAGGCACCTATACTTGGTAAGACCGAAAGCAACGAAATTGAATTTCAAGATGATTTCGCTCGTGACGCTCAGAAAGAAGATCTGGGATGAAGATTGAAGACCAATCTAGTCGATGTCGATGTCGATGTCGCACAATTTTCTCTGCACGATCCAGCTGAGAGGAGGCTTCTATGAGCTGATGTCCCGGCGCTGAACATAGAGAGCACTATGGCGGGTGGGCGATCGGCTTCCCTTGAAGCATTGTCGGTTCGGGAGTCATCCTCGTCAGAATGCTGGCGTTCGCGGCTACCCCTAATCGCGCGGTCATTCTGTAATCATCATCCGGGCTGGTCTAGTGGCCTTAATAAACCGCTCCAGACGGTCGAGAGTCGTGCTTGTGTCATCCAGCTGGTTTCCGTCGTGTTGGACTGCGGTGTCCATAAAAGCTCGACGGTGGCCTCGGCGTCAAATATCGTCGCCGTTCTCATACCGGTAGCTCAGCATTCCTTCTCCCCCTTGAGATCTTTTGCAACGCCAGTTGAAGGTACGGCCCCACGATGGGGATGTTGCCTGCGAACGAGGCAATGGTGGCAAAGAAGTCTCCAAACAGAACAAATATCCCATATAATTCGACCAGGAACCCGACTAACGGCCACCGAATCAATATAAGGAAGATGCCGGCCATGAAGGCTGCCGTGCCTTTGAGCTTTTGACGTCGGGCAAAGAACATGAAGGTCTTGTGGAAGCCAATGATGAGGGTGAGGCCGATGAGGAAGAGAATCTGCGAGTCGGATCAGTTCGGCGATCCCGAGTCTGGAGAAAGGGGACAAGTCGCACATTGCCCATTGCCAGCCTGTAAACCGAGTCAAGTCAGAACAGAACGCCATGGGTTCGTTCCACAACAGATGACATACATGGAGCGATCAAAGAACATCAGCACACCTCCGAACAGGAACAGTCCACCTTGCACAGTCATGTCAATATTGGTCGGTGGGTGCATGGTGTAGGAACCAGGCGTATTTACCTCCCGAGCAGAAAGCCACCCCGATCTCTGTGCAAGTCAGCCTTGCTGCTTCTATGCGACAGCCTGGAGCACGGGGAAGGAGGCATACTCTGTAAATCTGTGAGCCACATGCTGGGCATGGTTGCGAGTTGGTCTTCCAATTCAGGTTGCAGGTACTGGTGCTCAGACCCGGGCGCAGGTGAGCTGCTTGATGTACGGGTACAGCACTTGTAGCCAGGCGGGGCTTTGCAGTCTCAGGAAGTGCTCACAAAGGGCAGTGGACAGTCAAGGTGTGAAAACAAGACACGGTAAACTGCGCAGAGAATGGTGGAACTGTCCTCAACGACAAAACGAACACAAGGGGGTGGATAGGTTGTGAGATGGGACTCGCATACTAACTGAATTGATGCGCGTCTCGTGTTTCGACTTAAGTTCGCCGATACGCCGACAGCGCCAAGAGAGTGTCCGCTTCAGGGAGAGGGTCTCGCCGCCCTACAATAGCCATTGATAGTCCCCCAGTCCCGTTTGGAAGTACGGATACAAAGTATAGATAGTAGATACCTGATCTAAATGTGGTAGGGAGTTATAGTACATATATATACTCGGTCTGGACAGGGACAGGGACAGCGCAACTATGTGTATGCTGGGGGTAGCCCTGGCCCCCTGACCATATAGATCAACGATAATAGAGATGAGGCTGGGGCTATCCCATGTCACCATATCACCAATACTGAGCATACTTGGACGATCCATTCAAGACTTGTACAAAATTCTCCGCGATAATCCGATCCGTCTGCTCGCTGGGATGGATATCGTCCTGCCACATGAAGCTATCCGGACTCGCCTTATTCTTCGACCACCTCACACAGCCCGTCACATCCGCCGGGTCTGTCCCGTTGAAGTAATTGTCGGGATGGAAGTATATTACGTGGAACAAACTCCACACATCAAACAATGCGACGCGGGCGAGAGGGTATCGGTTCGAGACCCTGAATTCGTACGGCGTTTGGTACTTGAAGATGCTGTTGATCGATGTGGTGAGTTGGTGCATCTTTTCCGCCATTGCCGTGACATTGCCTGTGCCTTGGTCGTCGAGAGTCTTGTTTGCAAACTGCGGGGCCAAGTGCAAGGGGGCGGTATTCATGAGGACAAATGTTCTGGCGCCTGCAGCATAAAGTCTGTCCAACGCCGCATAGACGCAGTCGGTGAAGTCAGAAATGGTCTTGCCACGCGCTTGACTGTCGGTCAGAAATGAGGCACCAGTTCTAAGATCGTTCGTTCCAATCCACATGACAAATACGGAATCCGATGGCGTTAGTGCTGGTTGGAAGTAGGCTTCGCTGGTATTGATTCGGGTAGTCGCTTGATCGGCTTCAAAGGCTGGGATCGCATACTCGAGAACAGAAGGGAACGTGGGCCCTTGGACCCGGGTTCTTGGATAGGTCAGGTTACTGGGAGTGATTGTATTGGAACAACTACTGCCTCCGACTGCATAGTTGTACAGGGTCATCTGCGGGTTCCACTGGCCATTCTTTCACAATCCCGTATATTGGACAACATAACGCGGCCAAGTTCGACCGCCAGAATACGTGGAGTAGCTCTCTTCCAGCGGAGTACCCGGTGGAGGAGAGGTGAGGTTGTGGTCGTGAAAATACCGCCATCGACGCTCGTCAGTGTAGCTGTCTCCAAAGGTGATGATGGACTTGAACGTTTCCCCGTTCCAGCGACGTGGATCAGCAACCCAGGGCCGTCTCAGGGAGAGGTAAACGGCAACGCCTATGAACGAGAGGCACAGGAAAGACACGAGCAAGGCGGCCACCAGCCTCCGTCTCGGTTTAGGTGTGGGTGTGGATGTGGCGTGCCATAGAAAGCCTTCGTCGCCTTCATCAGGCGACGTCTCGGTCAAAGGCAAGAGCGCCATTTCGCCATCTCCGTCCTGATGAGACGCGCCCTTTACTGAGTCGGAAGACTGTCGATCGGACATGGAGGGCAAGACTGATGGCAAGACATAGAACAAAAGAACTGGCCGACGAACCTTGAAGTTTTGTGCTGCGATCAATGCGACGTGTTATTCGCCGTCGGGCTCACTATTGGGACCGCGCTAGCATGGCTGGCTTAGGGGCGCTTGACAGCCTGTCTTCAGGTCTGGACTTGGGCGCATCTTAGTCAATTCGGTAATAGGTCAAGCATGGCGAGGAGTGCGAGCCTGCTGGACGGCGTAGATGTCTTGTGCTGTTCAAGGAAATGACTGGCATCTGATGATCACCAATGAATTCTCCCTTCTCGCGGCGATGAGGACGACCACGCAAGCCACTGCTCTCAGACAACTCAGCAGGGCCTCCTCTGTAGATTCTTTTTCTCCAGTGGCATCTCGCGGACACCGAACTGCGGCGAGCTGTCCTTCTACATGCCTCATGCCCTGAGCTTTGGCAGGGTAGGGAATCGATGGCGAGCGAACTCATTCTTAACCTTACACACAGGTAGGCAAGCGATGCGAGTGGGAGTCGACGTAGGGAGCCGAGAGCGAGAGCGCTTAGAGCGGCGAGCTTCCAGCATCGCGGTCGGAGTTCGGTGTCTACCTAGGTAGGTACGGGGTACCAATATAACTAATAGCACAGCCAATACGTACTTAAGGCACCTATAAGGTCCTAGGTAGGTACCTACTACCTAAATCACAGTAATTAAGTGGTATCGTTGGTGGCGGAGTGACGGAGTGACAGAGTGACGCAGCCAGCCTGCTCTCCAACTTTCCACCCTCCTCTTCTCTGTACTCCGTAGTAGTGCGTGACACGACACTTCCCTCATAGTGGCAGGTGCATCTTACAATGATGCTGATGCTCTTGAAGAGGGCAGCGTTCTGATGACAACCCCCTTACACACCCTCTATTCTCCGTCAGCTGGACTCAGTCTGGCCATTTGTCCAAATGAGGAGAGCCAGCATGTCGTGGCTCTGGAAGGTGAGTGCTCCATTCCAAGACACCACCACCATCACCACCACTAATGAAAGCAAACTAGGGCGACGCGAACTCCCCTGCCTCGTTCGAAAAGGCTCTGTCGAAGCTCTCCTCCCAAATCACCTCCGCAAACCTCGCCCTTGACACCAGTCGAAGTCGCGGGCGTCGAGTCAAGGCCCTGTGGACACTCTACACCACCCTGACTTACCTCCTCTACACCCTGGTCATCGTACTTGTGCTCGGCCCGCAAAACTGGTCATTATATCACTATTCTGGTCTCATTGGAGCACCAGTCTTGATCTACGCTATTCGATCATTGGTGACCGCATTCTTTGACTGGAGAATCAGTCGTCAACAGTCATACCTAGACCACTTGCAAAAACAAAGAGAACAGAAGATTACCGAACTCAAAAAGGCTACCAAATATGATAGCACGCAAGAACTGCTACAGAAATATGGCGGCGCCCCTCCAGCCAAGACACCTTCGAAGCAACCACAAGGCGGCAAAAGAAGAATCAATCCTCCAGAGAAGCCGCCGGCTCAGAGGACTGGAATTGCTCCTCCGCCCACGGCGAACATTCCAGGCCGTAATCTTCCACCAGGAAACAGTACTCCCCTGTCTCCGGCTCACGGACGGGCACCGCTTACGGCGCCCATGATTGTACAAAGCCCCACGGACATGAGACCTGAGTCGCCAGGATTTGCTCCGAACGCTTTTCCACAGCCCCCACCACCGAGTACGGCCTATGACCACACCCCTCACTGGTATGATCGCATTCTAGATGTCCTACTGGGCGAGGACGAAACCGCCGCCAAGAACAGGCTCGTGCTGTTATGCTCTAGATGTCACCTGGTCAACGGCCAGGCACCTCCAGGAGTGAAAACACTGGAAGAGCTGGGACGATGGAGGTGCAGTAGCTGTGGTGCTTGGAATGGGGTTGAAAGCGAAGGCGCAAAGGTGGTCAAAGAGATTGCGGCCGCGGCAGCTACCAAGAGGGACCATGGGGAAGAATGGGAACAAGTTCCACAAGCTACGGACAATCTCGAAGAATTCGGTGAAGAATTCAAAGAGGAAGAGGCAGAGGCTGCCGATTACAACACACCGAGCACGACGGGGCGAGATGCGGCCGAGGACAGGCACGGGGGTCTAACAAAACGAGCCACCCGCAGTGCAGGGAAGAAAACCTCTCTCGAGTCTCTAGAATGACCGATGATGAGGCTGAGGCTGAGGCTACCGCTACCACTACCAGCATACATGGTTTGCAGTCTTATGATAATCCATCTGCAAGTTTGGCCCTGTACAGAACACATAATGCCTCTGGCGCACAGACAGCCTCGTCTCGTGCTCCAGCAGGTCACGTGCTGGGGTTTCGCCAAGATCTCGATGACTTCGTCTCTCTCCGTCTCTCGCAGTCCTTTCGAGTTTTCCATTTGCATTTCTCCATACCAGGTAGAAAAGAGTCTAGAGTCTTGCTGCATGGTTGTGGCCGTGTATATGACAAACGGTCGACTGCAATCGTTCCTTGACGTCGCCAGCGGACGCCGCGTTGAGTGGAAACTTTCCCGCCGCTGCAAGGCTTTCTGCGCCCGATCTTAAGGACTACTACTAGTTCTTACCTAGGTAGTATTTTATATCCGATGCATTACAAAACGCGACAACATGTCCACCTTCATCGTCCGTCCGTCAAACACGGACCGAGATCCCTTTCGGATAAAATTGACCGCTGTTTCCATGCTCTCACTCAAACTCAAGTCCGGTGACACGTGTGAGCTCCAAGGCACAGAAAGCCCGGCACATGGAAAGAAGAAATTGGCCATCGCCTGGGAAGCCTCGGGAGCAGGGATGAAAGACTCGATTGTGCAAACCTCCAAACTCCTCCAAGAGGTGTACGGATTCAGACTTGGGGACAAGATCACGATTGCCCGATCGTCACAGGCGCTACAGGATTCTGCTCTGATCAGCCTTGAACACGTCGGATCGCCTTTGGATGAAGAGGCCACGAGTTTCTGGGAAAGCTATGCAAAGTTGGCAATCCCTGGCATTGATGAATGCCTGGTGGAAAGTCAACGGCTGCGGTTCAAGTTGGGTCTCGAAGTGACTGAATTCGTCGTCGGTAATGTCGGCGTTCAGCAGGCTTTGATTGCACGTGTGACCAAGAACACCAAATTCCGAATCAGCTCCGCCGATGAACCGACTTCTAGTGTGGAAATAGATTTCCGACCCGACCACCTCGGTGGCTTGCAAGAAGAGATTCGTCAAGTCCGAGACATTGTCGCCAGAATATGCCGCCCAATCGTGAAGACTCATTTTCGGTTGTATCGCCCTATCCAGGGCGTCCTCCTTTACGGCGCCAAAGGCACTGGCAAGACGGCATTCATTTCAGCCCTGGCAGAGTCGGGATGGCCCATGCTTATTAACTGGAAACCAGGAACACAGCTTCAACTCTCAAATGAGGCCCGGCTAGTCACCATAGGCGCGAGATATCTGTCACGCAGTTCGAACGGCACATCTGCCGTGCTTGACGAGCTCGACCAATTGTTTGACCAAGTTAGAGGCAGTCCGACATTGGTGATCAGTGAGGTCCGACATCCAAATGATGTGGATCAGACTTTACGGGCTGAAGGGAGATTCGCCGCCGAAATTGAATTGCCTATCCCTTCAGCGCATCAGAGAAAGGAGATCTTGCTCGCATTGCGTGGCAACGACGGTGTCCCGCAGGACGAGCTACTTGGGGAAATGGCGGATAGAACCCACGGCTATGTCGGCGCTGATCTGTACGCGCTTGTTCGACGGACCCTGGAACTTGCATCAGATCGAGCCCAACCATCGGACAACCAGACAATCAATGGTGAGACTCCGATTGAGAAGAGAGAGAGACGGCTGTCGTTGTCGACACCGACTCAAAATACTCGACCATTGAACGTAATGTCCGCAGACCTTGACGAAGCCCTTCACCAGATCCGACCGTCTGCCCTGCAAGAGATATTCCTGGAAACACCCAATGTGCATTGGTCAGACATTGGCGGCCAACATGAGATCAAACGGCAACTGCACAATGCCGTGGAACGACCGTTGAAATTTGCCGAGCGCATGAAGCGATTGGGACTTCAACCGAAGAAAGGCGTCCTTCTTTACGGTCCACCCGGCTGTTCCAAGACTTTATTGGTCCGAGCACTGGCCACCGAAGCCGGCTTGAACTTTCTGGCCGTCAAAGGGGCCGAGCTGATCTCGATGTATGTGGGCGAGAGTGAAAGAGCGACGCGCGAAGTGTTCCGAAAAGCCCGAGCGGCCAGTCCCAGTATCATCTTCTTCGACGAGATCGACGCCATTGCATCCCGTGGCAGGAGTGGAAGCGACTTGAACGTGCTGACAACCCTGCTCAATGAGATGGATGGGTTTGAAGAACTGCGCAACGTCTTGGTCGTCGCTGCCACCAACAAGCCCCAGAACATTGACCCGGCGCTGATGCGGCCCGGCCGATTCGACAACGTGGTGTACATTGGCCCGCCAGACTTTGAAGCGAGGAAAGAGATCTTCCAGAAACGGTTGGCAAAGATCGGCTATGAGCACCGGGTCGGGTTGAACGAAGACATTGAAGAGTTTGCCAGATCGACCGAGGGCTTCTCGGGGGCCGAGATTGTCGCCATTTGCCAGACTGCTGGCGAATATGCCTTTGACGGCGACCGAGACATCATCGTGTCAGACGACATGACCAAGGCGATTGAGAGGACCCCCAAGAGCATTACAAGAGAGATGTTGTTCGAATTCGAGAGCTGGAACGATGCTCGAATGCGATGAGTGTATGCTCTACTAGCATGCATGGTTGGGTTTTGCACGATCTAAAATCGAAGTCGTCGAGACCGGCTCTCAAGGCAGCTGGCATATTTGACGTGTCCATGCTGACGCTGCTGTATCAACGTTGTACGATAAATCGCATAGGTGACGGGTTATGCCATGGGTGACGGGATGGATGGATGGATGGCATATATATTATACAGACGAGCAATTGAACCATGACTCGAACTCGATCTTGATGTTCAACGTAGACCCGGACAATATCTGCTCCAGAATCGAGAATCGAAAATCGAAAATCGAAAATCGACATTGGAATATGATTTTAAACCCCCAATGAATTGTGATTAGTGTACACGTACATACCGCCTGACTAGTAGTAGCAAACGGTAAAGGTAAACAGTACAGAACAGTTCAATCCAGACCCATGCTAAACAAACCAAACCCAAACCGAAAACAAGACACAACACAATCATCCCTTTTCAGCTTTTGTTCTGTCTCAAGACACAAGATGACAGGACAAAACCCACCATGGGCTGTTGGATCATGCCTTCCATTTCATACCATCATATCAATTTCAGCCCGATCTTGTCCTACCCCTTTTTGGACCATGTCGATATCAAACCCCATCATCACCCTTTATTTCTTCTTCTTCCCACCGCCGAGACCAATACTCTCCGCGATACTTCCCAATCCCAATCCATCCAGCAGCTTGCCAACTCCCAGTCCACCAAGAAGACCATTGACCAAGCCGCCCAGCCCCAGCCCGTTGAGCAGTTTGCCCACGAGACCTAGGACGCCCGACAACAACAAGCCGACGGCGGCGATGATCTGGAACAAGGGTTCGGTCAGAAGGGCCCAGAGCGGGTTCAGCTTCTTCTTTGCGTGCGGCATGTCGGAGATGCGCTTCTTGGCATTGTCGATGGTCTTGACCACCTGGCTGGTCAGTTCCTTGAGTCCTTCGGCAACCCGATGTTCCTCGGGACTGGCTTCGCCCGAGGCTGCGCGCGCCTTGGCTTGGGCCGCGATATGGCCATCTGGGTCGAGGCCGCGGATGGCACCGTTGCATTCGCCCAGGATTTTGCTGCCTTCTTCGATCAGCGGCTTGACCGCGTTGACGAGCGCTTCCTCATCAAGCTCTTCGCGAGGGGTGCGGTCGGCTTTTTCAATGTGCTAGGCATGACGGGTTAGTATGAAAAACATCTAGAATCTGGGAGCAACAACTCACCTCGGTGATCTGGTTGCAGATCGGCGTAATCTTCTCAATGGTCTGGTTGATGATATTGCCAATCTTCTTGGCAACCTCCCGTTCTTCCTCCTCCTTGAGTTGCTCGGGCGTCAAACCTTCCTCTTCCTCTTCTTCAGGGATGTTGTCGAGCAGAGTACATTCTCCAATCTTGTTGCCGTCTTGGTCAATCACATAGCCGTTGTCGTTGATTTCTTTGCCGATACAAGCCAGCAGATTCCCGTCCGTCAGCTTGCCGATGACATCGCCGTTGCGGTCACGTACTTCCCCCTCCTTGTTGACGCGCAAGCCAGCCATCGGAGAGACTTCACGTTCCTTCTCTTCAGGCTCCCATCGCTCGGCTTTGCCAATGACATTGCCGTTCTTGTCGATAATGTCACCTTCATCGTCGACACGACGGCCGACCAACTTCTTTGGATCGCCTTCAATGACCCGGCCAACTGTGTCACCATTGGCGTCCTTGACCAGTCCATCCTTGGAAACAATGGTGGATTCAAAGTTGGAGAACGGCCCTTCGGCACGGCCGCCGGCACCACCTTCAAGGAGTCGAGCCCGACCGATAACCTTACCGTCGTTGCTCCAGATCTGGCCTTTGCCGTCAACCTTGCATCCGATCAAATTCTTGACCTCGCCTTCGGCAACTTCTCCAAAGATGGTTCCATGTTCATCAACCACCTTGCCAGCTTTATTGACCGTCTTTCCAGCTAGACTGGACAGGTCCTCCTCTTCGACAACTTCCTCTGGAATCTCGTAAGGATCGGCATGGCCCTTCACATTGCCATACTTGTCGATGATGTCGCCATCTTCGTCAACAGCACGACCGATGAGTTTCTTCCAGTCACCCTCGACGACTTTCCCGACGACGTTGCCTTCGCTATCTTCGACCAGACCATCCTTGACCACGACCACACCCTCTAGACCGGCGAACGGACCTTCGGGCTTGGCCTCTCGCTCCTCGGGTGGAATGAGTTCGACGCGCCCAACAACCTTGCCTTGGTCATTCCAAACCAGACCTTTCTCATCGATGGGACGCCCCGCAAGCTCCTTGGGGTTGCCTTCAACGAGACGGCCGATGGGTACACCATCTGGTCCAATGACGTTGCCCTGCTTATTGACCTTGAGGCCCTTCAGTTCGGAAAGGTCGGCCTCCTCAGGTTCAGGCTCCGGCTCGGCCTCGGGTTCCTCGTATCGTTCAGCGTGGCCGACAACATTGCCTTTCTTGTCGATGACATCCCCATCTTCATCCACGGCGCGGCCAACGAGTTTCTTGTGGTCCCCCTCAACGATGCGGCCGACACGGTTGCCATTCTCGTCTTCGACCCAGCCATCAGCCACCACAATGAGACCTTCGAGGCCGGCAAATTCGGCTTCGGCTTCGCTGTCTTCTTGCGGCACCGTCTTTGCCTGGCCAATGATGTGGCCTTTGTTGTCCCAGAACTGTCCCTGCTCATTGGCAACCAGGCCAGCCTTCCAGATCTTCTTGGCATCGCCTTCGACGAGTTCACCGACGATTTTGCCTTCTTTGTCGACAATCTTACCGGCTTTGTTGACCTTGAGCCCTTCCAGAATGGACAGTGGAGGCAACCCATCGTCAGCCTCTTCACCTTCTTCTTCTTCGGCCTCTTGACCAACAAGCTCGACCTTACCGATCACATTGCCATCCTTATCCAAGATTTCGCCTTTGTCGTTCAGCTTCTTGCCAGCAACGGCGGCGAGATCGCCTTCGACAAGCTGCGCAATGGTATCGCCCTCTTCGTCCAGGACGAGACCCTTTTTGTTGACCTTGAGGCCTTCAAGAATCGAGGTATCTGGCCCTTCCGGAGCTTCTTCCTGGACTTCGACGAGGCCCTCTTCGATGGCTTCGGGGAGGAACTCCACCTTGCCGATGACGTTTCCATCCTTATCCAGGATTTCTCCCTTGTCGTTGATCTTCTTGCCACGAGCCGCTTCAAGGTCGTATCCATCAGATAGTTTGGCGATGGGATCGCCATCCTCATTGACAACTTCGCCTCGTTTGTTGACTTTGAGACCTTCCAGTTGCGCAAAGTCGGGGGCTCCAGCCTTGTCAGCTGCATCCTTGGCCTCGTCGGCAGCTCCCTCGGCCGTGTCAGCTGCCTGCTCAGCTACATCAGCAGCATCTCCAGCCTCGTCGGCTTGCTTCTCTGCCTCTTTCTCCGCCTCCTCGGCGGCCTTCTGTGCTTCTTCGAGTTGGTCAACGAGTTCTGGGTGGAGGTCTTTCATCGCTTCTTCTGCTGCTTCCCCTTCAACCACCTCCACGCGGCCGATGACATTGCCGTCGTTATCGAGAATCTCACCATTTTCATTCGGGATCTTGCCGGCGCAAGCGCTGGGGTCACCTTCCACAAGTTTGGCGAGCACTTCACCTTCCTCATCGAGGATAGTGCCCTTTTTATTGAGCTTTTTGCCCTCGACAATGGTGAGGTTGGGCTTCAACTGTCCTTGAATATCGTCGACCTTGTCCAGGGCATCCTGGACAAAGTCTGGTTTGCCTTCTTCCGCCCCCTCCAGAGCGTCGGCGGCCTCAGGAACGACTTCAGCGCGGCCAATCACGTCACCGTCCTCATCGAGAACTTCTCCTTCGGCATTGAGGGTCTTGCCAACAAGGTCGGCCGGATCGCCTTCTGTGATCTTACCCAGGGTCTTGCCGTCCTGATCCTTGATGGCACCGTCTTCTTGGACTTCGAGACCTTCGAGGACATCCACGCCGGGAAGTTGTCCTTCGGCCTCTTCAGCCACTTGTTTGACCGGTTGGGGAAGAGTCTCGGCGCGCCCGACAGGATCGCCATCCTCGTCCAGAATTTCACCCTCGGCGTTGAGAGTCATACCGACCAAATCTGTGGGATCTCCTTCGGTGATCCGACCTAGCACATTGCCTTCTTTGTCGAGAATGTCGCCATTCTCCTGGACTTCGAGCCCGTCGAGGGCACTAAGTTCGGGAAGATATGTCTCGACGGCATCTTCCGCAGCCTCCTCGACGCCGTCAACAGCATCATCTGCAGTGTCTTTGACCCCATCGACTGCCACATCTTCCTCAGCCGCTTCGTCGACTTTGTCCGTTGCCTGGCCAGCCAACTCTTTTGCTTTGTCAGGAAGAACGGTGGCACGACCGACAACATCGCCGTCTTCGTCAAGAATCTCGCCATTGTCTGCAATCTCGTAGCCTTCCAAATCAGCAGGATCGCCTTCGGCAAGCTCCCCAATTGGTTCGCCGGACTTGTCGAGTATTTGGCCATCCTCGTTGACTTTGAGACCTTTTAGGACCGATAGATCGACAGGCAGGTCATCGGTAGCTTCTTCAGCGGTGTCCTTGGCACCATCAACTGCATCCTCTGCGCTGTCTTTGACTCCCTCCGCAGCCTCGTCAACATCAGGTGCGTCATCGGCACCTTTCGGCACGTCCTCAGCTGCATCCTCTGCTGACTCTTTGACATCTTCGGCAGTATCTTCTGCGGTACCTTTGGCATCTTCGACAGTACCTTCTGCGGTATCTCTGGCATCTTCGGTGGTGTCCTCAGCGGCTTCTTTCGTATCGCCAACTGTATCTTCCGCGGCTCCCTTGACATCGCCAGCAGTGTCTTCCGCCGCACCTTTCACATCTCCTTGTGAGACCTTTTGCGCGGCACCAGTTGCCGTGTCTTTGGCGCCACTGACTCGACCGGCCACCTTCTTTCCAGCACTGTTGACTCCCCCGACGGCTGATTTGACGCCACCAAGGGCACTGGATCCCTTACCCTCAGCCTCGTCCTCGGCATCCTCCGCCGCATCATCCTCGGGTTCTGCGGCTGGTTCTTCGGTTTCCTCGCCTTCGTCAGTCCCCTCGTCTTTGGCGGCATCCTCGCCGACTTCTTCTGTCTCCTCTTCATCGCTGTCAGGTAGAGGTTCAGGGTTCGCTTCAGACAGTTCGCTGGTGTCGGCAACGGAAGTACTCTCGGCTCCTGTGTCGTGGCCAGGCTGGCTAACTTTGCCGCCAGGTTCTTCGGTGTCTTTCAAGTTAATCTGCTGTGGGGTTTCCTCCTCAACCTCTTCGGCCTTGTCCTTGACATCCTCGGCCTCCTTGCCTTGGGAGGGCGGATCCGATGATTCTGTGAGTTTCTTCGGAGTGGCCTTTGAGGCGCCCAGCTTGGGGGGTCTCCGACCGCTTGAAGGTGTATTTGGCTTTCGAGATTCTTGACCTGTAAGCTTGGAAGTAGATGATGATTGAGGGCTCTTGCCAGTCTTTGTAGGCGTCTCCGGGACGTCAGCCGATCTGCCTGCCGCTGGGGATGGCATGGTGCTCTTGTAACTCCTGACTGTATCTGGGCTCGATCTCTTGGAGGAAGGTGTTCCTCGACTAGGTGTTGGGGGAAACGAGTAATACGCGTATGAGGCCGATGAAAGTCGGTTACTTGTCATCAGCTGGCTAAAAACACAAGTTCATGAACGGAAGATGCTGTCACTCTCGAGTTGCATGTGGTTCTTTTCCTTGGGTATATGATACAAATGGGGTATTAGTTCGATAGGTAGGATAGGTAGGATGGACTTGTAACAGTAGAAAAAGAAGGAAGACGCGTCGGACGAGGAGGAAGATCTCGTCAAGTAGGGCTGCCAAAAACCCCCTACGTCACCGTCAGTTCTTCCCTACCTTGGTGTGAAGGAGGAGCAAGAAGCTTTCTCGCCGTGACACAGCTGGTGCCTCACTGTGGCTGACCTCGACTTGGTCCAGACATTGCCATTGCGTCAGAGCGGCCGGCGAAGAGCTCCTGATGGCAGAAATGTGGCACAGAGAGGTTGGATCTGGAATGGACCCAAGGGAGTTTCTGTCGAATGACACGAAAGGAAGGATGGGAAAGTTGACACGCTACAGGGACCTGGTATCCAATCTCAACTGAAGATCGAGAACCAGAGTGACAATCGCGAATAGGAATGGGAGGGAGGGAAGCGGGCGACAAGGAAATGCATGTCTTGAGTGCTGAGACGACAGGGTTTGGAACCTTCACAACGACAGGGTGTACCCCAGACCAACAGGGGTCCAGTGCCGGCCAATGGAGAAGCTGATGTCAGTCGTTTTCCTTTCCACGAAAGGCTTGCACGCTTGGTGACCCATGCTGTACAACATCTGACAGGCCGAATCGACACGTCGCAAGGCCCGCGGCGCATAATGAGTTGAGTGATGAACGCTGGTAGTTTTAGCAACATCCAGAGGTGGGCATGGTTTAGAGGACATTGACGAAATATCTCAAAATACCTGCAGGGGTCCGGGGTCGATTGCAGAGGGACAATGTGATCAAGTGGAGTTGCGAGCGACCATCCGACTCTTGGGCTGGAGAACAATGATGCGGAACGTCGATCGATTGCACCGCCGCACCACGAGGGGAGAGGGACGTAGAACCGGTTTTGTGACCAGGTCCATGTCAGTGGATCCGCGTGCACCGTGGGCCGTTCTTGTTGACGCACAGAGTATCCGTACTCCGTACTCCGTTTTGTCGTCTCTATTCCCGTGGGATTGACCTAGTGTCTCTTGATTGTGATCCTGTACTGTAGAGAGCTTATCACGTACACCCCATGCTCTTTCCGTGTGGCCAAACCAGCCTTGAGGCCTTGACAGGCAGGATTCAGGCTCGCCTGAGGCAGGACGGGTTTATTCTCCGGCAGGTGAGGGATGCTGAGGCTGCGATCCACTGTCGTCGTACTGTATGGCATACAAGATATGCGCATTGTGGATCATTCACTGAGCGGAAGAAGGTGTAGGCGAACGAGCCGGGATGGGGGTGGTGAGAGCTCCAGCACTGGTCAGGGAATATGCATGATGCAAGCAAAGAAGACGCGGTGGTGGCGGGTCACCAGCCACAGTACGGAGTACGTACAAGATGATGAGGACGGATGAGAGATGAGAGACAAGTGACTCGGGATCGGCGGGCGCACGTTGTTGCTGCCAACTTGCCTCCCAACCCACAATTCGAACATGATCCGCAGCTGCGGGCGACCAATCTGACCCCCTCTACGTACTGTACCCATCACCCATCATCATGCCAACCACTACGGAGTACTACCCCCCCTTGCACCAGGGATCTCGCCAACTTTTTGGTGGCGACCCCGCTGCAGCTTGACATCACCTTTGCCATCTTCAAGACAGGAGGTACATTGGCACCCTGGTCCTCGCGGCGGGCGGCACGGGGAGCCCTTTTTCATCATTTCCGAAATGAGCACGACATTGGTGAATCACCACCACCGCCATGAACGTCCTCTCAGACCACTCCCGTCCGCGAGAAAACCTAATGTACAGAGTACGGAGTACGGAGTACATATTCGCAGGGGCTTGCCGCCACATACGTCTAAAGAGGCCGGTCAATTGTCCCCAGCAAGCAGGTACCCGTCCTCACCGTAGCATTGTCTCGCCTAGCCGCACCTTGCATTATGGCCAGGGGACGTGGCGCCTCGATTATGCAACTACCGTCGATATTGAGAGGCCGAAGCAGGCTTTCAGGCTGGGATGAAACAGGCGGAGGAAAATAACAATACGGAGTGCACCCTTGCCAGCCTCATCGCTCTCCATCCGGCGCAGGTACGCCGTCCTCTGGCCCTGTCCCTGGAACCCGTTTGGGGCCGCCCTCCCTCTCCGTGCTGTCAGTCATGCTCTGCTCTCGCACTTGGAGGCTTCCCAATGCCCGGGTTAGCCTGCCAGTGACGCTCCCCTGAGCTTTCCGTTCTCGTGATTCGCGTTCGTGAGCCTCCTGTTGCTGTTGGAGGTAGACCCTCTCCTTTTTCGCGCTCTCCGACTTGTCCTGTTTGGCATCTTCCTCGAGCCTCACCTTGTCTGGGTGTATCAATTTGTCTTTCTCGTGATGCACCTTCTCCTGGGCAGTTTTGATGCGTTTTCGTGCGTGGACATAGCTCTCGAGGCCGACAAGAACAGCGTAGCTCCGAGATATTGAAACACGAGACATATCCACTCCCTGCTCACGAAGGTTGTGCACGAATGCTCGGAAATTGGCTGCTGGTGGCCGATAGTGTCCGCTACAACACGCTCACATCAGCCGTGTCTCGTGTATCCCTTCTGGCTACCTACCTCAATGGGGACAACTTCCTTAGTTGGCCGTCCTTGACCTTGATCAAACCAGCGGCCAAAATACGTGATCCGTGTAGGAATGAGGAATGTTGGAATGCTCCCGATTGCTTATATCCGATGTACAAGCGGAACGACGTGTCTGACCAGGGGGGTGTCAGCAGACTAGGCGTTCTCCAGAGATTGCTCAGCTCCCTACTGACCTGCAACCTTCACTCATGATTCAGCAAATCGTCCGAGTGGTAGATAAATCGGAGCCACTTACAAATATCCATTTGTGGCCCTTTTTGAGGCTCGTTCTGATCATATGGTTGAACAAGACGGCGGCGCTCACATGCTTGATCTTGGATATACCTCTTGCTCGATGGAACTATGGCCCATGTTAATAGACCAGGCCATCCGTTACCCACAGCAGCAACATACCTCTTCATTGACATACCGATCTCCCTCATCTCCAGCGGCATTTTCCTCCTCAGTGTCCTCTTCTGATTCGTCTGAAGAAATTGTGTCGGAATCATTTGCACTACTTGGCGGCACGTTGTACTTGAACTTCGGTGTTGGGTCCGAGACCGGCACAATACCGCTGACACTGTCCTTGTAGAGTTCATCCTTGGTCCATACACGCTGTCCATTCTTGGCCCAGACGAGACGGCCGTGGTCGTCGACTCTGACCAGATAGTTCATTCGCTCTTCCCTAGAAAGATACCGAACCTGTTCAGAATCGAGTCGTGCTCTGCTGCATTCTGGGAGATCCACGTCTCTGCCGTCACCCTGATCTAGCCAGTAGAAGTAACTCTGATCTGTATCTTGGGTCTTCCAGTAATTGTGGTATTTGCGTAGGTTACTGCCATATCGATGCTTTTGGTCTACCATTTCGAGAAAGTACTGTAGATCCATCATCTTGGCAGTCTTTCCCTTCTCATCTCGTTCTTTGTGCGATGCCGTATGAGAGGGAGCGGAACCTGGCTCGTCGATATCGTCCGACGAAGATCCCGATGTGTCTGGTGAGCGGTCGTCCGCACTCGCTCGTATCGCAATCTTGGCCGCTTTGTTCCATTTCGTTCGGGCTGGCGATGTACCCGTATTGCTTCCATCTTCATGAGCATCCGAAGAAATTTGATCGTCTGCAGCGGTAGGTGGTCTCGGGGTAGTGACAGCACGGTATTGCGCGTCTCTCACAGCCTGGGTGGAAATGTCAGCTACGGTGCAGACATCGAGATATCCAAACCAACCTCATACCACCTCGTAGAAGCATCAAGACCGAACCCCTTCAGTTGGCGGCGTGTACGGTGGCCCTTGTAGGTTTTCTATGACGCAGTCAATCGTAAGGACTTCCAAGGTAAGAAGTTAGAGTTTCTCGAACCTGGATCAGAACTGCCGCTTTTCGCTGTTCGTCTGCGCTCAGGCCGTTCGTGGGAACCTGTGGCTTATCAGGTCCCTCTCCAGGCGTATCAGATTCCATGTTTATGCCAGGACATGCTCACGGGCATAGATGAGACATGTGCGAGTATGTCTCCATGTTGACTGTTCAGAGTGAGTCTGTAGATTCAACCTGCGGTGGCTGCCTACGTAAGAATGCATAACACGGAGACCGGCTTCCTGAAGCTCCAGATCAACCCCCGCAGCTTATCGATAATGGCGTCCTGCCCACTATCGATGCGGTCGCTGTGCCCTCAGGATGTTGAGGGTAACTCTCGCAGGAAGTCATTGACACTTCTGATGTTTTTATTATTATTGTACACAATAAGCCTTCGATTCTTCAGATCGATGCCTGTGAGCTCGATACCTGTCGTCGTAGAGGCATCTGAGGCTGGTATCCTTGGACCCATTACGGATCAAGCATCTTGTGGTAGGACTGCACAATGATGAGGGCGCTCTTTACTATTCCATGTGGAAGACCCTAGACTTGACAAACCTGGAAGTCAAAGGGTGAGTATGCTTACTGTGAGTACTCATACTGCTAACCTCTTGAGCCTCCCCCTGAAGCTGCCATTGGGGACAAGAACGCGTCCAGTGTCAATAAACCAAGATCTATCAGTTGGAACATTCGTTGGTGCTTGACCCCGGCGGATCCGGCTTTCCCACCGAGTCCCCTTAATTCCCCGTGCCAGTATCCCATATTTCCGGTGGAAGTGAAATTGTTCGACTGCAAGCCATGGTCCGGGGCCCCATGAAGGGAGCTGATTAATTAATGCTGACTGCGGGGTGCATTTATGGATGGACCCGGGTTGTGCTTCGCTCTACGGAGTACATGTGCAGTACTAGTATTACTCTAGTATCTAGGAGACAGCCGATGTCGCTAACAGACAGACCTAGTCTTCTGATTTCGAGAAACCCAACTACCTCAGACGTGATAGGCTGCAGAGAGGCGAGCATGGCGAGTCAACTTGTTGTGTACTCGGTACAGTGTCCTCTGTACAGATTGATTAGTGCATGGCTGCGATGGAGCTTCAGAGTCAAGATTCTCTGACTCGTCGTCCTTCCCCGCTTTTCCTGCGAACTTTTCTTTCTCTGGAAGTGTCATCTGGGCACGGTCTGGCGGATGCGCTACTTTTCCTTTTTCTCCTCCATGCCACTGGTCAACCGGACGTCTGGGCGAACTGCTTGCGAGAGCGCTAAAGGTGGCAAGCTGGCTCCATCTTCTCTCGAAAACAGGGATGGGGAATTGGTGTGGACGCGAAGGCCTTCTCGAGAAGTCTCGCGGCGCCAGAACGCGGGGTGTTGAGCTGGGGTGGCCTGGTGCACCGATATCGCCAGCCTCAGAGTCTCTCTCCTCTACCACCATCGATGCCATGAATTCAAGCCACAATGCTTCGACCCTTCTTCGCTGCTTGAGTTCGACACGAAGCTGGCAAGATCGGGTTGTTAGACTCGAGCAGAAGCAAACCTGAAGAAATAGGAGGATCATGTGTACACCCCCGAGCGAGCGAGCTCGGAGCCCCAGGTTCCACCGGATCCAGAGGCCACGCCACGCTTTCTCGTGAGTGGCTCACTCAGGATAGTCGGCACCTGTGGCACGAATGTCGATCGGAAGCGAAGGCGACAATCGACCAACGAACACACCTCTCGCTGCCCTGCATAAACAATCCGGCGGCACCGCTCGACCAGTTTCCTGGGGACTAGGCCCTTGTTTGGCGGGGATATCCCCTCTGCCGTCTTTCATCCCCACGTGTCTCTGGTACACTCCGCGAACGATGTCGATCCCTGAGAGAGAACTGGAGATGAAAAATGTCGAGTTGGACGGCGCTCATAGCAGCGGGTTGCCTCTGGGCCTGGCAGGATCATTCGGACAACAACTTGGTGTCGACGAGCACCTGTTGTATCTCCCCCGTCGACGACAGTCGAACCAGGCCAAACACGGGGTCCGGAGTACAATGCGGGAAATTCTCCACAGCCAGACTTGTCGCGTCTCGAACTAGGGTCAACTACGGAGTACTCAGGCCCATATTACTCCATACTGTACTCTTCCCCATATCTGTCCCATGGCCCACGCGCGAATTCTGCCCCTCTCGAATTGTTGTGCTCAGTATTTCTCACCCTTGTCCCCCCGGCCTGAGTACTTCTCGATCTGTTGCTCGAGTGCTCTCCTAGACGCCTCCTAGACGGACGATTTTCTTCAGCTGGCAACCTCACTAGCTGACCAGACCTTTCCCTTCCCAACTCTGGATTTAGACACACATGGCGACGACACAGTCTAGCACCATGCAGAACCAGTTGAAGAGAAAACCGTCGGCGGCCGGTCTACCTACGGGGGGAAGGACGGTCAAGCGCAGGGCGTCCAAGGCCTGTCATTGCTGCCGCTCTCGAAAAGTCCGATGCGACGTGGTGGAGAGTGGCCTCCCTTGTACCAACTGCAGACTGGACGAAGTAGAGTGTGTAGTCACTGAGGGGAAACGACGAAGGAAGTCGTATGTTGATGGGGAAATGTTGCACCGCTCTTCCCGCAATTCTTCCGTTAAGGAGGAAAAGAACGACTTGCCCCAATTCCCAAGCTTCGACGACATTGACGGTCTCAACGAGTTCAATCCAGCCATCTCGTTGGATCTCAGCCAGACTCGTGCTCTGGAATATGAGCTGGATCACCACAAACCACATATGCTTTGTACGTATGGCCCCCTTTTTCACGCATCCTCTTCTGATAACGGGAACGCTCCAGACCAGACTCAGGGTCATCGCCTGACTCCGGAAGAACGCTCCAGACGATTGTCCTCGATGAGCAGCAGAGCCTTTCCTACGCCTGGCATGTCCTGCGCGCCTCCAAAGCCCATTGGGCCGGAGGTTATTCTGCCGCAGTATATCCAGCCTGTTCCACTAAAGATTGCAGCGGAAGATTTCGAGTATCTGCACAAGAAGGGAGCTTTCATCATCCCTGATGCAGGGTTCCGCAACGAGTTGCTTCGTTGCTATGTGCAATATGTGCATCCTTACCTTCCTCTCATCGACCTTCAGGACTTTTTGGGTGCTATTGAAAAGGACCAGCCCACGGACACCGTCAGTCTTTTGTTATTCCAGGCAGTCATGTTTGCCGGCACCGCATACGTCGACATGCGGTACCTGATTGGGCAAGGCTACGCAACCCGCAAAGCAGCTAGGAAGGCCTTCTTCCAGAGAATCAAACTTCTGTACGACTTTGATTACGAACTTGACCGTGTCACTGTTGTCCAGGCCGTCTTAATAATGACTTACTGGTACGAAAATCCCGACGACCCAAAGGACGTGTGGCACTGGCTGGGTGTGGCCATTTCTGTTGCACGGACCATTGGCCTCAACTGCGACACCTCCAATGCGCCTTTGATGAGCCTGCAGCAACGCCGCCTGTGGAAGCGTATCTGGTGGTCGCTCTACATGCGGGACCGGCTGACTGCCATTGGCATGCGTCGTCCTATGAGGATTAACAACGGAGACTTTGACGTTACGATGCTCGAACTGTCGGATTTTGAAGTCGATACTTTTCCCGCCGCACTTAGCCGCATGCTGGGAGGCTGTCCAGTGGTCCAGGACGCCTCCAAGCGTGTTGCGTTGGCCAAAATGTGTATCGCTTTGGCCCGACTATGTGTATGCATCAGCCAGGTGCTTGCTGTCCAGTACTCCACCCTGGGCCACAAGATCGGAGTCACGCAGGAGACAACCATGAGACTGGTCCCGAAGAGATCAGCAGCCGATCCATGCGATGTATTTCGCTGTGACCAAGACCTGGACAACTGGTACACAGGGCTCCCACGTGATCTCCACTTCTTTGCTCCCGACTCTCGCGAACGCTTGGGCAGCAATGACGGCGAGGTTGTCAACGTGCATCGCGCTTTGCTGACCGGCATCTACCTGACTGCCGTCAGCGCGTTGCATCGACCACAGATCCTGCCCTCCTCGCCTCTCGTTGTCATCACTCCCGAGCTGCGAGATCTGTCCAAGATAAGAGTGCGCGAAGCTGCGAACGACATCACCGACATGTACCAGGATCTGTTTGTCCACGACCTACTTCGGTACCTCCCCAATACCGGAGTGACCTGCCTTCTCCCCGCCATCATCATCCACCTGCTTGACATCAAGTCGGCCGCCCCCTCCGTCAGACAGGCCAGTGTTCGAAAGTTTCAGTTCTGTATGCAAGCACTACAGCGGCTGCGAGAGGTATATGCATCCGCGGACTTTGCCTTCTCGTTCCTCGACGCCGCTGTTCGGAAGACCAATGCGCAACTGGTGACCGGTCCATTTGCCGCTGCACATGCGTCATCTGGGCCGCTGTCGCTGAAAGGCATGATAGATGCCTCCAAAGAACATGCACCAGCACCCTTGCTCCTCACCCCACCCCCGGAGGCTAGGCAGACGGCAAGTATGCTCCTTTCTCATTCGACATTGGCCCCCGAGGAACCAAACCTCGTCGCTGCATACACCCCACCAGGTTCAGATGTGAGCCTCAATTTTTACACCACAGCTGGAGCTGCAGCTTCACTGGATGATGTGGCAGAGAACCATGAGCACGATCAGAACAGTAAGGAGGGCATGGAAGAGCCAATGCCGAGTGATTTCGAGACTCTGTTCAACGTCGAAGGAGGTGCGGATTCATTCCTGACAGGCGAAGATAGCCTCGACCAGGGTATGCAGTGGTTGAACGGATTTGATTTCAATGACAACGTCATGTGTCAAGAAGAGTCTTTTGTGAATAGACTGGGAGATGTTGAAGAGCTACCGAATGGTTCGGGATATACTGAACAGGTGTTAGGATTTACTGGTGACCTTGATCTTGATTTGGAGGTACGGGTCGGGTCGTGATCCAGGGCAGCTGTTCGGGGGGGGGGGGGGGGGGGGGGGTTAGCTTAGAACTACACGTTACACATGTGGTTAGCTGTACAGAATATATGTCCATCCCCAAAGGACAACAAGGAGCCGCCAGCGTTGGACCTTTGCAGAACTGATGAGATTAACCTCTGTATTGGTCATGAAAGTGAGTCTTGAGGACCTGAAATCTCGCGGAGGAGCTTGCAATATGCTTCCATCCACTTATCATTCACGAACTTTTGATGACTCGCATAACATAGAAGTCCTTGGAATGTGCTCGCCGTATCTGACAAGAACAAATTCGCCATCGTTGGTTCTCCTTTCTTGGGGACCAATTCGGCTTCGGTTGTTTCGACGAAATTCTTGTATTCTTCAAGCTTGGGTGTCGTCCTCGAGATGCGATCAATTGCAAGTGGTCTGGTCTCAACATGTCCGGGAGGCTCGCGCGCCAGTCCTGACAGTTGGGGATACTGGGCGACCACGTCAATCGGCGCAGCCATGACTCCATCCAAGTCGATCACGCCAATGATTTCGAAATCGTTGTTCACGAGAAGGTTGTGGGCGCCGAAATCACGATTGGTCAGCTTGAAAGGGCCTGCACCGGTGCTGTCATTGTCATGGCCATACACGGAGATGAGGTGCTTGAAGAGCACGGGGATTGCAAAAGACCAGCTCGTTTGGAAGTCAGCCCCTGCATTCGCCACACAATCCTGGAGCGCGTGGTTGGCAAGGTCAGCGTAATAGTCCATCGAAGACGCCCAAGGCCCTTTCCCAGTCTCGGCGTCTGGCCCGATGAAGAATTCGGATGTAGTTTCGTCCTGATAGAGACTTCCGATCCGGTCAAATTCGAACGAGGACAGCGTGACCTGAATCCTAGCCATTTGCTCTCGAAACTTGCGATCTTGGTGCAATGTGCCGAATAAGCCTACGTCGCAGTTTTTCGCCGCCCGTAATTCCGTCGCAACGTTTCCGTCGATATAATCCATCAGGATGTACGGGGCGCCCACTTCGTTCTTTGCATCAACGCTGTAACTGTGGATTTCCGGAACGGGCATACCGGTTTTGGCTCTTCTCAGGGAGGCACAAGGTCAGTAAGGTCAGTCTGTAACAGCTCCTACACATTCTCGCAATCAGCGTACTTCAAGAACTTCATGCTAGCAACCTCCACCTGTAGAGTTCTAGCCTCGTCGAGCATCTCGCGGTCACCTAGGACTGCTCCTAGCCGTGGTAGTCTCAGCCTAGCAACCCAACTCGTACCGTCCTCAAATACGATCCGCCGGACCATGTTGAAGTGACCGATGGAGAATTTCTCCCCGAGGCTGCAAGGTATACCGCCATGAAGTCGCGAACAGCGCGACACGAGCTGGTCCCATTTCACGGCAGCAAAGAATGCGGTAGCTCGGTGGTGGAATGCACCCCCGGCCTCGTATGCGTCGGATCCATCCCAAGAAGCACTTCCAAGTAGAGCAGCTGGGTTCATCTGAGAGTGATTCATGATAGAGGATTATCAGGATCTCAAACCTGTAAGGTCATTTGAATGATGAATTGTAATACGAGGGTCTCTCAACTAAGGTGGAGGCCCAGGAGCGCAGGTAAGCTGCGCTCTGGGCTATGACTACCCAATCGGGATGTCACGAGACTCAGGTCTCGTGACTCACAATTGAATATGGAATTCGTGACGGAGTGAATCATGATTGAGGATGGGGTTGCTTCGATTAATACATCAGGTACCTTAGGTATAGTAGAGAGAGAGTGCCTAAGGCCTCGAAGTGCAACCGGGCACACGTCATGGCACTGGCGCCTAGGTGCAGCGTACAGATATCATCCTAACCCTAACCCTAACCCTAACCCTAAGTATCCCTACATGCCCGACTCTGAGATGGTAAAAACGGCACCAATTGGCACCGAAACTGGCAACGCTCACACCGGCACGCTTTGATACGTAGTACTCCGTACGTCCTCCGAACAGCCTAGGAGCCCTCTGTACTCCTCACGTACTCCGAACGGCCCTCTGTCCTCCGTACGTCTCCTCCCCCCGCCAACGGATCGGCAATGTTAGTCTCCTCAGACCTTTGCGGCGATGTCACCTCACACACGCAAACATTGGCCCTGTACGGTCTAACGAGGCCGCCGGGGATCCCGGTCAATCAACCGTGCCACCCAAAATCGAAGATGTGGCGTCGGACCGTTGCAGTTTACTGCTCGAGCGGTCAAAAAGGCCAAGGGACGGAATACACAGAAGCAACGCCACCAGTGCTTATCCCGATAGCACGAGACGACCGGGAGATCGTCAAGCCGTGTGAGATAAGAGCTTCCCGGTGGTGTCATACATGTAGGCAGCCATATGTGACCGATTGCATCGACTGCTCACGACCAAAGATCGCCCTGGTTCAGCACCATCTATCTACTCTGGGTGTCATTCTCCAATAAGTTCGTTCTTATCTCTCCCGGGCGCGGCGGAGTTCCCGGCCTGCAGTGCTCAAGCAGCTTTATGCATTTCGCCATCCCACCTTCAGGCTACCTCCCACGCGTTGGCCTGCGGAATGCTCAACCATCCATGGCCAGAAGAGCGCCGAACCAAGAATCTCCATCATGCTCCACTGCCCATAGCTTATAGTGACCCTTGAACCCTGCCAGAATGCAACCTCTCTTATGGATCAACGTCATGGAATATTGAACCTTCCAGGAACGTCCGGGTTTAGTAACCAATGGCAAGCTTGAGGACGTCGCTCACGGCAGGACACCTTCGCCTGGACTTGGATCCAAAGGATTTCGAACTCTGTCAGACGGCAGTCATGCCTGCTCCAGCTCCCAGCGGCCCATTTCTAGTCTCGTTTACGATACCTTGTGAGGTACAGCTGTCGAGCTCAATGCTCCTCAACCCAGCCATCCGCCAGTGAAGAGCTCCAAAGTGCTGCAAACTAATGCAGGCACTAGAAGACAATGTCACTCATCGTGCAGAGCACTTTCCTTGTATGGGATGCCTCCGCTTCGAACATGATGTCGGTGATGGAAGGTAGGTACGACCTTCTGTTGGTACATTAAGACCCTCGTGTGCTGCCTTTCTCTTGCCCTACGCAGGCGTCTCGGGGGACGTGCAGTGTATCTCTAAAGCTACAGAAGATCCACCCCAAGGGTCAGATTATTTGTTCGATTGCCTCGCGAGAGCTCCTCCTCGTCTTGTCAACCTCGCTCTCCGACCGGGAAAGTCTCATAATGCAAGCCGTGAGACTCCTCTCCACCCTCGGCGCACTGGTCGCCAGCGTCGCCGCAATTTCAGGACCTACAGTTCAGAGCAAGCGAGGCGGTCCTAAGCTTCAGGTCCTACCACGACAGTTGCCAGCAGAGCCAGTCGGGATACAAACAATCCTTAGTCCCAACGGTGTCAACATCACGTACAAGGACCCGGGCAAAGAAGGTGTCTGCGAAACAACTCCTGGTGTCAATTCTTATGCCGGGTTTGTCAACCTGGCGGAGGATGTTCACAGTTTCTTCTGGTTTTTCGAGTCTAGGAACGATCCGGCCAACGATCCAATTACCCTCTGGCTCAACGGTGGACCGGGAAGTGACTCTCTCATTGGGTTGTTTGAAGGCAAGTATCTGTCGACCGTGGTTTGACTGGTGATTCCTAGCTGACAGGATCTGTAGAACTCGGACCCTGCAACGTCAGCGAAGATCTGGTCAGCCACATCAACCCGCACGCTTGGAACGAGGCATCGAATCTCATCTTCCTCAGTCAGCCACTGGGCGTGGGATTTTCGTACGGCTCAAAGGTGACCAAGCCTCGAATGCCTCAAGAGCAGGGACTAACATCTTTTCCAGGAGCCAGGATCGCTGGACCCAGTTTTGGGAAACTTTGTTAATGCTTCCGAAGCCAATGTAACTGGTAGATATCCCGTGATAAATGCAACTGCACTTGGTAGGTCTCATTCAACTGTGTACTTGACACAAGAATCTCACGGCCTTCACAGATACTACGGACCTCGCCGCGATTGCAGCTTGGGAAGTCCTGCAAGCATTCTATTCGGTTCTTCCACAACTGGACTCGAAGGTCCAGTCCACCAAGTTCAACCTGTGGACAGAATCCTACGGTGGTATGAGGTCCGCTCACACGTAGATCGGACAAGATACTGACATGGAGACAGGACACTACGGCCCTGCCTTCTTCAACTACTTCTACCAGCAAAACCAGGCGATTGAGAATGGCACCCAGACCGGCAAGTACTTTGAGTTTGTCAATCTTGGCATCATCAACGGCATCATCGACGAATACGTCCAGGCACCATACTATCCACTCTTTGCCAATAACAATACCTACGGCATCAAAGCCGTCAACGACACCGTGTACGACTACATGACTTTTGCGACCTACATGCACAATGGCTGCCTGGAACAGATCGAACTCTGCGTGGAATCAGATACGACGACCCTCAGTGGCCAGGCTGTCTGCACTGAAGCGGAAGACATGTGCCGCGACAACGTCGAGTCACCTTACTACTACTACAGTGGGCGCGGGGTCTACGACATTCGGCACCCATACGATGACCCGACGCCACCATCGTATTTTGTGGACTATCTCAACCTAGCATCGACACAGGAAGCCCTGGGCGTCGACACCAACTACACTACAGACGCCAATAACGAAGTGTACTTTGCCTTCCAGCAGACAGGCGACTTTGTTTACCCGAATTTCCTCGAGGATCTAGAACAGATCCTCAACACGTCCTCAGTGCGTGTGACTCTAGTCTATGGTGACGCCGACTACATCTGCAACTGGTTCGGTGGCCAAGCTATTTCACTGGCCGCCCAGTGGCAGCATGCCGCTGAATTCGCCGCTTCAGGCTACACACCCTTCCTCGTGGACGGCGTCGAGTACGGCGAGACCCGCGAGTACGGGAACTTCTCCTTCACCCGCATCTACGAGTCCGGCCACGAGGTGCCGTACTACCAGCCCATCGCGGCGCTGGGCTTCTTCTCCCGCGCCATTTCGGGTCTGGACATTGCCACCGGCACTACCAAGGTCAACGGCTCCAACGGCGGAACCTCAGGCCCTGCCCAAGCGACACATACCAATTCGTATGTGGCGCTGCCCAGCACCACTTCTTCGGCGGCCCCAAGCAATTCGACTGCTGCTGCAACTGATGTCCCATTGAGATTCAGACGATCAATCTAGCAAGCCATTTCGACCCCTGATGCTATTCGACCCCTGATGCTATTCGACCCCTGATGCTATTCGACCCCTGATGCTATTCGACCCCTGATGCTATTCGACCCCTGATGCTTTGAGCCTTGTGCGAGCCGAGGCCAGGGCAAGGAGGGCGATTGAAGAGAAGGAAGACCTAATCCCGAAGGGTGCTGTCTGGACCAAGGCCTGCAACCCAGTCTCTTTTGCCTACGGAGGAACCACAAGGTAGGTGTCGAGGCGTTGGTCTGGTCAGCCCTCCCACTATAGTACCCTAGTTTATGGTAGATAATAAAGAGAAAGTAATTCCCGTCCAGAACAACCGACCGCAGATAGAAGGATGCCTACTCGGGCACGCAGACAAGAAGAGTCAACCATTGAAATCTGCAACAATCGTTGATGGCGTGTACTAATCGTCCCGAGTCGGGGGTATTATGTAGACATGCAACAGCAACACGAGCTCGACATTGATTCCCGACCGCCCAATTACCCCGACCAGAATCCCCGGCCTATGCGAAGTAACTTCTTGTAGACTTGGCCCTATGGAGACACCAGTCAAACAGCATAGTCCAATTCACACCGTACTATCCTGAGGCTTTGACCATTCAATGTCTCTGCACCTGTTGACGCCCATGCTTCACGCTGCCGAGCCAGTGGCCTACAGCCCAACACGCTCTTCTTCATCAGGTGTCTCAAAGTCCCACTCCAAATCCGCCCATTCGTCGTCACTCTGAGTACCATTGACCATCTCAATATCTGCATCCTCCTCGGCGGCACTGTAGTAAGCCTCATCTTCTTCTGGATGATATTGACAGCCATTGTCGTCGGTCATCATTTTGACCTTCTCGGTGGGAGACGGCTCCAAGTCTTGCTCAGGGTCGGTGAGACCTGTCTCCTGGATCGGCTGGCTTAGGAGTGGTTGTGACACACCATGACTGGACTCGGCCTCGCCCGACATTCCTGGCTCACTCGGGTGATCCGGATTTGTCAACCAGCCAGCTATCTTCGAAACCGTTTCAGTACCGGATTTCTGGTTATCCGTGATGGTTTGTGAAAGCCAAGGAGCATGGGTAACACTGTTCGAGTTACAATTCGCAGTAGGCCGTCTAGTGATTTGATGCCGATGCATTTTCACCGGGATATCATCTGTACAGTTTGACAAGCGGTCGAATACCGAGTTATCCATTTGGCGGCCACTGGTCCTAAATGATGATCCTTGGTTGTGAAGATGCGGGAACCCGAGTATCTTAGTAACGTAGCTTCGGGTGTGACTGTCAGCGGGGAAAGTGGATGATCGACCTTGCAGTGTGTCAGATGACTGCGTTTTGTCGGGAAGCACGCTGGTAGCAAACTTGTTGCTGCTGGTAGCCCGATGTGCCCACGGCATGACGATGTGGTTTGAAACATGCGTGGTAGGCACAACATCACCCAATGAAGTCCAAGGGTGGATGTTTGCAGAGATCAGAGTATCGTCCTTGGATTTGCTGACCATAGCAAAGTCGAGAAGGGTATGTGGATGGGACGAACCTTGCCTCAGGACTTCGTCAAGTCGCGAGACATGAGACCTACCAGACACAGCAAAAGGATCGAGATTTGTGTGAGTGAGTTGTTGTAATGGGTTGGAGTTGCTGACAACATTACCGACCAAGGCATGGTCGTTGACTGGTGGAAAGAAATTGTCAGGAGTGGGAAAGTGGTGTTGGATGTCAGGGTTATCGAGAGCTCGACCCATCAATGGTAGCGCGGCCGCAATGAATTTTGATTTTTGAGGGCCTGACAGTAGATCATCTTCCAGCAGCCGGGTCTTGCCGTCAGAAGTTTGAAGGCTCGTAAAGGCTGGCTGAGGCCTAAGATGGCTGTAGGCCAACTCGAAGCTGGGAAAGTCTTTTTCATCAGACAGAGCAAGTGTTTCTTGACTTTGATGTTCAAACAGTATCGGATTTGGAATGTGAATGTCATTCAAGTAGCCCGGACGATACCGACGAGAATACTCATCCCTGACTGGACCGGGATATGGATCAGGAACACTGTCTCCAGTAGCAGCATCCAAAGTTGTGGGTATGGAAAGACGGGGAGGCGAAGTAGGTGCCGGAACGTCCGCGGTGGGGTCGAGATGATACGGTGTTTGAACACTGACGACCACTCCTTGACTCTTCGGCTCGGGAATCTGGGGGGAGGAACATGAATCAGGACGCATCAGAGCAGTGCCGCCCGATGGAGTATTCGTGGGGTCAGAAGAGGGGTCCTCAAATAGTGCGGTAGGATCGGTCACATCCAGATCGAGGAGCGAGAAGGGGTTCCCTGGGAATGAATCAGAAAAGAGCAAACATGATCCAGAGTAGTTGCATACCTTTGCACGAGACCGCATGCCCGATATGAACATCTTGATCCAAATGAAAGCCACGGTCGTCACATTCATACAAGCATTCTTGGAGATTGAGTGAATCTTGGTCACGAAGCCGCCTTCGCTTTGTGGGTGGCCGAGTGGGTGCTGTGATGGGCGGTGGCCGGTTGAGATGTCGAGCGCGAGACCTCCGTCGGCGGTTTCGACGAGGGTTCTTGTCGGCGGTCCGGGCGTGTGTTGGCTGAGTCAATGTAGGCATGGTCACAATCTGTCTGATATACGGATAGGCTTGAGGTCTGTTTAGGAATGTAGGGGCTGTAGATGTTGAAGAGAGGATGTGATTGGAAACAAGAAACAAAATCTTTTAAGACTGATGATGTCGGGTGAAAAAACTGGGGGTATTTGCTCTTTCCGTTGTTCCTTATGTCGGTATCGGCAAGATCGACCGGCCCCCAGTCTTCTGAACGGCAGCTGCATCACGGCCAGTAATAGGATTGGAGATGCTTGCATCTCGCGGCATCTTGGCCGGATGATCGTCACTCTCCAATGTCACTGCCAGCCTCAGACAGTCCGAGTCAAACCACACTTCCAGGGGCTGCCGGAGACTTATTAGCCCTCCCCCTGGGCTTGTCGGCCAAAGCCTCGTCGACTTGATCATCCAGACGCATATCTCTTTCATGTGCCTCCCTGACTCTTCGAAGAGCCCAAAAATGGTAAATGGCAAAGAAGAATCCAGCACCTCCAACGCAGGAGCCTGTGACAATTGCAGTGATTTTAGCTGTCACACTCCAGATGCCTTTCTGGGCGGTGTAGACATTCACGAGGGTTGTAATCAAGCCGGCGACCGAGTTCAGCGTGACAGGTCTTTGACAGTCAATTAGCTACGAGAACTCCAAATGAAGAATACAACTTACAAGAAGATCCTGTTGATGAGCCAGATGTAGTTCTGGCGCCAGCGAAACCACAGCCACAGACATCCTAGCCCGCCCAAGACGCAAAATGCGCCCGAAAGCCACAGGAGCCCGATATTGGCAACAGTGTGGACGATGGTATGGGCGACTTCATTGCTGTCGTCGTCATTGAGGTCTTGGAAGGCTTGGGTCCTCTTGAAGGTGGTAAAAGTGCCGGGGACAACGAGGAAGCCAGCTAAAATGACCCAGGTGAACAGACTAGCCAAGAGATTGTATGTGCTAGAGATGTCATCCAGATGCAACAGCATCTCCATGTATTTTGTCCGCACGGAAGGTAGCCGAGTCAGGGGCGGCTTCGAGGGTAGGGATGGGTCTCGTCCGTTCGGAGCATTGGACTGGTTGATGGCTTCGAGTCGGATCGAGGAGGAACTTGCAGCGTTCGTATTCATAGTTGCAACATAAGTGTTGGTCTGAACAATAGGGTTCTTGTCGTAATTACTGCGATCTTCACCCCCACCGGAACCGATGCTGATGGGTGACATGGCCTGCTGGCTTTCCCGTCTCTCCTTGGAGAGGTCGCGGTTCCTGCCAAACATGATGACTGCCGTGGAATCTGAGCGGCTCAGCTACGTGAGAAGATAGATGAAGGAAAGAGGAAGAGAATTCGACGAGTAAACTTGGGTTCACGGCCGGGGTCAACGGAGACGAGAATCCTGTGGGTTATCTTTCAGAGCGGACAAAGGAAAATAAGTTCGAAGAAGAAGTAGACCCGAGGGGCTTTGTTGCGAGGTTCCAAACATAGACTTGCACGGTGTCCACAAACCATCTTCATCTTGGGAAATTGAAAGACCAGACAAAGCTGCCCATTTTGTTGCGAGGTAGGAGGAGTAATTGCCGACGATGACAGTACATGCCAATCTTCCAATCCACGTAACCTGCCTCCGGTGCGATCGGACAAGACAAAGCGAGCCCTGAATGTCGATGGCTTGACTCTTGAGACAAACTAGACAATGCCAAACCTCTGCCCCGGTGTAGCAAAGTGTGCCCAACGTCGGAGGATGGATGGCTCATTGTCACTGTGGCTGTCGAGACGGTTGACGTTGACGGCGCTTGTCTGTGCGGGCGAGAGCGACATGTTTGTAGAGCAACAGAGTTGCGGCTGCGAGGCTAGAGGACTGGTGATGGATTGAAGCTGGGGTGAAGGCCTTGAAACTCGGCTTGGTCCTGGCGGCTACAGAGGCCAGAGGACAGAGTCCGGAGCGCTGAGCGTTGTCTCGCTTCAAGGCGGCTGGCGGCGGGAGGATGAAACATGCAACAAGCAACATGCAACAGGCAACAAATCGATGGAGGGGCGCAGGGAGGTCACGTGAAGCATAATAGGCGCTAGTTCAAAAGACACGGATTCTGGGGCGGCTGGCCAGCGTCATTTCTGTCATTCCATCATACACAGTATATGGAGTAAACAGTTACCTACCTAGTAATAGGACCTCGCTGATGTCGAGCCCTCAGCACCGGTAGGCAGGACAAGCGGCGGCTAGGATGTTACAGCGTACAGAGTACAGAGTACAGAGTATCTATCTGTATAGTGGCGAGTGGTGCAGTGTACAGAATACTCCCGTACCTACTCTACTCCTCCTCTACCGTACAGTAGGTAGTTGACACCCGCAGTTGCAGTTCCAGTTCCGGTTCCGGTTCCTTGGTCCGACAAGTCTAGCTGGAAGAGCGTACAGAGTACAGCTTACAAAGTCGGAGGATCTGGGAGCGAGAGACATGCCAGTATCTGTCCAGTGTTCAGTGTGCAGTGTTCGCCATTATAGCTTGGGTGACGTTATCCCAGGTTCCACCAGGGCAGCCAGTCACACTGCGGCTGGACCAGGCTTGTCACCCAGCCGTGCGCTGTATGGACGTACTGTACGTACGGACTTCAGAGTTTCGTAGAGTTTTGAAACGATGGAGATTGGTCAGTGGACACGGGGCTGGGGACTGAGTGCTTCTTCTCAACCACTCAGCGTATGTATTGGGCCACTCTACGCACTTTATCTCGACCAGATAGCAGAAAGATAGGGTACTTGTGTATTACAGTAGTACTCTACGAGTATATTGCTTTTGTTATGTGACAAGCGGAGATGAGATAGAGACGAGGAACAGGGAGAAAGATGTACGGTGTAAGTATTTGAGTGGTATCAATCCCGGGCTGCTTCCCTGTGACCGCTCCACCGCACAGCACTGCATTCAACACTGGGAGATGTCCTTCGTAGATGGTCAATCAAATCCCCAGAGCTTCACGGCGCGACACCGACTTGGGGTCAAAGAATGGTCTTTCTCCAATCGACACAACACGGTTGCCCTGGCGCGGGCCGCTGTAGTCGCTACAAAGGTATACAGTCAGTATCATGATCATGCTCATCAAAAGGAGCCCATCCCGTCGACGGTGGTCATCCAGGATCAGGATCTACTTACAAGGTTGGAGTGTGGAAAACAGAGCGGCTGTGTCAGTGTTAGCGATAAATCCCTTTCCAATAGCCCAATACCGTATGGGGGACCGGGGGCACGTACTTATCCCAGATGGCAATGTCATTCTTGTTCCAGCGGAAACGCACTTGAAGGTCGTGGTTGTCGGTAATGAGTTGGAGGACTGCGAGTGCATTGGATTGGGTCAGTCAAGGTCAAGACTCGGAAGAATGTGTGATGGGGTATGTCTGTGTCTGTGGGGGTTGGCTCTGGCTCACAGTAGTCTTTGAGAATTTCGCTCTCCCTGTCGGTCACGCCGTTGATCCAGCCAGGCTTGATCTGTTCGCCGGCGACAAAGATACCCTTCCAGCTGTTTGGTTGTCAGTGGAACGGAACTTTCACCCGCATAAGAGCAAAGAGGGATTCGGATGACTTACCCGGTGACGGGGTTGGTTCGTACAACGGGGCTATTGAGATTGCCGACGGGCATCAGGTTAGTGTGGTGTCCTTGAACTGAAGTTTGACCTCGACTCGTCCAACACAATGGTCGAAAACTTACTGCACGGCCTCAAAGTCATTTCCGATGTTCTCGGGGTTTCCACGGTGGCCCGGGTAAAGCTCGAAGCCTTGTTCCTTGGCCACTCGGTTGAAGTTGACGTTCTTGTGAGTGGCAGTCAGGCCTTCAGCAAGGGCTCTGAATGGCGGCGACAAGCGGTCATACATCTCGTAGGCAGATGCCCACAGAGTATCTCCTCCGGCATCTGCGGGAGGAGCGACCAGCTTCAAGATGGCATAGTCGGATGGGACCCGCTCAAAGGTGATGCTTCCAGAGTCAGTTCAACGAGCTTCGATGTTTTCTACACTCTAGAGACGACTTACTCGGCATGCCACGAGGTGCTCGCCAGTGGCTTTTTCTTGAAGTGGAGGGGGTCCTTGTAGTATGCTCGGTATTGCTGGGGGGACACCGGTGTCAGACATCATGATATCCCCTGCGTCAAGGATCCTCCACGCCATATGATATGGGATAGGGGATAAGGGCGCTTACCTCAGAGGAGATGACCGAGACCTCGTCGTCTAGCTTTCCATTCTCATCAAGGGTGCGGCCTCTCCCGCTGTTGTTCACGGGGTGTCGGTTCAACGTGGAGACGTCGGGCTTGCCAGTGAGCTCTCCCAACTTCTGTCCCAACAGCTTCTGGCTCTCGACATCAAGGTCCTGGTTCCGGAAAAACACGACTCCACGCTGGGACACTGATCAGGGACATGACGTTAGCACGGGAAGCAACCCAACCACGATGGGAACGCTTCTGAATCACCTTGGATGGCTAGATCCCGAATCTTGGTGTCGTCATTCACGATCGAGCTGAGCTGCAGCTTGGGATACTCTTTCCCAATCACGCTGGTGACATCGAAAGATTCGTACTCGTCCAGGGATCCCGAGTATTTCAAGGGCGCGGTGAGTTTGGTCCAGCTCTTGTCGGCTTTGTTGGCGACGTAGCTGTAGCTGTAGTCACTGTCACTGCGAAGGTCAGAGTCGGCTGCTGGTGGTGCCATGGTGAATTGTGAGATGATCGTGGTCTGGTCTGGTCTGGTCTGGTCTGCAGATAGGATTGCTTTGTTATCAAGACGAAAACCCCTGATGAGACGAGGATGACTACGTAGTTAGATAGCGCCGACCGGCCGGACCAGCATATATACGTAGCCAGGGCCGCCAGATCTCCTATGCGGTATTAGTTTTAGTCCATGGAGTACACATTTGCATGTCTGACGCGTGACTGGCATGGACCATGGAGACGGCGGGACATCAGAACGCCAGACTAGTACTCGTAGCTATGCCGTCTTCCGGTATTATCTCCTCCAGAACCTCGTGAGGATTGTCGGGTCGACGGGTCCACATGTACCCGTGTCGTGTCGTGTCACTTAAAACAGGCCTGGTATTCTGTAGAACTTTACATTACGGAGCCAGTCGACTAAATGGCTGTGGCTACTACGTTAAATCAGTGTATACTCTGTACAGTGGTTGAAGTCGCCATCTGATGCCATCCTGCGTTGACTCGAATCATGTCTGGATCACTATATGAACGACATGATTAATGTGGACTATATGGACTGTAAGTCGAAGCTAGACTGGCCCTAGATAGCCAACTCTGGGCGTTTGCGCGACGAGGCAAGGCAAGGCAAGGCGTCTTTTGGACTGAGGATGGCGACATCGAGGACTATCCGCCCAGGTCGACCCCATCCCAAACCCACCGTTATACCGGATTGGGCACTGCAGCCGCTCTACAGCAGTATCTGTCGGCTATCTTCGCATATACTACCCAAAGCTGCCGCGATACCGACGGCTCGACTGCCACAAGAGGACCGGGGGCGGTACTCCTGATTTGGATGTGCCGCCTTGCGGTCTGGAAAAGCGGATTTGAGCCTTTCTCCGTACACCAGGGCGAGCAGAACCACAATCTGGTTGCAATTGCCTACGTCTTTGTCTCCGGTCCATGTGGCTCTCCTTTCTGTCCTTCGCAACTAGTCACTGATCTCACAAGATCGGTGGATTATTGCACCATTTCACATTTCACCATGATCTTTGTCTTGCCATGTGGTGACGCCGCTACGGGACCGCCACGGCTAACAGATACCAGGCCCGTGGCGGTGGTACATAAAAGATATATCTTCCTGGTCCGAGAGATCTATCAGGCGATCTCTTTCCCTTCCACCTTGTTCGAACTCTTGTCTTCGAAATCGGTCGGACATTATGGGCAAACTTGCTGTGAACACAGATGTGGAGCCCCTCGACATATCCCAAAGAGAGCATTCCGACTTGAAATTGAAAGATGGGCTGGACACTTCTGCAAAGAGGAGCTCCTGGAAGTTCTGGAGTGGCTGGGACCAACAATCAGAAGTAAGACAGACATCAATCAGGATCAGGAGGGAGGAAGGCAGCGAGAAGAAGAGAAGAGTTTTGCTAACCGTTGCCCGAATTCCAGGAGCGCCGCCTACTGACGAAGGTAATGCCATTGTGCCATGTCAAATTATAGAAAGGGATTTTTTTCTGACACGAGCCGATTCTGCTTTCAACAGCTTGACCTGACTATTACTCTTTTCGGCTTCTTGGGAGGGCTCATCAAGCATATCGACCGGTCCGTACCAAAACAAACATTGATATCTGCCACAGACACGAGTCGCTTACACATTTTGATAGACAAAACCTGACAAATGCCTTCGTCTCGGGAATGAAGGAGGATCTGGGACTTTACGGAAACGTCAGTTCTCTCTTCCCTGCAGAGGCAATCCTGTGCAAGAATTGAGTGGAATATCGAATGAGTGGCTGACATGGTAACAGGAGATGAACTACGCCCAGGTGAGATCCTGATACAACGGGTATCCTAGATTGAGGTTGCAGCATCTGGATGCTGACTGTCAGCCGTCTAGACAACCTATTCGGTCGTGAATGTAAGCAACAAACCCTCTGACTATGAATTGAGCTTTTTCTCTGAGCGATCCGACTGACTGTGGTACGCTATACAGATTCTTTGCATCTGGCCCATCAATCTTGCCATGACAAGATGTAACCCTCGCTACTTCATTCCGTATGTGACACCTGGAAAACTCTCGAATTGTTGACTACATGTATATATGTATGTATGTATGTTCTTTCCAGCTGATACAGTTCATCTACAGGGCGCTTGAAATTGGCTGGACAATCGCGTAAGTCGGCCTGTGTCGAACGGATCAACCTCGACTCTACTAATCTAGCTTCCTCCCTACCTACAGTACCTTCGCCTCGTCTGCGATGAAGACACCTTTGCAGATGTATGCCCTTCGAGGCTTGGTTGGACTGTTCGAGTGGTATGTTGAATCCCACCCTACGACCTACGATCCAGAGGACAACGCAGAACTAATCACCAAGTATAGTGGACACTTCTCAGCGAGTATGTCTTAAGACACGTCGCCCGCCGTCTGTGGATTGCTGCTGATCTCGATCTCAATAGTTATGTATGTCGCTGGCGGGTGGTTCCAGAAACGCGAACTGGCAAAGGTAAGACATAAGACAACCGAGTCTTCCATCCACCATCTCATTAGACCTACGACGCGAGGTATATGAGGTTCATATAGCTAACATGCTCACAGAGGATTTTCCTGATCAACAGCGCTGGCCATATTGGACCGATGTTTTCCTCCTATCTACAAAGTACGCACGCAGCCTCGGCCTCCGCTTCATCGAATGGGGATGTTCAATCTAACCTAATACACTATTTCTAGCTGCCGCCTACAAAGGTCTCAACGGGACGATGGGAAGAGCCGGATGGCGATGGGTAGGCATTAGCCCTCCTTTTTGCCACGTTGATCAGGACAAGATCAAAATCGATCAGCGTGGCGTGGTCCAATACTGAACATTGAATACTGACAAGAAACTCCCCTGTCTAGGTATTCATCATCGATGGCATTATTTCAATTGGAATCGCACTTCCTCAAGTCTTTCTCTTCCCAGACTTGCCTGCTCGGCAGAAGCCAGACCGCGTCTTCACGGAAAGGGTGCGTTTCAATTCAATTCCCAGGCGTGCTTCCTGTTACGTGGCTCATTCAATCAATGCTAACCTTCCAACCAATGCAGGAGATTGAGCTTGCGCGGGACCGTAATCCCAAAGAAGGCCGTGTCAAGCAAGGAGCCATCACCAAGAAACAGGTTCGTACAGAGAAGTCCTTTTCCTTTTCCTTTTCTCGAGAACAAACCAAACCCCCTCCCCAGCTCAGCTCACGAAAGCTGTGCAAGGTGCAAGACATATGCTAACTGATCTGGTTTATCTATAGCTACGGCGATTCTTTACTGATCCGCAGATCTGGCTTCTCTGGGTCATTTCGGCGTAAGTTTTTTCCCCTTTCCCTTTCCCTTTCCTCTTTCCTTCCCCTTCTCTTTCCCCTTCCCCTACCGATGGATGGAAGCAGACTCGAAGCATTTTGCACGAAATCTAAAATATGTTGATTTATACGTACGCGTACGGACTCGAAATTGACATGGACACCCTAGGGCAAATATCGTTCCCAATCAAATCCCTAATTCGATGGCATATTGGTTCAAGGCATGGAACAAAATCAAGCCTGGCTCTTTCACTGTTCCACAGATCAGTAAGTTTGTGTCTGTTTCTTCTTGCATCTAATCGGTGATGGACGGGGCGGGAGACTTGATTCGCCATACATTTCCCTGTGTTGTGCTGTGCTGTGCTGTGCTGTGCTGTGCTGTGCTGTGCTGTTCTGTTCTGTTCTGTTCTGTTCTGTTCTGTCCTGTTGTGTTCGTGCAGCTGCTAACAAAGTGGTTTCAAAGACGACTATATTACTCCGATATATGCCATTGAACTGGTGCTGGACTTGTCCTGGTCATACATGAGTAAGTTCCTACCTACCTACCTACCTGCCTGCCTGCCTGCCTGCCTGCCTGCCTGCCTGCCTGCCTGCCTACTGTATTTAATTACAGTACTCGTTCTGCATTAAGCTACAATACTCTTTCTTCCATCCTTCATCAGCCATATTAACCCTCAACAGGCGACTCGATCCTCCGCGGTCGGCGATGGCCGTTCCTCCTGCTCTGCCAGGGTGTCATGGCCGTCGTCAGCATTCTTCTGGCCACGACACCGGTGTTTCCGCACAACAGAGCATTCCGCTGGTTCTTGTACTACATGAGCGGCTTTATCAACTCGTCTCCACCGTGAGTTTGGACCCCTTTCGCCCCTGTTTTTTCTCCCTTCTCTATTGCATTTTGCCCTCTTCCCCTCCTCTTCCGCTTTTCTATTACATTTTGCCATCTTCCCCCGTTTCCCCCTTCTCTATTGCACTTGTATTTGGCCCAAGTCCGCCTTTCCGTCAACAAGACTGACAAAATACATTAGACTCTTTTGGGCTTGGACGCAGGATACGCTGTAAGTGGTAGTGGAGCATATGTGTCATGTGTTCATGCACATGCGCACGATTTCTATCTATCTCACGAGCAGCGGAAACTGATCATTGTTTTCTTTTTGCAGTTCTGGTGACCCGGCCACGCGAGCCTGGGCGTCTGGAGGCCTCAATGTCTGGATGTCGGTGTTTCAGGCTACAATGTGAGTTTGGCTCCTTTTCTCTTCTCGTCTTCTCTCCTCTCCTCTCCTCCCCTCTCCTCTCCTCTCCCCTGCTCTGCTCTGCTCTGCCTGCCTATCCACTCCTCGCCCATATACTTTATCTTCCGAGTTTCTTTCGAACCCTTCCCTGCCTATCCTCTCGTCTCCTATCCTCTTCTCTCCTCTGCTCTGCTCTGCTCTGCTCTGCTCTGCTCTGCTCTGCTCTGCTCTCCCCTCCCTGCCTATCCACTCTTTGCCCATATCCTAGATCTTCCAGGCTTCTTTGAACCCCTTCCCTACACTGCCATCATACGAGCACGACATCACACATGCACGCCCCACCCGCATACCTACATACATATTTAGCTACCTTAGCTACCTTAGCTACCCTAGCTAGTTGAGCCCTTACTGACTTTTGGGTCCCCCCCTTTCTAGTCCACTCGCCGTCTTCAAAACTGTTGATCAGCCGGCCGTCGTGAAGGGCAACTGGACCGGAGCGGGATTCTGTTTCGCAGGGATCCTAGCTACCGCGACCTTGGCCTACATTCAGCACCGGGAGAAGAAACAAGCTCGCGAACGGGAAGGAGACGACGCCGCAGCCACAGCCGCCACAGCCATCGAGGAAGTGGAAGAATACCGAGTCCCTGGTACCGATGCGGAAGAAATTGGCAAACTCGCGCCAGCGTCGCCATCACCGTCGGAAATCGTGTCATCCAAGAGGTGATAAGGGCGTGAACTGCCCTGGTGAATGACACACCGTCGCAAATTGTGTCATCCAAAAGGTTATAAGAGTGTGAACTGCTCATCCAAGAGGTGATAAGAGCATGAACTTGAACTGCCGTCATGATTGACATCCCGACCGATCGGATATGGGGTGTTAAAGACGGGACCAGTCGAGGTGACGGTGTTCTGTTTAACCATGCCTGTTGCCTGGTGTCTTATTGTCCGGTGGTGCCGCTTGGTTCTGTTTAACCCTGCCTGTCCGTTGCTACCGCATGGTTCTGCTAGAGGGAATACTGTACAAGGAAGACACAGACAACGCGAAAACTGTCTGATTCTATATAGAATGTGAAATCTTTATCTGTCCGTTTCCTGTGACGCCATACAACCACAACCATACCGCCCCGAGCCATTGAACACATGATCCTGTATTATCGTGCACAACGCCCGCGAGCACCGTTACCCAGACCCTAATAGTCAGATGCCGTAGCCCCGTCTATCAACGCCATACTAAAGTCGCTGCAATCCTCAATCCATCAATGCTGTTGCAAAACCGCCGATGATTTCAACCTCGATGTACCGTCTTCCTAAAGCCAACCATATGCGCCGTGTCTCCATAGCCTATGATAACAGATCAAACTTGATCCTCTGTACCCACAACCGTTATGTCAACCACATCCGGGGCTCTCTCCTCGGATGGATTGTCGATGCAAGGCAGAATCGATTTGACAAGAGTCATTTCACTCTTTTCCCTCGGAACAAACCATAATTGCACAACTCCGACAATGGCCACTGCGCCGGCAGCCCACCATGCGAGCCCTGTGAACCCAATATCTGAGCCCCAACTATAAAGCAATCCCGCAATGGGAGGTGCAACAGTCCGACAAGCTGCACCCGCCGAAGCAGCAAGGCCGTTGATTCGTCCCAGCACGGAAAGAGAAGGGCTTGCTTGCTTGAGTAAAATCAAGAGAACCGGGTAAGCGAGAATCGAGAGAAGATTGCGGACGGTGAGGCAAGCGTAAATGCCAGGATAGAGAACGTTTGGTGGAAGAAGTGCAAGATAAGGCACGATAAAGAATGCCACCGGATGTAAGATCGTGACCAGAACGAACGTGCGCCAGATGCCGAGCCGCTCTGCTGCAAGGGGGAAAATGACAGCCTGAATGAAGAGGGCAATAACGCCATTGACGGACAAAATCACCCCGACCTCCTTGGTGGACAGACCCAATCCACCGGGCACATGGACGGGACTTGGGCCCCGGAGGGCGACTGGGTCGATACGTCTGTCCTGGAAGAAGATTGGAAGTAGGTGGTCATAACACATCGAGTGATAGGTGTACAGACCGAGTGCGACCGTCAACATGGCTATCTTCTTGGTGAGCCATTTTTCAGATTGCTTTTCTGACAAGGAGGGGGGTCGGGAGGTGCCGTCAGGATTGAGTTCCCAGCGCTGATTCTTAGGCATGTCCACCTCATTGAACGTCCCGTACGAGTCCTGTCTCAAATCGACGCCGGGGTCGGCAGTGGCCCCTGCAGCGGTGATCATGGGCGTTTGTTCTGCAATATCGTGGTGGACTGTCGAATCAGCGCCTCTTCGAAGATCGGGATGGGTCTCCTCCAGCCAGAAGAATCCACTTGTGATGCTGAGGAGCATGAAAACGGCACAGACCAGATTGGGCAGCAACCAGGGATATCGACCAAAAGGTCCATCCCTGGAAAAGGTGTCTGGATACGACTTGGCCGGGTCTGCAAGCAGACCTCCGATGGCAGGACCGATAATCGTGCCAATTGACCAGACAAAAGGCATGACTGAATACGCCTTGGGTTCGTGTTCGGGCTTGGTCACCAGTTCGCCCACAATTGTCTGAATTACGCCTGCTCCCATCAGTGACAGAACCTTTCTCACTTTCGGTCCCTGGAAGCTTACCAATGTTTCCATTTAACACTCCACCGACGATTCTCCCGCACAGGGCCATGGTGAAATTGGTGGAAAAGCCGACGACTAGGAGGGACACCATGGTACCGAAGCAGCCGAGGAGTAGGACCGGCTTTCGGCCAACCCGATCCGACAGGCTGCCCCAGAACAGGCTGGTGAGAGATTCGGAGAGGGAAAAGGAGGCGATGAGAATGCCGGCGTAGAAGGACGCATCATTCATACCGAATCCCTTGACCATGATCCAGGCATAGGGAAAGATGGCGGTGATGGCGATAGGTTCGGCGATACGACATATTGCTATCAATATCAAGGTCAGCCGGGCTTTCGTCAAGAGTCGGCTTTGAGCGAGCACTGACATAGAATGAGGAACTGGGTGGTAGGAAAGCTGTCGTCGGTAAGAGCAGGGTTGGTCTTGTTTCGTGTAAGTCTCATCTTGCGAAGTATGCCCAGTCTCTTACGACCTGTCCTCCAACTAATAGCCTTGCGTCCCAGGTGGGAAAGCGGCAGCCGAGACGCTGGTGGCGAGTGGCAGTCGAGCTGAAATTGTTCGTGGTGGAGATGAGAAGAGAAGCGACTCGGGACAAGAGTCACATATGCGGAACAGGTACTCCGTAGAAGGGTACAACACGAGAGAAGACGAAGAATCAAAAGAGGGAGAGGAAGAGTGGGAGCGGAAGCGGAGATGGAAAAAAAGGCGCAGAGACAAGTAAGTGGAGGCACCGTTGATCAGGAGGTGCGGCGATCTGTTGTTATGAGAAGCAGAAGTAGAAGCAGGTTGACTTTCAGAGGCACGACGCAAGATTTGGCTGTTGATAGACAAACCGTCAATATTAATCTAGAATCGAGATGAACAATCTAGTCTCGTGGAGCCGAGTTCGTGGCACAGTACAGTCACCAAACAGTGGTGGCATTATTCCAGTCCAGCATGCGACGTTTGATTTCTAGAACAGAGCAACATTTTCCAGGCCGCAGGGGAGGTGCACGGTGGCACCGCAGGCCAATCACCACCGTGCATTCTTCCACCGCCTGCAGATCAGTAGGCGGTGAATGACAGCACAAAACTTGACTGGCTGCGGGCGATCGAGATGGCCGGCAGTCGGAGGAGTCGGAGGAGGCTTCCGCATCGTGTTTTGTCCGGCAATCGGCCAGGATATGCGCAATTATCATTTACCCTGTTAGGTGCCTAGCCATGGCCATTGACGGTCATACTACTACGGAGTACGGAATACTGTATGGAGTACTCCGTACTGTGTAGTACTGCTGCATTACAGAGTAAGCCCGCTGCGAAATCAGTCCACCATGCTGCCATCACCCGAGAGCCGAAAGTCGAGAATCGAGAGCAGGCCCATACCAGCCAAAGCCAAGTGTGCAGATGGTCACGGCGGACGGGTGTGTCTGTGAGTCTGTTGTGCTCATCGAGACTCTGTCGGCCGTGCCTGGGCCGTGCCTGGGCAGTGCGCAGTGCGCAACTCACTGGCAGTCGGCGAAGAAGATGGAACATTCGTACTACCTATACGGAGTAGTGTAATGCCGGCAGAAAGATCCTAATCCGCCCACCGCCTACCGCCTACGGATACATATGTCGTATGCTTGTGTTCTCACGCATCCTCTGGCACAACGTACTCTCCGTCGAGTCCCTCCTCGGTCATCGTACCCTCACTTAACGTCGCACTCATCGTCGCCTGCTTCTCGCCGTTCCCCCCGTCCCCCCCGTTTCCCTTCTGCCTCTTTTGCAATCCTAGCTCCACCTCGCCCCTCAGCACCTTGATCAACTTCAACGCTCCATCCTGAGTCGCCGCTGTATTCTTGCCGAGATCGTACACCACGTTGACGAGTGCGAGTGAAGCCACAAACAGCCACACGTCACCTCCACGGATCCCTCTCCACCATCCATGTTTGACCCCAACCTTCCACAGCGAGTTCACGCTCGTCCTGGCAGCATACAATGCATTCATGTGCCCCGCAGGAGTGCGATCAACCAACTGGAACAGACCGGCCAAAAGCCCGCCTAGGAAGAATCGGAACTTGGGAAGAAATGACCTTGGAAATATGGTCTGGAATAAGCAGATACTACCCCACGCTGCCCCGATCGAGCCAGATATGGCCATGGTCGATCTCAAAATGGATTCGGACAGTCGGTTGGCGGAAGCAAGCGGGGAGCTGGCAAAGTCTTTGATTCGTAACAGTGCAAAAGCCGCGTAATATATGGTGTAAAATTTGGCCATCTGTGGAAACGCGATCAGATTATGCCTCAGGTATGCCATGAAACACGACGGGTCTGATGGGTGTATCAGAGCACATGATAGCTTGTGGATTGCAGGGTGCGCCCGAGACGTGACGGGTGAGATGACAGAGTTAATCCCACGAGGCAGCGTGTTCGGATTGTTAGGCTGGAGGATGGGCGACACAAAAGGCGGCCATCTCAGGCTGGCCATCTGGCCTAGGGCGTCGAGAATGTCGTCCGGTCGAGGCCACACCACTTTGGGCGAGAGACTTGCTGGGCGACGCTGGACGTATTCGGGCGTATAGCCGAGAACGAAAGAGCCGTATGCTTCGGGAAAGCAATCCCGATCAAATACAAACGCGTGTAGCAGTTGTCCCTGTGCCAGAGCAAACAGGACCCAACTTCCCAGCCACGAGGGCTTGTTGGCAATCACCTTGGTATGCCGGATGGCAGCATAGCCGATCTCCAGGGCCCGAGACGCAACATATATCGCCGCCGTCACTCGGAGCTGGTCGGCAGGGCATATGCCCAATGCGAGTCCCGACAGACTAGCGCCAATGGCGGGCGCAATCCGAGAAGTCAATGCCGCGTAAACCTTGGGGTACCGCTCTCGAATGCTCCGCACCCTCTCATGGAGTAGCCGTAGCCTCAGGCGCGCGAAGACCCGGAAGAGCACCGTGTGCAGGAAGAGAAGAGAGGAGAGCGACAGTGCCAGTCTCGTCTTTGACGCCACCAGTGGCTGTCTGGACCGGGTCGCGGTCTGGGTGTTGCGGGATGGAAGGCGCGACAAAACGAGATCGAGTGCTTTTAAAGAGCCCAGGGTGGCCACAAACACGCGCGAGGCTGAGCGAAAGGCGGCGGCGTTATGGTCGTCGCGTCGGCCAGTGGATTCAGAGTCACTGGCGACGCTCGGTCTCTCTGATCCGTCCTTGCCCGCTTCACGTAGTTTCGGTGATACGCGGAGAACATGTCGTCGGAGGAGCTCGTACTCACGCTCGTTCAGAACGTAGCGAAGAGATCGCGACTCAGACTCCATTCTTCAAAGTTCCGTTGATGAATCACTCGTCACGTCGCCAACCTTGGGGAGATATACAATAACACCTCAGGATGTCGATCCGAGGCCGGGCCTAATGGCAACTGGTGGCGACAATGTGCAGAGAGCCCAAAGAGGACAGCACTATCGGATGCCTGCCAGATGCATGATTCGATGATCTCACGAGGAAGCGACCTTTGATGGGATGCAAGCCCTAGAAATATCGGATGAAGTTAATGACGATGGAGGACTTTTGAGACGCAGCTGGTGACTGGTGCCTCGGCTGGCACGTGAACTGAGACTCCAGCCTCCAATTCGCGGGGAATGCGCCTCAAACCACTACGGCGAACCCTATGGCTGGCCAGACGAAATACGACGCGTGCGCAAGGCTCTCTCTCATCAGTCTCTATCGCAAGGCCCGGATATCGAATCGTCCCAGCACCAGCTCATCCTAGACTTTCTCCCTCAGGATGCGGCTGCGACCAGCTCTGGCGTTGCTGGCGGCCCTCCTCGCGCTCTTCGACCCCACAGCCGGCGCAAAGTCTGCGGCAACGACCTTCTGCAAGTGCATCTGCTTCACCAACAGCACCATCATTGCCCTGAACCCTCCGGCGTCGTCTGCACAGTCCTCGTCGCTACACAAATTCGACATTCGCTTATCGAACCGCGATCCCGACGCCGACCCGGAACGATCCTATCCCTACTCAGATCCGCGCCGGGATGCATGGGCACATGCTGAAATCAATGGTGCAAATGAGAAGAGACATGCTGCCTCGGGGGAGGAGGAGGATGAAGGGGACGACAAGTCGAAATCGCCGGCGGCCGGTCACTCGCGGCCACACCATAAGTTAACCTGCGCAGACTGCACACGCGCATTCTGTCTCGACTATAATCTGCCCATATGCAAGAACGCGCACGAGGAGGACGTGTTCACCACCTGTTTCCGTAAGTGCCACCCGTCAATCCTCCCAATGCCATTTCCCCCCTGGTAGGGAGTCTGTCCATGGGATCGCCTCTCCGATAGGGACAGATCTTCCACAAGCCTCTCTTCCATCCCAAGCGAGATTCCCCATCCATCCGATTCCAGCTTCATTTGTCTAACAAGCCGTATTTTCTCTGGCCCTTTTGCAGAGCGCGACTCCCTCAAAGACGAAACCGTAGTCGTTGTCTTCATTTTCGCAACCGCGGGCCTTCTCGCATGGGCACTGGTCAAACCCTGGATCGATCGCCTGCGAGAGCGCAACTCGTTCGTCCCACTTGCACAGCACGAGGTTCGTCGTGGTGGCGGCGGCGGCGGCGGACACACTCGCCCAAGATTGAACATCAATACCGGTACCCACGGCGTGAACAATCCCAGGCCTGGCAACGGCTTCGCAAGCCACGGCACTGCGGCGGGCGGCCGTGGAAGCGGAACCGGTGGAGGGAGCAGCACGGCCGGAGGGCTGTTCTCCAAAGGTCCTCCTGATCAGACACAACCTGGCAGGCAAGGGCTACAACTGCACGCAGACCAAGATGCCATCGATATTGTCTCCGGGTCTGGGGTTCGGTAGCACACCGGCGGTGATGGGACATGTAGCCAAGCTGAGGGAAGTGTTAGAATAGAACCAATGAGTCGATCGAACCGAGTAATTATCTCGTACTCATATCTGCCTAACTACCGGCTATGAGCACGTACCAGGAAGCCAGCTCTAACTCTAGGTCAAGCGCAAGCTCAAGCCCAGGACCGTTTACAGGATTGCTCCCTAGCCTGCTGATCATTCGCATCTCACTATCGCGAGCAATCAATCCAAGCCCATCCCTTCACCCACATCCAGCTCCCAAAGCTCCAACCCGGTCCTTCGTCTTCCTTGGTGGACCATCACGCCGCTCGAGGTACAAATTTACCTCCACCCGGGTAACCGACCCTAGCTCCTTGATTGCTTTCGCTGAAAATGACACTTTTTCCTTTTTGGCGTTCCCTTTACGCCTCCCAGCATCCAAGCCATGTCGTACAATGTGTTTTCTAGAATCACACAAAAAAGCACAAGCTCGCCTGCTGAAAATGTCGCTCACTCGAATTGAGATCTCTCATGATCCATTATCGTACCGTTCCGTGCCGCGCCGGACCATCACCCTGCTATGCAGTGATACTATCAGAGCTGTTAGATTCTGGCTTGGAAGAGAGCAAGAATCCAACGCGTTCTCTGAGAAGAACAGTCCCGTTCAAAGACTCTCTCAGTCCCACTGGCTCCCACATGCTTGAGTTCACCATCCGGTCTCGATTCGGGATGGAGTGAGTATTGAGAATCTTCAGACGACGTGCTTCACGCTCGGCGACAACTGCTGCCATGAGCTTGGTAGATTCCGGATTGTGTCGTCCACGCAGGAGCTCGTTGAAGAAATTCAAGTTCTCGAAATCTACATTCAGAAGAATGTTGGATGCCACTGTATCTGGGAACGTCGGTCCCGTTCCCACGAGGTCTGATTGGCGTAGAGAGGGAGACATGCTGACGGACGATGGCAAAGACCCAAAAACCATGGATGCCAATGCTGGATTGAATCTTGGGCGACCGTCGTCAAGCTGCGGAAGACGGGATGGGAAGACTGTGGAGGGGTTGTTGGGGTCAAGTTTGAAGTTGTCAAAGTCGATGTTGTTGGCCACAAATTGAAGGATGAGCCGGATAATCGAGTTACTAGCGACAAGATAATCCGTCCCAGTCATGTTCCTTCCAACCGACGATATGGGTGAATTTCCAAGCTCAATTGCATTCTTGTACGCAACCTCGACGACATCCCACTTCAGATATGCAGACAGGATTCTCTCTGCACAGATAGAGACCGGCTCGAGACCGAGCTCGATACCAGCAACCCAATAGGACATGATGTAGTCCAGGTTGTGTAGTCTGGTAGCATGATGGTCCGGTCCAGGCGGGGTGTTGGAAAAAAAGTTGTCTGACAGGACTGTGTCCGAGTACAGAAACCGCAGTGCCGCTTCGAACGCATGTGGAAAGACCTGGCGTGCAGGAAATAAGTTGATGATGTTGGCAGCATCAGCTGTAGTCTTCTGACGATCCATCAATTTGCGCAAGCGCAAGCTCCGGGAGAGGATGACTCCATGACCGAAGGTAACGAACGGTTGCCCAGTTGGTGGATTGACTTGGACAGCCCAATCAGCTGCCTCCTTCGTCGAGGCCACCGAAATCAAATGGTCCGGAAGAGGCACCAGCGCGTTGAAATGTCTTGGGACAGACTCAGGGCGACTGGGGGTAGACCCCGTCATAGACAACGGCTCAATACCATTGACGCTCTGTTCATGAAACACCGAGGACGGGGCCGACGGTTGTGTCTGTTCAGGTACATTGTAGGCTTCGAACTGAGACCCAGACGAGCTGCCATTGCCTATTTGCATGAATGGCTGCGTTCCATTGACAGCGTTGTGGGCAGCCAAACTGCTGGCAGGAGGGGAATCTGCGACAGCAGGGCCGGGCCCAGACAGAACTCGTCGATTTTCCTCCTCAGTTACCATACTGGTTGCTTCAGATGGCTGATTGTACCGAGAAAGGCCAAAGTTGGCGGCATCCTGACCGTTGTTTGGACCACTGGTTGTCAACTCACTGCTCACCACCATATTGCCAACGGTGCTTGCATCTTTGTGAGGCAGCTCAACTGAAGTGTTGGCGACCGGGTCAACCTCTGCTACTGCGTCTTCTTTCTCATCAGATTTAGTGCCTTTCGGAAGATGGATTGCTTGTTCTTGAGGAGTAGGTGAGGCAAATTGCGGTGCGACGGACGACGGGCCTGGAGTTATTTAGTCAAGTGAGGCTGAAGAAAAAAACCGATGAGATCAACTGACCGGTAGATACCGAACGTTCTTCATGCGCAAAGGACTCATCTGGAGAAGTGTTCAACTCTGGTAGATCGACGAGAGCATTATTTTCTGCCTCACTCGGTTTGCGGTTCGCGACGGTGTGCGCAGTGGAACTTTCAGCCGCTTCTCGAACCTCCTGTTGTGAGGCTGGGGCCGGCTTGGTCTTGTTTGACTTTGCGCCAGCGCGGAAAGACAAATTTGGCAAGGCAGGCTGAATCATTCGCCCGTATGCTTTTCTGACTTCTCGGTCACTGGCAGGCTTCGGAGCCATCTTGAGAGGAGAACGGCGCAAAGGAAAGGCACCGACTGCAGACCATGGAGAAGAGGGCAAAATGACCAGAGGGTGAGAGCGAAAGACAGGGATTAACCGGCAGGAGACGAGACAGCAAGCGCTGCTCTACAAAACGGCATACACCGTAGTCAATATGTCGACCACGGGGCGCGAATTGATGGCAGCGATGTGCGAGTCTCTTGTTCGCGGGGAAAGAAGAAATTAGCTCGCAGCTACGATCGATCATTTCGGTGTTGGAGTATCTCATCTCAGTCACTCTTCTCCGCATTGCAGAGCCAGCCTCGCCAAGCGTTGTCGGTCACGTGCGAAGGCGGTGTACGATGTGCGATGTGGTGATGTGTGACGGAGGGAATGAAGAGCAGTGCTCTCCTCTCAGATAAGGGGGTGGTCTATGTCGACATTATTGAGATGCGTTGCTTGAACGAAGGCTTCAGATGGGATCAGGAAAGGCTCCTGTGCCGTCCAACAGCTCAATGAAAGTAGCACTCGTTCATCCTCCAACCAGTATATCATAATGCCTTGATGTTTACGATACTGACAACTATCATCGCATCTCTTCACTTTGTACAGAGTACAATGCTTTTCTTTGTAGTGGCCTCCTTGTGCCAGGCAGTTACACCATATGAAAGGCAGCGCTGGTCTAAGTGACTTTGAAGGTCTTACTGTGTTCGAGGGTGAGCCCGCTGAGCTTTCGTCAACGCAGGTCTCATGCCGGGCCTATCTGCACATAGCGGAGAGAAAGGAACAATGATCCGGACAATCACGATTTGGGTCTATGTTCACTATGTACAAGGTACCTGGCATGGATGTCATGAATTGTGGGCGGGTGACCCGTCTTCGCCAGGGATCCGAACACTTAACCACGACGGGAAATGAAGCTTTCCGTTGATCTATCTGGGACGACTAGACATGGACAGCCCGAAATTCATGGGCTGACCAGGGATCTCCAAGCTGGTGCTTGTTATGGACAGGTCATACCACATACCACAAGAGGTGGACCCTGTAGTTGGAAGAATACAGCATGAATTTGAGGATAGAAGTGCGATGGACATGGCCTGCATGTCTACGAACAGAAGATCGAGGACTTGGTGCTGGACAGTATCCGGAGTCTGAAGCCCATCACGACGGGTGGAGTGCGTTTGCAACTGAAGGAACTGTTAATTAACAGTCGAGACGCAGAAACAGAACCTGATCCTGATCCGCCAAAGCAGAGTCCAAGAAACAGCAAGCCGGAGCGAGCCTATTATGACAACTTGGACCCCGGACTCTGTCTTCGCTTAGTCCCATGTGGCAGAGGAGGCAGGCCTGCAAGCCGGAAGACAAGATTGTACGAGTACAAATGCCAAATTGAAGCAAGGGCTGCCGAGAGCCGAAGCTGCCGTGGTTGAACTTTGAAAGACAGTTCCTGATGTCAAGTCTGCCAAAGTTGACGACAGAGATTGTCTCTTGATGATGACAGATGGGTCCGGAGTATGGAGTACATATATGTATGATGAAATTAAGCCGAGCTTGGATCCCTTGGACAAGGTGACAGCAACAACAACTGGGCGGGGGGATCGTGGCGCAGCACATCATCCGCACCAGAGTTTTTTAATCCGACAATCATGATTGCTGATAGTGAGATTGCACGGCCTCAGGCTAGAAGCCGCATGGAAAGAAAAATGGCGAACACGCTAGAGATACGCGCTTGCAGATGGTGGTGGACGGTTGGAAATTGAAGCATCTTTTGGACGCGTCTCACCACGCGATTTGTTTACAACCTTGCGTCAGCGGCAGAGGCTAGAAGCCAAAGGAGATTTGTTGAGGACGGGGTATGAATCTCTCGAGCTGGAGAAGCGGATCGAGGTAAGACGAAGATGGACGGAGTACGGAGTATCACAGTACTGCGGGTGGTGGGATAGACATCCATACACATAGCCCACCGCATATTATGAGTGGACAATAATGATGAAGTTGAGACAGGCAAAAACCAGGCTTGGCGGTAGTGGTGATGCAATGGGCTATAGACGGGAGATATCATAGCAGGCATTGAGTACTCCGTGAAGGGAACAAAGATAACGAGGAGTACAGAGCTGAGAGTATAGATACCAGGTAGGTCAGAGAACACGCATTCAGTCGCAGAGGGCAAACGGCCACTGCTGGCCAAATTGCAGTACAGATAGTACGTAGGTAGTAATCACAGCGCCATGTCGGAGAGGGAAGAGTTTGAGCCCAATTTCACCTCGTTTCAAGGGTGGCAGCTTGGCAACGCTGGCCGTGTCTATTGGCTGGCTGCCCTGGTCTGACCAGGTTTAAGGTTGTTCCCGGGGGCCGCGTGCGCCACTGCAACGGCGCAGAGTGGCGCCTGCAGGGGCCGTGCAGGCTGCACCCAATCAGGGCCTCAGTAATCGCCCTGGTCCAAACTCAATCTTTGAAGTGCCTTCAAACTGTGACATTATTAACGCCCTCGAGAAGCAAGAAGCATGAAGCCTGAACCTGAAGCCTTACGATCAGAGCATGGACACTTCACTGCACTGCCGGTGTCGGTGTTGGTGATGAACTGGCAGGCACCGTTCCGATCAGCCGGAGTGCTATACATGAAGAATTGGTCCTAGTTTGATGCTGGCTGCTGCTGCATGCATCCGGACGTACTAGGGTGACGGAAGGGAATAGTGGCACCGGTTGTACGGAGCACTTATGTGTACTACGGAGTATATCCCGGCACTTCCTCCCAGCAAGGTAGTAGCATTTTATCTTTCGGCTGCACCTCCGTGGAAAAGGAGCGGAACAGGTCTCGTGTGGATGACCCTATTATTCCCTGCCGCAGTGCTAGCAATATTATTAAATGAGCCTACCGCTACGCTGATGGTTGAAGAATGATGCAACACCTTCAGCTGCAGTTGCACAGCTGCAGTGTGCAGTGGGTGCTGCAGAGCTTAAGCCTGGAGCCACGAGCAAGCCGATTCTTACATTACATGATTAGATCAGGCCTTCGGCGTTGGCACCTGCAGTTAGGTGGTTGCCGGCTGCCTGCCCACCTGCTGTCTGCGGGCAAAGTACGGATACGAAGTACCAGCCAGGCGAGGGTGAAGTAGGCCTTAGAAGCCTCCTAAGCCCTCGCTACCTTAGGCAGGGGAATTATTCTTTCGCTAGAGTCCACGGTACCTTACTCCTACTACCCAGTATCCGTACTCTCTATCTCACTGATATCCCCTTGTTACGCCACATCTCCTGCCTCTTTATGTCAACCTCCAGCTGAACTCCGGACCTGCGTCGACTGGAGCTCGAGGCCACCTCCATGTAGCCGCCATCACACAACTTGCGACACGCTAGTACGATCTGTTCTTCCACCGGGCCCTCCAGAGTCATGGATCTCATGTTGCCCTGTCCCTGTCGCTACCACTAGTAGCATAGTACAGAGTAGGCGTTTCTCTCCCGCTTCCGCTTCCGTTCGCATCGATTGCCAGCCACAGCCTATACTATCCTACCGTCGATGCCGGCCCCGAGGAGGCGAGGCCACAAGTCCACGTCTACCAGCTGAGGCTGCTCCCTTGCTCCTTGATTGCTCCGCCAACTGTGTAACCACGACAATCAATCGTCCCTCGAGTCGGCTCCTATCACGGTATCACACCTCCTAGCCTCCCGCTCTCCTTTCCCGCCTCCTGCGATTCCTGCGACACCCTCGTCGACCATCTTCCTCTGTGCCACGGCCGGGTGTGTTGTGTTGGGATGCCTTGCAATATTAATACCGGCTCTGGCCGCAGTCTGCTATCGACATTTTGACATCTGTCAAAAGTGACCTCCATACCCACCCCAGTCCACCAGCTGCCATCTCCACAGAGTCCACTTCCAGACCCAAGTTCATCCCCGACACGCATTGTTTGATTAGCCTCGCCTTGGAGATCCTCCCATTTTCCCTCACCACCCTTAGCCTCTTCCAATCCTCAAACAAACCGTCACCTTGGATCCGACGCCTGGAGCAGAAGGGTGCGCACCCCCCGAACCACTGCGGCATACGTGGTTCTGAACCAGGAACGGCCTTGCTTAGGTTCGCCTCACAACCCTCGGCCGTGTGTCTTCAACCCTTCCGAGTCCGAACAATCTTGCCAATTCACGTCAATCTTGTTTCTATCCGCACGCGCTCGACCTGATCGGCTGCTCGGGGCCACATAACCTGTCAAACCTGCTGGAGCGGGCTCCACTGTCCACAAGAATCTTACACAACCCAGAAACACACGCGGGCACACACGTTCTCACCACCGTCTTTTGCTGAGAATACCCAATTCTGATCTTCGCTTCTCTCGTCTTTCCGTCTGCAGGTTCAGCTATCGCTTCCACTTCGTCCGAGCCCGTCGCAACCCGCCTCAGCAATCAATTCCCGCTCAAGATCCTGATAATACAAAGGCGTTCAAGACCTGCGCGGAGAGGTATCATCTCCGCTGACTCCAGCCAGTGCGACATCCTGGTTCACTGGCATTCGTCTTTCATCCTTGCCCTTGCTGGGCCGCCGAACCTAAGCAGCAAATCTCTCGCCCATGCTGACCACGGTCGCAGCGCGGTCCTTCTCTCGATCTTCCTTGTTCAGTTGCTAAACACGCGCATTCTCCCATCCAACTTATTGTCATTCTTTCAACATTCTAAACCGACCCTCACATCCACTTCCAAAACTTGCCACCAGCGGCAACTATCTCAACGAACTTACTACCTGACATCCCATCAAGGACATTGCAAGGAGGAGGCACCTAGAAATCCTGAGAGGAGGGAGAGCGCCTGCGAACGTCACGCCTGCAAAAGTCGCACTCCAGGATACAGCCAGGGTCGCACGTGGCTGTCACTCGAGTCGACCATTCTGTCTTCGCTCGCCGTCAAACATATCCTATTGACTGGTCGAACTACCCATACAAAAGCTGCCGCGGTCTTTCAGAATCCGAAGGAACCGCCTCCTGGAACATCATCCGCCTCGATGGAACCATAACCACACGTCATTTAACTTCATTATTCAGTCACTCTTTTATTCTTGTACGTCTCGTCGACTTGTGATCTGGCGACACCTCTACTAACCTAGCAATCACAGTATTTCACCATCTTTCACCCGTCTTGGGTTCCCAAGTCCAAGTATGAACGTCTTCCGCAAGAAGGCAAAGGCGAAGGATGATGCCTACATCATTCCGCCAGCGCTGCCCTCAGATCCGACGTCACTGGCAAAGATGTCTCGCAGTCTCAAACGAAAGCAGAAATCGGTGCCGGAGCCGAAGCCTGAAATCGATCTTACCACGGCTCTGCCCGATACCAACGATTTTCGGACCAGCTTACTTATGCCCGGCCTCTCTGCTCGCTTCAGCATGCTTCGGGAACAAGATGATCCTAGTACCCTCGTCGGCAAGGCCAGCGATGACAGTGTTCTCTTTCCAAAACGCGCGTCGCGCCTGAATCTTTTCTCCCATAATCCTTTGACAGATATTGCCGAAGTCAGTTCAATCCATACGACAATCAGGGCCCCCTTCGCCGAGGCCGAACGCTCTCATTCTTTCACCGAAGGCGCCGGCTATGCCAGTGACGATGCCGGGAGTGTTGTGGCCAGGTCAAGGGCGACCGAGGGCAACAATCTCTTTGGTGGCCGCCAAAAGATGTACAGAATCGGAAACGCTAGCTCCTCAAGAGACTTGATTGAAGGGGCCGCCCCTGTTGCAACTTCAAGGCACCTGTACCAGGATGATGTGGCGCGGCCGACTTACCCAGACGTGGCTTTCAAAGGTCGCGAAGATCCAGAGCGAGGCGAATACCAGGAACGGCCAATCAGCGTTGCTACCGAAGAACATGAACAGAGCAGCGTAGTCAACACTCCATCTACTGGCTTCAGCAAGAGCAGAGGGACAGCCTCGTCTACCGCTTCAGGCCCTTCCAATCGTCGCACTTCGACGGCTGCTACGTCGGTCATCTCCGACTCCCCTGTCCCCCGGCAGAGCAATGCCAGCTCCGGGTCCAACTCCCGGATGCGGGCGTCTGACTTTGGCAGCGAGGGAAGCGTGTTGAGGCACACCTCGTCCTCGGACTCTCGCAAACCTGGCCATGTCTCCGAGACCCAGGACCAGCCTCCTCTGCCGGCGTCCCCGATAACCAAACGCCAGATCTCGTTGTCAAGAAGTGCGACCAATTTGTCGGAAAAGCATGTTGCAGGAGAATCCCCCTTCTCAACCCGCGGCCCGCGAGAAGCCAGCCCACCTCCCGCAAGACAAAGGCATATTTTGGCCCCATTGGACATGGGGCTAAGTGCCACTAAGAGCCAGTTGCGAAGGTATCAAACTGCCTCCCCTACATACCATAATGAAGATAGCGACGTGTACCATCAGAGCCTCGAACCCAATGATCGTGGCAAGGCCACAGCCATGGGGCTGTTCAATCGACCTCGTCAGCAATTTGACGAACAAAAATTTGAAGAGCGGCAGTTGCAGATGCATGAGGGCAAGACGGCACCATCTGCCAACAACAATCTGGGGAACAGGGGGACCTCGGAGCAGTCGCATGAGACAGCCCAAATGACTGCAAGTGTTCCGTCCTCTCCCTTGCACAGCAGTTTCCATTCCTCGAACGTCAACCGATCGCGGGCGCAGTCGAGTGCCTCATCCGTCAATCCCGCACAAGTCCATGCTAAAGTCGAAGCGCTCATCAAGCGCCAGAACCAAGAGTACACGGCGCTTCGGGCCCCCAAATCCGAGCCCACATCATCAACTGCCCCATTGCCCAAGCCAACGAATCTCGCGAGTCAACATGCTGCATCTCGAGGCACGTTCCTCGACACTTTCGACGGCAGCGATGACGATGGAGATGAGCTTGATAGTCCAATGTTGGGGCGTTACGAACCACCACCGCGCCTCGTTCCCTTGGACGTGCACCCAGCGCTCCGGGATGGTTCACAAACATTCGACTTCGGAGGGCAAGTGACGGTCGGCCCCCAAATAACGCGACCACACTCAAATGCTTCAGTCGACACCTCTCCTTCGGCCGTGCATGATACCCCGGACACGACCACGGATTCGTTGCACCGCTCTTCCGACACCAAAGCATCGGGTTCTCCTACCATTGAGCCTACCACGGGATTAGGGTTGAGTGGGTTAATCCATACTCACCTGCGACATGATAGTGACAGGTCGTCGCTGCTGCCTCCCCCGTCACCAGCACCTCGGAAACAGCCCAGTGGGTTCCCAGGCTTTCGTGAGCGAGAACCCTCGGTCGCCTCCACAGCTCGCACCATCAATCCTCCTGAAAGCACACATAGTGACCCTTGGGAATTCGACACTACGCATCGACCACCGCGCAGTCCTTTCGACCCCCCTATCAATGACCCGACTTTGGTCATGTCGCAGAAGGCGCAACAAATCCTGGGCCAAGCTATCTCGCACCGAAGCCATGCTGCAGACAAGGCTCAACCAACCCGAGGCAGTGACCCTTCGCCAAGTGATGAGCACGTACCGAGTCAACCGTGGCAAAACAACGCAATGTCCAGTCATCAGCGTGGAGAGAGCACCGAGACGCAGAAAGAGTTTGGCAATGAGCTTGCCGAACGTGCAAGGAAAATCCAAGAGGGCTTGAAGGGCGTTGCAGAGGCTGAAAAACGATCTCGTAGTCCAATACCAGGATACGACCGCCAAAACCCCGCCGCCCAGGCGTTACAAGTTCTCCGTCATAAAGCAAGCAAGGCCTCTCTTACTCCAAGGATCAACGAGTCTCAACCGAAAGCCATGAAGATGCTCGGGCTTGCCGGGGTATCCAAACTGGAAATGGGTGGGCAGTCACCAAATGTGGGAGCTCGAGGCAATTTTGCATTCGAGCACGGCTATGATGACTATCACCCCAGTTTGACCCCAAGAGAGCACGCGGGTGACTTCGGGTCTCCCAGCGGGCGACAGACACCAGGCTTTGGACGACCGGCGCCCTATGCCAACCGACCGCAAGCAGATTTTGACCGCTCGCGGCAGCGTTCTGCCACGCCTACTTCTGGGCGGGGACCAAGACAAGAACGAAATGAACCTGCACCTGGCGAGAGATCACGCAGTCGCGCTGGTCGGCACCGTGAAGAGCAGCCATTCGCCGCAACAGACCGAGGTAGGCGTGGCCCACCGCCCGCTAGAGAGCAACAACGTTCTCACGTCCTTCCCCAGGGACCAGCCTCTCAACACAGTCCGCGAGTCCCTTATGCTGCCCAACGCGGGCCACCTCCGGTCGATCCGCGCAACTATGAGAGATCTGCTTCGGCGATGTCAAACCGGCGCCCGAGTGGGACTACACGGCCTGAGCCATCTGGCTATTTTGATGGTCGAGCTGTGACGCCTGCAATGGCCGGTACTCCCCAGCTTGCAAATGGCCAGACGCAACCTACCGTGAACCTACCGAGGCCCTCTCCACGTCCACCCTTCCCACACTCTCCAATGAGCCCTTTCGGTCAGCCTGGCTTGTCCCCGGCCCTGTCCGGTCCTCCCTCTGCCGCGCAGTCTGCTCTTCCATCCCCGGTTGGACCCCTCCCTGCGCCGCCTAATAATGGACGTTCAACGCCGGTGGAAGGCCGATCCACTCCTGCAGGAGCCCGCAAGAAGTCTGTCACAAAAGGAATGATTTCAGAACCGACCTTCATCTCCAGCACTTCCTCCATACCGCTCGTTGGTCTTCCCAGAGGCCCGCGGCCCAGCCAGATTGCATCTCCTCCGATCCCTGCAATGAACCCGCGCCGTCGGGGCAATACCATGTCTGAGAGACCGGATGCTCACAAAAGTTTGCACGTGACTCAATCTCCCACGGTTTTGATGCCCGAGTCCCAAGACCAACGTGCCTTGGTGGATCAGCAGCAACAAAAACCTGCCCCACGTCAGCGAAACCGCTTAAGGAAGACTAGCAGTGAGGGCGGCAGTATGGCAGCACGAGCCAGACAGCAAGCCATGATGTCCGAATTTGGGCATGAGAGACTTCGAAGTCCCGCGTTACCTGTCTTCCCCAACCGAAGTGCCACTTCTTTGGGTGTGCACCAAGATGGCGGCATGTTCTGATTCTTGATTCTCATACAATTTCTTCCCCATACTCCAGGCTTACCACTTTCACTTTTCGACGACTATTTCCATTTGGTCATATTACTATCCGACCACACACCGTCTTTCATCCCCACTTTGGATTTCCAACCTCTTTGCGTTTGAGTGCGGAGGCGTTTTTGAGCACGATTGGATTATGGGCAGACCTGAAATGTATCGACACGGCCTCTTTGTCTCGGGTTTCTTTCTTTTGACGCCGACGATTGTGCTGGGGTCATGGTTATCGGGGCTTGATGGTGCTACTATACCTTCGGTATATGGCGTATGCCGTTTATTTTCCTTAGGTTTGGTATAGAGGCGTCCACCCTCATTGGATCATGGGTTTGAACATGAAGTCGGTCCGCTTTCTGGGCGCTGGAAGTCGACAGGGTAAATGATTGGGGTCTCATTTAGCAAGGGCAAAAGTGAGATGGATATAAGGAAGTTATGGAAGAGTCTCGCGACTCGGATGTCAGGCATAGATAGTGTGTTTGTGATATAGTAGGGAGGAACGGGATGTGTCTGGACAGACCGGGATATACCATGCACACCTATGGATATGTAGCTATGTAACCAGCAGGCATGTACACTACATGGTCGCCAAATGAGGGCGCGTTGCAGTATGTTTGATGCTACTATCTCATCTTCCGCCGCCGACTAGACACCACCCTCGCGCCAATCCCTATATTTGGAACTCTCAACTTGTATACTCCGTACAGAACTAGGTACGTACAATAAGGAGAGAATGCCCGTATTCATTCCGAGTAATAATAGAAACAGTATTGAAGGAACTTGGTAGATATGTTATAGCGGCGAGATGTATAGTGTGTTAGTGCGTGGTAGGTCGGCAAAGCTGCCCCATTAACTGACTAAGTCTAGCCTTTCTCTATCTCATTTCATTGATGGGACTTGGTGATATCAGGTCGAACGAGGCCGGCAGGATGACTGCTACTGTGGTTATCCCTCAGTCACTCAGGTCGATGGGCCTCTCACTGCCATTGCCACTGCCTCCCTATCCAAAGCAGCCATGACGCAGGGCGGTGATGGAGCTCGACCTCGACCTCGAACAAGCTGTGGCGTCTCTGCCCTCATGCACGCGTTGTCGCCGACGTCGTATCAAATGCGACAATTGCTTGCCGACCTGTCGCAATTGTCTCCAAGCGGACAAGGAATGTCAGTTCCGGGACCATGTGGTGGGAGAGGACATTCCACGGCAATACCTACTATCTCTGATCCAGCATCTTCAAGCGCTGAATCCGAGTGTGAGTGTGGGCAGGGAGCCAGACGCCCAAGACCCCAGGATTGATGTTCACGAGGATCCACATTCGCAGCACTCTAGACCAAAGCCAAAGCCATTCGACATTTTTGCTGCCAGCCCCCAAACCGGTTGCCTGAATGACACCGTTGTCTCGTATTACGGTCCAAGCAGTGCCTATGCCTACTTTGCGGCCAACACTCCAGGGGTGGCAACGCCTGAGATGCCTGAGCAGCCGGCCAATGAACCCTATCGACGGCTCTTGCACACCATCGCGGCCGACAGTCGACGTGACTCCAAAGGCGCCGAGGCCAGACTTCCTACGGCGACCCTCACAAAAGCACTGGTCGTCCACTATCACCGGTCAGTCGAACCTTTTCTTCCGATCCTGGGCGAGGAGTGGTTCGCACATATCAACTCACTGGCGTTGGACGAGACCTCCTCTCTCTCCTTCGACGATGGCAGTGTCCTGCCTGCACTGCTCCACCTCGTGATGGCCATCTCACTCCAATTGATGAGCGGGTACGAGGCGAGTTTGGGGACAATGGCATCCACACACTTCTTCAGCATCACCGAAGCCACCGTGCAGCGGACGCTCAGGCATCCGAATTTGCAGACGTTTCAGCTCTTCGCTCTTATCTGCGTCTATGTGATGCTGGACAGAGAGGTTGGAGACGTTTGGAGCGCCCTTCATCATGCAATGTCGTTGTATGGGACTCTCGATCTTGATTCCGATTCAGGAGAGGACCAGCGAGCAATGATGGTTCGACGCACGCTGTTCATTCTAGAAGTGTACGAGAACCATCTCCATCTCTGCAGTTGACTGCATTGTACGAATTGTACATGGGACTGATATACCTTGCCTAGGGAGATATGCGTTGCTTTTGGTCGACCCAGAACCTCTGCCTGGGCTTTGGAACCGGCTACCCTTCCCACGAACCTCTCTATCAGTCTGTTTAATCTGTCAAAGATCAGGCTTGCTGTCCATCGCCGGCTGGTTACCACGCAGCGTCCTAACGACGACGTGGAGGCTTGGATGTCTCGAACTAGTCGGGAATTGGAATTGTGGATGCAGTCATGGAATACCTTGCTCGGCTCACTGAACAGCAGTGCCTCTTCTCCCCCTCCCTCGACCTTCCTACAGCACTGGGGTCGATTTTACTTCCATCAGGCGGCCTTTGAATTACTATACTGTTCAAGACATTACGGTCACGCTCTACCCGACGAAGAAGTTGCCATTTCCACCCGATTGATTGAGGACTACCGGAATTTACACCAAAGCGGATTCCATGTGTCGGGCCCGACAATTGATCCTGAACTCGAAACCGATCTCAACCTCACCCCGCCTTTTACGCCCATACTTTCCTGGACACAACGGCACGCGGTGTTCAAAGCGGCCCTCTGCCTTCTAAATTCCCGTGACAACGGACATCAACCCCACGAGGAGTCTGTCCTCTGTGCACAATCACTGCTTCGGTCCAGCGATCAAGAAGGCCATGCGATGGGTGAAAGGTTGCAGGACATGAACCTGCGGCATGATAAAAGACAGGATGGTCCAAGGACCAGTATCACAACTTGGCTTTCTTCTTCCTCAACAAATCAGGAACATGTTCATCATAATACATGACCAGGCCCGACTTTCCGCCGTTGTCGGAGCCGACCGCCAACCGGGCCACCGCCTCTGCACACCAGGCGGCGGGTTCGAGAGTGATCCCATCTCTGGCACGACTTCGAAACAAGGCCACTTCATCCTGCGTCATGATTCCATCATATTTGCCCTCGATCACGTCTGCCGGCATCCTAGTGTCGGTGAGGCGAGGATATACCCCTTGGACACAGATGGCGGGATTTTCCAGAGCCAGCAGACCGATAAATCTGGACAAGGCTGCTTTGGTGGTACAGTAGGACATCCAGCCGTGATAGGTGACGTTGAGGTCACACGCCGAAGACAGGATGATGACACGGGGACAAGGCGAGACATGAAGATGTGGTAGAGCAAGCTGGCACTAAAGTGGCAAAAGTCAGTCTTGTGGACAGGGATGACAGGACAAAGAACAAAGATTGGTTTCTGTTTCTGTTTTTCTTTTTCCTCTTTGTCATCAGACCCAAGCCTGCTTCAAAACAACCTCTTGCCGAGTTCCCGCTCCAACTGCACCTTGAGGGGGAAGAGGGAAGACCGTGATATGGAACTGCTCCAGGCTTGTTTCATTCGACTCACCATGGCAATCACCCCAAACACATTGACCGCATAGGCCAACTTGACCGCGTCCAAATCGACCTTTTCTATCCTCTGGATTGGCGTCATCAACCCCGCGCAATACACCAAGCTGTCAATGACGCCTGCCACGTCGAGACACGTCTGAATGGCTTTCTGTCGATCGACCGCGTTCGTCACGTCTCCTTGCAGGATGTGAAGTCGGCTTGGTTGAGCTTGAGCTTGAGCTTGGGCTTGACCTTGAGTTTGACCGTGGAGTCGGCTTGCTTGACCTTGACCTTGGGACTCGCCGGTGCCCTGTACGTGTACGTGCGCATTGTGTCGGTGTAGTTGGGGGTCAATGTGTAGGCCAAACACGAATATTTGAACCGTAGCCGGGGCGTGGGAGAGGAGATAGGTGGTCGTCTCCAGTCCGATGCCTTGACCTCCGCCGACGACGAGGATGGCTCTTTGTTTCGACATGTTGTTGGACAAGACAAGATGTTGATGTTTGGCAATGTATCCTGTACGAGGAGAGGCGGACGTCTTTGGGTGGATGGTACTTGGAGAGGCGGACCTCTTTGGATGGGATGTACTTGGAGAGGCGGACCTCTTTGGATGGGACGGGACTTGGAGTGTTCTGAGCGGAGTAGTGGATGTACAGACCAGGTAGCTATGGAGCAAAGCTGGGTAGTAGTAGTACTATACATACATATTTTACATAGATAAGTACAGTACTGTATGTATCGTACAGTAGGTCTAGATATCTAGGCGTCTAGGTGTCTAGGTGTCTCTCTAAGCATCGATCTCTCTATCTGTCTATCTATCTATCTGTCTCTATCTATCTAAGCATGTGGCTTCTATCTAAGCATCTAACTAAGCATCTATCTAAGCATCTAACTATCTGTCCGTCTATCTAGCCAGGCTGCAGGTATCTAATCTAGTTCGACTGCTTGTTTGCCTATCTATCCATCTGTCCATCTATCTATTGGGCAGGGCAGGGTAAGGCAGTGCAGAGGGCTACACAGTGTGTGTGTGGTTGGGCTTTGATATCGGCCAAATCCGCACCCGTGTCCGCACCCGTGCGGACTTGCAGTAGGTAAGTAAGTAAGTAGCTGTGCTGTACAGTGCAGTGTAGTGTAGTGCATTGCAGTGCAGTGTAGCGTATAATAAACTACCTTGGGTATACACCTAATAGGAAGGAAAGGAGTACAGTGCAGTACAGTGCAGTGGATATATGACATAGTAGTTTGTAGTACACCTTCCTAGGGAGTGCAGTGCAGTGTAGTGCATAACATTGACAGCGCGACTACGACTCGACTCGATTGCTGCGAGTCCCTGGCTAGGGTAGGTGACTCTGTCTTTAAAGGTGTTCGTCTTGGGCGAGAGAGGGAGGAAACATGGCATGCCTGGGCTGGTATGTACCCTCATCCTGTAGCTCATCCTGTCGCTCGTCCTGTCGCTCGTCCTGTCGCTCGTCCTGTCGCTCGTCCTGTATCTTATCCTATACTAATTCCACCTCATGCTCTACTCACTCCACATTCTCCATCTCATATCCTTCCGTGACTGAACTCTTCGGCCATCTCGGCGAAGGTGCACCACTCAACTCCTTCGTGTTGGTTGATCCAGTCGATAATCCTAGTTGGGGAGAGTCGTTAGCATCTTTTTTGTTTCATTCCATTCCCTTTGCCCTTTGCCCCCCTGGAAACCTGGACCTAGACATAGACCTAGACATGGACCTAGACCTGACCATGCCCGGATCAAAGAACAGATCACAAATCATCAGGAAACGACCCCCAAACCCCAACTTACCTCTCATGCATCATCAGAACGTGCGGTCGGCCGCTGACTTGAGGATGAATACTCATGGGGAAGATGAAGGTGTCGTATTCGCGGTAGCACCATTCGAATTGCTCGCGCCACTGCCGCTCTACCGTGTACGTGTCGACGAAGCCTTGCTATTAGCCAACCGAGTTAGCATGTGTACAGTACATAGAACATAGCAGGCCGGGTTCAGGTATCATGTATCATGTGTCGTGTGCTAAACACCAGTCCTCAAAATACAGTAACCCACTTACGCTGTTCGGTCTGTCAGGCATATACTGCAGAGGCGGCCAGTCGTCGAGGGTCCAGGAAGCTATGGTTTAATGTCAGCTCGGCCAGGTTCACTATGTCTCGAGGTGGGAAACACCATGGTATTTTCCCTTCGCTTCGAAAGTGTAGTAATGAAGAAATAAGGGTTTCAAGTGTGGGGCGGGGTGGTGAGTGTGAACATAGACGAGGGCTGTGAGTGTGAATATAGACGAGGGCTTTGAGTACATTGAGGCTATCGACATGGTTGTTAACATACCAGGAATTTCAACCACCCCCGACTTCTGCGCGTGCTTCATTGGCACCATCCATTCGGTGGGGTTTTTCGTGTAGTCGGTCAGTACGACCTCTTCTCTCCCAGTCGATGCGTAGTACGCTTGGAAATCGTCGTGCATGAACGAATGGTCTGGTAAGATCAAGGTTAGACAACATGAACACCCATGGGTATACAATGTCAATAAAAGCTGAATTGAAGTCAAGGTCTGCACGCACCGTATCCAATGCCCAGCCTTTCCAGCAGTTCGATCTGGTCGGGACTGTTTTTCCAGGCTGGAGCGGTGAAGCCTTTTGGTTTTTGGCCGTTGCAGAATTTGGTTAGAATGTCGATGGTTTTGATCAAGATGGCTTCATTCTGATCTCGCGTAAGATCGGAGGGAAACCTAAGATACAGGTTGATGAGTCCAAGATATCGAAACTCTCCACAGAGGAATTCCAAGAGATCAATACTCTCTCCACAGTGAGGAGGCTGGATGTGGATTTGAGTGTGAGTGGAAAGAAAGAGTGCTCTTACTCGTGCGTATAGCCATGCAGGCCACTAGTGGAAATGAGCAAGAGCAAGTCAGCCATACCGTCCGAATTGAGCCATCCATGTCATGGTTTGATGCCGTTCGCATTCTAATGGGTGACATACATTTCGTGTCCTGCGTCACGGATCTTGGCCATTTCCTCGGGAAAGGTCTCGATGCTATGGCCGGGAATGTACCTTTGCCAGAGAAGGGGTTAGCAGGTTGACATGGAGCTGACAATATAGCAGATGCCATGAGAGAGACATGGACATAGGCATAGACAGACATGGACATGGACATGGACATAGACTAGTACAATTGTAGAGGAGGACTTGAAGTTGCCACCAGTAACAGTAGCACAGTAGCTAGCTAGTCGAGTTGAGTTGGATTGACTTACCACGAAGATTTGATATTCTTGCGCTCGAACAATTTGAGCAAGCGCTCGACTCCGCGGGTGGCTCCAAAGACACCTGAGGTTGAGAAGAGTGGTTAGTGGCAGCGCCAGCCGTGACCGTAGCTATAACTATAGCCAGAGCCAGAGCCAGAGCCAGAATATAACATCGGTCTGCATAACATAACATACCTCTCGAAATATTCATCAAGTTCGGCTTGCCGCCGTTGGTGGTGTTGATATGGTTCGACACGGCGTCGACATCGATGCCATAGCCGACGAGGACACGTTTCTTGGTCATGGCGATGTTGAGGGTGGGTGTGGTGGTGGTGGTGGTGGTAGTGGTCGCACTGGTAGTATGGTCCTACTACCAGTCAGTGTCAGCCAGCGTTGGAACTGAAGTCTAGATAGGTAGTACTTGGGTACTACTACTGTAGGTGGTACTTACTGTACGTGGTACTTACTACCTGCTCCTACTCTGTAGCTGTCCGCTGTCTTGGAGAGGGCGACGACGACAGCGACGGCGATGGAGGTAGAGATAAGGTGGGATTTAATTACTGTAATATACTGTAATAAAATAATACTAGAACTGATGACAATACCTTGGTAACTACCTATAACTATAAACATAGGTAGCTATAGGTCAGCTAGCTAGCCAGCTATACCAGATACTGTGAATAATTACGCTAGTGTAAGCCGCCTTCCTAGATAGGCAGTTATTCCAGTAGCCCTCTATACAGACAGTACCGTACAATACAGTACAGCTAGAACCTGCGCCGATATCCGCTCGTGGGTGGAACTGCGCGCAGACAATCCACACACACTCACAGTCCACAATCCCCTTCCGTCCCTCCCTTCTCTCTTCTCTCCCTCTGTGCCGCCTGGCCTCATACAGAGACGTGGACAGATACACAGATACACAGATACAGAGACATACGGGGAGAGATAAGGCTAGTACTTAGCGCTACTGACTGGGCGAGATGGGTTCCCTGAGATGAGACCGTGATGGTGATAGTGCTGGAGTTAGTTCCAGGGCAGACTACACTCCTTACAGCTGCTAGCCCAGCCTGGAGGGTGCCTCGGACATTCTGGTTGGAAAGGCTAGGGAATTGATAGTTCTGATGAAAAGTCTACCTCGACTCTGTAGTCGAGATACATGATACATGATACATAGATACTAGACTACCTAGACGCGATCTACGTGAACCACGAGACTTGAACTGAACTGAACTGAACTGCACCATCCGCTATCATGACAGCAACAGCACCAACACCGCCGCTTCACATCCATCTCAGCGGCACGCCCCAGGAGGTAGGTAGGCACTGCCACCATATCACACACTATACACTACACCTATACACCCATTCCCATTCTCATTCTGATTCCTGTACTATACTCTCACTATAGCTATGCGATCACTATAGCTCTCATTGCCCTTGCCCTAGAAAGTTCAAGCTCTCATTGGCCTTGGAAGTTCAAGCTCTCATTGCCCTAGGAAGTTCAAGCTCTCATTGCCCTTGGAAGTTCAAGCTACTACGAGTAAAACCCCGGGAGAATACCTTACTAACACGACTGTCAGATCGGTCGACAACATGGCACGCTCCTGGCCACGCAAATCCGACGACAAATCGTCGTGTACGAAGCCATGTTCCAGCGCACGTCGAAGCTGGACTGGCCGGCCGTGCGCACCGTGGCCGAGACGTACCAGGCCACGCTGCAGCGTCTGACCCCCGATCTGTACGCCGAGATGGAGGGTATCGCCAACGGTGCCGGTCTGGACCTGCGCGACATCGTCGCCCTCAACTGCCGCAGCGAGATTGCCCTGGGTCTGTTCTCCGACGGTTGTTCGAGTCTGGGTTGGGACTGTAACCGCTACGACAAGGGCGTCATTCTCGCCCAGAATTGGGACTGGACTGCTCGGGTCAAGGAGAACTGTGTCATCATGACCATTGAACAGGTGGGGAAGCCGAAGATATGGATGGGGAACGAGGTGAGTACGGATTATGATATGTATTGTACTTGGTGATAGTACCTGGCTACCTACCTACCTGCCTATCTGCCTACCTACCCAACTACAACAGTCTGTCATGATTTGTTTGGTGGTATTTTCCCTCTACATGCCTATCTACCTACCTACCTACCTACCTACCTCACTCTATGGCTGTCTAACACACCCAGGCCGGCCTGGTAGGCAAAATCGGCTTCAACTCGGCCTCAGTGGGCGTGTGCATGAACGCGATCCGCGCAAAGCCCACCGACAGCAGCAAACTGCCCTTCCACGTGGCGGTACGGCTGTGCCTGAACGCCACTTCGGCCGCCGCCGCCATCGCCCAGCTCCAGGCTCTCGGCGGCATTGCGTCCACCCAACACATCCTGATCGCCGACCCCACCGGGCCTGTGAGTATGGAGCTGTCGCCGCTGGGAAATGTGTATATCCGGCCCAAGGGCAACACGGGAAAGGACAATACTGGAAACGACAACACCACAAAGGACGACACCGGGAAAGACGACACCGGAAAAGAAGACGACGACGAAGACGACTTCGGCATCGTATGCCATACCAACCATCTCATCTCGAACCGCTTCGTCACCGAATATCCCTGGCTGACCGGGTCGCCGGTGCGGCTCGCCCGGATGAGAATGTTGAGCGCCAAGCTAGCCCACGACGTGCTCAAGGCCGGACCCAAACACGAAGTCACCGGCGACATGTTGAGGCGTGAAGTCTTCTCCGACACCTTCAATGCCCCGCAGGCCATTTGCTGTCAAGAGGATCCTGCTCGGCCCGTCGAGACCCGGAGCAGTACGCTCTTCTGCTTCATCATGAGGTTGAGGCCGGGCCGGAAGCCCGAGGCCGAAGTGGTTTGGGGGAGACCGGGGAGTGGTGAGGAAGGTCCGGTGATTAATTTGGGCTGAGACAGCACAACCTTAAGTCAAGTATCCGTACAGGATGATAGAAAACAATAACAAGACGTCAGTCAGTACGATAGCAAACAATGGTGACAATAACAAGACGTCAGTACGATATCAAACAATGGTGACAATAACAAGACATCACCAACCTAAGCTTGATGGGGTCTAAACTTGTCAAAGGTAAATGTTCCATGTTCTCTATCAAATGGTAAGGGTCGCAGGGGAAGTGCAGACTTGGTTGGTGGGGGCTATATACATAGTATGCCTAAACCTCCTAAGCCTTCTGGTTAAAGAACAAGGGCAAGGCTGGGAATGCCTACTGTAAGTTTGACAAAACTACTGTAAGTTTGACAAAACTACTGTAAGTTTGACAAAACTACTGTAAGTTTGACAAAACTACTGTAAGCCTGCTCGGGTCTAAACCAAACCAAACCAAGAAGATCCTTAGGTCCCCTGATCCTATTCTATCCTATACTCCCTGCGTACTTCGTCTCCTCCTTCGTCTCCTCCTTCGTCTCCTCCTTAGTCTCCTACTTCGTCTCTATTCTAATCAAAACGGCCAGTGCATTTCCGCCTGTCCCGCCATCATATCCCAATCTTGCTCCGTGTAGTCTCGGAAGATGTTGATCGTATATGCCCACGACTCCAGATCCGACGTGTCGAAGACTTGGTCTGCCTCCACCACTCCCTCTCCAGACTCGGCCATGACGATTGGGATCGGGAAAGGAACCGCCATCCCCATCGCGTCGGCTGGCGTGAGACTGGTCAGTGGATTGCGATTGCCTGTCACTGCTGACGCTGACGGGGCATGGGCATTGGCGTTCCCATTGGCATTTGCATTGGCATTGGCGTTCGCATTCCCATTGGCATTCCCATTCACATTCGCATTGGCGCTCAAAAGAATGTCTGCAGACAAAGAAAAGGCGTGGAACAAATCAGATTTCAAACTCTCAAACTTTTGCAGACAGACGCTCGCTGTAGGCCAACGATCGGACAGCAGGGTCAAGATGTCCGTGTACTTGTCGAGCACGTCGTTGACGTGGCGGCTCGAGTGATACTGCAGCAGGGTCTGATAGTGATCTTTGACCATGCGAATGAGCAGAATGCCGGCCGCGGTGGCTTGGTGAGCACAGTGCCAGTCGAACTTGAGAAAGCCCTTGCGGAGCATGCGCAGATAGCCGTCGGCCATGCCGTTGGTGGCGCCGAAGCCGGTGACCATGGACGCCGTGTCGGGATGAGGGTTTCGCGGACAGTGCATGTGGAGATACAGCTGGCCGGTGTAGCCGACAAACTCGAACCAGTCGAACCCGGTGTTCTGGAGCGAGTCCAGGCTGCGCCGCCACTCGAGAATCTCGCCGTCTCGCGCCTTCATCCAGTCGGCGTAAGGGACCGGGCCGAGATCTTTGCCTTGGAAGTTGACCGCAAAGATCTCCGACTGGATCTGTCGGAACCGGACGTGGCGCAGGAATCGGATCGTCTGTGTCTTCCATCGAGAGGCTGGCTCGTCGTCCAGGTCGTGATACGGCCATGCCGTGTCGATCAGTTCGTCGTCGACGCTCACGGCCCGGTGCGCCGTCACGGAAATCGACCGGTCCATGGAATACAACTGCCACGTTCTTCGTCAGCTCAGAACTTCCTAGTCCAGTCCAATCCAGTCAAGCTTGTCCAGTCCAGTCCAGACCTCAGGGCCCTGGACGGGGAATCAAGAAAGTCTGCAAGATCATGCATGAGCATGGAGCGCAGGTTTAGCGGTGCAGTGGCCATACCGTCCAGAATATCTGCCGGCGCAACTCCGTCTCCTTGACATCAAAGGCTTCCAGGCCCGCTTCCGGCTCTCGGTGTAGCCCAATGGCCAACGCCATTCTCATGGCCATTTCTTTCAGTGTCCATACTTCGGCAATCGCCGGGCAGAAGTTGGCGAATTGACACAGTAGCATGGTGCACTGCAGCTGGCAGAGGGATGGCGCCGACAAGGTGTCGTACCGCTGCATGGCATAGCGATACAGGCTCTCGCTGAGCGACATCAGCCTGCTGTGGTTCGGCGACCGGGATGTGAGCGTGCTGATTGCCATCATCATCGCCACGATGAACTCGGCCCGACGCTGCAGCTCGCCGTCCACGGTGCCGGTGCCGGTGCCGTGGTAGAGAATCGATTGGTAGGAATACAGCGTCTCCGCGAGGAAGAAAGGGTACTGAGGCAGCACCTTCTCGATGTACACTTTGATCAGCGCATCGGCTACATTGGACGGGATGGCATTCAACGTCAGAATGTCATGGCCGTCTAACTCGGGCTCATTCGTCAGTCCGTTCGACGCGGTCTCGGTCTCGACTGATGCCGGCAAGATGGAGCTCTTCATGATCAACGGAGACAGACAAGAAGCTGAAACCCCGGCAATTGTTCTCTGGCACGAGCCTCGTCCGACTCGACGGGCTAATGCTGCGGCGCGATCGTGGATTTGCTTGGGAGATGGGCGCAGGCCAGAGGCATGTTCATGGTGCCTGGCGTTGGGGATGCGATGCCTTAGGCCAGTGCTGGTTCCGCCGTCTCCATCTCCGTCTCTTGCTCGACCAGTGGTGGCCTCAGCCTCGAGTAAGGCTATTCTCTGTTCTAGGTACTGGACGATGCTGACAAGTCATACAAGTCAGCCACCTGCACTGCACGTCCCTGCTGGCTTGTGTGGTCTGGTCTGAGCACATCCCTGCTGGCTTGTGTGGTCTGGTCTGATGTCTGATGATCATCTCACCTTCGAGGAAGTTCTTTGGTGGTAGCCCGATCCAGGCCGACACAGTCCACGCCAGCCCGGACACAACGCCCACAGGAAGGGGCGGCGTTATCGCACTATTCGTAGAGGGTGGGTTAATAAGAAGCACCTCCTTGGAGTTGGGGGTGGGAGCCACCGACTTTTCGCTTCATTCTGTAACATCGTGAACAGGCGTATGTTGTTCGTCTCATGGTGACGACGACGACAGCCGTTACACCAGACCGGGCCCTGACAGTACTGTAGAAAGCTGCGGTTCCAGGCTGCGGGTGTACTGTATGGGATTTATGCTTGCAGAATTGCTTGGAGGGGCAGAGAGTAGAGAGCATTGTGGAGGTAGAGATAAGCTTGGGCGGGGACAAGGCTTATGTACTGTAGGCTTAGGCTTAGGGGCTTCCAGCCGTGATCAGGGCCTAAGGGCCTTAGAGCCCTAAGACTTAGGCTTAGGCTAATAGGCTTAGGGGCCCTTAGGCTCCTAAGGCTAAGGCCCCTTGGCCCTTAGGCACCACTGTACTAGGCGTGTTAACCGTCCCCATATGCTCCGTATCATGATCGAGATGATGCAGGAGTCCAGTCTCTCCTTTTGATATGGTCTTCTACAAACTCCGAACCCGTACACCTCCAAACCACAGCAATCTCTTGACTATATCCAGTCGAGCCCTCAAGCCTCGACCTCCATGGGTGTCAATAACACCTAGCATTGTCCACTCGGCCTAGAGCCTACCAACTTCTTCTTCAACTCTTCCACCTCCGCCCTCAATTTCTCTTCATTGCGAGGAACGAATCTGACATTAAACATCTTTGGCGCATTCAGAACGCCGCTCGGGGTTCTGCCAAACGTGCGCCAGGAGGTGGGTGGCGGATCGCAGGGATCCATCTTCATGTCGAAAGCCAGGATCATGCGCAACAACAAGCCATACATCATGCGGTTCGCAATCGACCAGGCCGGACACACTCGGGGCCCAATGCCATAGGAGAAGAAGTTGAGCGCCGTGTTGTTGAGCTCGGGATCCAACCAACGCCCAGGCTCGAACGCATCCACCGTCGGCCCAAAGAAAGTCTCGTCTGTGTGAGGGTGCGGTCAGCCTTGGCCCAAAGTCGACGTGATGTCCATCTCTACTCACCATGGTTGGCGGCCTCCGAGTTCATGTATAGCCTCGTGCCTTTGGGAATGACCACGCCCGACTTCAGATGGATGTCGGAGCTGGCTTCGTGTGGAAGGCTGAATGGCAGCACCACGTAGTTGCGCAGGATTTCCTTGTACAGCGCCACGAGATAAGGCACTTTCTCTTCGTTAAAGGCATGGTCTGCCGCGTCTCCGTCGGGATAATGCTCGAGGATATCTGCGTATGCTTTCTCCTGCATCTTTTCTCCCTCGGGCGAGATCAAGCCGCCGAGGCCGGCGCAGATGTGGCTGGGCAGGCTCTCGGTGCCTCCTTGAAGCATGGATGTGCAGCATTTGATGGCATTGGCTAGCTCGGCCTCAGCAGTCTGGCCACATGGGAATAAACGACGCATTACTTACGAAGTGTGAGTTTGTTGTCTCCGTCGGTCAAGACAGATGCAGCGATGCAATCCGGGCGTTCGCCATTGTTCAGCCTTGTTTGAAGGTCTTGAAGGACCTCACCTATCATTCGGCTCCTCTTCTTGGATGCAGCCTCTCCAGCTTTGGCCATGCGGCGGAACTTTGGACTCAGACGGAGCAAGGGGACGAAGTCGGACCATGTGTTGGACGCCCCACGAACGGTGGTGATGATCATGGCGTTGTCGATGTACTCCCTCAACCAGGGGTCATTGGCGTCATCGAACGTCTTCCCAAATGTGGTCTGGAACCCAAGATTCATGGCCACAATCTGCATCATCTTCAATGGGTTGATGGGCGTCTTGCCATAGTTCCCCAGCTCGGCCAGGTTCACGATCAGTCGATCACCTTCCTTCTCGAGCCCGGGATAGAACTTGGGCCACTCAATTGGCTTGAGGGCTTTGAGGCCTGCCAGTCGTTGCTGCTTGTAGTTCTCGTCCAACGAATGGGAACCCAAGTCATAGCCTGCAAGAAACTGCGTCAATGTCGGGTCGGGCATTTTGCAGAACTTGTCACCTACCGATGTACTTCTCAAAGACGTACTGCCGCGGCCGTGCAGACGTGAGATGTCCATTGGTCACGAATACTTCTCGCACAGCGTTGAACGAGTTGGCCACCACCACCCTGTTTCTGCCGAACTTGACCTGGAGAAGATCCGATCCGCACCTTCTGCTCCAGGAAGACCACAGGGCCGCATCGTTGACCCCAGATGCACCGGCGTGAAGATGAAGATGACCAATGAAAGGCATGGCCGAGGGCATCTCAGGGATGCCCTGGATCTTGGGAATGTCGGACGACGTGCCATACTGCGATGAAGTCAGCTAAGTCGGCCCGCCTCAAAAGGTCACGAGGTCTTCACATACCAGCCAGAGGCCAAAGACCAACACAGCCAGCACGAGGCCGGCACAAAAAGAATTAGTTGGGAGAGACTCGAACATTGTGCCGGATGTGAGCAACCATTGCGGGTGCAAGCAACTGAGGTACGATATGGCCTTTTCAGTATATACCTCCGACCGCTATGCTGGGCACGTAGAAGGAGACCTAGTAGCTGTCCTCTGGCATTGTTATACAATTGGCCGGCGCCTCTCCATCTCCTGGGTCAGTCGGCATGTCCATCTGCCGTCCCATCAACGCTGGATGACTCTGGTCACCGTCAGGTAGGACGACCGGTGGGTGGAGAATATCGATGGTGGGCATGGTCGGTCGACATTGATGCGGAAAAGACCAAATCCGCATATGCTGCGGACTTGGACGAGCTGTGTTGACTCGTTATTGATAAAAGCTCTGCTGTCAGCGCTGGGCCCACCCTCCGCATAGCATAGACATGCTCCACTCAACCTTTGATACCGTACCGACAACATCTCAAGCTTTCCGCTTCATGATAAGACTAGCTGGTGGTGTTCCTGGGCGCAGATTGTCGTGGATGATATGGCGTGGCGGAAAGTGTCATTGGGAACAACTCGAGCTCGCTCACACCGGCTGGTCGATGTATATATTCGATCCAACTCACACCATTAGCGGGCGTGAAACATCGTCTCTTTCTGAAAGTGCAAAGACGTGACTGCTTGTTTCAGCCTGTCTTGCCTTGAGAGTCGTCCGCCATGGGGGCCCTCAGATCGATTCGAACCGCCGTATGGGGTGCTCCGGCCGCCACCAAGGCTGAGCGCAAATTGATCCAAAAGATTGACATCTTCATCCTCACCTCCTGCTGCCTGCAGTACTGGGTCAACTAGTGAGCAATCCCCTTTTTGAGCTTCACACCGCCAGGGCAACTGACCGGCTGGGCTAGCCTCGACCGGGCCAACTTGAACAGCGCATATGTGAGCGGCATGAAAGAAGACCTGGATATGGTGGGCAATGATCTCAATGTCATCAACACAAGTATGTCCGTCTTGTGTCACCGTGGTCCCTGGGACTAACATCAACGTCCTGTGCAGTCTTCTGGTGCGGCTACTTCGTGGGCCAAATCCCCAACAATATCGCCATGCAATACGTCCGGCCTCGCTACTGGATGCCCTTTTGCATCCTTGCTTGGGGCCTGCTGACCCTGGGCACCGGCTTCGTCCACAGCAAGCAGGCGATCATGGGACTCCGCTTCGTACAGGCCTTGTTCGAAGGGTCGACCTTCGTCGGCACGCACTATCTCTTGGGTAGCTGGTACAAGGATCCAGAACTCGGGAAGCGCACCGGCATCTTCACCAGCAGCGGACTTGCAGGCACCTTCTTTTCCGGCCTGTTGCAGGGCAGCATTTATAGCAGTCTGAGTAAGTGAGCAGACAGAGTGAGACGCGTCGATCATGTGCTGACACCCGCCCCCCGTAGACGGCAACAGTGGCCTAAGCGGATGGAGATGGATGTTCGTGATCGATTTCCTCATCACCATTCCCATCGCCGTCTTCGTTTACATCTTCTTTCCCGATACGCCCCAGACCACCAAGGCGTTCTACCTGACTGAAGACGAGAAGAAGCTGGCAGTGACCAGGCTGGACACCCCGGCCACAGAACACGGCCACGGAACGGTCGACCGGACCATATTCAAGCGGGTTTTGGGGAGCTGGGAAATTTACGGCGTGAGTGTGCCATCGACCGCGGCGGCTTGTTCGGTACTGACTTGTCCTGACAGTTGTGTTTCATCTGGACCATGGGGTCCAACTGCGAGATGTTCTCTTCCAATGCCATCCTGAGTCTGTATCTGAAATGGACCAAGGACTACTCGGTGGAGTTGGTCAACTATATGCCCATGGCGGTCAGCGCGGTCGGCATTGTTTGCACCATCGTGTTGGGATGGTATTCCGACTTCACCAGGCGGTCGTGGCACGTCGGCGTGCTCACATCGTGCACGGCCATCATCACGGGTGCCATCATGCTGAACCCTCCCAACGATGTCGCTCGGATGTTTGCCCTCTACCTCAACGGAATCCAGTACTCCAACCAGACCGTCATGTTCGCTTGGGCAAACCGCCTCATCATCGACGATGCGCCGAAGCGGTCGATTGTCCTGGCGGCCATGAACACGGTGGCCGTCATGTTCTATACTTTTTGGTCCATCTCCTTTTACGCAGCCGATCAAGCTCCGAAATGGAGGCGCGGGAGTATAGCGATGATGGTGTCCGGCTCTTGTATGATGCTGGGCGTCTTTGTGGTCAGGTATCTTGAAGCAAAGACACTCCGGGAGCGTGCCAGAGTTCGTCCGGTCGAGGGAGTCGTCGAGGGAGTCGATCCTGTGTTCAGTATGGAGAAGGGTGACAGTAAGGGAGGGGTCGAAGCTGCGGTTCATGATGTCAAGTAGCCGACGATGGGCTCTTAGCATACGAGTAGTTGATTTCTGTGATTTCTGTGATTCTGTGATTTCTGTGATTCTGTGATTCGAAACCATGAGTAATGTCATGCTTCCTCCCGAGTGCAGTGTCAGTATTCGAGCTTGTCGTTGGCGACAAGCATGCTCCTGATGCGAGGTGGCCTAAGGTTCAAAAGGCCTATACAGTACCGTACAACTGCCCGGATTACACTATGCAAGCCTATTTTGCTGCTGCGTGGGCTCAGGCCTAGGCTTAGGCTCAGGGGCTTCCAGCCGTGATCAGGGCCTAAGGGGCCTTACAGCCTTAGGAGGCTGTATTGTCCAGGACCTAGCATATGGAGGTGGAGGTTGAGGTAGAGAAGGAGTCCTAAGCCTCGTGGTCCCTTAGCCGTTAATTGGATGGCGCCTGTTCTGTGCAACGATCCAGAGTACTGTAGTACTATACTAAACGACAGTAGAGTCGAGAGTGGACAAGAGAGTCACACATCCGTAAGACCAGTACCAGTAATTGAGGGTACCGAAGACAAACCTCGCTCATATCATATACCGGTACCCCTTTTGTAGCCGTCTCGCAGTACCCAGGTCCATGCCTTCAATCTCAGCCGTCTTGCGTAACTTGACCAGGTCTCGCTCTGTCAGAGGCACATCCTCATTCTCCATTCTCGCCAGTCTTGCGTTTTGCCGGCTCAGTTTGATGCGCATGCTGACTCCCATCACCGCAGCCACCACCTGCAGGCCAATACAGATCCCCAATGCCAGACGATAATGTGGCTTGTCCTGAGTGCGGTAGGTAAAGGGCGTCCAGATACTGGCCGAATTTCCAATCGAGTTGATAAAGGCGTACGCAGCGGCCCGTTTGGCGGGCGGCCGAGGAATGGCCCCGGCGATCCACGCATAGCATGTGCCGTTCATGGCAAAGACAAAGACCAGCAGAAACAGTGAGAAGTAGCGAGGCCCGAATGAATCCGTGGTCATGAAGATGACACAACCCACAATCGTGATCGGGATCGGGTACATGAAGAACCAGAACCGGTTGCCCACTCGATCCGACACCACGGAATGCGCCATCGAGTAGAAGACCATAAAGACGTATGGCGGAGCGCACAGCAGAAGACTGATGGTGTGGTTGTACCCCAGTGTCGCCGTCAGGGTGGGAAAGAAGTTTTGGAACCCGGCGGCGCCAGTGATGCACATGTACGCAATCGCCAACATGTACGTCTTCGAATCGGTAAAGGCCAACTTCAAGCCCTTGAATTGTGACATGGCCCCGCCCACGTCGACATCCGCTTCGGCCGCGTCGATCGCGAGCCGACGGTTCGCCACTCTTTTCATTTCCGGGGACAAGGCTCGCCAGGTGTCGGGAAAATCGGGGAGTATAGCCATGATGGTCAGGCCAATCGTACAGGTGATGCTACCCTCGATGATGTAGAGCCATTGCCTAGTGGATGAGTTAGATGAGCGCGTGCAGGACTGCGCATGTCGAGAGCAGAGCATCGTACCATGCCGAGAGGCCTCGTTGGCCAGCCAATCCGCTGAGAATTCCAGCGGCGATCAGGTTGCCAAAAGCACCGCTGATCAGTGAGCCGGAGTAAAAGATGGACATGCGGAGGTTGAGCTCCTTCTTGGTGTACCATTTGGAGAGGAAGAACAGCACGCCTGTCTATGTGTCAATGCAAGTGTTCCCGTCTGACCTGAGCTGAGCTGCATCGTACCGGGAAAGAAGGGTGCTTCCACGAGACCCAGCATGAATCGGCAGGCAATGATGCCTCCAAATCCCTTGACCAAGCACGTCATGGCCGACACCAACCCCCAAGCGGTGGTGAAAAAGCCCAAATAGATGGACGGGCGGCCGAGATGGTTGAGGAAGAGGTTGGATGGCACCTGGGCGAGGATGTAGCTGACGAAGAGGATGGAGAGACCTGCACGCAACGTCCGTCAGTGGCTTTCACCCGTTCAGGATTGAATGCATCTCAACCTACCGACCTGGTATTGGTCACCACGTAGGCCCAAGTCGTCTTCAAGGCCCTGTAGTCGAGCGGCGGCGTAGTTGTTCCTAGATCCATTGGCGTTAGTATCTTGTACCTCGAAGACGCCTCAGATTTTTGGGCGCGCCCGTCCTACCGATCAATATAGTTCATCAGGTAGACCAGAACAATCAACGGCATGATCATGACATCAATCTTGCGCACGAGTTTCTTCTCAATGGCACGTTCCTCCTCGGTCAGCTCGCCAAGATGCATTACTTCGTCGTGTGAGACACGACCCTTTTCACCCAGCAGATCACGGTCGAGCACCTCGCCCGGTTTGATTTCAGTCATCTTGCACTTCGGGTCACGATGTTCCCTCGTGGTGTTGTAGAGACGGAGACGAAAGAACGGCAGAAGAATTCATGCAGGGTTTCGAAGGTTCGTCGCATCTTTATGAAAGCGAGGGGAAGCGGGAAAGCTACCCTGTCATCCCCCCTGCTTTGAATCCTCCCTCAGCTATCACAGTGCTCAGACTGCATCTGATGACAGCGGGCCAGCGATCCATCACATCACGATTGCCGCTACTCGTACAACCTGGTGCAACCACAATGTCTGGGCTGGCGAGTGCGGAGTTGATAGCCAACGTCACCTCTAGCAGAACAAACGTGGTGGGTGAGCTGATCAAGGCCATTTCCGAAGCGCAGGGGTGTCAGTGGGTGAATCCCAATGGCAGAACAACCGTTTTGATGAGAGGTTGGTGGTACAGTAGTCAGATCCAAGCTGCTTTCTCTCCCACCAACTCCCTCCTGCGTATGTTCTGTCGCTGTGTCGGTCCACCCCGGAGCCGCGCCGTGTCCGTGTCCGTGTGGGTGAGAGTCGAGAATCGAAAGTCGAGAGTCGAGAGCCGACCACCCCGCAACACGAGTCCTCCATACAACCCCATGTTCCGTCTCTCCCCTCCTACTTCAAGATCAGGGTCTTCCTGTGGCATTAGCCCGCAATTAGATCGAGTCCAGTCTGAGCATTGTCCAATTTCTGACTAGAACATCTGCCCCTTGATACATCTCCACCATGTGGCCTGGTAGACATCTACCGAGAACTGTGCCACATGCAACCTGGGTTCCCTGTCCACGCGCGAAGGACCAGGGGTGGCAATCTTCTCGAGTACGGAGGGAAATCTCCTCGGTCATAAAGGTGTTCTAGTCACGGGTTAAGCTGCACAGCCTTTGATGATACAGATAGCCCTTGATTTGTGTTTCCCAACGACACCCTGACCCTGTGCAACAGTGTTCTACCACCGAACCCTCATACACAATTGATCTCAGCCAGTATCTCAAGATGCTACGAGCTCCTTTAGGCCACGCAAAGCAGGTTCACAAGCAGGTTCACCAGCAGGCCGGCGACTGACATAATGCACATCAGCGGCGAGGGTGACGCCCAAGGGGCAGCCAGCCTCGGCACGGTCGACCTCGTTTTGAAGCCGAACATTCTGGGGTAGTCTCTACTCCTGTTGGTGATTTCGGGTCGATTCATGCTGGTACTGGAGGTGTGTATGCGACAGGGTGAGAGTGAGTGTAGCTTGCTCACTCACACCCTGTCGCGGTCGCTCGGTACAAACAGATTAACTCATCCAGGGAGATCCACTTTCTAGAGTGTAAAGATGAGTCGTGGCTTGGTATATCTTTGACTCGAGCTGCATGCAGACTCCTAGAGGCGCTGACACTGAAGACCCGTGCCCAGATTTCGGTCTTCCTTGGTAGGCGGGAAAAGGCCGTATCCCACAATAGTGCGGGCCGGAGTCAAGAAATCTCTGGGCTTGCCATAGGACGGAAAGTCGCCTACCATCAGGATGGCGGGCTGACCGCAATCCGGCTTTACTCCGTGATATGAGCTTAGGATTGTAGGTGGAGTCATATTCAGGCTGATCAACTGGCTCCTTGCGTCCATAGGCGCCTCAAAAGTTGGGACTGAGCAGATCGTATTTGACGCACATCTCGACACTGTCGGCACTTGCTTGGAAGAACCTTCGAGCCTCAAGTCCGACCCAGATTTTAAGCAAGGAAAAGTCACCCTCCTTGAAGCTCTTGAGCACAGCAGCTGGATCGGAGGACCCGATTTGTCGCAAAATCGGCAAGGCGCTCTTGAAGAGATCGAGATCGGGGTCCAAGGTCCTGCCGATGCCTTCTAACAAAAGGATGGAGAGGACAACGTTCACAAAATCACCTTCCATCCGAACGTGGTGGGCTCTGACCATGCTAAGCACTTCTGACAGGACATCTCCAAACTTGATATGGCCAAGAGCAAATGTCTGGCCTTTGACTGTCAAGACAAGATGCTGCATCCTGAGGGCAAAGACTTCGCCGTCAACTACCACATCAGGCTGACGACATCGTTCTATCATCAGTTTTCCCGCCTTGTAGCCGTCAAACTCGGCAATTGCCCGGAACAGGTCGAGGAAGTTGGCTCTGTTCTTGGCATTCAACTCTGTAACAAGGCCAGTATCGATGAAGATCAACTGGGGTCGATATCCTTCTTGGTCAACTTGCGCAAGAGCAGCTTCCCATTCTGTCTTGTTGCCAATGTGAGGACGTAGTCTTGACAGAACCGCTTCGGACTCGTCAATCTCGGAAGCACTCGCTGGCTGGGTCGGGTCTTGTCGAGACATGTAAGGGATTCTCACATCTGGCTGGGTCGGCTTGTAAAAGTTGACCATGATGTTGCCCGGGTGAAGATCGGCGTGGACAAAATTGTCTATCAGAAGCATGTTCAAAAAGGCGTCGAGCCCTTCGTTTGCGATTTCCTTTTGATAAGCTCCCCCGCCATTTTCGAGGAAGGCGGCTAATGGCAAGCCTTGGGCGAATTCTTCCACCAGGACAGTACGCGTAGTAAAGTCCGTGTACGGGTGTGGAAACCATGCGGTGGTACGATTTTGAAAATGTTTGCGTAGGATGGTCAGATTCGCCGCCTCGATCCGTAGATCGAGTTGCAGTCGCATCATCTCCCCAAAGTTGGCCACTTCATTGGGAAGATCCAGCCACTCCATAGTTGGGATGGCATTGATGATGGCGGCAAACACCCCCATGATCTTCAGGTCCCGGCGGACATTCCGTTCCACCTTGGGATGGAGGACTTTGATGGCCACGTAAGCTGACGGCACTCTTTGTGGGCTGGATTTGACCAGTGCGTCCACGTTCCTCCTGATCCGGTTCCTCAGCCTGCTCTTGTCATGAACGTCAAGATCACTGTCGTCGGGCTGCGCAAGGTCGGGCTTCAGCCGCGCCTTGTACACCTGGGCAATCGCACCCACTCCGAGAGGTTTCTCGTCGAATTCCACAAAGATATCCTCAAACCTTCTGCCACCAAAAGCTTCGCTAATCGTCTTCTTCGTATGGCGGAGAGAATGGGCTGGAGCGTTCGAGTGCAAGTCAGACATGATCTTGCACATCTCGGACGGGAAGATGTCGGATCTCGAGGCGGCCCACTGGCCCAGCTTGATGAACGCAGGACCGCCTCTTTCCATAGACTTGACCAGGAAACCATACCACCAGATTGTTCCCGCTCTTTCGTTGTCGTGATCTTTCTTCCGGGGCCCGATGAAGACGGCGGGGACGGCGACGATGACGGGGACGAATATGATGGCAAGGTAGAAGAAGCGAAACCCCGTAGCAAAGGGCTCATATATATACTGGTCGAGGAAATATATCAAGCTTTTGTACAATCGTTGCAGGCCGCGGGCGTCCTCTGGCACTTTCTTGCTGATTTCCTGGCGGGATATCTCAAGCATTTGCATCTCGGTCGTTTTTCCCTCCTCGTTGTCTCTGTCTTCCCCTATCTCGACAAATACGACGGGAGAGAGGGCCGCGGCGGTGGCCAGGAGGGTAGGGTAGCGCCGCTGGCGAGCATCTTTGAGACTGTGCTTTCGGGTGGTCCATTTGGCAAAGGATTGTTGACGTTGGGGAACGCGACTGGCGAACAGGACAAACCCTCTGCGGCCAGCGAGGCGGCCGAAGAGAAAGGAAGACCGCATCAAAGGCAAAGGGGAGGTGCCTCAAGCAGGAGGAAGAGGAACGGCAGCGGCAGAGTGGTGAGGCAGCGACAGAACATGTCTATGTCTGGCGGATGTTGTCGTGTTCGCGCTGCAGTCGGAGGCGACAGCGATGGAGATGAGATGGAGATGACGTCGTGACCAACGACTACTCTTAGTAGCTATACTAGAGTCTGCACGGCCATCTCAGCACAAACCACCAAACCACCTCTTCTGCTATTCAATATTAATTATAACTTCTTTGCAACCAGAGCGACAAACGCGTCGAAGACTTGGACCGCAGGGACTCGCGTCAGGGTAAGACCAATTAATTAGGCGCTCAGGCTTCCCAATGGCTATGTTCATCTCGCCAGGGCGTGGTATCCTCGCTTTGCCAGTCTCACCCACAAGGACATCTCAGCCCCGACAGGCCAAGCAACAATAATGGCTTTCGCTCGAGAATGACTGACTGTGTTTAACAGATTGCGTCCCCTTTTAACACTCTGGTCACGCCACAGAATCCAGACTTGATATCCGGGATCACTTTTGTCCTGGAGGCTTCCCAGGCCAATCCTGGGGGGGTTCTACTGTCGACGCCCGAAGCGTCAGATGTCACATACCGGCACCGAGCAGATCACCGGAAACCCTCGAATGTTATTGGGGCCAGGACACTCAAGTAGTCCGTTATTGCCGACTTCAGGCAACAACAAGACTTGGACCCAGACACACTGTGACAAGGTTGCCCTGTTTCGCCTGGTTCCATATCTGTCACTTGGCACCCAAGAGAAACAGAAGTCAGACAGCCTTGTATCCCTGCTATGCTATTATTACGTTGCAGCGTTTCTGCCTCTGCTCTCCGAAGAATCTGGGCAAAGGCGGTGATAGAGGACAAGCAGACCGATCATCTGATCAACACTCCCTTGTACAGGTTGGGACAATGAGTCGGGCCAAGATGGAGGCCAAGATGGAGGCCAAGATGGCAACCAAGATGGCAATGTCTTCCAAGGACTGTCTTTGGTGGCAAGCCTCACAGGTAGGTTTCTGGAACCGTGCAACGCCCGACTGATCGGCACGCTAGTTGGCCTCAAGTAACTTCGAGAAAGGTTAACAGTCCACTTCCTTGGGGTAAGAAGACATACATAAGATGCCTAACACAAGCAACACACTTGCTCACATGAACAAACGCACAATATTCCTTCCCTCAGTCAAGTCATCGACACCAGGCACCGCAGGCAGCTGAAGATGCCTTCTTCCGTGTCAACCTCTCTCATCCCCCTTTACATCGCCGCCAGCTCTCTCGCTGGAGGGTTCGTTCACGCGCAACTTGGCGCTGACGCTCAATCCGAACCCGACTGGTGCATCACCAACTGCGACATCACCATCACCCCGACCAACCCCCGAAAGGCGACCTGCAAGGGCGACGAGACCGGCAAGGCGTTGGAGAAATGCACATGTGACGCCTTCATGGCCAACAACGACCCGATGATTCTCTGCGTGCAAAAATGCCCCGAGGACCAGCAGTTGGCGTATGCGAAGAACCTGCCCAATCTGTGTGGAAAGACGCTTTTCCCCTGGTTCGACTTGAGCACGACGCCCAACCCGCCGGCCGAGAACACCGCAGCCGCTGCGAGTAACCCTTCAAGGCCGACTGCCAGCGCGACAAACAGTGGAAGTGGAAGCCGAAGCGCTATGGTCATAATGCCGGAATCGTCCAAAGCCGAGAGTGCCAGGGCCCTGCTCGCCCACGCCGGTTTGGTTGGATACCTAATCCTCCTGGTGGGAGTGGGAGTGATTATAACCTTGTCGATGTGTTAGGTGGGAGTGGTTATAGCTTCTCGACGTGTTAAGTAAGAGACTGAGAAGTGGTGGGAGTGGGAGTGGCTATAGCCTCTCGACGTGCTAAGAGACTCGACAGTGGGCACGCAAAATAGGTGTGAACCCACGACGCGACCGGAAGATGGCATTGTGTGATGAAGAGTATCGAACCTCCAGAAACATGCATGGGAATTGTTGGATGTTGCACCCCATCAGCTGGTGTTTGTTGATGAAGGAAATGGAATATCTATCATCTCGAAGAAGTGACTGGAGTTGGACGTTGGCGAGACTCATGGGGGCGTGTCTCCTGGACCTCAATACCTAGTAATTTTCGGGTGCGGGCGTGGGTGCGGCTCAGCTCACCTCAGTTCAGCCTGTCTGTGTTTCGGGGTTATCTGTCTCACGCCTTAGGAGGCCTCAGAAGATGATCTCAGATGCCTGTCCTTTCGAAGAGTGAAGGAGGAGTGGATTTTAGCAATGGTACGCATCGCATCGAGCATCGTTCTAGTCTAATGCGATTCCATTCCATTCTGTTTTGTTTTGTTTTATTTCGGTTGAGCTTTCAGCGTCTGCTTGTCGCTGGCTCACACCCTCTTTAGGACTTGGCCGAGTATACTCCCGACATCTACAAACAACCTGGTCACTCACCTTGATGTAATGCGAAGCCTTGTAATACAATGCAAAGCATGCGATGTGATGTGATGCGATACGATGCCTTGCCTTGTCTTGTCTTGCCTTGCCTTGCCTTGCCTTGTCTTGCCCTGTCTTGCTTTGTCTTGTCTTGCCTTGCCTGCCTTGTCTTGCCCTGTCTTGTCTTGCTTTGTTTTATTCGCTTCGCGTCCCACCTCACGTCGATTACTGTTCGGATACTTGTCGACGGTGCACCGGCAAAGAAGAGACAGGCACGGTCTTCCACTACTGCGACTGCGGGACAAATGTCGTGGTCGTAGCGACTCATCCCACCCAGATTTGCAATAATCGAAACCACGCTTCCACCCAGAGTTGCAATACTCGAAGCATGCTTCGCTTCGAGCGTTGCAAGCGTGTAGAAGACGAAGACGAGTCCAGTTCCCCTTCCTCACTGCTCCATCTAGGCTTCGTGCACACTGATCGACGCCCTCTTCTCCTTGGCGTCGCCGATGCTGGATGGATGCGAATGCGAATCTGAATCTGCGTCCGATCCATGGGCGGCAGGCTCGAGTTGATTGTTTCTCTTCTTTTGCTTCTTCTCCCGGTGAGCGAAGACAACAATGATCATGAACACAATCACGTTGAGCCCTCCCACCACCGCGGCGGCTCGGTTTCCCGGGGTGACTAATCACGAGCAACTGTCAGTAAGACGGAAGCATGGCATGCCTGTATAGGCCAGACCAGACAAGTCAAGGTAAGACGAGACGAACCGTTTGGTTGGTGAACCTGTTGAAACCAAACCAGTGGAATCCATGCGGTGAAAGTGTCTAGATGGGAAATATTCGTCGTCAGTATGTAATCAACTTCTCCCTGCGACGGAAGGAAGAGAAGGAAGAGAAGGAAGAGAAGGAAGAGAAGGAAGAGAAGGAAGCGCGGAAGCTTACATTGAAGAGTGTTCATGGCCGCGGCGGTAAAAGCTCTTTGCTCGGCGTTGTCAGAAATCAATTCTGCCATCCATCTAGGACAATCAAACATGATATTAGTCGTGTGATTTCCATTGGGTTCAGGAGAAAACGGTCCCGGGACTTACGCCATGGTCAAGGGAACAGTAGTTCCTCCAATCGAGGACAGCATATAAAGGGGTGCGCGGTGATGGAAAGGGCCGAAGACGGGAGTTACGGCGAGTAGCGTGTAAATGACGATGCCGACGAGATTGGCGAAGATGATGGCAGGCCAACGTCGGCCTCTCATGGGCCCATCAGAGATCCAGACTGCGAGCAGAGACCACACAGTGGTGACGGCGTTGGTGATGGTTGGATACTCGTTCTGTAGCAGGAGAAGTCCGTTCCGTCAGCCTCGTCCTCCTGCGCCCTGAGCCGAAGAATGGGGCAACATACAATTTGTGCAATGCTATAGACAGGGGGTTTGCCTTTCTTGTTATGCGCTTTAAGCCAGAAGACGAATGAAGTGGATGGCTGGGCTCCAAAAGGTTGCATTGCTGCGGAGGTCAACTGCGTCAGCACATTCATCATACTAGACGGCCGAGGGACTGTACTGAAGATAAGCGTGAAGAGAAGCGTCTTCCAGCTGGTGAAATATCCGAGAATCACTTTGACCGTGTAAGGCTTGCCCTCAGGGGCTCGGCCGACTCTTGCCATTCTTTCCCGGGAAAGTTCGATTTCCTGCATGACCAACCGAGGGCGTCAATTGCGTCTCTTCGTTCATTCAGAGGGCATTGCTACTCACACGTTCTGAGAACAACCAGTTCGGTTTGGCAGTCCCAGGGGTATCGGGTAAGCAGAAGTAAGCGAGGATGGCGATTGGCAAAGAAATGACACCATTGATGACTAGAGGAGACGAAATGTTAGAATAAATAAAGGGCCCTGAAGGGACACTGCTTGGAACGTACCAAAGAGCCATCTCCAACCGGCCAGGCCAGCGTGCCCGTTGAGTGAATTATAGATTCCGGCTTGCAGAAATCCACTGAAAATCGGTGCGATTGATACTGCCGACTGCAAAATTCCGTTGCGCTTTCCAAGTTCGCCTTGTGGTGGGTTCAACGGTCAGCAGGGTTCCAAACCTGATGTTTCAATGATCGTCTAGCCAAAGGAACTCACGTTTAGTGTACCAACTGCCCAGAATGTAGTAAAGTGCTGGCCAGTAACCGGCTTCGAAGAGACCGACGATGAATCGAAGGCCGAGCATTGCACTGTACGACTTTGCGCCTGCGAGGCTGAAGGTGAAAATTGTCCAACCGATTTCAAGGAAAGGGATCCAGACTGAAAAATGACAATTAGGTCAGTTTCCCTGCTTCTGGGATAGGTATATCCAGGAAGATTCTTACTGTGAGCGCGGACTCGAGTCAAGATGAAGTTCGATGGCTGTATTGAACCGCTGTCAGCGTCCCAGGGATCTTGCATGATGGAGGAATATACAAACCCATTGTCCGATAATGTAGCCCACTGTCCATGATACGACGATGTAGTTGTACTGATTTCCATAGAGATTGAGATCTTCCTTCATGCCTGAGACGAACGCATTGGTGATATTTGAGGTATCAATCTATGGAACCGGTCATCAGACCCGGTCTCGTCTCGCAAGAAACAAACCAGGCTCCTTACCCATTTGATCAACATTCCAAGCGTTCCAAACGTCAAAAGGGTGAAATCTAACTGCATACAGAGTGTTCGGTTAGCACAGGGGTCGTTTGGTAACTGTTCGCATGGTAGTGAGATGGCCAACCTTGAGGAGAAACCATCTTTCCTCCTTTGAGACGTCGGCCGAATCCCACAACCATCCTTTCCAAGTGCTGGCTGGCGTTGTCGTCGTCGTCATCGTCACCGTCGCGACGGGGCCTTCTGCTTTTGCCATTGCTCCAACAGTCTGAGGGACAGAAATGAGAACGGAGAAGCACGAGGCGGACAGAGCTGCAGGACTGGGCGGAACCCATAACAGGCTTGGAACAACGGCATAAATACCCAAGGTAGAGAAGGTATTCAACTCTGCCCAAGAGGGCACACCTTTTGTTCGTCATTTGTGGCGTTACTGATGCTATTCGCAACGTGATGAGATTGGTTCGACACAAAGTATTCCGGTCAGGTCGGTATATGTAGCTGCATTTCGAGAAGCACTATCTGTCGAGTATCTAGGTCAGATCTCCGCCATACATTCAGAAGCCGTCATTGGCTTATAATGAGCTCCTGATAACGAGTTCTGATAGCGGGCTCCTGAATAAGACTCTTACTGGCCATAGTGACATTACCAGGCTGCCGAAGATCAGGAAAAAGAAATATCCCCAGGAATTGGCAATCAGGATGGCAAATGACGTGACCAACTCGTCCAGAAACAGAGGTCTAGACTCAAACCACCCCAGGGGTCACGACCCAGTGTAGGTTGCATTCTGATGCGAGCCAGTGGGAGATAGGCCGTGTTTAGAATAAACATCAGCTCAACGGCGGCCGAACCTTGTCCTGGTGAAGGTTGCACACCTGAGGGTTCGATTCGCTGGGCAACGAGGAGAGTGCTCTCTGAAGACCACGTAGAGGTGATAGTCGACCATCTTTGGCCTCGACTGCAGTTCTGACCACGGGGTCAATCCTCTGCACTCGAATATTGGAGGAAGCCTCTGAGACTAGGTACCCCTTCGTCTTGATCTGCTTCACCCCTTGAAGGGTCCCAGGAAAGCATGGTTTGCTGTAGTGTGGCGCAACCGGGAAGGCAAATTCCAAAAGCCCTCTAGGCGTAGACGAGGCCTAGCGAGAGTAAGAGCGAAGGTCGTACTGTACGGAGTACAGAGTGTGCCTCAAAGGGACTGGCGATGAAATAGAGTAGCCCAGAGTCGATACTTCGTGTTGAGTCCACCGCAGCGGCTGATCATCGGTCCTGAACTGAGGGGGGAGGGTGATCCTAGTAATACTAGTCCTCAAAGAGCTAGCTCTCGGCAGATTTTCCTAATCCATCTTTACTAACGCTTAGAATTGACTATTTTGTACGGATATTCTGTGCATGTTGACAGTGGCGTCAGGATGAGGGGGAGGGGTGCACTCGAGTCCGAAGAGGGAAAGTGACTGACTCAATCAGATATCATTGTGACCATGAAGGTATCAAGACTGTTGCGAGCCCTCGCACGTTAGATACTGCTGAGTAATCGTATTCGCTGCGCTGCGAGGAGCGCAGCTGGTCACGTGATGGGTCACGTGGCAGATTGGCTGAAAACAGCGACATGAGGTAGATGAGTACCTGGGGAGCTGGGCTGATTGTGAACGTATCAAGAGACAATCATAATCGACAATTGGAGGCGAGCATAAGATAACAATAATAATGGCAATTCCTCAAAAAGCGGTGGCGGTAGGTGTACTCCGTACCTAGGCTTTCATGCCTGCCTAACTGCGCCGGATATTTGTGGCCGGACACGCGCGACCGCAACCGGCGGCTCTAGCAGCAGGAAGGGTCCAAGGGTCAAAACCCGTAGATTAATCAGCCACACGATCCAGCTAGAGTCTAGAATCAGACCAGTGGAGAGCTAGGGCCTGGGGCCTCGGGCCTCCTGCTGCCTGTGGTGCCGGTGACGGTGACGGTGACGGTGATAGTGATGCAGATGACTCAGTTGCCAAAGCATAGTAGATTCGGAACCTATGTAGACCCGGATTTTGCGGAGGTACAGTTCGCCGCATGACATACTCCCATACATAACCCATGCACTGGTGGACTTGTGGACTTGTGAACGTACGGATACGCAACGTGCAAACCACGGCTTGAGGCCTTGAACTAAGGATACAAACAACCACGTATCCGTATTGAATATCAGTACTTTATTCGGGTATAGAAGACGACCAGAAACCTTTGGCAACCCCCGAAAGGAACTCGTCTTACATCTCCTCACAGTCCCAGTCCCGCTTCCGCTTCCCTAAGAATCCGTTGATTGTAACCACTCCGACTATCCTGCCTCACCTTGCCTCACATACTTATACAGACGGATACTTCAACAACATGCTCACCATCCACCACCTCCAGCGCAGCCAAAGCGAGCGTATCCCTTGGCTGTGCGAAGAGCTCGGCATCCCCTACGAACTCAAGCTGTACAAGCGCAGTCCGCTTCTTTCCCCGCCCGAGCTCCAGGCATTGACGCCGCTGGGCGCCGCCCCCGTCGTTGAGGATGCCTCAGTCCAGCAATCCGATGGCAAACCGCTGAAGCTAGCCGAAAGCTCTGCCATCGTTGAATACATCATCCACAAACATGGCAACGGTCGACTGGCTTTGCCCCCTTCTCACAAGAATTACCCTGACTACCTGTACTGGTTCCACCTGGCCAATGGCAACCTACAACCATGCGTTCAGAGGAGTATGCATTTTGCCATGTTGAAGTTGCCCCCAGACCACCCTGCCCGGAAGAACATCGACGCCCGGCTGACCAAGATCATTGAATTGATCAACGATCGCTTGAATCAGGTGCCGTGGTTGGCCGGGGACGAGTTCACGGCCGCAGACATCATGTCCGTCTTCTCCTTGACTACCATGAGACTGTTTTTCCCCTTCGAGTTGACCGGCTACAATGGCATTCTGTCGTGGCTGCAAAGGGTTGGCCAGCGGCCTGCCTACCGTGTGGCCATGGGGAAGGGCGATCCTGACCTCACGCCCGTGCTTGGAGCTGAAGCCCCAGAGCTGTTTCCAGGACTATCATGAATATTTGGCTCGGTGTCACCTATGGCATAGATGCCACTTATTTCGCTGTTGGTCGAGGGTTTGGCATTGGAGTATCAGACATCCAGTTGTGATGGTGGAAGGTTGCCAAAAGCAAGAACAAGGCCATGATGGGGTCGAGGGCAGCACAATTTCAGAGAGGTTTGCCGCCGGCGCTTGGGCTCTGTGAAGGTGAAATGATAATACCATAGCCACTCAGAAGGACTTGTACATTAGAAAAGGCCACACAATTCAATCCATTCCCGGATATGTAACCGACCTTTCCTACACATAGTTGTAGTGCTGGATTTTGGGCTCCATTGCGGATCCGTATTTGTCCTCCAATCCAGAGCAACGAACGTAGGCCGTTCAGAAACCCGCAAGAGCCCAAAACACAGGTACGGGGAACTGGGCCAGCGTTCTGCCTGCTGGTTCGTGTTGCGCATCTGGGTTTCAATACCATTTATGGCCTGCTTCTCCAAGATTTTCGCCCTTGGGATTCATAGAGACGATATGTTGTCCTGGCACCTGGTCGACAGTGAATTGGGACTCGAATATTCCAGAGATGGCACGTTTGCCCAGGGCGCCAACGGAATCAAATTTCGCTTCTCCGTTGCAGGCCGCCCATTCGGGGCTCTGGGGAGACGAGCCATCTCCCAGATCGCACCACCGAGTGACCACAATAGCATGTTTGAATAACTTGGCCGGGTTGGATCGATCTTCTTGCATCCTCAACTCAATCAGATACTCCGAAGGACATTCTGGACATCGCCGCATCGGCCGGCAGTAGGAACACAGAGTAATGAGGGGACTAGGTTTGTTCATCCGGTACTTGATTTCCGCTGCCACGCCAGCGATGCCACCACCCTCCAACGGTTTAGGTATATGGCTCAAGGCGCATTTCACCGAAGGCATCAGTTCGCCATCCATCCAGTGCGCACAGACGGAAAAGTATGGAGTGAATTTCTCATTGGGAGAATAAAGTAGCTTGCGGAGCCCTGCGGGTGGGAGGGCAGGTTCTGCAAACGCCGAGCTGATCACCCGAACCAGCAGATGTCCGTTGGCCACTGCATAGCGGGTTTGATGCCACCAGTCGCTATCTCGGTCCTTGTATCGACGGGACATGGAGTCGATTGGGATGCCATGAGCCGGTGAATACTTTTGGGCCCTGAGAATGAGTTGCACAAACGGAAAGGGCAAAGACCGACCCACGGTAAGCCGGGTTCGAGCGACCTTCTTTTCGAGATTGGAGGCGTTGGGACAATGGAAAAGCGGATTGGCAATATTGGTCGGTCGCAAGATTTCTTGGCCCTTCTGTGTTCTCAGATGGTAGATCGCGCATGGGAAGCACAGTAGATGATCTGGCAAGTCTTGGTCAAGCCGACCGAGAAAGTCGATTTTCAGACCACGGTTCTCTTGTGCATTCAAATAGCGCCAGACTTCAGTTCCAACCACATCTCGGAAAGGTTTGCACGAAAACGCGAGGCTGGCCGCATCTGCAGGACCCAGAAAGTCCACGACACGTGCCCAGATGGCCGGGGGAAATCTGGACAAGAACCCCGAGGCAGATTGGGCAGGAATTCGAGCAAAGAGCAATTGAGTCTTCTCGATAAGCGATTCCGCAGATCCACGGTAGGTCAGACTGTGCAACATCTCAGTATGATCTTTTCGTTCGCCGGTCTGAGCATCTCGGTCCCATTCATCGGCAACACTAATGGCAGGGAAGGAAGAGTGTTGTGGAAGGCCTGGGGCCTGCTTCCGGAGTTGTGTACTAGACGATGTAGTGGCGCGGAGATTCACCATCGACTTTTTCCGTAGCTTGTTGCGTGGCCTCGAAGCCTTACGTTCGGGCTGAGGCTCTTCAAGACTCCATTCGGAGACAGAGGTGGCTCTTGAATCGGCACTCGTTGACTTGTTTGATCTGAAGGTATTCAAGAAGCCAAAGGACTTTTTCCTGGAGATTGTTTCGGCCATTTGGCAACCCAGATATGGTTTTGGTCTTAAACTGTCCCTTTTGTACGCTCCCGACAAGGCTATTGATTTGTGTCCACGCGGGGGAGTGATAGCATTGATCAGGGCAGGACTAAATTAGGGACGAACCAAGGGTGTAAAATCGTGGCAGGACAGGCGGCACCGAGTGACATTAATATTGGCGTTTGACAATGTCTAGCTGAGACAACTTTCTCGGTGGTCTGTTCATATGGAGGACAACCCGTTGTTTACATCCGCCCACAGCCGCAGAAAAGTTTGGGACGCCCCAATCAAAGAAAGCAGCTGTGACAGGGCGAGAGGCATGCTGTTATGTAATCGAAGGGTCCCCCTTCAGCAATCGAGAACGACGGAGAAAGGATTTGGTACTAGGCCTGGGAAGGCTCGACAGATGCTAAAGGACCGAAGAGCTGAAGGAGATGGAGGTAAAGTGTGTACTCGGTGGTGGAAGCGTCGCAGGTAGTTTTGGTGCAATCCGACCTAGGCTTAGGAGGCTCTGCGCAGCTCGCCTGCACGCAACCTCAACCTCGATGGGCCGCAATATAATCCAGTCAAATCATTGGCATGATAGCCTCGTAGAGACCTTCAAAGGCAGCACATGTTTGGTGCAGTGTTGCGACGAAACCGCCACCGGGTGCTCGAGGCGGAAGGCTGATTTGTAGAGGGTCAATTTGTAAGATTCGCTGTCGACGCTTCTCGAAGACTGCGCGTCACAGTCGTGCCTGATAGTGTGATAGTACAGCAGATGGGATTCAACATGGCTTCAATTGCTGTCCATATTCTCTCTACCATGCTTCCACCCTCTCAATATATTCGACAACAATGGCATCGCCATCAGATACTTTGAAATGGTCGGCCCAGCTTCAAGTTGCGCCCTCAAATCGCAGACTGGTCGGAGACAAGATTACCTTGCCACAATCTGCGCTCGAAGCCCTCCTCGCCGCGGCTCCGGTTGTTTCTGTTCAGAACAACTCGGTTCGAAACCTCACGTCTGACTTCGATCCCTTTAATCCCTACTCCTTTGTCGCTGAGCGCCGTGCGCGAGCGGCGTTCGAAGATCGCCAACAGCAACTCCCTCACCCTCTCACCTTTCGCATCGAGAACCCTCGGAATGGAAGAGCCGTATATGCAGGAATCCAGGAGTTTTCCGCCACCGAGGGCTACGTTGGCTTAAGTGCAGGTCTCCTAGAAGCCTTGGGGTTTCAAGATGGAGCATCGTCGCAGCACACCACAAGGGAGAGCACGCCCAGTGGCGATGTGATGATGGCAAATGGAATGGGCAGCCCGAAGCCAGAAATCATCACAATCCACGCAAAGCAACTACCCAAGGGAACATACGTCAAGTTAAGGCCTCTGGAAGCTGGCTATGACCCTGAGGATTGGAAGTCGCTTCTCGAACGGCATCTGCGAGACAGCTACACTACACTCACCCGAGGAGAGTTACTGGTGGTTCCTGGTGCACGCCATGAACGCTTTCGTTTCTTAGTCGACAAGTTTGAGCCGGAAGGAGACGGAATATGCATCGTTGATACCGACTTGGAGGTGGATATCGAGCCTTTGAGCGAAGACCAGGCTCGAGAGACGTTGAACAAGCGGTTGGAAAAGAAGAAACGACAGCAGGAGTCAGGAGAAGGTAGTTCCCTCGGAGGTCCTCTCGACCTAGAGCAGGAGGTTCAGGGAAAGGTGCTACCAGGTGACTATGTGGACTACGAGTTGCGGCAGTGGAACCACGGTCAAGATCTTCAAGTCGTCCTTCAAGTGCCCGACGACAATGGCAGCCTCGATCTGTTGGTCAGTCCGATCTCATCGCGGCAGCGGTCCAAGCCTCGAGAGGACGAGTATGTCTTTGGAGATCTGGGTGGGCGGCCGACGAAGAGGTTGAAGCTCTCACACTCGAATGTCGATCTTGAAGAAGCCGAATCACTCAATTTGGCAATTCATGCCTGGCGCGACGCCGCCATTGAATCTACAGAGGCAGCCCGACCCGTCACATACACTCTCAAAATCACGGCTGCCATTTCCGAACCTGATACACAGCCTGACGCTGCCGACAGTGTCCCCTCCGACCTATCGCCAGAAGATGTGATGTGTAAAAATTGCCGCCAGGTCGTACCCAAACGAACTCTCCCTTTACACGAGGCATTCTGCTACCGGAACAACATCCTCTGTCCAAAATGCTCGGGCGTATTCTTGAAAAACTCGGACGCGTGGAAGAATCATTGGCATTGTCCTCACGATGACGAGCATGGTGATGACCCTGCGTCTCGTCACAAGCATGATGTTTTGTTTCATCCACCTAGGCCAATCCCGTGTCCGAGCTGTGACTTTAAGGCCTTCAATGTGCCTATTCTGGCCCATCATCGGACAACAACCTGTCCCGGGAAGGAGATTCTATGTCAATTCTGCCACCTGGTGGTTCCTCAACAGGGTTCGGACGATCCCGAGTTTACGGATGCAGAAGTTTTGATGTCGGGACTCACACCCCACGAGCTTGCTGACGGGGCGAGGACGACCGATTGCCATCTATGTGGTAAGATAGTCAGGTTACGAGACATGAAAACTCATCTTCGACTTCACGATCGTGAGCGGTTCTCCCGACCGAAGCCAAGGATCTGCTCCAATGGCGTATGTGGCCGGACCATCCGAGCTGACGACGAGCTGAGGGTTCAGAAGGAACAGCTGGGGCTGTGCAATGAATGTTTCGGCCCGCTGTACGTTTCCACATACGACCCTGAGGGCAAGATGTTACGGCGGAGACTCGAAAGACGGCTCCTACAGCAAGTAATGGGTGGTTGCGGCAAACCTTGGTGTCACAACGACGATTTGTGTAAGACCGGACACAAGAATGTCACGGGCGAAGACAGAGTGGTATCTGCCAAGGATGGATTGCCCATGATCAAGCCCATCATGGACCAGCTGTCGCAGGGAGTGACATCTGGGTTGAGGTTCTGTGTGGATGAATCCAGTCAGACTCGACGCAATCTAGCCGCGATGATGAGCAGCGGGGGGGAGTATGAGTTGGAATGGTGTGTCAAGGCATTGGAGGAGGAGAAGGGGAACGCTAGTAATGCTATGGAGTGGTTGAAACATCGAGCTCCGAAGATTGGGGAGACAGTGTCATGACCAGCCAGACAAATAGAATGATTATAGCCCGAATGAGCCCAGCCACGATGGATAGGCCGATTCAGCCCGAATGAAATGACATTGTAGGTGTATGTACGGGTATGTACGGAGTACATGTGCAGAGTATGTATACGGAGTATATATACGGAGTATGTGTACGGGTATATGTACGGAGTACGGAGTATATGTGAAGATATATACTACATAGTACACCAAGCATGCTCTATCATCTACATACCTTATGCCTGTCTAGGGTTAGGGTTAGGGTTAGAGACATAGTGTCTTATGTCTGCCTTAGGTACGGAGTACTTGCTTTCTACTGCTTTGCCTCCCTGCTTTTCCACCTTAACCACCATCCTACACCTCTCGCCACCCACTTCGCCACTTGCATCTAGGCTGCTAACGGTCCGGTCACGGTAACTGTAACGGTGTGTTATGTTGTGTTGTAGCCAACTACGTCCTGTATAGATCGAATACGAGTACAAGGCCGACTAGGATCATGGTTCATGGTTCATGGAGGATGGTTCATGGAGGATGGTTCATGGATCTACCTACGTATTACAATCATATATTGCCACTCTCCTCTTTGCCTTATCGCTACTCACTACCTACCTAATCCTACCTAACCTAACAATCTGTCCGTGTGTGCTGTATATATCCTGTCCTGTGACCTGTATCCTGTGAGACCTGTGACCACACACCACACACCACACACCACTTTCTCAGACGGGGAGGGGGAGGGGCTCTCTCTTCTTGCCTACCCCCGGACTTGCAGCGATGATCGCATACAGTAAGCAAGGTAGGTAGCTACCTATAGGATGAGCAGTAGCAGTAGCCGTAGCAGTAGTAGGCAGCAGTGTCAGGCAGCAGGTAATGAACCACACATAATACCACGTAGGTAGGTACGTAGTATGCATGACGTCATTGCGAAGTTGTCACTCCCCTTCACTCCAGCGTACGGAGTATATGTAAATAGAAGTGCGACTGAATGAGGAGGGAGTACGAGTAAGTGAACGGATTTTAAGTTATTACCTACGTCGTATACCATCTTATCCTGTCCCATCCCGTCCTATCCTATACCATCCTGTCCTATATCATATTCTATCCTATCCTATTATACCGTATCCCATCGCTGCGCTATAGAAACGATCTTTGTGTTATTCTTGTCTATCTGTCGACAATGACAATCAACACATCGTCGTCCGACGAGGGCGTGACTGGAGCTGCTAAATTCGTCACTTCGACTGTTGGAGTATGTTATGTTGGATATTTCTTTTCACCGTGCCTACCTTACCTTTACCTTTCTCACTATCCCCTCCCTACCTTTCACGAGTCAAGACTTCTCTCCCTTTCCTATCCTATCCCCATCCCCAGCTCTAGCTCTAGCTACGTTACGTGAATGAGCTGAGCATACGGAGTACGGAGTACTGTTGCCCAAATCAACTCCTAACACCAACCTAAACATCATCCCAACCTAAACATCATCCCAACCCAGACCTGATCCCAATCCAAACATTACCCCAACCCCAACCCAAACCCCAGTCCGAATCAACCCCAAACCTGATCTTATTTCTGATCTGATATCTAATATCTCTCCAGAACACCGTAGGTGGTCTCGCCCGCACCGTCGGCGGCATCACAGGCGCCGCTGGCCGCGGCATCGGCGACACCATCACCGGCGCCACAGGCAGTCTGGGCAAGCCGGTGGGCGACGGGCTGGCGAACGCGGCGAGCGGCGTGGAAGGCGGTACGCGCAAGGTCGCGCAGGGCGTCGAGGACGCTGGGGCATGGAAGGGTGGGGCGAAGAGGTTTTGATTTGATCTGATTCGATTCTATTTCGAGTTCGAGTTCGAACCAGATTTCGATTCCAGAAAAGAGAAAAGAAAGTCGACAGCCAGCCAGGGAGGGAGGGTTGTCATCGCGGGGGAAAGGAATACGAACGAACATCGAACCCCGAAAAGGAGGATCACGAACGGACATCGACACGAAAACAAGAAATACAGCCCCCAATAGGAGAAGGATTACGCTGACACGAAAACAAGGAGGAATATAACCCCCCAAAGGAGAATGGATATCACCTCGAAACAAGGAGGAACAGAAAGGAGAAGACACTCAAAGGGACATTTCGGCTAGGAAACACGAAATACGAAATCATAGACAGGCAATGGCAATGGCAATGGTAATGACAATGACATGACGAATGACACAAGTAACAAGTGTTATGTATACACTCTTGTACGCTGAGAAATATGGAATCTCATCATGAGACAAGTCCGCACTCATACACCATCCCCGTAGCATGCTCAATGCAGTTGAATTGCTTCTGAAAGAATCAGCTCGCGCTGAACAGTAACACTACCGTCACCGTGACCGTGACCGCGACGTCGCATGTCTAATATCCAACCCACCAGCCTCGACCCGATTCATTGTCCTCCGACAGAATGTTGAACTCCGATCGGATTAATTTCCACCCTCAACATTCAAGTCGGCATCGGCGCTTGGTGACCGGTTAGGCCCTCTTCCTCATATCCCTCTACCGGCGTACATGTACAGAACAAATTGGTGTCTCCGTACGCATCATCGACCCGCGCCACGCTGGGCCAGAACTTCTTCTCTCGAAGCCATGGTAGAGGATAGGCTGCTTGTTGTCGGCTGTACGGGCGGTCCCAGTAATCCTTCATGAGATCCACCGCCGGATGTGGTGACATCTTGAGCACGTTGCCTTCTCGTGGTACCTCGCCATCTTCAATGGCCTTAATCTCTTTCCGGATTTCAATCAGCGCGTCGCAGAAGCGGTCCAGTTCTTCTTTCGATTCCGATTCCGTCGGTTCGATCATGAGCGTGTTTGCAACCGGCCAGCTCATCGTAGGCGCATGGAACCCGTAATCTTGAAGGCGCTTGGCGATGTCGATGGCTTCAACCCCGGCCGTCTCTTTGAACTGGCGGGCGTCCAGAATGAATTCGTGCGCGCACCGACCGTTTTCGTTGGTGTAAAGAATGGGGTAGTGAGGTCGGAGCCGTGACATGAGGTAGTTGGCATTCAACAAAGCAATTTCCGTGCCGTGTTTGAGTCCCGTGCTTCCCATGAGCTGAATGTACGCATAACTGATCGGAAGGATGGATGCGCTACCCCAGGGCGCAGAGCTGACGGGAGAAATGGCCGTCGTCGCACGATTCGTGCCTGCGCCTGCGTGAGGATCGGCATGAGGATGCATTGGGAGGAACGGCCTCAGATGTTCTTTCACCGCAATCGGTCCTACACCTGGCCCTCCTCCGCCGTGAGGAATGCAGAAAGTCTTGTGGAGGTTGAGATGGCACACGTCGGCACCGATTTCACCCGGGCTGCAAAGCCCGATCTGAGCGTTCATGTTGGCGCCGTCCATGTAAACCTGCCCTCCGTGCTCATGCACAATCTTGCACACTTCCTTGATTCCCCGTTCAAACACGCCAAACGTGCTTGGGTAGGTGATCATGATTGCCGCCAATTCATCCTTGTGCTTTTCGCATTTCTCTTGAAGATCCTTGAAATCTAGGTTGCCGGTTTTGGTATCACACTTCAACGGCACCACTTTCATCCCCGCCATGGCAGCCGAGGCAGGGTTTGTGCCGTGTGCCGAGACAGGAATGAGGCAAATGTTTCTCTTTTTCGAACTGTCCTTGCTGTCAAGGTACTTTTTGATCACTCGTAACCCGGCGAATTCTCCCTGGGCACCCGAATTCGGCTGCAGACTGACTTCCTGCATGCCGGTAATCGAGGCCAAGGCTGTGGACAACCGTTTGATCAATTTTTGATATCCTCCCGCCAGATCGATCGGAGTAAACGGGTGGATTTTGGAGAAGCCCGCATAGGACACCGGCAGCATCTCGGTCGTACCATTGAGTTTCATCGTGCACGATCCCAGCGGTATCATTGAGTGCACGAGAGACAAATCTTTGGATTGCAAGTGATGGATATACCTCAGCAATTCAGTCTCCGAGTGATGTTGATTGAAGACAGGATGAGTCAAGTAAGGTGTCTGCCTCTGCAAGTCTTTCGGGAGGGTGTCGTCGTTCACTTTCGCGATCACGTCCGACTCGGAGAACCCGGCAAGGAATTCATTGTCTTTGACCCCAAAGCACCGCAGTAGTTTCATCAATGTTGTGCTGTTGACTGTCTCATCGAGGGAGAATCCAATTAGTGGGGCTTCGGGTGTGCTTCCAGGGACATCGGTTCGCAGGAGGACGTGGTTCGTTTGTGCGTTTTGCAGAATCTCCTGATACTCCTGTACGGTGGTCGGTTGAACGACGACCGTGTCAAAGAGCACGGCGCCATCTTCGCGGACACCTTGGTTGACCACCTTCAGCCCATTTCGCTCCAGCATTGCTTGGGCGAATTTGGCCATGGCCCATATCCGTTTGGCGATCTTTTTCAGGCCGTGAGGACCATGGTAAATGGCATAGAAGGCACTCATGTTCGCCAACAGAGCTTGCGCCGTGCAGATGTTGCTGGTCGCCTTCTCTCTCCTAATGTGCTGCTCCCGAGTTTGGAGTGCCAGTCGGAGAGCAGGCTTACCCAGTCGGTCTTTGGACACGCCGACTAGTCGACCAGGGATCTTCCGTTTGTGCTTTTCACTGCAGGCGAAAAAGGCCGCGTGGGGTCCACCGTAACCCAAAGGAACACCGAACCGCTGGGCGTTGCCAAATGCAACATCGGCTCCAAACTCGCCTGGGGCTTTGAGCAAAGTAAGCGCAAGCAAATCGGTGGCCACACAGAATGTGGCGTGGGCCGCGTGCACAATATCTGAAAGGCTCTGGAAATTGTGAACTCCACCGGTGGTGTCCGGGTATTGCGCCAGGACGCCGATCAAGTTCTCGCCTTGGTCTTTGACCAGTTTAAAGTCAGACGCCAGGATATCTCCCACAACAATATTGATGCCGAAGCCGGTTGCCCGGGATTCCAAAACAGCGATGGTCTGAGGGTGGCAGAGATCAGAGACCACAAAAGTCTTGCCTGGCTTCTTCTGTCGCGATGCAGGCAGTGCATTCATCGACAGAGTCATTGCCTCTGCCGCCGCGGTGCCTTCATCGAGTACGGATGCGTTGGCAATGGTGAGGCCAGTGAGATCCGTCACGAGAGTCTGGAAGTTCAACAGCGATTCCAGTCGACCTTGGCTGATCTCGGCCTGGTAAGGGGTATAGCTTGTGTACCACGCAGGACTCTCGAGGACGTTCCGTTGAATCACGCTCGGGGTATTGGTGCCATAGTACCCCGTGCCTATGAACGTGGTGTAGTTCTTGTTTTCGTGGGACAGAGTGAGCAGTTCTCTCTCAATGCCAACCTCATGAACGCCTTGTGTGTTGTCCTTGTTGAACCCATTCTTCAACCGCAATTCCCCTCCGGCGAGAATGTCTGGGGGGAGAGTCTGGCGGATGAAATCGTCCAGGTCCTTCGCCGGCGGATCCAATGCTTTTACCATCTGCACCTCGTCTTGGGGCGACGGGCCGATGTGGCGCTGGCTGAACAGCTCATCTCTTTCCAGGAAGACCGGGGAATTGGGCCGTCGGGGCTCTGCCGAAGCATGTTGCTGCCGTTTTTGTTGCACCGAGAGGCACCTCCTGCACAGGTGGGCAGTATCGAGGCGTTGCGGACGAGGTCGCAGCAATCGCGTGACGGTGAGACGGGTCCGCGGGTAGGCCGCCACCGGAGTTGCCATGATCGAGGCCTTTTAGGGGGAATTCAGACTGGTGACTACGACCACATTTCAACTGTCGTGACCATGAGAGTCGAGGTGAATATAAAAGAGGGAGAGGGAGAGGGAGCGGTGGATCCTGATCCTGATCAGTCGTGTCCCTCCTGCGAAAAATGGTCGGAGTCAGGCTCGCGTAGAAAGGCCGGCGGACTGGTGGCCGCAGATAAGATGGTGATGTGGCTGCAGCCAATCAAGGCAAAGGCATGCTGATCTAATCGGTCCCCAGCGGGTCACGTGGCGGTGCGGGCAGCTGTGCAGGTGCACGTGACATGGGCATTGTGGTCTTGCCGCTATTATCACAGTCTTTATGCCTACGGTGTCAGCAACTCTACTCCCACCCGCTCAGCCTCCTTGTTCAGCGAGTCGACCTCTGACGCGGTATATGGGATACCCTGGTCCTTCCGCTTGTCTTCCTCAAGCTGCTCCAGTTCGCCGGGGAAGTAGATTCGGTCAAAGCCATCTCTCTTCTCCGAACCCACTACTCGCTGATACAGATAGTCCATTCTCTCCTTGAACTCGTCCAACGAGAGGAACAGGTCCGGCTTGATCGCGACCAGGAAGTGCCCTACGTCTGCCGGTCGTGACGGGTCGTAGGGGTTGGTGACATGGCCAGCAAAGGCCGATCCGGACAAGACACCCGAGAAGACGTCCATCATAATAGCCAATGCTGAGCCTTTCGGACCTCCCATGGGCAGCATGACGCCCTGCAATGCCTTTGCCGGGTCGTCTGTTGGCTGGCCGTCCTCGTCCAGTGCCCAGTCGAGCGGAATCCTTTCGCCTCTCCGTTGCGCCTTGTAGATCTTCCCTCGTGCTGCAATGCTGGGGGCCATGTCCAATATGAATGGCTTGGTCTCGCCCGCCGGCGCGCCGCAGGCTATAGGGGACACCCCGAGTAGCTTCGACTTACCTCCCCACGCAGGTAATGCTGGGGACGAGTTGGTGAAGACCAACGACATCATGTCAGCGTCAATGGCCTTCTGCACGATCCAGGCCGACATGCCAAAATGGTTGGAGTGCTTGACCGCCACCATGCCTATCCCGTACACTTTGGCCATTTCAATCGCCGTGTCCATGCCCAGGGACGCGGCGAGGAAGCCAAAGCCATTGTTGCCGTCCACTTGGGCCACGACAGGAGTGACGTGGTGGATGGTGGGTGCTGCCTTCGGATCAAGCACCTGTTGCCGGATCCTCTGCATGTATGATGGAATTCGGTTGACCCCGTGAGTATCAATGCCTCGCAGATCTGCTGCCACCAAGCATTTTGCTACCGTGTCCGCTGCCTCCGGGGGGACTCCGTTGCCAATGAGCACTTCGCGCGTGAATCTGTGCACCTTTGTTGCAGGGAAGAATTGAACTGGACTGGAGGGGGCCGGATGGTCCATTTGTATCTCCACAGCTGTGTCCCGTGTCTTGTGGTATGGAAGAGGAGATCCGCTCCGTTTTGTCTGAGACGTATCGTATCAATAATTAGTCAAGATCAATGGAATGCGGAGGAAGCGGTCTAAAAGAGGTGACGGTCGGAGTCAGGCCGACCAGTCTCCCCACACAGCGGACATCTGCCGTGGAGGAGAGGAATATGTCGGCTCACGTCTTCGAATCTAGTGTTTGGTATGCGGTGGAAGGAATTTCTACTTCTAGCTATGTTCCACGCGCATAACAACTATTCCCCGACTCAAGCGGATGAATCCTGACGGACCCGATCAGCCTCAAGGGGGAGCCCTCACGAATCGGCCTGGTAGGCAACATCTAATTCAGTTCCGCTTCTTGATCACATCTGCAGCCTTCTCGGCCACCGCATAAAGAGACGCCTGTAGATGAGCAGCTGGAATGATCGGCAGTATCGACGAGTCGATGATGCTCAATTTCCGAGTGCCATACACCAGGAGATCGGGAGCTACCACGCCTCCATACTTTCGTGGCATCATCGGACACGAACCGCTGGGGTGGGCGAAGGTCGGGCCCAGTGAGGTGGAGGCGAGAGCGTTGAAGATCTCATCGAGAGTCTGATACTGTGGGCCAGGGAGCGTCTCGACAGGGTTCAGCGACGCCAACGCATCGGTGGACATAAGCCGACGGGTGAATTGCACCATGGCATGAAGCTGGGATTTGTCGAAAGGATTTTGGAATGCGTAATGTGTCACGACCGGCTCGCCTGTAGGATTGCTGGCATTCAGATACACTGTGCCGCGCGACAGAGGTTTCTCCAGTGCATTAGGCAGGGATCCTCCGCCGTTGAAGGGAAGTTCCAGCACTCCAACAGAACCAGCGCCAAGTTGGTTGACCAGAATCTTGCGTTGTGCTGTGAAGCCGGCAAGAAGCTCCTGGCTTGAGTTGTACACCGGAGGGAGGTAACTCGCAGCGTCCTGGGCGGACAGGTCAGCAAGCAAAGAAGACGCCTGGTCTGTGAGGGTTTCCAACGAGAGGAAGCCTACACTGTTGGCTTGGGCTTTGGTGAAGGGTCCGGTAAGGTGGTTGAGGTACAGGGCCAGAGACTCGTTGTAGAAGGTCGCATTCACACTCAGAATGCCAGGGTAGGGAAAGCTATTGGACACTATGTCCGGTCAGCATGATGTTGCCCCAATGTGCGTCGAGGGGGAAGCCTACCGTTCCAGTTCAGATAGGCGACGGGATGATCTTGGAAGTTGCTTCCCACGGCGGGAAAATCAAGTTTGACAGTGACACCACTGGCTTGAAGGACTTCCTTGGGGCCGATGCCGCTGAGCTGTAGGATCTGAGGTGTATGGACAGCCCCGGCAGCCAAAATCACTTCTTTGTTTGCTTTGAACTGGACCTCCCTGCCGGTGGCCCGGTCAACAGCCTTGACCCCCACCGCCTCGAGCGAGGTATCCTTGAACAAAACCTCAGTGACTTGATGTCGCGCGAGCAGCTCTAAGTTGGGACGGCTTGACACAGGGTCATAGTAGGCGTTCAACGACGAAGACCTGGTTTTCTTCTTGGGGTCCAGGGAGGCAGGTGTCCAAAAGTAGCCCACGGCTTGACCGGCAGCATGCTCTCGAATGAAAGGAACGTCAAGTTCAGCAAAGGCATCGAAGAAGGGATCTAACTCGGGTCAATCCGTTTCCACCAAGCTGAACGTGGACCTCACAGTTATCGGGATACTCAAAGTCAGGGAAGCTGGCCTGCAGCGGTCCATTACCATAAGCTGACTCGTCCCAAGTGTAGTTATACTTGGCCTCGATGGCTGGCGAAGGCGGGGTGAAGTCGGTGCTCTACTTCGATCAGCTGCTGCAGGTATGTGAGGCTCGTGTCTTGCCTTCTTGAAGTAGGGGAACATGCCCTGCCATCCCCATCCCGGGTTTCCCAGAAGCTCCCACGAGTCGTAGTCGGCCGCGGAGGCCCGGTCTAGCTCCATGCCATTGACCGTGGTGCCACCGCCAGGTACTGCGCCAGCGAGGACCGCGTATGTTCTGCCTCCAAGCGCGGGTTCTGGAGCGCTGGTGATGTTAAACATATCTGCCGTGTTGAGCGATAGCGCCGCATTTGCCGGCCACAAGGTCGTATTACTGCGATCGAAGGGGCCGAATTCCAGCACAAGGACCGAGGCTAATGCTTCCACCATCAGCAACCGTATCTTGATCTTGCTCTGACATGCGAAGAGTCTCACTTCTTGCATTCTCCGACAGTCGATTTGCAGCAACTAGGCCAGTCAAGCCTCCTCCGACGATAATGTAATCATAGGTCTTTGCGCCGCCGCTCAGTGTCGGGTATTCGCCATCCTCTGCGGAGGAGGTGTTGGAAGCCCGTGGCAGTACAGATGCGGTCGCAAGTGTACCGTACAGGAGAGCTGAAGCCCATGAGGGCGTGGCCTCCTTAGCCCTTGATCGAAACATTGAATACCTAAAAACAAGTGTGAGCAAGTCCAAGGGCGGTGCAATCCTCCATAGGTCCAACTATGCCGCCCATAACATTCATATCAGAGTGACCGTCGACAGGGTGGCATCGGATAAAACCTAGGAGCGAGGATCCAGGATCAGTCATAGAGCTGCCATGAACGTGGCCTGTCGCAGCAGATCATGCCATTAACGCCATCGAAATCAACATCATGCTGCTGAACCGAGATTGACTCCACGCTGCCTATTTGGCCAGAGAAACCAGGAACAGGAACAGGAAGTATGCACATGGCTAGAAAGCGTGCGAGGGTAAACCTGGTCAGCAGTTCCCACTCATTTGACAGTCGGCCATGTGTGTTGACCAGCCATTTTGATAGCGTTCAACTTGGGAATCAGACGATTCATATCCTATCATATCAGGCGCCAATGTCTCAGTCCTGGTGGATGCTGGGAGGTGTGAGAACGGGAGAGGCCGGAATGTGGGAACTGATCTCGCCAACAATCCAAGTTGAAGCCTCGGTGCCCACCAGGCACATACGACAGTACGTAGTGAAGTGTACGGAGTACCACTGCCACACTGGTGCCACCATGATCGGGAGATTTACTCGGGCCGGAAGATGCCAGACGCAACAGACCAACTGCCGACACTGTTAGCCTGGTGGATGGATCGTTTACATATTCTAATCCACGGGCACACCGACCCGCCCCCAAAAGCCTCGTTGCAATAGGGGTCACGGGTGACTGACCTACCTAGATATTTCTATTCTATCCAGCTCTTGTGACAGTCTGTAGTTGGGCGGTCGCCTCGATCAACAAAGGCCAGCAGTTTCGCAGAATTATTCAAACGCCGATAACCATTTAAAGCTTGTCCGTTAGGCGCACACCAGATCAAAAAAGACGCCCAACCTACCACCATAGGGAGGGAAGATCCTTCGCCTTTGTTTCTGCGTAGGTGACCGCCTGTATTCAAGCCACCATTATAGTTAATCAGCTTAGCAAAATTGCTGAACCGCCGACCCCGTGTCTGTAACTTATCATCCTGGCACCCGCTGGGATACGAAACTGTGGAAGATGTCCAGGTATGTATTTCCACTTGGGAGTCTGTCATCGCATAATATACATGAGGGTAATAGTACAGGCACAGGGCGACTGTGCAAAATTCACCGGCAAAGAACCACAACCTGAATCATACAAGTCCATCATCATACACTGCCATCGTGTAGTCGCAGAAAACGCTCAGCTCAAGCACGCCAATCAGGTATAAATCTCAGCATCTTCCAGCAACACCACAAGCCTCCTTAGACGGAGACTGCGCTGGCATTCTCTCCCAAGGTCATCTAGTAGTGGTCATGTCCTGCAATCATCCACGTTAGCATGCCAGCTGGCAATAGGCTGTCGCAGGCCTGTACTTACGACCCAGTGGCTTGGCTCTCTTGGAGATATCTTTGGCATTCTTCTGCTTAATCTTTGCTAGGCGTGCCCTGTTGTGAAATACCATGTTAGCTGACGCCAGTCACAACAACCAAAGTACAAATTGTGATGGACGTAGGATCGGAGGGGGAATGTTGGCAGATGCCTGTTATGGCCACCAAGACTGGATACGTCTGACTTACTCTTCAGCAGCCTCATGCTCAATCAGTTTGACGTGATCCCTCGCCTCTCGGACGGCAGCTCTTGCCTGGACCAATGCACGATCGGCCTCATGCTCCGCCCTTTCTGCGGAAGCAACGCGTTCGCGTGCCGAAACGATAGACGGGTCTTCGACATCTCTTTTGAACAGTCCTCCGGAGCTTCGCTTATTGGTGCTGGTCCGGTGAGGGTCGTGAAGATCGGATGACGAGGAGCGGCGGCCGCCGAAGAGTCCTCGGCGTGGGCTCCCACTCGAAGATGACACCGAATGTCGAGCGTTTGGGTGAGTGCGGGTGTTGGGGGTAGGCTCGACAGGAGCATTGTTCTTGTGACCGAAGAGAGGCATTGTGCTTGGGAAATTCTGGTCTGGTTATGGTTATGATTTGTATGTGTTGGGTTCCAGAAGAATATCGTAGGGGCAATTGGTGAATTGGTGAATTGGTGAACTGGTGACTTGAAAGCTAATCAGGAAATATGCATGTCTAATCCTGAGCAGGATGTAGGACCAGTATATAAGCGAGTTGGCATGTCTCTCCAAGAGGTGCCCTGAATCAGGTTTCTGTGCGGGAGTGGGAGTGACGTAGCAAGGAGACGAGGCTTGATGCGATCGTCAGCCTTGTTGGCCAAAACATACGCCAAATGACGCCACATACTCGACGATCTGACCGTTCGTCCAGCCAGGTTACGGACCACCTGGACCCTGGCTGCTTGGAGGGACGCTACTTGTTGGACGCGCATACCCATCATCCACGGCATCTGCATGCTCTGTACTAGGTACGGTGCGTCCACGGTAAGCATACCAACGGCCATCCGCTCGTAACAGCGGTGTCCATGCGAGGTGGATGACAGTTGACAGGGAGGCAATGATCAGGTGGCTGACGTGATGTCTGCATCCTCCAACCAAGCAGTCGTTTCCGAGCGCGCTGATAGGACGATCGATTTGGGAACATCTCCTCTGTAAAGATCAAAGCGTCAAAAAGGGAGGACACGCACCCCGGAGATTCTGACCGCCGGCCACCACACTGGTGACACGAGACGGAGTCCGACAGAGGACACCACGGTAACAGCCGCCCATCCTGCGGTCTTGCCCAGTAGGTCCCGTCATCAGACACAGACCGACCGTTCAGTATGTCATCGGAGCAGCAAGACGATAGCCCAGGAATGCACGGTACGAGTAATAATAATTCATTATTGGACTGCCAGCCGAAATGTCTCATTTCACCGTCGGCTGTCTCAAAACTCGCAATGACGTAGGCGTGGCTCTCTTCTCAGCCTTGTCAATATGGTCATGATCATGTGATTAAATGCTACAAGAATGATCTCAGCAAGTCGAGACCTTGTCTCCATCATTTCGACAGACCGTGGGTACATCTGTGTTCTGTGTTTTAGTCACAGATGCTACGTGTGGCCAGATGCAAACCAACACCTTTGGTCTTCACGCCGATGCTACCTATAGTAGTATTCATGGTGATGTGAACCCATAGCCATACTGCCCGTAGCGACCTGGGCCTGCCCTGACGCTTGGAACTGCGCAAGAAACCGCGCAAGAAACACGTGGCGCCTTCAGGCTTTCGCAATCCAGCCACTGTGGATCATAAAGTCAAAGATCCGGTTAGCTTTATTGACATCGATCTATGCAAAGTGTCAGCCTGCACCCGTCAGCTAAAAGCTTGTTGAGATTACTCACCCTACAGACCCCTCGCGCTTCCTTCTTCTTCATATGCCCACCTTGCTTCATGGCTTCCTTGAGAAGGCCTTCTTTGAGTGCGAGATATGGTTTCGGACGGATGTGGAGCACGTTGCACAGTTGGATTTCCTCTTCGCTGAGAAGTTGAAGATCAGGAGCCAGAGATTTGTCATCCTCCAGTTTCCAGGGGGTGATCCCATTCAAAGGCTGTACGACATAGCGTATTTTGGGCTTGGGACCAGAGGAACTTTCCGGGCCATTCGCCTCGGCAAAGAGCTTGTCAAAGTCGTTCTCGACAGCCGGTTGACTATCCGCAAACTGTGGAACAGTCTTCGGTTTTCGTTGGAAGCGAAGGGGTAATTCGGGGGTGGTCAGCTTGGATGCTTCGGTCGGCAGTTCGGCCTGCTGGATCTGACTGCCCTTCTTGGGGATTTGTGGCATCCGGTCGAATTGTCCCTGGGGTTGGTTCCGCTGTGCACGGGCCTGCTTGTCCGCTTCGTACTTCTCACCACCTTTCAGGTCGCTGATGCCCATCTGCCTCCACTCTTGTAGTTGCGCTATGGCGATCCGTAGGTTGTGCTCCAGCAAAAGATCTCTGTTGAAAGCCTCGAAATCTTCGTGGTTCATCATGCGCGCGAAAGGTTTGGCCTTGTGCAGCAAGTCTTTTTCTTCTTTGGTTCTCTTCTTGTCAATCAGTTGATTCTTCTTGTAGTCGAGTAGGTTGTGTTCAAAAATAATTCTTTTGCGTTCCGTCCGAGCCTTCAATCTGGAATTGTAGATGTCAAAGACCGTCATCTTCAGTGTTGTCTCTTCGTCCATTTCACCGGTAACCGGGTCAATACCGTCACCAGGCTCAAATGACATGTGCTGGACGGCTTCCTCGGCATCATTTGCGAATTCGGTTTCAAATTCCAGACGTCCAGGCATGAAGCCCTGCACCTCATGACATGCTGGTACACTCGCAGTGGGCTTTTGCTTGGGTGTGGCTGGCGGCGCGGATTTGGCGACTTCCTTCCGTTCTTCGATACGTCGTTTCTTCCGGGCCTGAAATTCGTCCTTCGGTATTCTTTCAAATAGCCTCATATCGGCCGGGTCTGCCAATTCTGGCAGGGGGAATAATGAACTGTTGATGTATGTATCGATGTAATGGTCGCGCACTTCATCCTTTTCCCGATACCCACCGATGTGCTCGGCTACGTCAGCCCAAGATCCTAGCCCATATCTCTCCGAGCCCTCGAGCAGGAGTAACTCTTCATCGGCGCCCCAGTCCTCGGTGTAGATGGGGATGGAATTCTGCTCGACGACATGGTATTCGTGGGTGCGAGGATCATGATTTTTAGAGTGTTCGCCACGTGCAAAGCAGGGAACACACAAATCATAGTCGCGACAGGCGGGATTTGCGCAAGATATGCGGACAGTGGAGGTGATGTCGATGGAGCAGACGTCGCAGTGGTACTTTGTACCGCCGTCTCCCCCTCTCGAGGCCGTGTTCTTCCTTATGACGCCCATGCTTTTCTCAATTCGAGCATCTTCTGCTATGTCAGAGTCGGAGGAGAAGTATTGCGCGTAGTCATGGGGTATTGTCGCGTCTTGTTCCTCGGATTTAACAGGTGGGTCCTGGGGGAAGAAAGGCGCAGGGGATGATGTAGAACGCTCGTCGTCGGAATCTGACCCGACGATAGTATAGCACACAGGATTTCTGGTCGATCTGACTGGCCTGGGTCTCTTGTGTGGCCGTGGTGCGTGGGACAAATGTCGTTTAGGCAGGGTTTGTAGATACGGCGACCATGACCTGACGTCTGATGAAGGCAGCGACGAAGCGCCCCCGTGAACGCGGCTTGGCAATTGGTGAAGTGGCCGGGGCCGGTCTTGCTGTTCTGCCACCGCCATTCTGCACGTGATCCGCCACCGGCTTTCGACCCCCAATTCCAGTTGGAACCCTGGTGAGACTTCAGTTGCCCGGGCTTATGCCAGGAACCGCCCGGCGGTCTCTTTCGCCTCCGACAGTCTGCGTCCGCAGCTGCACCGTCACTCCCCCGGCACTTACACCTGCAACACCACAGACCTCGACTCTGCAGTGAGCCTCTCTGGTAGACGATTCACATCCAATCTGACTGTGTAACAACACAGTCCTTCAAATTCATCATTCTTCACTCCACTGCCTCGATCTTCTCGTCCTTTCGACTCACAGATACCTCCTCTCACTGAGGTCTCGATCTACCCCTCCCTCACCGTTGTCACTCACGCTCCTTGATTATCGTATCCCCGATCCAGTCAGAAGTTTGGCTGCGACCTATCTGTTCCGAAACGAGGTTGCGTCTGCGATCTGCGTCTTCTCGCCTCGACTTTATTTAGGAGCTGTCCTCGCCCACTGCTCTGAAATTGCTGCAACTGGTCAAAGATGTCGTGGAAATTGACAAAGAGTATGTCGGAACGACATGAGTATCTTTGGTTTTGGCTGAGACGCATTGTTGAATCATAACTGACAAGGTACAGAACTGAAGGAAACTCACCTTGCTCCTTTGACGAGTGGGTTCAGCCGCTCGACATCTACGTCCACAATCAAAGCAGAGGAACCCGCACCTGCGCCTTCAACCCCCCAGGAAGGACCCGAACTTTCGACAACTACTAGCAATGTCAGCACGCACTCAACCACTGCGAACGGCATCGGTAAGTTTGATGCATCTCTGCCAGGTGAGCTACTGCTTACTTGTGCTAGCTGCGTCTGAGGCCCTCACCTCACCACCCGTCCAAACCACAAAGCCTGGAATCTTGATCGTCACCCTGCATGAAGGGAAAGGGTTCTCTTTGCCACAACAATATCAGTCGGTGTTCAACAATTATTATGGTTCTGGAGGCTCAGCGGGATCCGTCAGACCAAGTTCGTCATACGCAGCCGGGTCGTTGGCAGGGTCCTACGTACAACCAAGTAGGCCTGTGTCCACCCATGCTGGAATCAATGCCGCTCCTACCATTCACGGGAGATACAACAGCAAGTACCTACCGTATGCTTTGCTGGACTTCGACAAGCTACAGGTCTTCGTTGACGCAGTCTCCGGGACTCCGGAGAGTCCTTTGTGGGCTGGCGATAATACCTCATTCAAGTTCGACGTCTCAAGGGTGTGTGAACTCAGTGTCCAACTTTATCTGAGAAATCCTGCTGCCAGACCTGGTGTTGGCAGAAGTGAAGATATATTCCTGGGCGGAGCGAGAGTTACCCCCAGGTTTGAGGAGGCTCGTCAATTTGTTGCCGACCCCAAGAAGAGCAAGAAGGAGAATGAGAAAGCGGAAGCTGCATTTGCATCCCAAGAGAAGCAAGCAGGTCAGCTTGGGACTGAGTGGCTGGACATCCAATTTGGCACAGGCTCAATCAAGGTTGGGGTGAACTATGTCGAAAATCGTCAAGGCAGTCTCAAAATCGATGACTTCGAGCTCTTGAAGGTGGTCGGACGCGGTAGCTTTGGCAAAGTCATGCAGGTCATGAAGAAAGATACCGGACGGATTTACGCCCTCAAGACGATCCGGAAAGCCCACATTATCTCTCGATCTGAAGTCGCTCACACTCTAGCCGAACGATCAGTGCTGGCACAGATCAACAATCCCTTCATCACACCCCTCAAGTTCTCGTTCCAGTCCCCCGATAAGCTCTACTTTGTCCTGGCATTTGTCAATGGAGGCGAATTGTTCCACCATCTCCAGAAGGAACAACGCTTCGACATCAACCGATCCCGCTTCTACACCGCAGAGCTGCTGTGTGCTTTGGAATGCCTGCACGGGTTCAAAGTCATTTATAGAGACTTGAAGCCCGAAAACATCCTGCTGGACTACACCGGTCACATCGCTTTGTGCGATTTCGGGTTGTGCAAGTTGGACATGAAGGATGAGGATCGCACCAATACCTTCTGCGGCACGCCAGAATACCTTGCCCCAGAACTTTTACTCGGACATGGCTACACGAAGACGGTGGACTGGTGGACACTGGGTGTTTTGCTTTACGAAATGCTCACGGGACTGCCGCCTTTCTATGACGAGAACACCAATGAGATGTACCGCAAGATTCTTCAGGAGCCGTTGCACTTCCCCGGTCCGGAGATCGTCCCCGCCGCGGCCAAAGACCTTCTACAGAAGCTTCTCGACCGCAACCCTGAACGCCGGCTGGGAGCTGGCGGTGCGGCAGAAATCAAAGCCCACCACTTCTTTGCAGGCATTGACTGGAGAAAGTTGTTGCAGAGGAAGTATGAGCCTAGCTTCAAACCAAACGTGGTAAGTGTTGAAGCGACTGATATGGCTAAACACGGTCTGACATACAATGCAGGTTGACGCGAGAGACACCGCCAATTTCGACAAGGAGTTTACGTCTGAGATACCCAAGGACTCTTATGTCGAGGGCCCGGCCCTGTCCCAAACCATGCAGCAACAGTTTGCTGGCTGGTCTTACAATCGGCCAGTTGCCGGACTAGGCGACGCTGGTGGTAGTGTCAGGGACCCGGCATTCGAGCGGATCCGATAGATCAGACGTGGATTTCTTGATGAGCGATGAACTACATGAATGACGTGGCATTAACTGCCACCTCTGCCCCTTCTGGGAACAAGAACAAGCCTGGGAATTTGGGCCTCCCGCAGGATGATACATAGCTTGATTGCTTCTGTGCTGTGCGGATCGATAGTCAAAGGGCAGTAGAACTCATGGCCCGTTGAATGGCGTTGAGCGGTGGTCATGGGCAGTCAGAGGAAAGGAACTCCAGCAAAAGCGTCCTTGGTGCTACTCTTGCATAGGCCTGAAATGTTCCAACTGCTTTGTGGTGCCAGTGGCGGTCCTGGTGCCCGTCTTGATATTACGGTAGTGGTTTCTCTGCTCCTCGGAACCGGACTGCCGACCTCGCCGGGTTTGTCCTTCTCCGCATCTGGGCGTCCGATGACCGGTCCTAGTTTCCCCGCATCGCGACTGTGCTGCCACGCTCCAGCCATCACAACTGTTGTTTGAGCAGTCTACGGCTCGGCTATGATAAGACCCCAAGGGTCGTTCTTCTGCGAGCCTCAGATATGTACTTCAGCTCCAGGGTTGAAGAACAGACGGTAATTCCTTGAGTTTGAGTTTGATCGGAGCTGGGTCAGCACGCCAGCTTCCATGGCTGCGAAGAATGTTTTGCGCAGAGCAATGCTCTATGGTAAGGCTCCACGACTTGAAGCAAAGTCCAAGAGGCCACAAACTGACCATCGTGTGCGTACTACTAGTGCCGGGCTCTTCTCAGAGGTTCATCGATAAGTCCCGCTTGCTCAGCGTCGACTGCGTGGCGTACGACCTCGAGGACAGCGTGACGCCCAACCGAAAAGTCGAGGCGCGGGCGCTAGTCCGCAAAGCTCTAGACCAAGAGGCGCCCAGCGGAGTGAAAGAGCGGGCAGTGCGCATCAACAGCGTGAGCTCGGGGCTCGCGCTGGCGGATATTGAAGAGTTGGCCAAGTCCAAGAACCTGACGACGCTGGTGGTGCCGAAAGTCGACAGTGCGAGCGATCTAACGTTCATCAGCGACGTGCTGGCACACACCAGGTCGAAGGAGTACAGCGGCACACCGGTCGGGGTGATTGCGCTGATCGAGTCGGCGCGATCGCTGTCGAACCTGCCCGAGATATGCCGGGCGGCGCCACATCTGCTGCAGGGCCTGACATTCGCGGCCGAGGACTTTGCGCTCGACATGAGCATCACGCGCACGCCCAGTCTGAGCGAGTTTCTGTATGCGCGGCAGGTGATCGCCACCACCGCACGCGCCTACAATCTGCCCAACATCATCGACCTGGTCACGACGGCGTTCAAGTCCGAGGCCGACCAGGAGACCCTCGTCCGCGAATGCGAGCAGGGCAAGAGTATGGGGTACAATGGCAAGCAGTGCATCCATCCCAGCCAGGTCGACACGGTCCAAAACATCTTCAGCCCCAGCCAGAAGGAAGTCGAGTGGGCCGTCAGAATCACCATTGCACAGAAACGCGCCGAGGAACAGGGCAAGGGCGCCTGGGCCTTGGACGGCAAAATGATCGACGCCCCGGTCGAGGGCAAGGCGCGGGCCATTGTCGCAAAGGCCGAGCTTTGTGGCCTAGATGTGGCCAGTCTGAAAGATAGATATAAAGACCAGCAGCCTGAATGAAAACAAATGTACTGCACCGCATATAATATGGACTTTGGTATAGTGCCTATGCGTGCCCAAGCCAGATACACACTGCATCTTGGGCCAATCCTCTCAGTGCGTCTATGCCGCATCGTTTGGGGAACAGCAGCGCAGGAATCCGCGATCCGATGGACTGAGAAGGTACTGGTAAATACCGGAAAAGGAACCTCTACAAACCCCATCGAAGTCTGGAGTTCCACGTTCCTGGCAAAAAGCGAGAGGAGTTTTCAGCCTCCTGTATCATCGGGAACTTTTGATTTCACCGTTATTAGGTACGCACCGCACCCACTTCACGATTCGGTAAGGATCACTGGGTGCCTTTATTTCGTTTTGTCTATCCGTTGTCTTTTCTCTATCCAATGTCTATTGTAACGCTTGCTTTTCTCGTGTAGTCGAGTCTTTTCTTATTTTCACCTCCTTCACCCCTAAGCATAGTATGGTTGCCATGTCTTGTTGAAAGCAAGGTCTAGCACGAGTCGTGCTTGTTAGAGCCCCTTGATGGTCTTGCCCACATCCCCGTTGGGTGCAAACTGGACTTGATCTGCAAAACCTGTCGGCTCTTTGCCAGCGATGTTCCTCTTTTTGATGGTCAGACAGTTGATGTCCAGGACGGCGCAGATGCGGTTGATGACCCGGACGGCCCAGACGAAGTACTGCACCATGGCGAGCAGGAGATAGGCATAGATGTACCACCTCTCAAAGGTCGGAGAGATTGGATCGAAGCCGAAGAGGGGGAGCCAGGCCAAGATGCCGCCTATGGCAAGGGGTACAAGCGAGATCGTCCAGTAAGGGAAGGGGCGGCGAGTCAGGTGGTGCAGAATGATTTTTGTCGTCAGGCGGCCAAAGACGAAAGACATGGTCATGCAGAAGGCCACCAGGTGGTTCTCGCGCAAGAGGACCGAGTATGGCGAGCCGACCCAGGCTGCGCACGAGGCCGTGAAGACGATCATGGGAATCCATTCGAAAAATACAGGCCATAGCGGAAGATTGTCCTTGCGTCGCGCCTGTGCCACGTTCCAAATACACGATGGCAAGTGCGCCGTGAAGAAAGCCACCAGGATCGTGGGGATCCACAGGTCGCGGAATGTCAAGGAGCCCAGGAGCTCCGAGTACCCGATGTAGTCGGCGACGCGGTACTGCCAGATCTGAGGGCCTAGGTAGCCCGAGATTATCATGACGGCGCAGGCGATGATCAGGCCCTCGGTCGGCCCGTTGAAAGCTCCCAGATACAGCGTGTGAGTGTGATACGTCTCCCAGGTGGAGAAGAACATGGGCAGACAGGGTATTAGGGCAGTGAAAGCGCCAGTCTTGCTGGGGCCCAAGCCCATCGCAGCCGTCTCGCAGAGGCTTGCCAACGTGCAGTTTAAGGAGTCGATGCCGTGGTCGAACAGCTCCCCCAGGCCGCTGGAGGTGCCTGTTCTTCGGGCTTGTTTGCCGTCGATGTTGTCCATTGTCGAATACCTGGTTGACACGACATGGGATGGTTAGACCACTGATCATAAAATTCACCCTGCGCGGATCTTCTTTTCCGCCCGCGGGCCTTGCAATGAATGACTTACATCCACAACCCCAACGCAAAGCTGTAATAGAGCCAGGGAGGCGCCGGTCCAACCAAGTCTGGGACGAGTATCTGCAGAAACAGGACGTTGATCAAGATACAGAAAAAGCCCAGCAGGGTGACCATATTCGGGGCGAGCCACATGGGCAGAAGATTGACGGCGGCATTCCACTGAAATCATGTGAGCCAGGGCGCGTTGGGCTAGTTGGACTCTTGAGGGGGAGATTTACGTAGTGACGGAGGATGTAGTTGGAAATGAATGACTTGTCCACACTTTGATATTTGTAGCTCTTCAGATGGGCCATTGCCTGGTCGGAGAGAGGGTCGGCTGGTGCAACAGGTATGAGTTTCTGGCTGACGGACGGCGGGATGAATTGGAAACAGCGTCATCAAGCTGAAGAGTTCCTAGACCTACCGGAGTCCACCGTGTTCACCATGCTGGGCTGTTTGGAGGCCGGGGCCACAATATGCTAGGGGTGTGAAGTTGGCAGGCGAAGAAGAAACACACAAATGCCAAACATCGGTGGCCGCGTAGTGGCGAGGACGACAGAAATAGTACCGGCTCTAGCGGATGCTGAGAATAGAATCAAAAGAGGGACTGCTCTGGAGCCGTCTGCATCATATATACAGCTGAAGTTGAGAGTGGTGAAGGGTTTCCAGACGTCGAGTTAAAGGTGAATCTCGCCTTAGGCGGACGACAATTACCGTGCTGTTTTGCGCGAGCTCCCTCGCTGCTTTAACAATGTCACCACTGGCGTTAGGTGGCTATATCTGGCTGTTAGGGCGGCGAGTCAAAACAAGTGAATTAATTCACTAACCGACTGTCCCGTATATTGCCTTCTTGAACCTGTTAACAGACACTCCAACATCGTAGCCCGGAAACATCATTCTCTGGACAGGAGGCGGGCTTTATCATCGCCGTGGCTCACCTTTGTGCGTATCCACTATGTTGGTGGTGACTTGAGGAACTGCGACCATGGTTGATGACAACCTCATATCGGCACCCTTCAACCAACCGTCACGATGGACGAAGCAGGGATACAGCTGCTCGTAGCGCAGCCTCGGGCCCCTTCGTTCACGATAGCACACCAGAAGGTGGAGCTCGATATCAGCTTCAACCAACAAGTCACAGGGAGGACTGAAATCACGGTCTATCCTGACTCTCAAGACCTGAAGGAAATCAGACTGCATGGCCGGATCTGTACCATCCAAAAGGTCTTGGTGAATAACATCCCACCGGCCTCAGTCGGCCATGAAGACCCTTGCGACCAGCTCACCCTCCACGCGGACGCGACGGTTCAACAACATCACTTGCTGACCGAGAAGGTGGCGAGATCGGTCGGCCCCGAACCTGAGCCAGACATCATCATTAGCCTCCCAAAGAGACTGAGAATAGTGCCGGTTGATGTTGCGGAAGTGCACACTCAAGCTACAGGTTCCATCAAGATCCAAGACCCTCTAACCAATGGCACATCTGCGGTTGAGGCTACCCAAGCGCTGTCAGACACAACCGTTGCCAGATTCACACCTTTAACTGTAATCATAGAGTTTACATCTTGCCATGTTCGGGAAACGGTGCAGTTCGTCACCGGCAGACGCGGAAGTGGGCGATGGCCTCATGCATATACCCGGTCGAAACTGGGCCCCGGAGGTGCCTCGTCCTTGTTTCCTTGCGTCGATGTTATCACCAGCCGCTGCACATGGGATATCTCCATCAAGTGTGCCAGGACCATTGGCGATGCGCTCAACCAGGTGATGGTGCTCGATCCTGCCCAGCCAAATCCCGAAACTTCATCAAAAGAATCACGGGGCCAGAGTTACGAGGGAAAGGAGATGATGGTTATCTGCTCTGGCGAACTGACCGACGAGATCGTGGATAAAACCGACTCGTCTCGGAAAACGGTGTCGTTCTCCTGCTCTCAGCAGTTAGCGCCGCAGCAGATTGGCTTTGCCATCGGACCGTTTGAGCAAGTCAATCTAAGCGAACTGCGAGATGCTCAAGAAGTGGAAGAACTGGGCCGCAATGCAGTCGAGGTGCTTGCGTATTGTCTTCCTGGACGAGTAGAAGAAACCAAGAACACATGTCTACCCACCACGAAAGCCTTGGACTTCGTGGTTCACAAGTACATATCTTGTCCTTTCAAGTCATACTCAATGGTTTTCGTGGAGGACATGCCTTCCGACACCTCCATCTTTGCAGGCGTGACAATGTGCAGTTCCAGGCTACTGTACCCGGAAGAAGTCATCGACCCAGCTCAAGAGGTGACCAGACAGTTGGTCCATGCGATTGTCTCCCAATGGATCGGTATCAACATTGTTGCCGAGGAGCCTCGAGATACTTGGGTCATTGTGGGGGGTTCATATTTCATCACGAACCTCTTTATGAAGGATCTCTGCGGAAACAATGAGTACCGATACCGCATGAAACAGCAAGCCGATCGTGTCTACGAGCTGGACCATGATCGTCCGTCCATCTATGACATGGGCTCGTTGCTGCACGTCGACCCCGCCGAGTACGAGTTTTTGACCATCAAGGCACCAGTTGTACTGTTTATTCTGGATCGTCGAATAGCTAAAACTCAAGGCGCCTCGAAAATGCCCGGCATTCTGGCAAAGATCCTTACCAGAGCTCGGACCGGCGATCTGGTCAATAACGCACTATCCACGGATTTGTTCCAGAGAACAGCCGAGCGTATGGGACACATCAAAATCGACGACTTTCTAGCCCAGTGGGTGAAAGGTGCCGGTTGTCCTAGGTTTCAGGCCTTTCAGAGGTTCAACAAGAAGAAACTAGTCGTTGAGATGCTTATCAAGCAACTTCAAGGCACCGTGATGACAGAGCGAGAACTCGAGGTCGATTCGTTCATCAGAGATGCTCGTGAAGACTTCCAAAGCGTGTACGCCGCTCCAGCACAACCAGTGTTCACGGGCCCAATGACGATTCGAATTCACGAGGCGGATGGGACGCCTTACGAGCACATAGTTGAGATCAAAGACGCCAGCACAACGTTCGACATACCCTACAACACCAAGTACAAGCGTCTTAAGAGGAGCAAGAAACAACGGGCCCGAGCCAGTGCCAGGGCTGCCGCTGAAGGGGGAGACGAAGAGAATGATTCTCTTGTCTACTGCCTGGGCGACGTCCTACAAAGCGAGGAAGAAGTGGCCAACTGGAGAATTGCCGAATGGAGCACAGAGGACGAGGAACGAATGAACTCGGAGTCATATGAGTGGATTCGGTTGGACGCGGATTTTGAATGGATCTGCCGAATCAATTTGCAGATGCCGGGGTACATGTTCACTTCCCAGCTGCAGCAGGATCGCGACGTTGTCGCGCAGCTCGAAGCGCTCAGACATATCTCAGTATATCCGCCTGCACCTTTGGTTTCTTCCATCTTTGTCCGCACGCTGATGGACCGGCGCTACTTCCATGGCGTCCGGGCGCTAGCAGCCCAATGTTTGGTGAAGCATGCTAGAGACGAGGGCGAGGCGAAGAACATTGGGCTTTTCCATCTCAAGAGGGCGTTTGAGGAACTGTATTGTGTACGGGATGAACAAGGCTCGGCTATGACACGGCCCAACGACTTCTCCGACCAGCTGGCGTATATGCTGCAGTGCGAGATCGTCGAGGCCATCGGCAGGGTGCGAGACAGCAGGGGACACACTCCGACGGAAGTCAAGGAGTTCCTGCTCGACAAGCTCAAGTTCAACGACAACTCGGCCAACGAGTATTCGGACGCATACTACATCGCGCGGCTGATGAAAGCACTCGCTCAGGCCGTCATTGCACGACCTCAACCGCCGCCGCAAATGCAGTCGATCGACTCGGGCGCCAACGGGGACATGGTCATGGGCATGGATAACATGGATCTCGATTTCGAAGACGAGATGCACGAGATGCGCCAATTCGAGCTGCAGGCCCTCGAAGAAATCGACCGGTACCGCCGAATGGACGAGTGGACCAGTTCCTACCAGAATCTGTATTCCCGGACGGCGCTGGAATGCCAGGCCATGCTTGCCGCGACTGGCATTGGTCGGTTCTCGCCACTGCATTTTCTGCAGTACACCAGACCGGGCAATTACGAGATGCTGCGCGCGGCGGCATACAATGTGCTTCTGGGTCCCGCCGTCTTCGACAACACCTCGATCCTTCGCTACGTGTTGTACTGCATGGTCGCCGACGCGTCGCCTTGGTTGCGCCAGAGTCTGCAGCGTGCATTTGGCAAGGTGCTGGCCAAGCGAGCCATCGGCGACAGGAATACAACGGCGCCACCCGCAGCTGATGGCCTGGTCATTGAGGACACGGCAGCTGGGGCCGACGCCCGGCAGCACGAGCTGGCAAGACGGCAGACCATCGAGGGTGCAATGGCCGCGTTGAAGCAGGAGCTTGGGGACAACCATGTGCTGCAATCGGCCTTGTGGGATGCAGTCTGTTACGACCAAATCACGCTCGAGGATTTACAGACGCTGCTGGACTTCTGCCGACTGCTTTATGAGCCGATCAACCGTATGAGGGTGACACTGCGACTGCCGCGCTACTGGCGGGTAGACAATCTAGGCAAGGTGAGTGGATTCACAATGCTTTGTTTTTCTGTCGTTCGTTTTCCAGCTTGGGCTATCTCTAACATATATTCCACCAGGGCAAACTCAAGTTCAGCCAAACGCGCAGAGTCAGGTCGAAGCCTGTTTCCAAATGGCAGCCCGCTGTGCCTGTGCCGCCTGGTCGTCCAGCTCCAGTCCTGCCACCAGCACGACCTGTCGCTACGCCAGCTAGTGGCTTGAAGCTGACTTTCAAGATGGGCTCGAGCCAGTCTTCAAACCCGACACCCACTCCCCCGCCGCCGGCACCGGCACCACCTCCCCCTCCTCCTCCTCTTCTGCCACCGCAGCCGGCGCAAACGCAACCACAGCCACCGAAACCATCAGGCGGTCCAGGTCGCGTTGTACTGAAGTTTAAGGGAGCCTTCAAGGGATGATTTTGTGGGATTCTCGCGGCTCTGCAACTCGTAACACGCCGGTCAACGGCCCATCCCTGCCACCGCAGAGGTTGGCGATGTACGCGAAAAAGCAAGTCGCTCGGGAAGGTTGACGCGACAGTGTTGCCTGGTGCACCGTTGATACCCAAGTAGAACATTGTAAAACAGAATCATCCAAACTTTTTGACTTTCGGCCCCTGGGGTATCATGCTAGAGACTTGAGAGAATTGCACACTTGTGATTTTTTTTCTTAATTGATTCCTCCTTTCCCTGTTCATCGCCGATCGTCGCCCACGCGCTCGAGCGCCTCGAGCATCACAACCGAGTTTCCACGAATGGCGACCATGCCCAGCCGCTCCCGTTCGCCGCCGGGCTTTTCCTCTACTGCGTCGTCGAGAACAATGTTCAGGAACACCTATACTCGCATGTTAGCGCCATCCTTGTGATATTCCGACGGTCTTGGTCTCGCGGGATCTGCCATTGCCACTGCCATTGATCCTGATTTGGGCTGGGCTCTGGCTCTGGCTCTTTGGACCGTGGCTCAACTTGGAGAACACGCCATACGTACATCGTACCCGCGCAAAATGCCAATGACTTTGCGGTTGCCATTCAGTTGCACGAAGAGGCGTTTTTCCATATACTGCACGACAAGAAGAGGGTGGTTAGCATGCCATCATAACGTAGGTACCTGGCGTCTACGATGGAAGTTGTAGATGGGCAGGCGGGGCATACTTTTTTGAGCTCGGGTTGCGCTTGAGGCATGATTGCAGATGGATTGTGGTTGAGTTTGTGCCGTGCGTGGGTTTGGGCAGAAGAGATGAGAGAATTCGAGAACGCCGACTTCCAATGCTCGGCGAGAGGGTGTATTGCCGTCTGTCGTGTGTTGTGTGTTGTATGTTGTCTATACCCCGGGCTTGCGCTTTTGTTCAGTTCGAGTCGTTGCACTGCAGGCAGGGCATTGGAGAACTGAATTCGAGAGGCGCCAAGGCGTGGTTCAAACTACTCGCGGCTCACCCCCCGATTAGGAAATAGTGTGATGCCGCTCTTGTGAAGCTTGAATGCCTCGTGCAGTTGTATCATTATTAGGTGTGAGATCATTCATCGATCCTTGCCTTCACTGTACACACTGGACAAAGTCAAACAAGACGAGTCATTCTTGGGGTCCACTTGAGCCTGCTCTTGAAGTCGATGGCAGTCCCCCGGTTCTTTACATCCATTGGTATGTAGAACTTTCTATCGATGCAACTGAATGTCAGGATGCCTAGGACCAGAACCTCACAGGTGAAGTTGAAGATGTAAGAGCAGGCCTTTGAATCACACCAGGCCGGGCGGGTAACAGGCAGTGGAGGACTCCAGGTGACTCCAGACTTGAATCCTGCCAGCGACATGCATAGGCAAATGGCCATGAACACATCACAGATCGGAACATCCGTGGCCGGGGTCGGCACTCCGCCCATCCCAGCCGTATTCGAGGCGTATGGACCGCCTGCGTGCCTGGAGACGGTGCCTAAGGACCCCGGTCGACATTCTGATTCTGCTTAACTTGGCGTGACCACGACAGAGAGAGTGAGTGTGCGCCTGCGCCCTGGGCTCTTTGGGCTGAGGCCTCCAATGTGACACGTTCCTCGTGGTACAACGACGTATACAAGCCCTCCGCTGTGTCACAAAGGAAGACATCTATCTAGCGTCGAACAAACCCTGTCGAAGCACCGATCACGTCCAAGCCTAAGCCTCTTAAGCCTCCTTAGCCCTCCTGATGGCCAATAGAAAATGCAGGCAGGCCTGGATCGAGATTGGGCTCGCTCGCCAAACCCGCCCGCGGAGCCGACACTCGTCTGGTCTGGAACGAAACGGCCATCGAGGTCGAGGTCGAGGTCAAGGCCAAGGCCTGTACTACATTGCCTTCCAGCATTTCTCGAGCCTTCCGTGCTCCCACAACTGTTACCGACCGCCTCACACAATCCCCAGCGAGCGTAGAAATACCATACGGGGGCCATGAGCGCAGGCAATTGCGGCCATGTCGGATGATCCGATCCGGCGCCAGGTTCAGAGAGGGAATCGAAGCTGTTCTGAGTGTAAGATCGGTCGGCGAGGCGCTCCGCTCAGACACCCTTGTCTAATACACGCAGCAGGCAGACGCCTCAAGGTCCGCTGCATTCGGACTCCTCCAGAGGCACCAACCTGCCGAAACTGTGAAGACTGGGACATCGCATGCGTTCAACAGGTTTGCAGTCCGCGACCAATTCAGAGCCAACGACTGCCTTCTGGATACCGAACCGCTCAACTGGAATCAGAAGTCGCCAGCCTAAGGGCTGCTGTGCGTGACATCCGACGCAGCCTGGGATATCGGCCAGCTGTGATCCCAGAATCAACTGGTGCTTACCCGGGAAAGAGTCTCGACATCTTCCACTCCGTCGTCGTCGACGACGATGACTCCTCCTCCTCCCCAAGAGTCTCAGGTGTCCTCGCAGCAGAGCAACCTTCTTATATGCGGTCGTTGTTGCACAACGACTTGCTCAGTGTAGCATCGCCTCACCATGATCAGTACCTCAGAGACATCAAGACAATAACCTCCGCACACTTACTGAACTTGTCTAGGCAAGCACTACAGAAGTTGATACCGCCCGAGAACGAGATCTCCGAGCTTGCAAGATCTAGTTTCAGATGGCTTGGGCTCATTTATGCCCTGCATCCCCTACCATTTGCGTTCAGTTCCCAGCAGGAAATACTGGAAAGCTACGGCTCCATGCATCAGCCTGGTGTTGATATCATAGATCTTGCTTCATGGCTTCTCGATGTTTCGTTTTTGGCTCTGCAGGACGGGCAAGGACGGGCTACTCCTGCCACCAAACTTCAAAACACTCAAAGGGCCACGTCCTTCCCCCGAGCCGTAGCTTATACGGTGGAAACCATGATCCTGTCTCATGATCGAATCACGAGAATAGAGCGTGGGATAGTGATGGCGATGCGTCTTCTTCGACTGTCAGTGCACGACCCCTTCTAATTGAACCCTTTTGCCCGCCTGAGAGCAAACAACCAGCTAACAGCCATGATAGTCAGATGGGCATGGGAAAGTTTGAAAAGGCGTGGCTCCGATCGCGACATATCATCGCGGTCGCGGAGCTTTCCGGAATTCCCAGTATATCCCGAGCGGTCCATTACAACAGAGCCAATGGACTGGCCGTCGATTACACCCAGCTTCAAACTGCTAAATTGTGGGAACTGATATGTTCTCCAGATAGGCTCCTCGCCATGCTGGTCAATCTGCCATCCGGCACCAGGCGATTTTGGCGCCCAACCAATGAATTAGCACTAGTTATCAACGGTGTGGTGCAGCCTCCGACCTACTTGGCATACCTGTCGGATTTTGCCAACAGAGTCCAGTCTCTGGAGGATATGAGCAAGGCAGAAGGACTGGGTCCTGAGGTCTACGCATCCGTATTAGAGCTCGACAAAGACATGAGGATGCTTGCATCTCACACCCCCAGACCCTGGTGGACTGAAGAGACTGAACCCCGAAATTCAGGCCGCGTACTCCAGGTTATGCATTTCTACATCCTGTTGAGGGTGCACCTACCCTTTGCCATGCGACGACAGCCCAATGAAGAGTACTTCTACAGCCGCCTGACCTGTATGGATGCATGTGAGTCAGTAGTGGAGCGCTATCCATTCTTGCGTTTGGCGGTTCCTTCGGGCGCCTTTATCGCACGGCTCTTGGATCTGCAGGCCTTCGTTGCCACGGTCGTCCTTCTCCTTACGTCTCACACCTCGCCCTCGACGGACCGCTTGGAACTAGAGGTCAACAAGCCGAGAAGGGAAGCTGCGATTGCGGCAATGTTCAACTTCCTAGAAGACCACGGCTCATCCTGTTCCAGCTTTGCCCATCATGGCGTTGTCACCATCCGCTCGCTTCAGGCACTGCTCCAGCAAGATAGCAATGCCTCGATTTTACAGCAATTGAGATTGAAAGTGCCGCTTCTTGGGACCGTCCTTGTCCACCGCAACGAGCATCTAGCATATGCACCACCGGCCGACAATCTTGAGGCTTTACATACTGGAGAACAATCAAGCATGGATTTGATGAACAAGCCGCTCGATGCTCAGAATAAGGGGGACTCTACTCTCAACCATGATTCCGCTTGGACGCCCGCCACACAGCTTCGAGCAGAATGGCACCCGAATCAGTTCTCGTGGTCGATCGAGGAGAACCATGGAAATTTATTCGAAGATTCCTACATGGACAAGGCCTTTGACCAGTCTCCAATGTGGCAGACACAAATTGATAATTTACCTCCCTAGCAAACTTAATCAAGCACTCTTTCCACCGGGGTCGCCTCGTTATAGTAGTCATCTATTCCTTCTCTGGCCCTGGAGGGTATTATGGAGGGTACATTGCAACACTAGTCCCCAATTTTCAACGTGTGGTTCAACAACACCTTGTCACAGACGGCAGACACATTCGCAACTGTTGCTTGCTGTCTGTATATACCAAAGGATAGAAATCTAAACGACCGTAGACTTCCATTTTCCTCCGGCTGTTTGCCGCTATGTCCTTTGAGACCATGTGGTCAACAATCCCGTCTTCTTAGACATCAAGGGCGACCTAGCAGTGATACCCAAGTTTGTGGCCCCTGTTGGCAAGAACTGTGGTGATCAAGGTACCTTTGACAGATCCACCACATCTACATGAGAAAAGCAACAGTATCACTGCCCTTGGTAAGGAAAGGACGACCGCTTGAATTGAACTCCCAACAGAAATTGCTCCTAATCTCACCAACTCATCCTCCGCAAGACATGAGCCCTCGTGACAAGGCTGAGATGGCCAAATAAAATTACGTCTGACCAGATTTCGGCCCGTACCATTCCGCTTTCAAAACCTGTCAGACCGTTCTCCATTTCTTTCCTGGGCGAGGGCAGGCTCCCCGCATTTCGTTCGACCTTTTCTCATTCACGATAACCCAAGGACCACTATAACACCAACCACCACGCCACCAGCACCGGTAGCCAGTTACAGGCCTAGTAGAGACTAACACCTTCTCCTTCTGTACTGTAATGGCCTCACTATTCAGCGCGCGGCGCAAACCCAAGCGCATCGTCCGGGACGAGGCAGACACGCAACAAGACCCAGAAGAAGGTACTTTTCCCACCAGTCCTGTCCTGCCCATGCCCAGTTCACCTCTGCCCAATCTACGCTCGCAAGACTTCGATCTGCAAAGACACGCACTCTGACAATGATCTTGTTTCGCATCTAGTTGTGGTCCATTCGTGCTGATATGATCGAGAGAAACAGACTCCGGACCCGTCGTGAGACGGCCGACACTCAACACTCCAAAGACGAAATCCAAGTTGCGAGTATCCTTCAACCCAGGCAATGAAGATGCGGGCACAACCCCTACAGAAACAGAAGGAGAAGAGGTGGTGTCACACCCAACAAAGTTGTCAAGGATTCGGCCGTCGAGCGCAGCGCAAAGTTTGCTCAACCGCGCCGTGCTGCCATCGAGAGAAAGCGCTGAGGGTCAAGACCACGACAGAGACGGAGACAGGCCGAACTACAGCAAGGCATATCTCGAGGAACTACGGAACTCGACTCCTACGACGCCCCGTGACCTCGCGTCGTCACGCGATCTGAGCCCTTCCCTTGAGCTTGTCGACACGGCGGGCGGCTCAAACACGGGCGCACTCGCGCTCGATCTGGAGAGCAAGTTCGGCAAAGCCGCCATCAGTTCTGCATCGTCTTCACGCATCCCCACAGCGGCCGAGATCCGGGAGAAGAAAGAACGGCGCGCTCGTCTTGCCAAAGAGCAAGCGGCTAATGCGACAAGCACTCGAGCCAATTCAAACAACGAGGATTTCATTCCATTAGAGGACTACGACTCGGACGGCGAGTTCAAGCCCCGCCGCATGCAGGTCGGCTCATATATCCCCCCATCCCGCGAACGGGAGGAGGACACCCGCCTGGTCCGCGACGACGAGGACTTTGCCGAGGGGTTCGACGAGTTCGTCGAGGACTCCGGACGGGTGACACTGCTGTCGCGCAAGGCGCAGCGCGAGCAGACGCTGAAGGAGCGCGAAGCCATCCGCTCAATGATCGCCGAGGCCGAAGGTGGCTCGCAACACTCCTCGTCCGACGGGGGCGGCGGTGACGGCGACGATTCCGACCAGTCTGACTCGGAGTTCGAGCGGCATCAGCTCTACGAGTCCGCCCAGACCCATCGCGCCATGGACGGTTTGGCCGCGCACGCCGAGCACAAGCGCCAGGCCAACCGGCCGCGGCAACCGCGCCACACCACCGCGATCCCCAAACTCAGCGTCGGCCTGGCAAGGCTACGGGACATGGTGTCGCACTTGGAGTTCGAGCGCGCCCGAGTCCAGAAGCGGCGTGCCGACATCTCGCGCGAGAAGGCCGAGATCAAAGCGAGCCAATCCCATATCCAGACAACTCTCGAGGAAACTGGACGGGAGCTGGAACGCGTCACGAAAGAACACCTGGCAGGCCGCGCCGCCAATGGATCCGCCCCAGGTACTCCGGGCAACAGCGCGGGTATAGATGCGAACGGGCACCACTTGCACCCTCCTGCCCCAACGACGGAGAGAGGCTTGGAGTCTTTCGGGAACACTCCTGAAAATACAGACTCCGTCTAAGGCACACACCCTGCCGGCATAGATCGAGTAGTGGATTGCTAGAAGCCACGATCACATCGTGCGTTGTTCAGTAGTGTATGATGTTGCCTGGACATGGGGCATTGTAACCCAGCCTCACGGTCACGGTCACGGTGCGAGGCTGTTTCCTTTTCTCCAGTTCGGGTTTCAGCTCATTTCCATTTCCATTTCTGACTACTTCATTCTTGGGCTGTGCTCGTGTGTGTGACTTTCACGTCACCCGGTTTCTATCTCATGATAGTAGAGCCGCTGCGTCCCGCCTTGCATTTCCTCTCATCTACATCCCCACTTCCTGCCGCGGTGGAGAAGCATCATCCATCATCCTCGATGCCCAACAGGATCCCATCTTCCAGTCTCGGCCCTGAATTGCTGGCCTCGTCAATCACATCCTGGCCTGCTAGAGAAGGTGATTTCGCGCAAAGCAGAAGTTGATAGCAAAATCCAAGAAGAGCGGCCGCTGGTCGCATATAACCACCTTGCGGAACAAGAACAGGGACGACTATCTACGCAGGGGGACCCCAAATCCATCCATCATTCCTCTGATCATTCTTGAGCCGCAATCGATTTCACAGTCGTCGTAGAAAGACGTCCATCTCTGCGAGAGATGACCCTCAGCGTATCTCATCGAAGCGTCAACGCGTCCTAGCATCACATCACCGGCAACCGTTTTGCCCACGTCCCTCAGACAGCATAGTATAGAATGGCTCCATGTACGACCGGTCGTGAAGGAGCAGGCTCCAGTTATGCTGCACACGTTCTGATCCGCACGGGTCACCTCTCTTGACCAAAACTGGAAGACGGTAATGCAGTGGGGTGGGAAAGCATTTCTATAGGGCAGAGAAAACAAAGAGCTAGAAAAGGTGTCAGTCAGAGGCAGTGCGGTAACAAGCGATGCAGAAAACTTACATTGTTCGTCGCAGCGATGGCAATGCTGTCCTCGAATGGATGCCAGCTCATGTGTAGGATCTTCTTATTGAAGTCAATCTGGTCTGCATCCGTCTCTTTTCTCATTCTGCTTCCGGTTCCGGCGGCGGGGCTACCTGCTCTTGAGCCTCCCTTCTTGCTTCCATTCGGACTGGTGGAGTTGATAGGGGTCGGCACTCCAACTTTCTTAGCCTTGAAGGCCGATTTGTCTGCTTGGAGTACCACTTCTGTCTCTTGCTCGGGATCGGAGGGGTAGATCATGAAGTTGTTGTTGTAGCTTCCAGTCATGACGTTTTTACCATCACCGCTGAATACCACTTCGAACTTGTCAAAGATGCTGTCGTTTTCGTACGTGTCGCACAGACGCGGCCTCAAGTGCTCATGAATCGGTATCGTCTTGACAGGCTGTCTTTCCATATTGACGTCCCAAATCTTGACTGTCAAGTAGTCTCTTGACAGAATGTACCTACCATCGTGGGAGAATCGTACATCGGAGATGGAGGAGATGATTTCGGAGAAAAATGATCGGGTGGACGGGTCTTCTTCTTGCTCGAATTCTGCAAACATAAAGTCAGCCAGCGAGGAAAGACTGCTCAAGTCAATGGGGAAACATACGCTTTGCATGCTGGTCGCACAATGCGCTCTCACGCATGTCCGCCAATTTGATGGTGCCTTTCGAGCTGGCATACATGAACCAATTGCAACTAATGGGATGGAACTCGGCAGCAGTGATGACCTCAGTGAGCTCCTCCATGTTGGCTGGTTTGATGTCGACGATGTTGAAACTCTGATCTTGGATGTTGAGATTCCATAGGTTGATGCGGAGATCGTCGCTACTAATGAAAGTCTCTTGATCGCTGTTGACAGAAATGCTGTTGATATGATATGCATGAGCGTTAGCATAGGTCCGTCGTGGCACAGCTGCCACGACCGTGTCGTGGTGAGTCAACCGGGGCAGTTTGAGTTGCGAAGCGTCCTTGATGTGGAGGCGAGGTGGACGAGGCGCACCACCGCCAGAGACACCTGCCGGGGTCAATTCGTTTGAGAGGTTGTTCTCGGCCACAACCTTCAGGGACTTTTCAAAGACCTTCCACAGCTTGATCGTCTTATCATTTGTAGAGAGTAGGTAATGGGACGCATTTTGACGCTTGCACCATTTGATCTTGTTAATCTTTTCTTCTATCTCCAGGGATTTGAGGTAATCGAATTCGGGCTCGTGAGACTGGAACTCGGTGTGAAATTTATACTCGCATGTCTTCTTCTGTTAGAATGGTCAGTCACTGACACTGCCGGGGGGGATGGAAGGGATAGATCGATTGGGGGAATACTGACGGTCTCGTTGCGTTCAAATAACACAACACGGCCACCTTTGTCTCCAGTGGCCAGATAGTTGCCTGTGTGATCAAATTCAACAGTTGAGATGATGTCTGCCTCCGTGATGTCCTCGACGTCCCCTTTGTCGCCAAAGCATTGAGTGAACTTCCATGTGGGAGTTCCGTGCTCGGCTTCCACCATCTTTCATGCCCAGGCCCTGTGCGCAGGGGATTCCACCTTGTCCGAGAGGGACAGACCAAAGACACACACCCAAGATCACAGTAACGGTTTACCGCAACGGTGGCATGGAGCGGCTGCGCTCGAGGTCAAAGCGGTAGACGGGGCGATGGTAGTGACAGGACGTGTTTTTGGTGGGTGAAGTGGTCAGGCTCAAATCGGGGCTTTGTCAGCGATTGCGGCTCTGGCGACAGGCAATGATGGCCAAAATACGAAATGTATGGAAGGAGCAAGAAGCACACTTGTGACGGGCCAAGAGGTCGCGTGAAGAAGATGAAGATTATCAAGAGTCAGCAGGGATGGGTGGTGGGATTGTGGTCGTGGGAGGATGCAGTCATGCAAGATACAAGGCGGGTGTCAGTGGTGTAGCTAGCTTAAAGTAGACACCCAGAGAGCTTGGGGGGGTTGCAGGCAGGGGCAGGTGCTGTCACTGCTTGTACGGGATACCACTTCATCACTTTGGGGGGTGCCTAGTGATGCCCATCCAGCCACCAGCCACCGCCAGTGCCAGCACAACAGCTCACAGCTCACAGCGCGGCCAGGCCAGGCCCTGCCTGCGCACGCACGTGACTAAAATATCCATGACATAGACGCCAAGACTCAAGCTTGATGAATACTAGCATCTTTCAACTAATAGTCCTCCGTAGTAGTAACACATACTACTTATTACAGCGGAGTAGTCCGAAGTACTATTACTACTAGTATGAGTATCCGACTACATATGCAGAAACCCGCCGCCGATGTATGGCCAGCTGAGAGCGAAGCTCAGCCTTGCGGACCTCGGGACAGGTGAAGTCTTTCTCGCTCGGTCCTGGGCTGGATCCAGCCTTTCATCCTTCCACCTGCCTTGCTAACCGACAGAGGTTTAGGTAGTTCTGCCGTGTTTGACTGATCCCTTATCAGGTGTATCCTTTGGATTGGAGTTGTGGTTGTTATTCTTGCGCGAGACCTAGGCCAGGACTCCGTGACATTCTCCCCACCAGCAAATTCCATCATGAGACCCTTTCCCAAGAGACTCAAGTTCAAGCAAGCTTATACATCAGCATACGGCCAAGTGCAGAATCGGGGGGCGGCCTTCCAGCGGAAGCTGCGGCTGAAGGAGATTCTTGAAACCGGCTCCTCGCATCCACCCACGGCATCTGCATCTGAATCAGATGTCGAGGGCAAGGCGGCAGACGGCCTAGCGACACTTCCAACGGAAAGCGGCCCAGGCTTCAGGACGAAACATCCTCTGAAATGGACCATCAATGCGAAACTAGAAGAAGGCAAGCTAGTTGAAGACGGCAAGCCTCTCGTGTCCCCGATTCTGGCGCGGGACGCGTGCAAATGTGCCAAATGCGTCGACGCTTCAGATCACCAACGCAACTTCTCGTATGCCGACATCTCGCCTGACATTTCATTCCGAGACATCACCCGGGTCGAGGGACGCGACGACACCATTGTCCGCTGGCTGAACGACTGCGCGCCGCACGTGAAAGGAGACACGACGATCCTCAGCAAAGAAACGATCGCGAGCCTGAAGAGCGAGTTCCGCAACGCGGCACGGTGGGCGCTGTACCGCCGTCCGCAGAAGCTGTGGGACGCCGCATCGTACCGGCGGGACACCACGCGCATCGACTTCAACGACTACATGACCGACCCGAAGACACTGGGCGAGACGCTACACTTGCTGTGGCGGGACGGGCTGGTGTTTATCGACGGCGTGCCCGAAGACGAGTCCTCCGTGGCCGCCATAGTCAACCGAATCGGGCCTCTACAACAAACCTTCTACGGACCGACTTGGGATGTGCGGTCAGTCCCGGACGCGAAAAACGTGGCGTACACGTCCAAACACCTGGGCTTTCACATGGACTTACTGTACATGCGGGATCCGCCCGGGTTCCAGTTCCTGCACTGCGTGCACAACAGCAGCACGGGCGGCGAGTCGCGGTTCGCCGACACGTTTCGCGCGGTCGACACGCTGTTCGACGAGGACCGGAACATGGTGCGCACGCTCATGACGTACCCGGTGCGCTACGAGTACGACAACGACGGCTTCTTCTACTCGGACGCCAAACCCACCATTCTCAAGCGCCAGGAGCTTCGGGTGCCTCACCGCGTCACCACCGACGCCCGCCACGTGCGCGCCATGAAGGACGTCGGCCACGTCTTCTGGTCGCCACCCTTTGTCGGCAACATCTCCAACCAACCCACCCACCACGAGCTGGCTCATTTTGTCGCCAGCAGCAACGCCTTTGCCCAGATCCTGGAACGACCGGAGAATGTCGTCGAGGAGAAGATGGACAGCGGCACCTGCGTCATCTTCGACAACCTGCGCGTCGTCCACGCCCGGAACGCTTTCGACATCAACTCCGGCAGGCGCTGGCTGCGCGGCGCTTACCTCAACCGCCAGGATTTCATCAGCAAGGCCGTCTCCATGATGCCCAAAATGCCAGTCATCAGATATATAGAGGCCGGCGAGTTTGAATGATTGATCCACTTGGCCATTCCATCCAGCTTGATTTTTTTTAGCATAGCAATCGGCCGTAGTCTTAAGGATTCGGCTTCCCCAGACTTATAGATCTATCTCATCCCCTCGTATAGTCTAAATATTAAGTTCTACCATCGGCTCGTGGTGTATTGAGGCCAGCGAGTTTGAATGATCGATCCACTGGGCCCTTCCAGCCAGTTTGTTCTATAGCATAGCAATCGGCCATAGCCTTAAGGGCTTCCCCAGACTTAAAGATCTATTCTTATTCGGCTTCTTCAGTCTTAAAGAGCTGTATCATCTCGCTCGTGTGGTCTAAACATTAAGTTCTACCATCGGCTCGTGGTGTAGTGGTGTAGTGGTGTATTAGACTCTACGAGGGGTTTGATTTGCTCTCTCTGAAGTGAAAGGTCAAAGTCCGACGGCGAAGAAGAACAAATAGATCCGCATTGCGAAAACTAGATATGCATGACCTGGATGAACCCAGACGCCAAAGACTATGACTCCTTCGATCGACGCGACGCGACAGTTAGGTTGCGGTGCAATTGGATTCAGCCTGTGTATCACTTCGATTTGCGTATATCTATGCGACCTTTCTCCGGTTTGCTGCATCCAATCCACCCAAGGTCAATTCATTTACTTGTCATATCATAACACACTCCTCTGCTTTTCGCCAGCAGCTATGCAGCCCAGCATGTACATCAATCTCCATAGACATTTGCATATCTCTCCTTCTTGGATCATCTTGGATGAGCATAGCTCGGGGTGGTCTTGCTGTCTCAAGCCAAACACAAACCCAATGCTGAAGCCCCAGCCGAAGCCGAAGCGAAGCCGCCGCTTGATTCACATTCCAGACGAGTTGCACAGCCAATGTCACCCTAGGAGCTTGCAGCTGTAGGCGCGGCAAAAGGTTTGAAAAAGTCCGGGTCGGCCTCTAACTCTTCTCGGACCTACATCACGGGCGGAAAGAACACGTTAGCCGACCAAGGATTCCACACCTCAGGGCACACCTCAGGCCAGCCTGTTGCCCAGCCGCCAAGGGGAGTAACACGTACAATGTCCAGCCCACCGATTAGTTCGCCATTGGTATAGAGCTGCGGGAACGTAGGCCAGTCCGAGAAGACCTTGAGGCCCTCACGGACGTCGTTGTCGGCGAGGATATTGAAGAACCTAGCGACAGAAACACGATATTAGCCAACAATTGATACAGTGTGACTCGCCACCCTGCGTTGGAAGGTCTTGTCCAATCTGCGCCTTTGGTCGACTCTGGCCGAGGCGGAAATACAAATAGATGTCATGCGACGTACCCATACTTGACTTGGTTCTCTCGCAGGATGCTAACCAGCTGTCGACTGAACCCGCACTGCGGAGCGCTGGGGGTGCCTTTCATGAACAGCATAACCGGTCTGCCACGTCGTTATGTCAGCCCACAGAGAGCGAATTCTTTCTCTAGTATTATGATCCGGAGACAAAGTTCTCCAGTCCGTATGCATGGTCATGACTCACGCAGCTTTAACCAACTTGGCGAGCCTCTCGTTCAACTCTTCCCTCGATTCCTGGCTTGACGAGTCTACCGGCGCGGTGGGGGGATTCGAAGACCTCGGTGCAGCATGGCCGTTTGGCTGCTGCGGAGTGGCTTGTAGAGGTGGTGGAATGCCATCTTTACCAGCGCCACTGCCAGTTCCGGTGTATTTCTCAACCGCGGCGCGGACCTTGCCTGCATCACTGCCGCTCACAGTCTCGAGGACCTTTCCATCCTTTTGTAGGACGAGGAACGGCACGGCCGTCACATCGTAAGACTCTGAGACGTCGGCGAGTTCTTCGGCGTTGATGGAGAGGAACCGAATGTCGGCATCGGCGGGATATGTGGAGGCGAGTGTGGTAAGGATAGTGTTCATCTGCGCACATGGAGCCGCCCAGGGAGTGTGGAAGTACAGAACAACGAGGGTCGAGGGGGGGACGGTCTTGAGGATCTGATCAAAGCCGGCTTCGGACTCGACCTCTGTGAGAGGTGCCATGTTGAAGACCGCTTTACGGGGAGTCGGAGTCGGAGTCGCGAGCAGAGAGAGCTGACGGTGCTTTATACGAGTGAGATGGGCCAAAGAAGTAGCACGCACAAGGTTGAGTAATTGCAAAAGTCGCAGGTGAATGATTAGGTATAATTACTAGGTTAGTACTGACTACAGCCGGCGGGTGGCTAAGTCTCGATTTACGAGTATTTTCGCGCTGCCACTGCGAAATGTTCCGATGACGCGATTCTCCGATCGACCGGCCACTAGACCGTTATCGGCTAATGGCTCAGCCTCGTGGGAAACCGAAACCCCACGGAGATGTTTTCTATCATCAATCGACTGCCGTTACGCACAATGTTTCTCATTTGGGCCTCTTTCTAGAACACGAGAACACGAGAACACAGTGTCGGAGCCACGCACTGGCTGCAATGATGAGGGACGGGTCTGCTGCCTCAGAACCTAATCGTGCATCCGCGAATGACAGATACGACGGCCGACATTCGAAGCCAACAAGGCTTCAGTTGCGCAAATCGATACATGTCGTTGAGGGACGGTCAAGGTTATGATATATGAGCGGCTTCTGGCCATAATTCCTTCTCCTGAGGAGGAACATGCTCCGGTGTACCAGAGTGCATCTCAGGATTCAGGCAGCGAGCTTTTGTCGTCGCGCTGTGTGCAACCCGGGAGGCCATCAGGCCCGCACAGCCACCGGAGCAAGGCACACAGGTGAGGCGAGATTGGTTCATCAAAGACCCCTTGATATCTTGTAATCTCCAAGTCAGATGAACAACGGCCCAAGGCGCGCGTCACCTTGCGTCAACACCAACCTCCGGACATCCCTTGGAGGACAACCGCGCTGTCCAAGGACCTTCATTTGGTCGGGCAATACCCTCCATCCGTGCTAACCGAGGTTGCATCTGAAACTGGCTATCTTGTCCAGCGATTGCGCTTCAGGAGAGCGTGGTGGCTGGCACTGGCAGTGAAGTAGACGCCTCAGTACTGGCGGCAGCACTGAAGCCGCGGCCTGCGTATATATGGCAGTTTCCTAAATCGTAGGTCGAACACCCCAGACCGCAGTTGCAAATCACTTTCTCCATTCCCCGCGACCCCTCATGAATGCCTCGATCGACCTCCATACCTCTTCCACCGTCTCTCTGTCCCTCCACCTCCTTGAAGCTCTTGCATCTTGATCCACATTGGCACCATGAGCTCTCTCGTCCCACCGTTCCACCGCAAATGTCTTGACACTGCTTCCCCAGCCCTTGACTTCTGCCGGGATTGGCAGGCCTTTCTCCCCTAGATAGATGCCCAGAACATGGCCAAACAGCTCCTGGGGCTCTCGCCACTTGTAGCCTCGGAATTGCCATATCTGGCCGGTAGTGAAGACGGCCACCACTCGGGACCAGTAATCGGGCTTGAATTGTTCTGGAGAGTCAACGAGAATGAATCGATAGGGTTTCTCGCTCAGAGAATGGAGAGTTCGAGTGATGTGCAACAAATTGGCCGTCGTCTGCGAGGATAATGTGGGGTGATCGGGCGGAACATAGAGTCCTGTATCAAGGAAGGTTTTGATATTTGACATGCGGAGGAGGGAGGACGCCGAAGGCGATAGGAGGATAATGGGATCGGACCGTTTTGCGGACAGTGTCGAATATAAGGGTTTGGATGGGCCCGCAGCAGGACGAGTGGCAAGCGCCGCACTTCTGGATGGCTGACCGGGTTTCGTGGATGATGGAACGCCTTTTCGCCGTCCGAGAAAGATCTCAGCATGCTTGCGCACCTGAGAAAAATCCTTGCCCAAGTCAGCCAGGAGCCTTCCAATGTCAGAATCACTTCCTACCGTAGGTTTTATTCCTCTCAAGACGGAGTTATGATCGCCCATCTTCCGTTCACCACTGTAAATTGCTTGAAGTCTGGCATCAATGACCTTGACGGGTCTTCCGCCAACAGTATGAGTGACGCCGACGCCCGAACCACCAACTGTAGGAACAGCGGCGCCACCAGCTACATCTGCAGCTCTGTTGGCAGCATCTCCTATGGCGGCCGCGCCTTCAATGGGCTTGATATATTCCGACTCTTCTGACGCGCCTTCAAGCCAAGTGATCAAGTCTAAACGCTCGACAAAGACCAGGTTCCGGATTTTCTGCCCCTCCGGCAACTGCTTGTCGAGTTCTGCCGCCAGCGCAATGTATTCCGGGACGGTGACATCTTTGTGCTGCCACGCGAAGAATATACTGCGCAGATCAACCTGGGCGGTATCTGGGGTTGTAGACGTGAACCTTGTTATCGTCTCTAGCGGCAGGCAGAGCTGGGTAGGATGGGTGAAATAGAGGTCTGTCGCATCAACGAACGAGTCCGTCCTGTTTGCTTCCGCCGTAGCTGGATCTGAGGTTTTGGTGAGGATGGGCGGTTTGGACGCTGCGATGGAGTTTCGCAGGAGCTGCAAGACATCCGGAGCGGCCATCGTGCCAGTATCACGGTCGCAAGGTAGAATGGTTTCAGGCCCTGTATTGGTTACATTCCCAGGACTGGTCTGGCTGCAGGGTATTGTTGACTTGACTTGGTCTGGGACTTTTGCGGAACAGGACACGAGGACGTTCGGCGAGTGTTGGGTTTTGGCGGAGAAGGATTATCGATTTTCCGACTAATACTAGCGCTAACCAACGCACCTAGCGACGTACCTCGTATTAATCTCACGTCCGCTGCTACCTCCCTACTCGGTCAGCCTGATTTGGAGCTGAACCCGAACGCTGGTGCGAGTGCCAGCATAACAGTTTCGCCTGTGATCGTGAAACATGCACTCCTCTAAGCATGCAGGACCAGCGTCGTAGTGCTTGCTCGGCGTGTTGAAAACACGCCTGTGACGGACTTGGTTTGCAGGGTCGTCCTGCGTCAGCTCGACAAGGCCCGGGAAGTAGATGCCGGCCTGAAGAGCGGGTGCCGAACAATCCTCTAGTAGCACCTTGTCTCATCTCGTCAGATCCGGTCAGTCAGAATGGCTACAGAGAGCTGCAGCCTACTCCACGACCTTGACGAGGAAGACAGGTCTACAGGTCTACAGCAACACAGACAAACCCGAGACAGGACAGACAAGGATTTCCTAGTAGTATGTTCAGCTCCGTTTCAATTCAGCTCTTTTCCAACACAGCTATTGACATCCCCAATGGTCCTCACTTCTAGGTCATTTTTCTGCCTGTCAAGCACAACGAATGCATTTCCAGCCCATATCCCTGCTCTGCTCCAGGCATCCATGTTATCTACGTTCCTCCGCCGCGGGGTATCTTTCCAATGCAAATGCTGAATGGAGAGCACGTCGCTGAAGATGCTGCTAATAAAAATGACAAGCCACCACGCTATGCAGAACCCGTACATGATTGTATGCAGAAATGTGGCAGTAACCCAGAGTGGAGCTTTGAATGCTCACGATCTCGACAGCCACCAGCCGTAGCGGCCTCGCATGTCAAATGATATTTGACTTTGGCTGGCAATAGAGGAAATACCGGTTTTGTACATCAGATCCGCCATGAGATCCTATTTTCTTATGTTCGCCAGATGTGAATGGCGGTCGCTGACCGGATCACAAACTTGTGCGCCGGATTATCCAGTGTTCATTGTTCTTGGAAGAATGTTATGTTCGCGTGTTCGATCGACTGACGCCTCGTTCTGGAGCCGGGGAAAGTGTGCGATTCGAGCCGATTAGATCAATTTCGTGATCTCGAAGTACAGCAGCATGCTGCGGGTCTCGAAGGAACTTGGGGACGGAGTCCTATGGTCTGGTTAGAGAGAGACATTTCCCACAACTGCTGGGGAACTTACGCTTGCCATTAGCTTGAACACTGCGGCCTGTGCAAGCTCAAACAGGTCCACAACTTCCTCGAGAGACTGTTGCATGGAGGCTTCATCAATATTGGTCCGGATCATCCTGCTATCCAGACGATTGCGCAGGGAATGGTCAATGTTGAGCTCAGAAGGTGCTCCTGAAGCCAAGAACGAATTGTAAAGACCTGAAGTAGTTAGATGGTGCAGTGGAAAGGAGCCGGGACCAAACTCACCATAGGCAGCGGCCAAAGTCTCCCTTACAGCCTCCGGTCGCTCTAGCTTCCCTGATTTCTCAAGCTGCCGGTAGTTTCTCGTAAAGTCGGTAACATCGAAATAGAATTGTAGATTCTCTTCGCATAACGACTGCCGCAGAAACTCTCTGAACAATAACCGGAGCGCAGCGTCCTGCAGTATTAGGTTCAGTCTGCTCACATTCGAGTCTCTGGTGAGACGACCCTTGTCCCGCAGGTCGTGACTGTCTTCGCTCTCAATACTGGGTGGCCGCGCAATCCACCCGTACACCCGCTGACCTCTTTCCGTGATGACGTAGATTGCATGCCGGGTAGGCTGGAAGTAGGTCGCCATTGGATTCACGCGAATGTACGCTCTGTCCTCAACAATAGGGGTCATCAATTGCCACTTGACAAACAGCTCGGCAATTTCAAACGTCTCTCTGCGGTCGACGGTGGTGCAGCAGTCCAGTAGCCAGTCGGAAGCGGCTTTGCCGGTGAATGTGCTCTGTACAGTTTTATCCAACACCCGTCGTTCTTTGGCCATCTTGACACCGACAAGGCCAGTAGCATAGTCAGACACGGAATCTGAATCGGACAGAGAAGTGGAGCTCTTCAAATTCGGGCCCTCAATACCCATAAACCTCCGGAAAATGATATCAATGGTCGCCTTGTCCTGCACAAGCTTGTCTGTCTGGGGGTCTCTCTCCAAGGCGACAATCTGCATCTGTGCTCGCTTGAGCAGTGGTTCGATGTGGCGGGCATTGATTCCATTCTTGCTGCAGAATCGATACAAAATTGCCAGGCCTTTCGGCGTCAATTGCCAGACGGCGCCCTTCGTGGGGAAGGTCGTGATGTTCCTAGATTCGGCTGACTCGATCAAGCGAGCATCGACGAATCGTTGACAGACTGAACGTGCCATTTCTTTGGCCATGGAGAAAGTGGTTGTGGTGGTTGTAATCACCCATCTGGAAGGGTTATTCGGATCGGGTATGCGATTGGACTGGGAAAATTTCAGCGAACCAAGATTCGTAATGGCCTCCTCGGACAGAAACGTTTCTTCGACTCTTGAAAACCGGACCCGGTGTGGTGTGAGCGGGAGACTGGTGATCAAGGTGGAAAACAAGTCATTAAAGTCTCGGGTAAAAGGTCTATCGTCATCGGTCATGCGCAGGACCTTGGAGGATGTTTGGTGCATCCTCCCAGGTCCCTTGTCTGTGTTCGACATTGGAGGCACTGTGGTACTATTTCTTGATTCTTGACTGGGCAGCGGCGATCCGCTCCGTCGCAATTGTCCCGGTCTTTGGAGTTCGGGGGAGGTGGGTGAACGGGGGAGGATAGGTCGAGCAGTATCAGGAGAGGCGGAGGATTTTGACAGGCTGCCTGACGAGGTGGCAGACCGTAGACTTTGCGTGGGAGTTGTGCCGATGGCGGCCAGATTGGCGAAGGCGCTGGATGTCTTCTCTCTTGCCAATGATGCGAGCGAACGTCGGCTCCTGGTCTGCGTGATGCTGGTCGAACTGGTACGGTGGTGGTGAGGTGGGCGAGAGGACTCCGGACTGGGCGAGTTTGAGGTTGGAGGAGGGTGATCAGTAGTGGCCGACAGGGTGATTGGGGGTTGTAAATCGTAAGCCGGCGAAGTCATGGAGTTAGCGACAAGCGCTTCGTTTGACTCGGTCATTATTGATAGGGACTGGCAGTTATGCGGGTAAAGATTCTCAGGACTTGGACAGAGTCCGCGGGCATGGTAGAGGACTGGCGGTCGACGGTAACAGAAACACGGACGGGGGCGCAATCCACAACCCACGAAGAGCCGGGATTGCCCTTTCACCACGAGACCACGAGGGTGTGGAGCTCTTCCTAAGCCGCAGGCTACCTAGGCCCTGCACCGCGGGCCCTGGCAAGGGTGTGAGAGTGGGTAAGGGTGTAATTCGAGAAGAATCGTCTCGGAGACTTGAGTCGGTAGCGCTTTAGGCCAGGAGCTGCTAACAGGGCGGGCCACGGCAGATAGAGTTAGACGAAGTTTTTTAACGAGCAGGGCGGAGGGGCGGTCGATAGGAACTGATCTTCCACCGCTATGATCTCAAGAGTCCTCGTGGGAGGGATGGCCTGTGGGTTCTCCTGGTCCGGCAATTGCCTGGGTTGTCTCGTCACAACTTTTCTTCCGTCACAGAGGTGAAGCCAGTCTCGCTCGTCGGTGGAGCGGCCGAGGAGGACAACTATTACGGTGTGTTTGATCGGAGGAGGTAAGGATCCTGCGAGGTCGCAGACGAGTTTGAGCGTGAGTATGGAGCACTGCTGCTCCGGGCATGTAAAAGGTTGGTTTGGTGCAGCGGAGCTTGAGGGCGATCAACACCCGGTAGCAGCTCGTTTTTTTTTTGGGCGTATGATATGGTCGTTTGCTTATGGGATGCCAAGTAGATAGTTAAGATGATATGATGTCGTCCAATCTACTCTGTAGATGATGTCGCCGTTGCAACAAAAGAGAAAGAAAGACACCAAGCGCAGGCAAAGACGTGGAAGAGGGCGCTGCGCTGCACAGGACTAGGTGGTCCAGTGAAGCGCACTACTAAGCACTGACACCGGCAGTTTTTGGCACTGACAGGCTGCGCCGCCCAAGTCACGACTGGCAGGTGACAGTCTGCACTGCATCCAGTAGGCCCAACAGTTGATTCTTCAGCGTTGCTCCAGACACCTGCATCCACCTAGGACCCGAATCTCGGTACCGACACATACAAAGTGGTGGTACGTACCCTACAGCGTATGCACTTTGACTTGGTCCCCTTACTCTGTTATCCTGAGGTAGGTTCCCCAGATCGCTAGGCTTGTCAGAGCCTCACACACCGTCACACAAGGGAGGTGTTTCAATGCACACAGCCTAACGCGACTGCAGAATGCAGGGTGTCTGTTTTCAGTTGCAGCCTAGTACCATAATTGGCCTTTTGCCCGCTTTCCACGACATCCTCGACACCTCGACGACGCTTTCGTGGGCCCCGAAAACCGGCCGGACTCGCTCTCCGCGCTTCAAGGCGTGGGGGCGCATGTCAACCCTCACTTACGAACACTTCTGGTCATAAACCCATCACTAGTGGCCATATTTACTAGGCGAGGAGTCAATTTCTCGTACAGAAGGGGGAGGCAGTAACGGGTTAGCGGCCGCCACTGCTTACCAGCCAAAGCCAACCGCAAGAGCAATTAACATGTGCTATGTTACCACCAGTATCAGAGTATTGAGCTTACTGGAGGTCATTGTGGCAAGAGCATCCAGTGATCGAATTGGGCATGAAAACCATTAGGCAGTACAGAATAGTAATGGGCGATTGGGGACGGTGCAGCCGGAGGTCATTGCACCCCGATAGAACGCTGATCCGCCTACCCACTCGACTTTCGTTACGTATGAATTAACGTATATCCGTACAATATACTTGGACACTTCGGAGCCGGTCAATGGTCGGCAAAAAGTCAACTTTCTCCCCTATAGTGCCAGCCGACTAGTGAGCACAGCAGTAGTATCGAGATGAGCGATAGGTTGGACGCCAGATAGAAAATCTGCTCTGCTCGACCAGTGCTTCGAGAAGACCGAATAGGACACTGAGTATCGATGATGTCGACGGCTGCCGCTGCTTTCCAGGCAGGCGGAGCAGTTTCAATGAAACTAGCATCTGATGTATGGGGTGCCACCCAATTGACATGTACGGAGTACAGAGTAGAGGATAGGTAGTAGCATAAGAGACTGGCCAGCCCTAACGTGGGTCATGGACAACATTATTCCTGCTCAAGTCATCTCATCTCGGAGCAAATGTTAGATGCAGCGGTGGCTTTGATTTTCGGAAGCCTTCGGCGGTTGATTCTACTCTATACAGAGTAGTCGGGGGCAAAGCCGCCATCTGGCTTCAGCGCAGATGCAGTCAGTCGACCAGCAGCTCTCCCCTGACTGACATAGCGAAATTGACGTTGTCTCGATCTTGAGACAGTATGCGATCGGGGTCTATGCCTCAAACGCTTCATACATAGGACAGGGCGCATAGCTAGCACCTAGGTAGGTTTGGGATTCCCCTGGGGCCGGAAAGCCTACTCGTACCGTGTTTTCGGCCGTGGAACTTTCCATTGTTCCGTAAGCGTAATCACGAGCAAGCATGCGAGCCTCCTAAGCCTTGGTGATGGGCGGCCACTCTCCGGCGCCTTACCCAGGCTAGGTTGTTGGCGGCAGGGATTGGAACCGTGTGACTGGTGCCGACTGGAAACCGGTAGCTATCGGCTTCGGAGAATAGGTCGAAAGATGGAAAGATCGCTCGCTCACCGGTGACGGGGGCATCGAAGAAATGGCGTTTTCGATACCGGAGATGATGCAGAGAGGAGCCAGCCATATGTGCGTACCTACTACGGAGGACATGGTGTCATAGGACATCCTCCTAATTAGGTGCCTCGGGCGATTACTAGGTACGTAGTAGGTAGTCTTATGATTAATTTGATGTAACAAGCATAACGGTAGCTAATAATTAGTCGCCATACTCCTAAACGAAGTTCAGAGGACTCTTGACTCTTGAGTTTGTACGGATACTCCGTACACGATGCACATACTACGTCCTACGGTCCTAGTAGTCAATTTTCGTCGGGGACTAACTTGTCGTGGGGCTGGACATGAAACAAACCAGGGGGGGCAGTTCTAGTAGGAGTAGGGAGCAGCCTCCTCCGTAACTGGACATGTTCCCAGACTCCCAGTCGTAGTAGCATCGGAGGAGTGGAGAGGGCTGAACAGGGTGCAAGCCAGCGTTATCGTTGGACTCCACGCAGATGATTAGCAGAGACACTTAGCAGAGAAACAGTTTCAGGGCGGCCACGTGGAACAGCGGAGGATGAAGTCAGACTGGATCCCGATTGCTCCCTGTTGGGCCTTAGGCTTACAAAGGGCCACTAGCTAGGTACCTGGTATCTCAGCTAGGCACCTCAGCTAGGCACCTCAGCTAGGCACCTCGGCCAGGCCCCTACTGGTGCCTACTAGGCACCGACTAGGTAGTAGTAGTTACTGTACTAGTTACTGGTTGGCAGCCCCTAAGCCGATTTTCTTCAGGCGGGCGACCCTCACTAGGTACCTATAATCCTAGGCGATTAGGCGGCCCCAGGCACTCGCAATCAATTTCAACCCCTGTCAAGCCGCGTTGCTCAGCCTTCGAGAATGCTTCCAGATTCCACAATGGAAGCAGTTTAATTTTGCCCTGGTCCACTGGGGGCTGCGATGCCGCGGTGGACGTGGACACGGTCATGCATCGTCGGCGCCTCTGGACTGAGACTGAGATTGAAATGGAGATTGCCCCTTCAACTGTTACTCTGTAAGAGGACACTGGACACTTGCAGAATCTTATTCATCGCCAATAAGGATGAGGAGGGCCTTGTTCCCACTGCTCTGTACTGGCGGACAAATCCGCCTTCTATTTTTCTTCATCGCTTACCAGAGGATCCTGTCGTCCACATCTCCCTGCAGTCACCAGCGTCCCAGTGTCCAGTGTACCTTTGAAATGAGGAGGAGCTCCACGCACAGCGAACATGGTGCCTAACCTACAGGCTAGTTCTCAGCCTTGAGCGAACGAAGATTCCTGATGCTACATGCATTTTCTGGCAGATCCCTGCAAGACTGGAAGCGAGGTTGGTGGCCGGCAAACACTCCATGGACTGTCTGCTGTGTGTTGTTGCGCCGAGCGATACTCTCTCTCCAACTTGCGCCATACTGACCCTGCGAGTGGGAGTGGGAGTTGGAGGTTTTACCGCCGTTTCAACCTGTATGTATCTTCCTTCACCTTGCAAACTCTTGTCGGCAACGCCAACACTGCTCCGAATACGAGCACAAGAGACTGCATTTTCCCTTCTCTGCCAGTGACCGCATGCACCCCCGCTGTTGAGATGCCTAGCTCTCCTGGTAGTACGCATATTAGGTACCAAGGTAGTCGAAGGCAGTAGGTACCTCGTTGGTCCACTTACACTACCGAGTATCCGTACACCTGCAGCTAATCGTGTTTTGCAAGCTGTTAGAGGCCATCGCCATCGCCCAGCCACACGAGCCTGTACCCGGACGACGCACCACATATCCTCAGGCCTAGAGTCTAGTGTCTACACCCCTGCGCCTTCTCCTCCTTCTCCTCCTCTTCCTCCTCCACATGGCTCGTCCATCGAGCCGATGACACAGATGTTTGCGCAACCCAGGACCTAGAACCCATGGCTAAAGGGGTCTCCTGAGCCTAGCGCAAAATCTCTTCCATTCCCTGCCAACACGTGGCAGAACCTGCGCTTGCAAAGATGTGGCTGCCACGAGGCGATCTTGCACAATGTAACGGAGTATGGAGACACACTGCAGGACGTACTTGAACTTCCGCCACTTCACTAATACTGATTCCCTCCGGTGTCCAGTGTTCAGTGCAGTGCCCACTGTCCAGCCTCTGCCCATATTCGGCTGCTGGCTACCTAGGTGGTGTCCGGCTCTCGGGATAAAAAGTTTTCTTCAACCACGGCTGCCTACGGAGTACTCAGAACTTACTCAGTACCACCACCTAGCCCACGAGGTGCCTAGTAGTACTACGTATTATACCCGCGAATTTCGATCTCACTACAACCCCCCACTTCAGCGTCCCGGTTCAAGAATTCGCCAAAACGACTTCGTGTTGCTAGAAAGCACCTTCACATATGACACCAGACTAAGCTTCAGAGTTCGCTGTCTGGACTCTGGAGAGAGCTGATGGGAAGCCCGGTATCGTTTCTGCCTCGTTGCTCCTGGTGGCTCGGCCAGGACGTCGTCGAAAGTTAAACCACAGACTTTTGCATTCGTTGGCAATTTTAGCCGGTTCGTTTCACCGAGGTTGTAATCTGTACAAGTCCCACATGACACCACACCCGATGAGAGCAAGAGAGGTCCCCAGCTTCAGCTTGTTCGTGAAGTCTCGGTCAGCCGGCTACTCGATGCTGCTCCTGTAGTAGCGGGAATGCTTTTTCGTGAAGGCGATTCAATCATCTACCAATAATAATAATGTGGACGTTGAAGACAAGGATGCAGACGACTTGGGCCTTTGAATTTTATTTCGCCTACACTCGGCCCGGCCAGTCTAATCCGTCGATTCGAATCTTACAGGGGATGCCAGAATCTGAATAACCATAAACCAAACACATTTAACAGCGAATCCGATACATTCAGACATACAGACATCACATCTGGTTTGCGGCTATCATCGTCATATCTGCCACGTAATGGGCGAGTCCTCGCAATTGCTTGCACATGCAGACCATGTACGCCGAAAGTGACTTTCCGTCTTCCTCATCATACCCAGTCATCATATGGTCCGGAGGGCTTTTCGCTCCAGAGACAGTTTCCTCTCAGCCAGCCCTTGCCCATCTCGTCTGCGCTCACCATTCAACGGGATCAGTTTTGACCTCGCCACGGTTTGTCTTCGGAACCGGCACGGCTTCAACCATGACAGGGCCCTTGCGCCATTTCTTGAGGTAGCCGCTGCCGTCGAGCCAAGGAGTGTCCAGAGTGCGTTTCTGCTCGAACCGAGCGATCTTGTCCTCCATCTGCATAGTCAGCCCGATGTCGTCCAGGCCCTCGACCAAGCAGTGCTTGCGGAACTCCTCGACGTCGAACTTCGAAAGTTCTTTGCCGGCTGCATCACGAATCACCTGGTTTGGTAGATCTACTTCAATCTCGCGGCCCGCACGGGCTTCGTCCGCAATTCTCTCGAGGGCAGCCTGGTCTGATATGATGAGCGGCAGCATGCCATTCTTGAAAGTGTTGTTGAAGAAAATGTCGGCGTAGCTGGGTGCAATGACGCACTTGATGCCAAAGTCCAAGAGCGCCCAAGGTGCGTGCTCCCGAGAGCTGCCGCAGCCGAAGTTGGGGCCTGTGACTACCAAGATCTTGGATTGTCGATATGGCTCCTGGTTGAGAATGAAAGAGCTGTTCTCGCTGCCGTCCTCGTTGTATCGTAATGGGTGGAAGAGAGCAGAGCCGAGACCAGTGCGCTTGATAGTCTTGAGGAATTGTTTTGGAATGATGGCGTCCGTGTCAACGTTGGCTTTCTCCAACGGCGCTGCGATGCCCTTGAGAACTGTGAACTTTGGCAGGCCTGCCGAAGCTCCGCCTGTCGCAGCACTGTCGTTCACATGCGGGCCGACATCCGCGGGAATGTCGAGGATGCGGTCAAGTTCCTCCTCAGAGTCGACTTCGGCAAATTCTGGTGTTACAGTGAGTTTGGGAGATGACTTGACTGTAGTGGCATCACCGGCGGTGAGTTTCCGCACATCGGCCAGCTTGCCAACAATGGCAGCCGCGGCGGCCATAACTGGTGACAGGAGATGCGTGCGACCCAAGGCACCCTGCCGGCCTTCAAAGTTACGATTTGATGTACTTGCACAGCGCTCCCGGGGAGACAAAATGTCAGGGTTCATACCCAAGCACATTGAGCAACCAGCTTCGCGCCACTCAAAACCTGCGTCAAGGAAGATTTTGTCAAGGCCTTCACGCTCGGCTTGGGCTTTGACGTTGCCCGAGCCAGGCACGACCATAGCCCGCTTGATGTTTGAAGCGACTTTCCTGCCCTTGACGATCTCCGCTGCGGCCCTGAGATCCTCGATTCTGGCGTTTGTGCAAGACCCGATGAACACCTTGTCAACCTCAATGTCTTCCATCTTGGTTCCCGGGGTGAGACCCATGTACTCAAGAGCACGTTTGCAACTGGCCTTTTTGTTTGCATCTTCGAAGTCTTCCGGACCAGGGACGACACCGGTGATGGGGACGACATCTTGGGGAGAGGTACCCCAAGAGACGGTAGGTGAAATATCCTTGGCATCAATGAAAACTTCAATGTCGTACTTGGCCCCTTCGTCTGACTTGAGGCTGTTCCAGTAATTAACCGCCTTCTTCCATTCGTTGCTGTCGAATTTAGGTGCTAATGGTCGGCCTTTGAGGTAGTCATAGGTATTTTGATCTGGAGCAATCATGCCAGCCCTGGCACCGGCTTCAATAGACATGTTGCAAATGGACATGCGAGCTTCCATGCTGAGCCCACGAATGGCCGAGCCGCAAAACTCAATGACTGCACCAGTCCCGCCAGCAGTGCCGATGACGCCGATGACGTGAAGAATGATGTCTTTGCTGCTAACTCCCGGGGCCAGTTTACCGTCAACTTGTACGCGCATGTTCTTGCTCTTCTTGGTAAGTAAGCATTGCGTGGCCAGGACATGCTCGACTTCGCTGGTGCCTATGCCAAAGGCTAGAGCGCCAAACGCTCCATGGGTGGATGTATGGCTGTCACCACAGACGACAGTAGTGCCTGGGAGAGTGAAGCCTTGTTCGGGCCCGATAATGTGAACGATACCCTGGTTCTTATCTCCTAGGCCAAAATAGGTGAGACCAAAGTCTTTGACATTCTCCTCCAGGGTTGTGCATTGTAACCGTGAGTCCTCTTCTTTGACAAAGTCTGCGACATTCTTGAAGTTTTTGCGTGGGGTGGTTGGCACATTGTGATCGGTGGTGGCAAGGGTGCAATCGGGTCGCCGCACTTTTCTGCTTGCATTCTTGAGGCCTTCGAAGGCTTGCGGTGAGGTTACCTCATGCACAAGATGTCGGTCTGCAGTGTTTCATCGGTCAGTTTTCTCAGCTTCCAGTGCAGAAGGGTGAAGGAAAGACAAACCGATATAGAGAAGGACGGTGCCATCAGGCTGTGCGTTGACAATGTGATCCTCGAAGACCTTGTCGTACAGGGTCCTCGGCTGTGCGTTTGCTGAGGGCATCTTGAACAAATGAGCCAATGAGCCAGCACAGAGAGCACTTTGTAAGATTTGGAATGTGAAGAACAACGGCTGGTGAGACAATTCCTCAAATCGATGGGCACAGGATATAAAGCATGACTGTGAATACGAGGAGGCTGCCGACATCGGAATGTTGGATGACTATTTCTGCCATATTATTGGCTGATTGCTCGCCACTGTTGGCCTCCCCGCAAATCCCAAATTTAGGCCAATCAATCTGCCTGAATTACTGTTCCTACGGCATCAGTCAGCACCGACACTCGCACCTCGGTCGCTCACCACAGCCACCGAGATCTCATCACCACCTTCCCCGTGGTTACAGCCGTAGTAGGTGCTTTGATACGGAGTATCCGTACTCGTACTTGTCGGAGGTATCTATCTCTCCATGCACACTAAGTTTGCCCAATTCCAGTCTGAGTTCCAGTTCGCCAGCCGTACTCGGCGTCAGCTCTCGTCCCCAGGCTTTGTATCACAGAAGTGGCTACATTGACAGCATCTTGTTGCGGCATCTGTCGTCTCCCTCCTAGCAGTTCTACCCTGTTGTACACAATGTTGCGGCGCGGGCGGTCTCCCCGCGAATAACAAGACATTGAATACAGGATACAGGTCCAAAACATCTTACACAAAGTACCGAGTACCAGGATTAAAGTCTTTTGGGGGTGTTGCCCTAAGCGAGCGTGGTGCCATAACATGCAATCTGCACGGCGCCGGGCCACGGTTTCAATGAGCGCGCTCGGTCGAGGTACTTACAGCTAACACGACCGCAAAGCCGTCAGAGCCATGTCGCGACCTTTGAACGCGGGAGAGAAGTGCAAAGATGTTACGTTTCTTCAGGTTCGAACAGGACCATCGGTCTCTTCCATGTCAAATAACGGGGTCTTGTTCGGATATTGCGATAGACATTGTTGTTTTCCGTGCTTGAGACCTCCCCAGTCTCGCTCACTCCTACAAGCAGGCGTAGATGGTCACGACAGCCCCTACTGGTCGGTGACCGATATCCAGGATTGGCTGGTGTGCTGGGCGTCTCTCCAGGCTCCCTGGAATGAACAAGCCACTGATGTGAGAGCCGCTCAGAAAGACCATCTTTCTCGACTTTGGACACGTCTCCTGAAAGCTGAAAGATTCAGAGTCCTTTCACAGCCATATTACATATACATTTCATACGAAGTACTCCGTACTGTAAACAAGACTTGGTTGCAGGAAGGCTGAAAGCGCGTCGAGGTCGAGTTGTCGCGCGGCCAATTGCCCCCCACCAATGGCAAAAGAGCTGAGGTTGACAGCTACTAGCAGAGGAGAAGAGCTCCGGGGGTCGCCAACTCACTAAACTACTGGACGCCACATACATCAGATCCGAAGAGCCAACTTCAGACACCATAGCCGAGCTGTCGACGTAGGCAGGCACTGGATATTGCCACAAAACCGGCCGGGAATTTCATCGTTTGCGACAGGGGAATGAATCAAATCCGATAACTCCATATGCATCGCTGCTGAACCATGCAGTGTCTGAAGCCATGACTCGCCAAAGATATACGTATACGGACTTCGCACGAACCATTACCTCACGGATTACGACGCATTGCGCTGTTGCGTATCTAGCGTGACCTGGCCTGGAATGCCTAGGATCCGGCTCCGCGACGTGTTGAAAGTGCGTACTGTCGTTCTTGAACGCGCTTTGCCGCCTCTTCACATACGTGCGCGGCCAGTCCGGCTGGACCTCTATAGCCCCGTCGTTGCAACCACAGGTACGGGAGTGCGGGCCTCGTTCAGCACAGGCTGTAGAGTGCATCATCAATCAGACCCTAAACGCGCTGCCCGCGGCTCGGAATCAAACAGTGGTGAAATGGGAGGGCATCGAGGACAAGACCGAGATCTTGGGTCTGCAGAACAGGCGATTCAACCTTCGACGACCAAACCGACTGCGCCTCAAGGAAGCCTGAGTATCGTGTTCACCGACATCGTCAAGTCGACGTTGATATGGGAGAAAGACAGCGCGGCCATGACACAGGCGATGCAGTTGCACGACAGCACGATCCGCCACCTCACCGAGTCGAACCAGGGATACGAGGTCAAGCAGAACGGGGACGGGTTTATGATCGCCTTCCCCACGGCCGCGTCGGCCGTGCAGTTCTGCCTCGACGTCCAGGAACGGCTGCTGGACGAGAATTGGCCGCGCGAGATCCTGAAGCTGCCGCCGGGACAAGTGACCACGGATTCCGACGGCAACCTCCTCTTCCGCGGCTTGCAGCTACGCATGAGTGCGCACTGGGGCACCCCCGTGTGCAAGTGGAACGATGTGATCGAGCGCATGGACTATCTGGGGCCCATGGTCAACCGCGCCGCGCGCTTCATCCAAGCCACTGAGGCAGGCCAGATCGTCGTTTCGGAGGATTTTCTGCGCCAACTTCGGGGCGAGCTGGAAATGCAGGCCGAGGAAGGTGGCGAATGGGTGAAAGAAAAGGACGAGTTCATGCAGCAGTCCGGGCCCACGGATGCCCACAGCAGCAAGACCCGTGCCAGTGATAACAGCAACAACAAAGACCCTGCCGAAAACAACAACGATGAGACTATAGATCTACGGGCTCTCCGCTCCAACAAGGGCCAGGAGAATCTCACCAACCAACGGTTCGAGATCCAGCTGCTCGGTGACCACGAGTTCAGAGGCCTCGACGAGCCCCAAAGGCTTTATTTCCTCGTTCCGCGCTCCCTTGAGGGCAGAGTCGACCATTGGCACCAAGTCACCCATGTTCAGGGCGTCAAGGGCAATGTTCGACGGGGGAGTGGTTGACGCCACATCAGCCAGCGGGTGACGGACGTTGCAAACAGCGGGCTGCTGGGCACCGTACCAGCGCACACCTCCAACCTCGACACATTACTATCTTCTATACCGTGCTGTGTATGGACATTTCAACCTTGGATAATCACTCTCCGTACCACGAGCACGATAAAGTTGCTGCGGAAGCAACAGTTGGTCACATCGTTCTCGCACACTGAGAAATGGGGAGAGGCGCATGCAGGCGGCAGACTTGGGCTGGTATAAGAATTTGTACATCACGCGCAATGTACAGACTTCCCTATTCATCTAAGTAGAGTGCTCAGCAGGCAGACCGTGGAGTCTTCCGATAGAGAAGCAAGACACGAATCACTTTGGAGATGGAATTCGATCTAGACCAATGTCCTAAGAGTTTGATTTTCATACCGAAGTCAATCCCAGCCTTTTTGGCATGTTAACGGTCCAACGCCAGACAACTCTGAATTCAGTCAAGTCTCCGGTGCTCAATGGAGATCTTCCTTTTTCGACGCCAACACCCTGGATATGACTGCATCGCTTACGCTTCGGCCTCCTCAGCAGCGTCTTCGGCGTCTTCACTATCGGTCTTGGCGGTGCCATTCGTGGTAGGCGCCTCATCGCCGTTGACATCGATCAGATCGGCCGTCGCAGGGGCTTTTGCGCTGGTATCAACCTCAAGCTTGATATACTCATCCCAATCAGGGAACAAATCGTCGTCTTCCCCTGGAACACCCAGCAAGCGACTGACCTTGCCTTTACCCTGCTTTTCCAAGCTGTCCTTCCATTCGTGAACCAGGTCTTGTGTCTTCGTGGGCTTATATGTCTGGCTGAACAAGACAGCCTCGCTAATGCGGCCGGTGCGTTTGAGTAGCTCGATGGCGGCAGAAACGTCGCCGGTAGACCACCAGCTCGCAAAGGCGATGTTGTTGCTGCCCAGTTCTTCGGCCTGCTGTGCTAGTTTGGTCAGTCCTGCTTTGTTGCCTGAGCTGGTGTATAGCAGAAGCAAGCTGCCCAGATCCTTGGCATTGAGAAAGCACTCCTCGGCAAGCTTCACATCCCAGGCTTCAAGTGCTTTATCTGCAACAGCGGACCATTTGGCCTGCATATCCGCCTCGCGAGCGAGTTCAAGAGCGACCGAAAGATTGTTCAAACCCAGGGCAAGTTCGAAGCGATGCTCAGGATCAGTCGCGACTTCAAGAGCTAATTCCTTGTGGCCTTGCGCTTCAAGGAATCTGGCGATCTTGTTCATTTGATCTGCAGGGACTTCAGGCAGCAGATCCTGAGCTGCCTCGATTTCGCCTCTTAACACAAGTGTCTGATACGAGAGCAAGGCAGTTGACAGCCGATAACTCACGAGGTTGACGTCCTTGTCGCACAGATACACTCGTTCATCTCGTTGTAGGTAGCGGAGCAGGTACATGGGCTGGTCGAATTGTGCAATGTGTACGACCTGCTCACCGAGCAAGTAGGTGAGGCGGGTCGTGGTGGTGAAGAGGAAAGCATCGCCGACCCATTCACCACTCCTGACAGATTCTTGAAGATCGGTCACCACAGAAAATGCAGCCTCGACACCGTCCTCGTCTGCTTGGCCGGAGTTGAGGCCTTCGAGATACGCTTCTCGATCGAAGCGGAGAACATATGTTGTATCGGCACACGCGAGAGCGACGAGTTCCCCCGATTCACTCCAGTAAACCTGATCTTGTCAGCAACGCTACCACTTTGAATCGCATCAATTGTACGGACCTCCCGGGGCTCAACTTCGATCCGTCGAACGAGAGTTCCAGTTTCCCAGTCAAACATTCCAATTCCACCCTGTCCCTTGACACCCAGCAGGAACCCACCACAAAGCCCTTCAGCCTGAAAGCCGACATCGAGGCTTCCGCTCTCCTTGAGCTTTTTGAATATCTTGACGCTGGTACTAGATTCGCGGATTGCATAGTCGGTGGGATTCTGATGTGACGCCCTGGACGAGGTTAGCGAACCACACTGTCTCGCAAACGGGGTTAGGTGGGCCTTTACCATGCAAAATCAAGTGCTGAACCAAAGGCTTGATTTCTCCACGCCAAAGCAGTGTACTAGATCTCGTCAACGTCATTTTCGTCAGATGCCTGTCTACAGTACTCACAATGATGAATTCCCCATCTCCACAGACACTGACGAATCTGCCATTCGGCGAGTGCGATAACGTTGTCGGATAACTGGAAACCATGTTAGCTCCTCGTTAATTAAGCACTAGCCAGTTGACCTCACATTTCGGTGGTCCCCATTTCTTTGATTGGAAGGGCAATGGGTGCGCCATCCTTGACGCTAGCATCTCCTCCCTTGATAATCGCAGAGACAACCTCGTTGTGGCGTGCCCAGACCAGCTTGCCGGTGTTATCCATGGAGACAGCCGGCTCTTCTCGGCCCATTTTGACGACAACGGCACCATCATCGAACCCCATCGCGACTCCCTGCTTCCCTCGTTGATAGGCAACGCACCATGCCCTCTCCAGACCGTAGCTGAGCGATTGCTCCAGTCGGTACGTATTGGCATGCCAGATCTTGATAGTCCCGTCCTCTGAGCCGGATATGATGACAGGCAACTCTGGGTGATAACAGGCAAAGCTGACATTGCTAGTATGTCCTTCCAAAGTCGCGATCAGAGCTTTGGTAGTGTAGTCCCACACCTTGACAGTCTTGTCGTCAGACGTGCTGAGCAGGTACGGTTTGTCATTGTGCGGGTAGTAGTCGATGTGGTTGACCCCTTTTTCGTGGGCTTCAATTGTTTGTTTGGCCGTTGCATTGTCGATACTCCAAATCTTGATGGTTCGGTCTAAACATGCTGACGCAAAGATATTGGTGTCTTTTGGGTTCTGGAAAGAATGTCAACCCAAGTCCCGACGATATTATCCCTGAATTTGACCCACGATAGCCAACCCCATCACATAATGCTGATGTCCAACGAATTCGCGCACACAGCGCCAGTCCTTTTCCCAGTCGAACATGCGAATCGTCATATCATCTGATGCGGTAAGGACAACGCTGAGCACAGGATGTACCACAATGGCGCGGATGTAGTCTGGGTGTCTGCGCCGCACAATCAGCCCTCCGGCTTGTTACTGGAGGATTGTGTCCACTTACGCCTCAAATGACTTGACCTTTTCGCTTGTATTCCAGTTGACAACCCTCAGTTGGAAGTCATCACTGCCACATACTATCCAGTTTTTCCTCTCGATGAATCTTCCTGCGCGGACGGGGACGTCGGTGAGCTCGAAGGTTTTGATGATGGCCTGCGTCTCATAGGACCAGATGTGGGCGTGCCCATTGTAGAGAGTGGTGAGAATCTTTCAAAGTCAGCCCTGGAAGAGCAATCATAGATCGAGCGTCAGTGTTACCCATGGTTCGGTACTGCTCGCATGTTAGAAGGTGCTTTTTAACGTGCCCTTGCAAGAGCGTGCATTTGGATACTCACCTATGGAAATCAATGCCCTTTACCCGCTCCGAGCCTTCTAAAAGTCAGTAGGGCTCGTCTGGTTAGTCTAGCCGACTTACGAGCAAAGAGCTGGCGTTTAACGTCCAAACGCATCGCGGAGTGGAGGGTAGGTTTCGGTGAAGGGATTCCGATTGTGCACGCGGATGCTCAGTTGCGCAGCCTAAGGATTCTGAAAGGAGAGGCGGCAATCAAGAGGTCCAGCGCAATAAAATTCCATGTCATGAATTCATGAAATCTCATAGACGTCGTGGGGTCGTTGAGGCATCAATCAACCTGCGGTGGTGTTGACAGATGTCCCCAAGTCAGAGCGATTTGCTTGCCCTGAGGCCTAAGCTGCACCGCAGTGGAGGGAATTGCGGCCAGATCTGCGCTAAGCCGATTCCCAGTCGTCGCCTGTTGAGTGCGAAACTGCACTTTGCCTCTGCGAATCGTTTTCCTTCACTCAAGTACTATGTGTTAATTATGTCTCCTGCTACATTTCTACCAACACCTCTATGGAGCCAATGAACGGTCCTGCCTGTCCAGCATTGTGTCTTGCAGCTCTAGCCCAGGTGAGGGCGAGGCACGGCAAAACCTGGATGTCATAATCCCGGAACCTATTGGGTGGTCAACCGTGCCGTTGTCACCCATGTCTCCACGCTTTTGCTAGATAACCTACATAAGAAGAGCAGCATTCCTCCCTCCTTCTGCCGTCACTTTCCGTCCTCCTAGACTGGCCGGCTAATAAGTGTTGCACGTACGATACTGACAATAATGGCAGAACTGAAGCCCACCTTACATCACATGAATGTGAGCTGCCTCTAAGCCCACGTCTTAGCCTGCTCATGCTTATCTATCCTAGAACTCGCAGTCGCAACGCATCCTGTGGCTTCTCGAGGAACTCGAAATACCGTATAACCTCTCCCTTCACAAGCGTGTGGAGTCCGGTCCGAACAAATCCAGGGCGCCGCCGGAACTCAAACAAACACATCCGTTGGGGAAGGCACCGCAATTGGAAACAGGTGACGGCAGAGTTATTGTAGAATCAGTGGTCATCGCCAGATATTTGATTGAGACATACGATAAGTCCGGCAAGTTCCAGGGAGATGGCGCCGCCAACGACTGGATTCGCGACGACGAGTTGTCCAATCTTGCATCGGCCACGATCAGTGCTCCGATGAGCCTCGAACTTATCTTTTCCCTGCTTACTCAATCGTCTCCCTTCTTTATCCGTCCGTTGGTCTCGATCATCCACAAACAGCTGCACAAGGCCTTCACAGGACCTGAGCTTGATATGGACCTCCGATACTTGAGTGACCAGCTAGGGGATCAGGATTATTTCATGGGTTCTTCACCTGGGCGCGCCGACTTTATCATGTCATGGCCACTGGATTTGTGCACCCAGAACGGTTTCATTAACCTCCAAGAATACCCCAAGCTGGAGGCCTGGTTTCGGAGGTGTCACGAAAGGCCTGCTTGGAAGAGGAGCATTGAAAAGGGGAATGGTTATTCGCTCGTTTTCCAGTTGTAGCATTGCGGCAGAACAGATGTGGCCCCCTGCAGGAAACTTTCACCAGAGGTTGGCCGAATATACGCCTGGCTCTTTTCCTCGTTCTTTCGTTATGGGGTGTCGTCAAGGCCTGCGTTAGGGAGAGAAAGAAGATATAAACATCCGGAGCAAGCAACATGACTCCGTTGTGGCGGAGGAACAATCCGTACCTATATGAGGTAGCGGACAGGAATATGGCCGCATCGCATGGGATGACGGGTGCATACTAGTACAATGACCGTGCGTCAACAACAAAGCCGGGCTTTGTCCTATTGGCCAGATCCGGCATCCCAGCAGCGTATTCCTTTCCTCATATCGTCTAGCCATCTCGTTTAAAGGCTGAAACCTCCAAGGCCACTTCGCTTACGGCGATTGATCCATCAGGCCGCCTACCAGCGTGGCATTATTGGGTCCCTGGGGGAAAAGGACTTTGGCCGGCCCAAGGGTTTATGAGGCAGTGCAAGATTCCAAAAGGACCATCTACTCTGTACTCCGTACACTCTTGTGGTTTCTCATTCCTGCTGCCTAGCGGTTCCTTCCAGTCTCAATTTGAGTACGAATACAAAGCGATCTTCCATACACATACATTCTACATTTGCAGTTTTCACTGCCTGGCGTAGCGTTTGACTGACCGACGGCGTCCTCTTTCGGTTTTGGTGGCTCGGCCTTTTCCCTCTCATCGTCCTCCTTGACACCGGCACCATGTCATCGAACGCGACACACATTGCCCGCCAGTACTGCACCGAAATCACACCGCAATGTCCGGTCGAGTTGACAACGTACGGATACTACCCCAACTTGGGTGTCAACTCTTTCTTCATCGCACTATTCGGCCTGTGCATGTTTCTGCAATTAGGGCTAGGGATATGGCGGCGGACGTGGACGTATATGGCAGTCCTCGTCATTGGTTGCTTCGGAGAGGCCGTCGGTTATATTGGACGACTGCTCATGCACAACAATCCGTGGTCAGGAGCAGGCTTCAAGACACAGATCTGCTGCCTGGTGCTCGCTCCTAGCTTCCTCGCCGCCGGCATCTACGTGACCCTGAAGCACATGGTCACCTACTGTGGGCCGGAAAACTCGAGGCTCAAACCTAGACGGTACCCGTGGCTCTTCATCGGCTGTGACTTTGGCTCGATTGTACTCCAGGCCATCGGAGGAGGCACCGCCGCGAGCGCTGGCGACCACGGTAGCAAACCCCAGCTGTTGCATGTCGGCAACGGCTTGATTGTGGCGGGCATTGCGTTTCAAGTCGCGACCATGGCGATATGCGGGTTGCTGATGCTGGAATTCTTCCTCCGCTTCCAGAAGGCCAAAAAGGCCAGATCGGCGTCTCACTCGGAGAGCGAATACGAGAAAAACCAGGGCTTGCAGAAGGCGACGCGCAACTTCCGCATTTTCTGTTTCGGCATTGCGCTGGCGTTTCTGACCATCTTCATTCGGTGCATCTATCGGTAGGTGGTGCGCTCCGGTGGCTGAGTGTCTGCAGGTTTTGCTGACCATGTCTTGCAAATAGTCTCCCGGAAATGGCTGGCGGCTGGGGAAACCCTCTCATGCAAAATGAAACCGAGTTCCTGCTTCTCGATGGAATGTGAGTTGCTGTCTAACTTGGACTCTCAGTGACATTGCTGACCGGAATCACTCTAGGATGATCGGTATCGCCACAGTGGCCATGACTTTGGTGCACCCCGGCTTTTTCTTCGAGCCAATGAGGAAGTTCAAGAATTGAAACGTCTTCGTTGACCTCGTTGTGATTTTGCATCAGCGTGCGAGGCTGAAGATGATGTGCATTGGATGAAAGCGTTCTTGAAAGCGTTCTTTGGCCACCTGTTGTTTTAGAGGGATAGATGAGGCCGAGCGGCATATAGAGTTAAAGCACCTAGAGTTGAATCCCAGAGTAAAGCAGTGCGATATACGCAGCATTTGCTGGAGCCTGCTTCATCACCTGACCTCGCGGCTAGTGCGTACCTATAGGTACTTTCCACAATGTGCATGGTTCAAAATATCTCAGATGGAATATGATGATTGAGAGAACGTGACCGATCAAGTGATGGCGAGGATGATGAAGCTGTCCTCTTAGGTAGTATGAGGTAACTAAGGTAGTTACTCTGTATTCAACAGGGATCTGTATCCGTACCTATATATCCGTATCATCCGAACTCCGCCAAGCCCTTTCAAACCGCGAACAGGCGCTGCAAGCCGGATTCTCCAACGCCGTCTCCCTCTCTACATGCCCACGTCCTTGTTCGCCTGCCAGTCTCCTCTACGATCTACGAGGTCATTACCCCCAATGAATGGCTCAGAGGAGGGAGGTCCGGGAGACAACGTCGCCAAATGCCTTCCCGTCGCTCCCACACAAAGTCGCATCACGGGTGCAGACAATGCAAGGCGAGAAGAGTCAAGGTCAGCATCCATCCCATACCCAACCCTCCTAGCCCGACGACTCTTTGCTTCGCGTTCGACGGGTCTGCCTAGCCCTTGACCTTCCTTTTCGACGTCTGACTCCACCTGCCAGTGCGATGAGATGAGCCCGCAATGCCAGCGCTGTGTCAAAAGGCAGATTCAGTGTTCGTTTGTCGAGGACGGTCCGGAGCGGCTCTCGTCACCATCGGGGAACATCATGGTCTTTGACAGGTGGACAACCAAAAGTCTTGACAATCCACCGCCTCCAAGTTCAGACCCAGATCAGCCACGCCAAGGGTCGACTCCGAGCGCGAGTCCTCAGTCTGGTGTGGTGACTGGGGGAGATGCCTTGCAGCGGGGAGGCAAACGATTCGACATTTTGGACCTTGAACTCATCCAGCACTATTCAACTCGTACATACATGACCATGTCATCCAGACTATCCTCCCATGCTGTGTGGCGTGACACGGTCTTTGCGGAGGCATTGTGCCACGATTTTCTTCTTCATGGTGTATTGGCAACATCGGCGCTGCACAAAGCAACAATGCAGCCCAAAACATCTGACGTCTATGCCGAGTATTCCAAGGTTGCTTTGGCCCATCAAAACGCCGCACTCGCCGGGTATATCCCCGCGGTCAGCAAGCCTAGCCAAGAAAACGGCATCGCCCTGTTTTGCGTCTCCCTTCTTCTTGCAATCTGGGCTTTCGCTTCGAAAAGGCTGCCCGAGGGCTTGAACAGCGTCAAGCTAGAGTTCGGACAAGGAGAAGTGTCTCCAGGGGTCACACTACCCCTACACTCACCCACGGCCGATTTCATAGAGATCATCATGATCCTTAGAGGAATATATGCCGTGTTCCGTGAGACAGACTCCTGGCTTCAGGGTGACATCGAGGAACTGCTGCGTTATCCTCGGGATGCAGACCTTCCCCCTCATTCCGCCGATGTTGTGGAAGCATTTGAGGTGCTGGCCAAAGCACTCGAAGATCCCGAATTGGTCCCCCTCCTAGACTATGAAGGGTCGAAAACCACAAAGGGTCTTCTTCTCGAGCAATTGGGACGACTGCATAGCATCTCTCGATGCCGCTCTGTTGTCGAGTGGGACGGCCATATCTTCACTTGGTTTACCATGGCCCCTTTGCCATTTATCAATTGTCTGAAACAAGGCAACCCCGTGGCTCTGGCTCTCTTTGCGCACTGGGCGGCCATGTTCCAGTGTATGGATCATCACTGGTGGGCAACCGGCTGGGCCTACAGTTTGGTTGCCGACGTCTCGAGTCTTCTCGAGCCAGTCTGGGCCCGATATCTGGACTGGCCCAGAAGACAAGTCGGTCTGGTGTTCCAGGAAACCGGCTGCTTTGAGGGCCGCCGATGAGCTTGTGGCTTACTTTCGATTCGAAGTCCTACATTTGTTTCTCGAAGCGGCAGAGACTTTCTAGTATGCATGCTGATACTCGGCAAGAGTTGATGGGCTGCTATTAGTATTGTTGCCACAGATTTACTATGCGTTGACATGTGGTGGTCCCAGGCGCGCCTGCAGCAACACCGGCCCTGATCAGATCGTGCTCCAAGGCTTCTCTTTCCACTCTGGAAGCTACCAACCGACCACGATGTGCTTAGTGCCTATCGCGACCTGCAATCCATCATTATCGCTCATCAGATGCTCTATCATTAGTCCACTGGTCTCACACTCCTGTGCTCGCCAAAAATGCCAATTACATTTCAGCCAGTTTCGAGTGCGGCCGCTAGCCTTCGAAGTGAACCCCTGCTGAGCCCGCCCCGATCACACACCGGCTCCGAAGACGTTCCTTTCAAGGCGGATGACAGTGATCAAACCAGTCTAAGCATGAAAAAGGGAAGAAGCCGCCGGCGTTCTCGCCAGCTTCCATTTGGTGAATCCGCAGTCCGCTCAGGCCGGCATTCCATGGTGACAAGATACCACAACTCCCGCAAACCCCGGAAGCCAGGTCCCGCATGTTCCTTCCTCCCACTGCGAAAATCTCGTTCTCAGCCATCCATCCACTCTCGGTCTGTCACTGGTTCTGTTGAGCTACTTTCAAGCCGAGAGTTGCGAGCACGGCGATGGACAGTCCCTTCTAAGGCCTCTTCAACTAGAGCACTGGCCACAGTCGTCCCACTCCAGGAAGTCGCCGATCGACGCCCAACCAAGAAGTCCAAGTCCTCTCTAAGTCCCGCAATGATTACCCTGCGTCGCGCAACCACAGCAGGCTCTCAGCGAAGACTGTCACTAACCTCCTTCCCTCCCCCAAAATTTGGTCGTAGGAGTAGCGGTTTCCTCTCGACCATTTTCAACACAATCACAACGGGTCACCATGACGCTACTTCTTCTTTTACGAATGCGCAGACAAATTCACAGAAAGCCTCGTTCATCACCAGCAGCAGTGGCGAAGTGCGTCCTGCTACGAGTACCATCGCTCCTCCAGTTCGTACCGAAGTGGTGGCGCTGGACACCCCCGTTTCTTTTCCCGGGCAGGTCTATACACCGCAGCCCGGGCGCCGATGTTCGACTCGATACATTTCTGACGACGGGGTGTACGAGATCATTTGGGACCAGAGTGGCTCTACTACCACCTCCGAGGGAGCGGCTCCTAGCCCTCAAAGTAGAGAATGGGCGCTTGGGCGCCGTGGTTCTGGTGACACAGAGCCCGTGGAAAGGCGGCTCTCGAGAGCTCTCATCCAGTCCAGAAGAACTTCTCTGCAAGGAGCGGCAAGCCGACGAGGATCATACTGGCCGACTAGCGAAACAACGTATGCGCAAGGGCTACTCGATTTGTTTGACAGTCCAAAATTGGCCCGGCTTGCACGAGAAACAGCATTCCGGAATTTACCTCGTTCCAGAGCCTCAAAGACAACCCTGGCCCCGGAGATTGCGCGGATGGATATCACTCAGCAAATGGTGGTCGAGCCACTGGGTCAACAGGAGGAAGATCAGGTCGTGGATTTCTTCCCTCCATTCCAGAGTCGATTGAGCATGGCTGGAAGCACGAAACTACATGATCCGTTTCCTAGATGGGCTGAACGGGGGCAAGAGGCGCATGAGCACCTGTGTACGCCAGTCCCAGGGAGCCCAGGGGGGGAGGCAGCCTGGAGTAGGAGAAGCAGCTACGGTAGCATGATTGGAATCAGCAGACACATCAAACGGAGAAGCGTCTCTGCTGGTCCGCATTCCTATTTAAATGTCAGCGAGGGTTGCGATGCTGGCAACCGAAGCAGCTGTAGATCTTATGGAAAGGGGCTTGATGATGACACTGCACCGCTGCTGGGTGCCACGTGAAGAGTTGGAGCCATCGAAGCTTACTCCTGGCACGGCTCGAATGCATGGAATGGAATGGCTGTGGAGCAACTGGTAGAGACAGTGTTCCACCTCCTAGATTGATCCTATTACGCATAGGTACGGAATATCATTTTGACTAATTACACGTGGCGAGTCAATTACTCTGTACATACCTATGTTATGTATGTGTAGGAACTATAGAAAGGCTGGCTCAACCGAAGCCGAAACGGGGACCACTGTCTTTTCTCTTCGGGGACCTATATCTATGCGAATATGTAGCCTGAGCTGGACTGCGAGCCGCGCTTAGGCTACGATCCAGTGGCAATGGTCGTGGAGGGGTCAGAAGGGGATCTGGCCGGCTTCCCGAGGCCAACAAGATTGTGTAAAACAATCTGCCGGAGGGCAAAGGGAAAACCGTCAAGATAAGAGAAGTAATCCACGGGCAGATAATGTGGAACAACACTGGGCACTTGTTCTTGATAGCGCCGTGCATATTCCTTCTCTTTTGAGGTGCTTTCATTGGCAATCCATCTTTCTCCGGTCGCTTACGGGGGTTGCTCGGCAGCCCGAAGCGAAAAGCCCCCGTGCGGCGTGCACTCCCAACCCTCCAACTCCAAGTAAAACGAATCGGGGGATCTGCGGACGAAAGACAGGCAGTTGGGAGTGGCGTCCGCGTAATGGGGATATGAAGTGAGTGCAACTCGGGTTCGTTGCGGTCGGCGAAGGATGTGGGGGAGAGAATCATGGAACAGGGCACTTGAAGTGCGGAATTTGGCCTCTTTGTCCATTTGTCGCTAATAATGGATGGTGGTGGATTCCGATGCCAGTGGCACGAGGCCTCGAACACCCGTCTCGGCGCTGGTTTGGGCGAGACAGTCTCCGAGTCCAGACGCCGAATAAGAACGCAAGTGGAAGAGGGCTCAGGCGTCGAACAGCACAGCGAATGAAGGTAACGACAACGGGATGGACATGCCAGCGGATACCGACTCTAGAGGCGGGTGAAGAATCAAGAATCGATACCCAATACTCCGTACTCCTCAGTGTGCGACGTGGGAGGAGTAGGACGAATACAGAAGCATTCCTAAGCATCGTCGGCAGGTTCTATGTGACATCGCAGGCAGGCAGCCAGGTAGGTACCTAGGTAAGGTACAGAAGGACTTTCGGAACCCGAAGCCACGGCGAGAGTATGTGTAAGAGTATATCCACCATCTTAGATATCCGTACTCCGTACGGTATCAGTATCGCCGCTTTTCGGCGGGAGTGCCACCTGTAGGTACGTGGTACTAGTAGTGTTCGCCGTTCGGATACTCGATTCATCCTTGACCTCCCGGCCGATCCATCGGGTCCCTTTAGGAGAGTAAGACAGTCGAACTACTCCGTACCAACATCTCCACGAGCGACAGCGTCACCTCAGGAAGCCAGGATACTGGACTACACTCTGTTCAGCCCCCAGTACTAAGTAATCCAGTAATGCCCACGTCTGCCATTAATATTGGGACTACACATACTGCTTCGCCTATAGGTTGACCGGGAATAAGCTCGTCGGTATTGGTGGCATGAAGGACCGTTGTTTAGCCACGCACCCGGACACCAGACACCAGCCAAACACCAGCCAGACACCAGACACCACAGGCATCGCTGGGGCCCGAGAGCCTAAGCCTCGCTACCCGCCACGACTGGCACAAGAGAGCACGTCGGCGCACCACCATCCATCACATCATCACACCCCCCATCCCAGTGCCAATGCACAACCCAAAGTATGTACGCCGTACGGAGCATGTATGTATCATCAGGCACGCGGCCCCATCGGCTAGCCTTAGGCCTCTAGCCTCTTAGGCCATCTCTGTCATTCTTCCGGCTGAGCTGGCACTGCGTGATAGCCTGCCCGACCTTTGCTCCGACGCCTGTGCCTGTGCGAACCTGCCTGCGCCTGCACCTGCACCTGCACCTGCGCCTGCGCCGGCAATTGCGCCCTATCTCGGTCCAGTCCAAGCTTCCCACTCCGTTGACCATTTCGCTCTTCTCATACGACCACGGTACTTTTCCTTGCGTTTCCCTTGACCTTGATTTCATAACTATCCATGTACGAGATACCCAAATAACACGACAATCTCGAAATAACCATATAAACTTCGCCATAATTGCCGTCCTGGTTGCTCTGGATATCTGCCGATCCTCCGAAACCAACCGTTGTTGGCCCTCGGGCAGCGCACCCTAGACTCTGACCTGACGAGAGCGAACCCGAACGTGCTGAGCGTCTTCTTCGCAACCGCCTGTCCGGCTCTGGTGCTTCGAATTGACCTGTCAAGATGATCAGGTCATGACACATAACCCTCCGGCCGCAGCGCGGCCTCCTCCGCCACGACGGCCTCCCGACACCCATCGGCTTTCCCTCGATCGGTCGACTACCAGGATCATTCCCCCGATCGATGGAAGACCACTGGGTCTACAAAGGCAGGTCGGACAGCTTGGAGGTGATCGACCTGCAAAACGGCGCAAGGTAGAAGGAGATGAGCCAACGAGCCTGGGCTCCGGCGCCAGTGATAAAGCGCCGGCTGCCACAAGTCCCAAGTCTCTGTCCAATGCAAAAGCATATCATCTCCGTTTGCTCAAACCGTCAGTACTCGGGAGCCGCCAGAAAGAGGACGTGAAGAGCGTGAACGGCGACTTACCTGATCTCCCGGCACGTCCATGGCATCACGCAGAACACTATAACGCCACCGAAGAGCCCAAACCAACTCATCGGTCGCGGGTCAAACTTCCCGTACCAACTACGCCCGACTCGCTGCAACTTCCTTCATCGGCGCCCTATATTGTCCCTAAGAAGCCCGCCGGGTTCTTCCCATGGACAGGGAAACATCCCGAGGATGTGCTCAGTGATGTCAATGTCAAACAAGGCTTTTTCGATAAGCCACCCAATCCACCGGAGAAGGAGCTGAACACGGCCAGGGTCCCACTTTATAACGCCTTCAAACATAAGTCCGGAGTCGAAAACTTATCCATCCTGTTCTCTCTCGTCCTGGATCAGAAGAATCAGCATGGTCTGATCAGCTCGGCCTCGACTTTCAAGCCACCTCCACGAGTCACGTTGACCGAAGCAAAACGGAAGTCCTGGATTGCGGACCTGGCCAATGCAGATGTCCCGCTGAGGAAACTGAGTCGGACCATCCCGCAAGGAATAAGGGGCCAGATCCTTTTGGACCTGTGTTTGCAAAGCTGCGTGCCCTTGAATCGTGCAGTCTGGTTCGCCAAATGTGTTTGTGCAAACGAGATTCGGACCTTGAAGAGAAAAGGAACCACTCCTGCCGTCGCCGTTGGCGCTGAGAGCAAATGGATTCGCGAGTGGACTGTCAACGTCGAGCAATTTGTGGAAACACACCTCGAACCCACAGATCATCCGGACTGGAGGTCAAACATACAGTATGCGCTCCATCTAACCACGCGCCTGTATATGGAGCACTTATTGGATCGAGATCACTATCTGGATTGGATAGTACGGTCCTTCCACTTGGCGGATCTGGGTCACACACCTTTCTGGCTGATGGTCATGCACATCCACCAAGAAGATATATGCCACTTTCGCAAACTGGGGGGGAGGCTTGCAGAGGTCCTAGTTGAGAAATTCGAGCTTGTCAACAAACCTCTTGCTGAAAATACAGCTCCGCTCCGGCAAAAGCTCTACCATACGATCCGGTGGCTGCTCCACTCCCGTCCTGTGAGCTTCCTCATGCCGGAAAAGTGGCCACAAGCTGTCGTGTCCGTACGGTCGTGTCTTGACACGAAGGTCCTAGCAGAGCGTCAAATGTTGGATCAACTCAATCGCATCAATGCAAGGACCATGGGTCACAATAAGCACGCTTATACAGCCAAGCGCTCTACTCATCAGGTGATTGTGGAAGTACTGGATTCTGCGCAACCTCCATATGACCTCCCGAAGCTTGCAGAAAGTCTGAGCGCAGCATGTTCGGATATTCCTCGACTAATTTTTACTTGTCTCGAGTGGACATGTACGCGTTTTCGACAATCCAAGTCTCGCATCTTTCTCTTCGCCCGTTTGGCAAAACGTTGGCAGAGCGCCGGACATGACGTTGACAATGTTATCCTGAATTACCTCTCAGCATGCAGGAAGGGAGACATCAGTGCGGATGGGAAGCCTTTGCAGCATTTGGCTGCCCAGCTCTCGCGGTCGGGTTTGTTTCCTTTGAGCAAATATATACAATGGCTCATGGTTCGAGGACTTCCCAAAAAGAGGGGCATGGTGACTTGTCTGGAGCCTATGTCAGTGGCTGCCGGACCCGGTGCTCTTCCGATGGAAGCAGACCCCAGTCAGCTGTTGCTTCACGTGTCTTTGCAAAATGTTGAGCAGCATGTGATCAATCTGCGGAACTCGATACTCCGTGGCTCTGGCTTTGACCCCGACGTGGAAGACAATGTCTACCAGGACTGTGTTGGGTTTCTTGAGCAAGAACTCGCATTACTAGATCGCGGACCAAAGCCGTCGGAACCGAGGATACCCACACCCGCCTTTGCGTCGCTGCCATGGACTGTCAGATCCCGGCTCGCCATATGGCTGCGCACGAAAGTCGCTGCCAGAGCGAAGGCTAGAGTGAATGTGCCGTGCGCGCCAGCAGGTGTCAACCTTCTTGGGTCTCGAATCCTCGACGTTGACCAATTCGCATTTGTTCGCAACGTTCTTGAGTGCATGGAGGATGATGCTGTATTGGCTGATGTGATAGGAATTCTGTCCTGCTCGCAAGACGATGATCTGATTGCGTCTCTTGTTGCAACGCTATGTTTTCACGCAGATGCTTTCTCGGCAATCGGAGCACTGGAAGTGCTGCAACGGCGGGCATGCCAAATCTACTTGGGTTGGCGAACCATCCGACCAACTATGCCGCTTTTCACTTCGTCTCTGCTTGACCTCTGCACAGCTTACCCGATGAAAACGCCGACGACCAGACTCTTACAGCAAGATTTTGTCAGAGGCGATCGAGGACGCGCGGTCGCAGCATGTTCCCCTTACAGTGACGGCATTGCTGAATCATTACAACAAGCCGGAGCAACCTTTGTCGAAGACTTTGAGGCTATCCTACAGTCCGAACACAACATGAACGAGCAAACAATGAATGGACTCTTTTCGGTTTTGGTGGACCGCATCGAAAAGCAGCTTAAGTTTGGTTACAGTTCCACCACGGTGGCATCGTTCTGCCAGCTTCTGAGCCGTTTGCGATTATGCAGAAAAGCTCAAGGAGATCTGCTGATTGGAAGGTGGATGGCACAACTTGTGCCGTCAATCGATGCAACTTTTGGATCTTTGTTGCTTCAAAATCTCATTGGCACTGGATGTCTGACATTTAGTGGCTTGTTCGAAGCAGCCCGCACTCCCAACTCAGGTTTAAGCCAAAGCTCAGCGACCAGGAGCTTGCTACAGCACCTCATCACACCGCCGCCAGGTTCGTTGGCTGATATAGTCTTATATCGAACCCAGAGTCGCTGGTTCGAATATATCCAGCGAGAATCCCGGTCTGTCTTAGAACTACTCTGTGAGATGGGCCTGGAGTCTACGTCTTTTCCATTAGAAGAGACTCTGCTAGATTGCCTAGTCAAAGATGACACCATCAGGTCGTCTCCGATGTCTCACCCGGCGGAACAATGGCTCCTCAAGGCACTCAATCGCTCGCTTCGTTGTCAAGAAAGGCCTATCAGAAATGAAGACATTCGAGCGCTTGTGAGCTCTATCAACGTCTTCTCTCACCGATTTGTGCAGTTGAGGCTCTGGCTTACTTCACGGTCTGGGCCAGAAAGCAGTCTGGCGCCGGATGAAGATGAACTCGTCAAGGCCCTCTCTGAGGCACTTGAGCAGATGCTCCAGGATCCCGCTGGCAACAAGGAGGGTGACGTCTGGTTCACGCAATTGCTCGACGCAGTGGAGGTAAACGTCGCCAACCGACTGCGCCATCAGGTCGAGAACGAGTTTTTGGGAGCATTGCCAAAGTTCCAACTCAACAAGGCCACCACTTCGTTGCCGTGCGTCTTTTCCGGCGACGTCCACCATCTGTCTTCGATTATGGAACGAGCTTATCTCCTTTGCACGAAATCCACCAGTCCGACTCTCGGATTTCTGCCTCTGTTGATTGATAAGCTAACACAACATCTCAAGGCTCTGGGCAGCACTTCCTCGGCCATGGCCCTTTCAACAAGCGCTGGAATTTCTGGATCCCCGCAGAACACGAATCATCCTCCGCTGACGAGTGTGACACCCAGCCCCATAGCAAACATTACTTCCGAAGGCGGGCATAGCGTGTTCCCGGGAATGATCTTGGATTGCTTGCACCATCTACTCCAAATGCTGTGTCTCCAGCGCGTGGCACTGCGTGATACTGGACCGGCTGGGCTGAATCCGAAACAAGCGCAGTCCGAACAGGTACAGCTCCTCGTACGCCTAGCGTGGATAGCGACACACCCGGCCATTACGTCTGCACCGACAAACCTGACTAGCAAGGAAGATCAGCAAAAGGCAAAGGACGTACTCGAATTCACATTTGATGTCATTGCAACTATGATGGACGAGGTCAGCGACGACGTGAGAATGATGAGTGCCAAAATTCTGAAAGACAAGCTACAAGATGCACGGATGAAATATTTGTTTGGCAGCGTCAACATCATGGGGTCCGCGCAAGTGCGAGATCTGGGCCAGGGATTGCAGATTATCAAAGAAGCCAAGGGCTCGCTAGGAGATTGGAAGCCTCGAGTGTGGGAGATTTTGGACAATGGCAGCGGGAAGGAAAGCGAGACATCTCTTGGATTGGGACTTTTTGGGGCACGGCATAAATGATTCCGGGCAGGGCGGTGAACAAAGACGCCGGTAAGAGCTACGGATGCGTGGGTGTACTCTGTCAAGCATTGCATTTGCCTGCAGTGGGATACAGCGGGCTGCGGGCTGCGTGACTTTCCGCATTGGGCGACTTCGCATGATCTCTACGAATAGTGATGAAACAAACGTGGTGGTGAACTGTCTTGCTTGACGTTATTTTCGGAGGGATTTTGACAGCTTGACAGGCTCTAGCTAGACATGACAGGGTTAGTTCCTGTTGGATATTCATTAGTACGTACAGTAAATATGGGTGTACTGTACGGAGTCTTCGTCCCCGTCTCACGGCAAACGGGGTCCAGTAAGTTTGCTCCTTGTTTCGCGAGGAGTCCGGCACCAGGCGTGCGAGCCGCGTGACGGCGTGCTGGTGCATTCTGGGCGGAGGAGGTGTTATTGCGGTGTACGGATCAGTCGGTGTATCGAGGACTGTTGGGTGGGCATGGGGCCGACGAGCTGGTCATGCGTAGGAACTTGAAGCAGTAACGACGTGCCTCGCAATCATCCATGGGACCATGGATGGGTACGTCTCGTGACATGCTATTCCTGCCGATCGCCGCGCTTTCGGATCGCGTATGTACGATGATTATCTAGGTACTTTGCACATCTGTGGTGTCTGCGCGTGGACAGCACACGCGCGCGTTGGTTTCATCTGCCCAAGCCTGAAGAGGCACATCATCTGGTCTGGTGCCAAGTGCATGACCACTGCCCAGGCCCCAGGCTGCAGGCATGTCACCGGGATGGTGGGAATCGAGGGGCAGATGGAGGCCTGAGCCTGCGCTAATCTGCTCGCATACTGTACTCCGGACCGCGTACAGTGGCAACACACCTCCCTACCATGCAGTGACGGTGACGGGGACGGTGACGGTGACGCGGAAGGGCTTCGCACAGAGATTGGGAGATGGTAGCAGTGTGTTCAAGTTGAAGGTGGTCATGACGAGCGGCCGAGAAAAGGTTCTGACCACTATGCAGAGGCAGCGGCACCCACCACCACGACTATGCAGCATGTGCAGGCACCAAGAGAAGAGATCTCGCTGTCAGGGTCCAGAAGAATCCGAGCTCGACCTGCGCGGCTTCCTGATCAACATGGATCGACTCCTGCTCATCTCTCCTCCCTCCACCACCATTCTTGACGCTGACTGCGTTCCGCCCCCTAATTAATATGAATACCTTTCTTTGTTGACAATAATGTTAATCTCTCCTCCGGTACATTCATCATTCCTAGTTTTGTTCCTCTTCCCGTGTCTCCTAGATCTCTACAGGTTTCGCCCTGATATATCCCCATCCTCTCTCCAGCATCGCGTCCTGACTGATAGCTATACGCAACCACTTTATTCCTCGTCCACATCCGTCTCTCGGAACTCTCTGCTCAAATGGAAGCAGAGTGATCGTATCTGATTTTCTGTACAATTATCATCCTTGTCGCATTTTCTCCCATGGCTCCGCAGCCTTCCGCGCAATGCGGCGACTTGACCGGCACGCCAAATGCGTCCGCCACGCAAGAAGACGCCCGGCGTTCTTCTCGAAGAACGTCTCCTACGCCGTTGGCCTCATCCAGTCCCTCCATCGACGAGAAGCCTACGCCTCGCTTCGACAAATGGAGTCTGGGAATACTCAACGACAGAGAGACTGAAGAAGTCCCCGGTACTGTTCTGCTTCTCTCTGCAAAGCGCAATGAGCCTCTGGGTGTCGAACCCCAGCCTACCCCGAAGGCCGAGTCCTCGATGCCTCCGCAGCCCTTGACACCCAGGCGGACCTCATTCTCGCTGCCCTCCACTCCTAGGCGCAACTCATTTTCCTCTACGAAAAGAACAAAAGATGGTCAATTAATATTGGAGCCACAGCCGAGCGATTCCATGAATGACCCCCTCAACTGGCCGGCTTGGAGAAGGGACGTTGCCCTGCTGTCTTTGGGCTTCTACTGCATGCTCGGTGGAGGAATGACTCCAATCCTTGCTGCGGGTTTCAATAATGTCGCGGAGACCTTTGACGTAACATACTCGATGGTGGCCCTGACCACAGGTTTGTACATGATGGGCCTCGGAGTTGGTAGTGTCATTTTCTCTCCCACCGCCATTTTGTATGGTAAACGGCCCGTCTACTTGCTGTCCGCAGTCATGTTCATCCTTACCTCTGTTTGGTGTGCTAAGGCCCCCAATTACACCCACTTGGCCACCGCCAGAGTGTTCCAGGGTATCTCGGTGAGCCCAGTCGAGTGTTTACCGTCGGCGACCATTGCGGAAATCTTTTTCCTGCACGAGAGGGCATTTCGGCTAGGCATCTACACCCTGCTTCTGCTAGGCGGAAAAAACTTGATTCCTCTGGTGAGCGCAGCAATTATACAGGCGAAAGGATGGAGATGGGTCTTTTGGTGAGACTGCCTTTTGCATCAACCTGTTACACACGTTGACATATACAGGGTCGTGACCATTGTTGTAGGTTTTGGTTTATGCCTTTTGTTCTTTTTCGTGCCAGAGACATTTTGGGACCGAACTCCAAGACCTAAATCCAGGACGTCGGCCGCTCGACGAAGCTTGACAAGTCTGATTCATCATCCTTTCCATCCCAACAAATCAAGTGTGCCACAAACTCCCGCAGAAGCAGATCAGGCAGCGATAACAGCGGCTTTTGAAAAAGTGATGACACCTCGCCGGCAGATGCTGCATGAGCGCAATACACATGCTAGATTTGAAGATGCCATGTTTGACAAGGCGGATGGAGACAAGCCTGAAGAGGTCTCATCTCCAGTGGCCTCCAGCGACTCTAGAAGAGACGTCATTCGCCCAGGAGCTGTGCACCAGACGGACGGAACGAACGATGCCGTAGATGACCGCGCCCCAACGAAGAGGGATATCCCGTCCACAGTCGGGTCAACCACAGCAGCGGCTCCTCGCAGAAAACGACCGACCGGACTGAACCTGCCACCTCCGCCCGATTTGGGCGCTCCATCTGCACCGGGAATTGGCTCGGATGAGAAAAGCTTGGGGCCAGGAGCCAACCAGGCCGAAACTGCGCAGCCGGTGCCTCATCTCCATAATCTCAATTCCCCGTACTATGTGGAGATCGAAAAAAAGGACGATTATCTCGGGCATCATGCCGTTCCTATGCCTCAAGTGCATGGACGCCAGGAAGGCCGTCCAGGATTGCTCCGTCAAGAGACTGCCACATCAATACCCGGCTCCGATCATAACGGGGCCGACTTGGAGGAGGCCAGAAGTACAGAGGAGACTGACTCGGGTTCTCACTTCATACGTTACACCGCCCGATTGAGCGATTCTCCCCCTAAAACGTATCTTGCGACTCTCCGGCCGTGGAACGGAAGGTTGTCAGCCTCGAATTGGTTCCGGGTCGCTCTTCGACCCTTCATCTTGTTTGTCTACCCAAGTGTTCTTTGGTCTACCCTGGTCTATTCCCTATCAGTTGGGTGGCTCATCGTCCTCTCGGAAGCTATATCAACCATCTATCGAACTCGCGATAGTTACAACTTCTCGGCCCTGGGGGCTGGACTGGTGTACATATCGCCGTTTGTCGGCGGAATTCTGGGCACGGCGATTGCTGGAAAGGTGTCTGATATCATTGTGCGATATATGGCACGGCTTAATGGCGGGGTCTACGAGCCTGAGTTTCGACTGGTGATGGGCATCCCCGTGGCACTCACCACGGTCATTGGGTTGATGGGCTTTGGTTGGTCTGCACAAGAGCGGGACAACTGGATCGTGCCCACCATCTTCTTTGGGATCATCTCCTTTGGGTGCAGCCTCGGCAGCACCACCGCCATCACTTTCTGTGTTGACAGCTACAGACAGTACGCAGGCGAGGCACTAGTGACGTTGAACTTCAGCAAGAACATCTTCCACGGCCTGGTGTTCAGTCTCTTCTTTGCCAATTGGTTGCAGAGCGACGGGCCCAAGACGACCTTTCTGGCCATTGGTGGTATCCAGATGGCTTGTCTGCTGACGACGATCCCCATGTACATTTACGGCAAAAGGGCCAGGATGTGGACCGTTCGTCAAGGTTTCATGGAGAACTTTTGATATTGTTTTCTTGTGCTCCCCTTGGGAGAAGGTGGATTAGGGCCCTTCAGACGAATCTGGGTTGGAGTCGGCTTGTATGAAACCGTGGTTGTGCTCTGAGAGGCACCTGGCTTCTGGAACTTTGGGCTTCTGGAACTTTGGGCTTCTGGAACTTTGGGCGCAATGTTGGATGTTTCCGTGTCGGGTTTGACCGAATATGATGCATGGTTTTTTGTTTGTCTGGTTCTGGTTTTGGTTCTGGCCATCAGGGGCGGGCGAGCGAGAGCGATGGCGTTGGAAGGCTACAATGGCGAGTAACGAACGACATATGACCACCTATACATAGTACGAACTGGGAAAGTATGATTGATGGGCAGTAGACAGGGATACAACTTGACTGCTAGTCGGCATGCAGACATGTTGCCGGCCGGTGGCAATTGGAGGGAAGGCAAGAGTGCGCCTCAGCCTGATACGTGATACATGCATGATTGTTCTTCGATGTTGTCTTGGGTCACTGCCTACTCTGTACCTAGTAGGTGCCTAGATGTGGAGATATCAGTCAAAGACGTTTCTCGTCTGATCACAGACCATAGCTCCATGTTGAAGCATATACCATTATACCGACATACTGTACTCCGTACAGAGTACACCCTGCAAGCAGCAAGACCTATTTTTAGATATCAGTATCTTCTCTGTACAAGTAGTATCTATTCAGACCATCCATCTCAGGCTCCCAGTGTTTCCAATACCAATGGCTCATGTGGAGAACCCCGGACGCAGCGAGCGATTTAATATTATTAGTATTTGTACGGAGTACTGTACCACCACTTCACCACCTTTGACGTCTTTTGAGGGAAATTCCTCACAACCGTCGGGGCGTCTCTCTGGGTTCCATGACGCAGAGAACTTCCCCCATGACAGACCGGCCAGGCAGACACGGTCCTTCACCTCCACCTCGTCCCCTCCTCCTCCTAGTTTCCGTCGTAGCATTAATTAACATGGGACCAAGACGAAGGCAGGACAGTGGACACACTAGTAGCACGTGGGATGGGATGTAGTGGGAAATACGGAGTACTCCGTAGAAACTACCTACCTACCTAAACCTACCTTAGGTAGGTAGGTATGCTGTGACGAGTGCCAGTGGGAAAATAGTCCCATCCCGACAGGCAGGCAGGCATCAAGATATCATGTCATGTCCAGGCAGCAATGTTAATTTATTCCCTCGTCGCTCACCCACCACCACCACCACTACCACCATTACTGTCTTTCGATCGGGCTTCGGGCTGGGTTGGGGGTCGGGGTCAACCCTAGTATTAAGCCACTATCAGGAGTGTTAACCCTGGTATTAAATCACTGTCAGGGGTATCTCCCCAAATCCTCATCCTCATCCTCGACCCCTGTCCGCCCAATGATGAGAGGGGACGGAGAGGGAGAGGGAGAGCCCAAGAAAAGACTCAAGACTAAAGACTTTGCAGGAGCACCCCGTGTGGACACTCGAACCCTGATGGTCTCGTGGCTGGCAAGGCAGGCAGGCAGGTAGTTAGCCAGAGGTAGTTGGCGGGTCAGCCTTGAGCATGCATGCAGATCCCGATTCGTGCGTACATGTATATCCTGTCCTATCCTATCCGTACTCCGTCCATACATCATATCATCATGGGCACATGATCTCGTTGCTTTCCTGTTGCGGCTTTCGGCATCAAGCGTTTCAATCGGGCCGGAAGGTAAAAGCAAAGAAAGGCGTGAATCTACAAGCGTAAGCAAGGTCAAGTTCAAGTGGCAAGAAGCGCAATTGGATGCTTCGCAACTTCGACTTGGTTGGATACGTGCTGGATACGATCGTTGTACTTTTGGGGGCGGGTGCGTGGGACCAGGCTGTGCTGTGCTGCGCTGTGCCTGGCAAGCAAGCAAGCAAGTGAGCAAGTGAGCAAGTATACCTACCATGAGACCCTATTTCCTAGTATTCGGCGCTGCCTGCGTTTTGTTCCAAGACTGACTGACTAACTGACTGACTGACTCACTCAGTCCTATAAAAGCCAGCTCACGGTGTAAGATTGGCTCGGCCGTGTGGAAGGCCTGTCCAGCAGCCGGTGTCATTGTACCTTTTGTTCAATTCAGCGGGGTTGACTCGAGTCACTTGAATTTCGGCGTGATTGATCATGGATGAAAGGCAACCGGAGAGACGTCCTTCGTACCCATACGAGGAATTCGGACGAAAATCGGCATCGAAGACTCCCACCGAGCAGAGACCATCATTCGATATCAGGCAACGACAACGACAAGGACAACGACAAGGGCAACCACAGGGGCAACCACAAGGACAACGACTAGGACAAGGACCTCCTCGGCTAATCAGCCCAAATCCCCTTGCTCCTGACGACGGTGTGGTTGATGGGTACAACTACAACGAGCCAAACCCATATTCTTATTCTTGGCCTCTGTCACGATCACGCAGCAGAAGCCCAGAAAGCCCTGGGGATCACCAATCTACCCGAACCGAGGCCACTGCCACGAGTAAGAGCAAGGGCAAGGGCAAGGGGAGAGAACAGGAACAGGAACAGGAGAGGCGGATGAGCCGTGCCGGCACCTCTCAAACAGGCATGGAGCCATCTTCGCCCAACGAGCAGAAAACGCAGTCGTCGACGAGCGGGAGGCCGCTGAGGCTTGAGACAGAAGCAGCTAGGGCAGCAGGTACAGGCGGCCCTGCAACTGCATCTTCTCGACGCTCTGAAGAGGCACGAGAGAAGAGGACAGATGACCGGGATAGGGACCGGGACCGAGCTGGAAGAGGCAGCGGCAGCGGCAGCGGTCGCTCAAGACTCGTGGCGGGCGTCTTCGTGAGATACTGACCTCGGAAACCCGCGCCGCAATGCTGATGTCGAAGCTGTCGGCATATCCATGCATGCATGGCCTTGGGAAGCTCCCTCCCGCGACGACATTCTCCGCTTCGTTAAAACATCGTTCGATATTTCTTCTCCTATATAGATTTCCACTCAGTCTGGCACCTGTGCCGTATTATACAGAATCCCATGTATTTGGCAGACAAGCGTTCCGCAGAGTTTTGTATCCCATTAGTAGTAGCTTCAGCAGGATTAGACAGTGCGGACGGGGGTGGGGGCGGGTTTGGCAGTGTGCCTTACTGTCGACTCTGTATATGAGTACGGATTGTTGTTTGTATATCCAGCAGTTTGGATCTTCTTGAAACAAACAACACACCAGATCAGCAACAAGCAATGGTACGAAGTAGAGATAGATGGCGAGGGTAAGGCATGTGCTAAACCAGCTGTGGGCAATCAAAGTCGCAGACGAATATGAAGGGGCCGAGGGAAGTCACAGTCACGTGCAGTACTCCGTACGTCGTACGTATTACACACATGATCGACAGGATTGCGGATTGCAGGGCCTTTAATCTCGGAGTGATCCAGGGGTGTGAGATTATCGAGGCGGACACCAGTGGCACTTGACATGTTGTTCTTATTCTGGGTGGACATCGCACAGCCTTGTTGGTGCAGACTCTGCTCGAATTAATCCAGGGTTTCAGGAAATTTCTGCTGCATTACTGACTTGGTGTAGCGCGAGAGACACGCGGATTCTAGGACTACAAGGTGGTAGTAGTATCTATGGAGATTAGGGCTATTAATATTGATGCGGCCGGGTATGTGCTTTGGGCTGAGGGCTGAGGGCTGAGGTTGCGTGGCCATGTTTCAGATCTCGCATCAGTTTCAGTCACTTCAGCCATGGGCGTAAGCCACCGCACGCCGGTCCCAGCTGTCACAGTGTTGAGGCTCCAGGTAGGCTCCAGGTCTCGGACTTAGCCACCAGTGTCGTGATAGAACGGAGTACGGAGTGGGATGGTGATGTGATGGGCAGCGCCGTGGCCGTGGACGACAGGTGCCCGGAAAATTCTCAGTGGAGAGAGCGATTAATATTAGGGACCTAGCTGGGTATAGCGAAGTATCGGGGGGCGGTGCAGCGATCAAGCATTTCTTGATCCCGGGCGAATGAGTTGACGAGAGGATGGGAAAATCAATACTCTCTACAGAGTCACGGGTACTACGTACTACTGCTACTTACTGTATGTGTAACCCGCCTAGAGAATTTTCACCAGGGCTTAGGGGCTGAGGAGGCTGCCGCTGGTCAATCAAGGCGCGAGAAAGCTTGGGCCGGCTCCATTTCCGGGGGACCATGACGATTCTAGGCTGTGAGTGGCGTGCACGGAGGCTCAATGCGGGCAGGGATGGGCATTAACGGCCCCAGACTGGTGGGCTCCGACAGCCAGGGTGCGACAGGGTGCGACAGGGTGCCGCAGGGTGCCGTAGGGTGCCGTAGGGTGCCGTCATGGGTGCCGCTCGCTCGCCTGTCCAGGGCACCAAACACCGAACAGCAGGCAAGCAGGGCCCAGCAGGGGCCCAGACATGCCCGGAAGAGTGGGTGTGGTGATTGGATGGCACCACCCTTGCAGGCCTTGTCCAAGTGCAGCCTCGGTGGGTGCGGTGCAGACTGCAGGGTGCGCATCTGCATGGATGCTTCCTGAATCCCACTGCTGCAGAAAAAGTGCCTGTGCCATCGAGATCGAGGTATGGAGACCCGGGGTTCTCTGCCACCTAATATTACCTCTTTGTTCCCCAATTCAATTCGATTCAATTCACTGTCTCTCGCTCGCTATACTCTTCACTAATCTCACATCACCGCCCACGTTCGTTGACCTCTTTGTTCCCGCCGCATTGCCGAGTTCCTTTGTCAAACCACCCTACCCTCGACTGCCCCGGTGGTATCGTACCCTATCCAGTCTACAATCTACATTGAAAAACCCTTCGATTTCGCGCATACGCATATCCCGCCCTCTCTGGTAGAAGGCCTCGTGTCAGCGCAGGAGTCATCTTTACCGTAGCAAGGGCTGTGTAACTGGGGTTGGGGCTTCACCACCACAGTCTTCCTCTTTCAACACGACGCTCTGTGCCGTCAGTCGATGGCACCGTCACAGAGGAGCCATAGCCGAAATTTCTCCCGAGCAGGATTCCACCCCCTCACCCATCAGAGCTCGAAAGAAATGGTCAACCCGAACGACGTGACGATTGATATTCCCTTGACCAAAGTCGGCACTTCCGGCAGTCGCACTGGCGCCCGCAAGCTGGACGCTTTCAATTCCGCACCACCGCCAGGAAGTGCAGACTCACCAGACCCCATGGACGAGAAAATGTCCCATCATCTGCTCCAAGGCCCGGCAGGCAGAAGGAGACGGCGGGAGAGAACGCCGCCGGAAAAGAGTAACAAGGAAGACGGCACCGTGAATACTGTTGGCCGGCTCTACCGGAAGATCTACAACTTCTCTGTTATCACAAGATACTTCATTTACGTCGCCCCGCTCGCTGCCGCGATCGCGATTCCCATCATCGTCGGCGCCACGATTGCTCCTGGTGCGAAGATTGGAGGGGTCAAAATTGTTTGGTTCTTCAGTTGGATCGAGGTCGTCTGGCTATCCCTGTGGGCGTCGAAAATCGTGGCCCTGTTCTTACCCCTTTTGTTCCAATTCTTCAGTGGAGTGGTCAGTTCAGGGACCCGAAAATATGCCTTGGTCCTGAGAGCTCTCGAGATTCCGGCGTCGCTCGTGGGCTGGGCAATATGCTCCCTGGCCACTTTCGTCCCTATCATGACTTTGAATCCTGATCAAAGAGCACGGGGCGAGACGGGTCTGAAAGATTGGGAATCCGTCGTCAAAAACATTCTCTTCGCATGTGTCTTTTCTACCTTGCTACTGCTTATAGAAAAGGTTTTCATCCAGCTTCTCTCGCTCAGCTATCACCGCGAACAGTTCGCCAACAGAATCGCAGAGTCCAAGCGTCACGTCCATCTCGTGACCTTGCTGTACGATGCCTCTCGACAGCTCTTTCCCATGTACTGTCGAGAGTTTGCCGAGGAGGACTACCTGATCAACGATGTGCTAGATCTCGCCGCGCTCACCAGCAAGCGAAACAGCAAGTCCCATGGTCACAAGCGGTCGGGCTCCGCAACCCCCATGAGACTGATTCAGAACGTTGCTCGAGTGGGGGATAAAGTCACGGCGGCATTTGGCAACGTCGCACAAGAAATCACGGGGAAGCAGGTATTCAATCCAACCGCCTCTCATTCAATCGTCATCCAAGCCCTGGAAAGGAAGCACTCAGCTGAAGCGCTTGCTCGACGCCTGTGGATGTCATTTGTTCTTGAAGGCAAAGATGCTCTCTACTTGGACGACATTGTCGATGTGCTTGGCGAATCGTTTGAGGACGAGGCTCACGAAGCTTTCGACATTCTGGACGTCGACGGCAACGGGGACATTTCCCTCGATGAAATGGTTCTACGTGTCACCGAGTTTGGTCGAGAACGCAAATCGATTGCAAACAGCATGCACGATGTTGACCAAGCAATCAACGTGCTGGACGACCTGCTCTGCACCATCGTCTTCATTTGCACCATCTTCATCTTCATCGCTTGGCTCAACAAGAGTTTCACCACCACCCTTGCCACGGCCGGGACCGCACTACTGTCTTTGTCTTTTGTCTTCTCTGTCACGGCGCAGGAGGTCCTGGGCTCGTGTATCTTCCTCTTTGTCAAGCATCCCTTTGATGTAGGAGATCGAGTCGATGTCGGAGACAATCAGTATGTGGTGGATCGGATGTCTCTTCTGTACACGGTTTTCAGACGAGTCGCCGATCAGAAGCGATCCCAAGTCCCCAACAATGTGCTGAACACTCAATGGATCGACAATGTTTCCCGCAGCAAGGCGATGCGTGAGAGGATTCATCTCTACGTCAGCTTTGACACCACCTTTGAAGATCTCGATCTGTTGAAGAAAGAGATGATCGCCTTTGTTCGAGACAAGGACAATGCACGGGATTTCCAACCGGACATCGATATTGAAGTTACTGGATTGGCCGAAATGGACAAGATGGAGTTGACCTTGGACATTCGCCACAAGTCCAATTGGGCCAACGAGGCCGTGCGAGCAGCCAGACGGAGCAAGTTTATGTGTGCGTTGGTCCTTGCTATGCGGAAGATCCCCATCTATGGCCCCGGTGCCGGCGGTGCCGCCCCCGGAGACCCGGCCAATCCAACATACTCCGTCACCATCTCTGACCAGGAGGCGAAGAGGAACAAGGAAAGCTTCGAGGACGACAAAGACAAGAGCAGGCTCATACCTCTGTTGCCCCACCACAAGAGTGATGCCAACCTTTCAAGGACGGAAGCGGGCTCCTCAAGTGGCGCCCAGGTGACGGAGGTGGCAGCTGTAGACAATTTGATCAAGCGTGATGTGGCCGTCGATCCTGAAGATACCCTCAACGATGAGCGAGAGCTTGCAATGGACCGAAAACGGTCGAACGAGGTTGATGAAGTTCGCAATATTCTCAGGCGCGAATCGACTACCGGCCGCCGTCGAGCCGCACCACATGGTGGCCTCTCTTTGCAACAGAGCGCCGAATCACGTTATGGCTCCCGCACCATCCCTACCATGCCCGATCCCTCTCCACAAGAGCGGATCGACGGCTCTGGTCCAAGCCGGGTGAACTATTTCGAGGACTCAGATCAGCATTCTGGCTCACAACAGCAGGGCTGGGCTGCTGTCTCCCCGCTTAACTACAATCAACCGTCGACCAGCAACGTGGCCACGCAGTTTGCCCGAACCACTTCCCCATCTGAATCGCAAGACGAGGCCACGTCGAGTACAAATCGGTATGTACCGGGCAATGCCTTTTCGCAACAAGCCTACGCTTCTCAACAACAGCAGCAACAACAACAACAAGTTCATCGAGTACCAGTTCCCGGCATGCCCGAGTTGAAGAGAACATTACATAGCAACTCTCAGAGTCCGCCACCACCCACCGGATGAGACGATGATACGTTTTTGGAAGAAGTAAGAGATGACCGACACGAGAATCCGACCGAGCGACCGAGCTCCTGCCATATTCAGCAGCTAAAGTGCTCAGAGCAATCGTTTGGCAAGCTCACTGGATGGCGATATCTTTTCATAGAGAGATGGTCACCGAAGTATTTGCCGCAGGAAGACAGAACCGGAAGCTACCATTGATCTGGCAATAATGTGTGAAGTACTTTAGAGTTGTCAGAGAAATGATGATGAACAATTAGATTAGATAGATTGGTCCCATAGACCACAAGAAACATACGGAGGGCACATGTATTTATGTCTCTACTGTGCAAGGCTGGGTGCCACTCTCTAACACTCCTCGACCTCTGCCTTGTGTATTTCCTCATCAACTTTATATGTGAAGTTATTTTTTGAAGATTCTGTAGAGAAGGTCTAAAACTTTTACTCTAGTACTCCGTAGATATCAAGTACTCCGTACTTACTTACTAGTTACCGAGGTATAAGATTAAATCAAGCCAAGTCGCAAGCTTATCAAATAAGACATCGTCAATAAGCTTAGTGAGTTTTGACAGGGACCCTGAGTGGTTCAACGGTGTTTCGCGTACCAGAAATAACGACGCCTTTTGAGAAGCGAGATTCACATGTGGCTGAACGAGGCTGAATCCGGCTACGGCAACGGTTAGGGTGGGTTAGCAGGGTCAGATCCGGCTAGCGAGGCATGCGTGAGACTCCATTCTCGGATCACTAACTCATGTTAGTTATGACATCCCCTGGTCCCCTTGGGCTGATAAGGCTTGGGAAGGCCTTTGCGCCTTTGCAATTCCTTGGTGGGGATGCGATGCTGGCACGCAAAAGCCCAACTGGAAGAGAGAGAGAGACACAGTGCTACTCTCTGTTTATATTCCTGGCCAGGCCTTCGCTTCTGTCTGAACGTCGGAACACGCTCATTTCTGTCTATACACACACGCTCCTTTCTTTCTTAGCACGCTCGTTTCAGTCGCTCAGTCGCACTACGCTCGTTACTGTCTGAACACACCTCGGTTTTGTCTATAAGCACATTGATTGCAGTCTCCAGACCTTCTCATCCATGTATCTCCCTTTTCGGGCCTCGTTGGGAGGTTCGTTCCTCGCGTTGCTCGCCTGTGCGTTTGCCTCGGAGAAGTCTCGCTGTGCATCTGGCTGTGATTGTACAACTATCACTTACACAGTCACTGGGGCCTGGGAATGGACTCCCTCCGTATCACCTCCTCCCGAAGCCTGGGAACCATGGACTGCGGCGTCGTCCTCCGACGTCGTTGCTAGCTCGACCACTGACTCACGCAGCTCTTGGAGCTTCCATAGTGGTGGTGGGTGGACAACTGGTGGTGTGCCCTCGGCGAAATCTACATCAGCGTCATCAATTGTCTCGCCTGTCCCGGATTCCAGCAGTGTCTCGCCAGAGCCATGGGAAGACTGGGATTCTACGGTTCCCGGCCCTACCACGACTGCTACGTCGACCTCGCCAACTGGCTCATTCAGCTCAGATTCCGGGGGAAAGGGCGGCGACTGGAATGACTGGACCGTCCCAAGCTCGACGAAGCATTACACATGGAAGAATACCACCCGATTGCCGGAATGGACGACGACGACGACGACAACGACCACATCCCCGACGATTGGCCCAATATCGTGGACCACCACCACCACCACAACCACTACCTCCCCTACCACAACCACAACCACCACCCCGACGATCGGGCCAATATCCTTGACCACCACCACCACTACTACCTCCCCTACTACCACTACGACGACTACTACCTCCCCTACCACTACGACAACAACGACGACCACCACAACTACTACCTCTCCTACCACAACCACCACCACAGCTACCTCCCCTACCACTACGACGACATCAACCACCACCACCACCACCACAACTACTACCTCCCCTACCACTACGACGACAACGACCACCACCACAACTACTACCTCTCCTACCACAACCACCACAACCACTACCCCTACTACTACTACGACGACAACGACCACCACCACAACAACCACCACCACGACAACCACCTCCCCTACTACCACGACGACGACAACGACCACCACCACCACCACTACCACCCCTACCACTACTACTACAACAACGACAACCACCACCACCACTACTACCACTACCACTACCACAACTACAACCACTACCTCAGCACCTCCCGGCCCAACCTGCAACCCGGGCGGGACTCAACCCGAGTTTATCCTCGAAGCCAGCGGAAGCGGCACCGTCGACGACGGTACGTACGTCAACGTAGGCAACGGCCAATGGGCGACCTTTGGCACCGAGGACCAAGCCACGGTCTTCACCTTCAACGACAATTGCAATCTGATCGACACGGCCAACGGCGTGGCAGGCCTGACCCCATTCGCCATCTATTCGAACTTCTACTTTATTGCCGGCGATTATACGGCTGCGGTTTGCGATTTGGTCGATGGCACCCTCCAATGCTCTGGCCAATACTTCGTTATCCTTACCGACGATGTAGGCTCAGTCTATGTTTCAATAGAGCCGGCGTCTTCAATCAACGACTCTGCACCGCTCACCCTCACCCCAGTTTTTGTCACATGAGGGAGTCTGGCGTAGACGGCGTTGCACTGCTCACCCTCACCCCAGTCTTTGTCACATGAGCGAGTCTATACCACATGGGCGAGTCTAGCTGGTGACCACATGAGCGAGTCTAGCTGGTGAGACGTAAGAGCAAGATTAACGAAAGAGGAAGAGGAGAAGGGATACAATAGAAGGAGAACCCCAGAATAGAAGGGCTTAGGTTACTTATAAGACCTATATAATCATCATAATACTCGGTACATTGTCATCATACTACTCCGTACATTATCCTTCAACCTTTGTTGCCTTTTAGGATCAATATTGTACGAACCCACTCTTTCTTTGTAGGTAGGTAGGTAGCTAGTCTTCTACATTCCAGTCTACGGTCGGGTTCAAATTCACCAGTTTCGACAAGTCCTTTGTTCGCATGTCCAAGATTGCGTTGCGTTAAGGTGACTTTAGCAGAAGTCGTCGAAATCGAAATCAAGCGCGGTTCTTTGGGCCAAGCCACTCTAATCTACTGTATCTCCCAGCGTGTTCTACAGATACAGCATCAAATCAACCGGCAACCGGCAAACAGCAAGCAGCAGCACGATCCTGCGCCAATGCAAGCGGTAAACAGCAGCACGATCCTGCGTCTCTTTCCTTTCGAGGAAAAGGAAGCGTGAGACTGACGGCGAAGGTGACTGCGACGGCGAACACGTCAAAGGAATACCAATCAGTGATCGGCAAAACAAAGGAATTCCAAACAGTGCTCAGTGCTCAGCAAAAGCAAAACAAGCGAATTCCAAACTTTGCTCAGCAAAAGCAAAACAAGCGAATTCCAACCAGTGCTCAGCAAAAGCAAAACAAGCGAATTCAAAACAGTGATCAGTAAAAGCAAAACAAGCGAATCATTCATTAGTCTGCTACGTGAACCCGGGAAGTTGGAACTAAAGAACAGAACAAGGCAGAAACATCTCTGCTGTGTCTAAAGAGAGCATTTCTGATCTTCTACTGTGATCGGACACAGACTACCTTAGCTTTGCGGTAAAATAAACAGGTTGTTTTGTTAGATCTTGTAAGAAGATTATGGCTATTTAAGTTAAGTTAAGTTAAGTTTAGTTTAGTTTACCACCCCTTCCCCCCTGATAATAAGGCCAGTCATCGACTTTGGCACGAAACCTCGTAGCTGACTGATTGGTGAGCCGGATGATCCCATCACTTGACATTGACATCTGCAGACAGACAGACAGCTAGATTGCTTTTCCCAATGAGAGAAAGAGAAAGACACACTTCAAGCTTGCCACCACCGCTCCTTAGACCCCGGTCACCATGATTCCAATTCCAATTCCCGGTTTGCTGGTATAGATGAAGACTGTGTGGTAGGCCGCAGAAGTCGGTTTAGATTTGTGTAGTGTTAGGTGTTTAGATTTGTTTAGAGTATGCGGTTTAGTTTAGCTTAAGAGCACGGGATGAGCAGGCGCAGGCGCAGGGGATGGCGCAGGAGCAGGAGCGGCGCCGTTTGTAGTCTTTGTAGTCAAGATCCTCGTGAAGGTGGTGGAACATGGCGAGAGCGTCGGTTTCAGCTTAAGAGCACGATCAATATCGGCGCCGTTGGTAGTCAGGATCCTCGTGAAGGTTGAAGAATATGGCGAGAGCGTCGGTTTTAGCTCAAGCGCCCGGAGGGTGGCCTTGGTTCTTGACTTTGGTTACAGAGAAGATGTGGTTTTTCTCGCTCTGGGTCATCGACCCGATGGAGCAGGAACAGGCGCAGGCCATGGACAGGCGCAGGAGCAGGCCATGGCGCAGGAGCAGGCCATGGCGCAGGAGCAGGAGCAGGCCATGGCGCAGGAGCAGGAGCAGGCCATGGAGCAGGAGCAGGAGCAGGCCATGGAGCAAGGAGCAGGCGCAGGGGATGAAGTGGGCGTAGGCGCAGGAGCAGGCGATAGGTGCAGGAGCAGGCGCAGGGCACGATCAATGTCGGCGCCGTTTGTAGTCTTTGTAGTCAAGATCCTCCTGAAGGTTGAAGAATATAGCGAGAGCGTCGGTTTCAGCTTAAGAGCACGATCAACGGCAGCGCCGTTTGTAGCCAGGATCCTCGTGAAGGTTGAAGATCATGGCGAGAGCGTCGGTTTCAGCTCAAGAGCACGATCAATGGCAGCGCCGTTGGTAGTCAAGATTTTCGTGAATGTGGAGGAACATGGAGAGACCGTTGGCTTTGGGTCGAATAGAGTATCCAGCGCTCCATCATTCACGTTGTGGTATTGTTGATCGTCTGCAGAGGTTCCAGTCCCCGTCCGTGGCGAAATGATAATCCGTCGATAACACCCATGTACTCGTAAGTTCTTGCAGACCTTGGTGAGGGTCTCGACTGCATGATTTGCAGGTGGTGTAGAAGCACCAGGGTCAGGCCTTGGTGAGGGTCCAGGCCCGTCGTATGCTGGCCCAGGCCTTCACAGCGGCACAGTGGCTGAGATGCCAGCGCGCCCACGATGAGATCCCTAATGGGGGGAATGTCATTGAGGGAGAAGTTGTTGTTCGCGCTCTGGAGAAGGAACTCGTGGAGCTGTATGTTATTTAATTCGATGATCCGCGAATACCAATGAGGGGAATGCCATCAAGGGAGAAGTGATTGTGTGCTGTCTGGAGAGGGCACTCGTGGAGCTGATTGACGAGCTCCTCTTCAAGTTAGCCCATGTCTCGTAGACAGTGAGGCGAAGTTCCGAGGGGATGGGGATGCCGAGGAGGTGTGGCGGCTCACTGGTATAACGAACCGACAAGAGTATCATCTTGCTGCGGTCGAATTTCCCCGGATGAGGAGGAGGAACAGGAGGCTGCCTCTAAAATAAAAGTCGTCATCTTGAGGGCCCCCCAAGCTCTGCGAGATGGTCCCAGGGCTTGCTTAATAAGGCCAGTCATCGACTTTGGCACGAAACCTCGTAGCTGACTGATTGCTGGGCCGGATTCGTAGTCCACCACTTGACGTTGACATCTGCAGACAGACAGCCATATGAGGGTTTCTTTGGTTCCTTTTGTCGTCTTTGGCTTGGATCTCGGCCGTGTGTATAGCATTGTCCGCGTAGTAGTGCTCCCCCAAAATCGTTGTCGTGAATGGTTCTGACCAGAGCAGGCCTGGTCAGAGCCAGTGCCAGCATTCTCAAGCTAGATACTTAGTGCTGGTGTTTGTCTGCAGTATCCATTGTTGGTTGTGGTTTAACACGTTCAAAGACCTTGCGATATTTCGAGTCCCTTGTACGCAAATACATGGTATTCGAGTTCCAATTCGTTGCTGGGATAAACGAAGATTGGTTGTGTTGATTGTGTTGTGTGTGTTGGTTGTGGGAAGAAACTTGAAAGAAAGTTGAGATCCAGGTCATCTTTATAGAATAGATTCCAAGGGTTCATGTATCACTGACAGTCACAGTAGCTTCACTGACAGTCACAGTAGCGGCTGCCTTTCCACTGCCTTCCAACTCCTCATTCACGGTTGTGGCAGTGCTCAACTCACAACAGTGAAGCAACTCACAACAGTGAAGCAACTCACAACAGTGAAGCAACTCACAACAGTGAAGCAACTCA